AAGCACAATGGAAATGGGTTTTCCTCGGAAATATCTAAAGAGATTTGAAAAAGCTGAGTGTTTGAATTTGCAGCCATAAATGAGTTGAACGCTCACATGGATTTGTCGGAAGTTTAACAGTATCTTATTGTTAGCCTCGACGGGCTGTTACAAGCGAGCAAACAATCAAACATTGTAGCAGCTCAACTTTTGGACGACACCCTGTCCATCCTGCTATTTTCATACGAGTTTTTCATTATTTCAATAGACTTGATAATGATAGATTGATTTAATAATAATCTTACTACATATTTTGCACAAAATAATGCTTGAGAATAGATTATTTACGCAGAGCACATATTTTTTGGTCTGTTCTATGTATTGTTTTACTTTCCGAACCACACCTACTTCTACTTGATTTGTATCTGCAACTACTACTGCAACTCTACTACCACTTCAACCGATCTGCAAACAACGATGTACATATATTCAACAAAACGTGTCTTTGTACATATACACACGTATGTACGTCGCCGACCGCATCGTCATTCGTCCAAACGAAAACAAAAAAAAAACCATTAACGTCGACGTGCGCATATATCTTCTACTACCACCGCTACTTCTACTTCTACTACTACTACTACTACTACTATTTTTACTCTTCTTCTTGCTCTCCTACCTCTTCGCTGTTGTGCGAACGAACGACAACGTCAATTGTTTACGAATATAACAAAAAAATCTATAAATACGTATACACGGCGATGGGCGTCGTTGACGCCGCTCTCACATTGTTGGTACTTCTGTCCGAAAAATCATGCCATCTGCAACTGCGATCGACGACTACTGTGTGCCGCGTGGCTTTGCAACCGACGACCTGCGCCGCATCCATCGTGGCCACCGCACCGCTGAACTGATCCACCTGCGAAACATCGACGAATGGCCGAACCCCGAACCCATCGATCTACCGCGTACGGTGAGTTTTGCCGATGGGTTTTTGTTTTCTTTTTTTTCTATCGTATCGCGAGCGAGCGCATCTCGATGAAACCGATCGTGCTCGGTCAGCCTCGAGTACGAGCCTCGCGCGAGACAAGAATTCACGAGTTGGCCGGTGCGCCATTTCCGTGGGCGTCTTGCAGCCGCGCTACCCCCGTCCGACGGAGAGGCCAGACCGGCTACCCTTCTAGCTCCTTCCCAGATCGTTCCTGCTGCTCTTGGCTGTCCTTGCTCGTTACGCCTCGAGGCAAGACCGAAACGCAGCGACTTTCCACTTTCAGCCGCTTATCAGAGTCATCAGCGGCAACGAGAGAACGACGAATTATCGGTGCGATAGTTCGCGAGTTGCGTGCGTAGCTCGGAGCTAACTTTGAAAAGGCCTCGTTGCCAGCTGCGTCAGAGTGGCAGGCCACTGCTGGGATAGTCGATGATAAACGAAAACGAAAGTAGCCAGACGGTTGTGGAAACTCGCGCGTAGCTGGCTGGCTTGATTAATGGCGCGGCTCGCTCGTAGGGGGGCAGGCCGCATAAACAGCGAATCGGGCGCCGCTGCGTACGCCGCCGGGGTTGCGCCGCGATCCTTCTCAAGCTTGCGCTGCGCCCGCGGCTTCCCTTCCGGCGGCCGGCCGAAGTTTCCGCCGCGATAAGCGTCGTCGGGCGCCTGACTCGGCCGGCGGAGCAGCGCGAGCTCGGCGACAATGGCGCGCGCTCGATTCGCGATTGTCGACGAGCAGCGGTCGGCTCATCGGCCGCGCGGATCCGCGGCCGGGGAGGCACGCGCGGCCTATCGCCTCTCCTTCGCGAATTCCATTGTGTCTCTCGCGGCGATTAGATAGCGCTCGCCGAACAAAAAGAACACACACGCGTGTGGAAAAATGCCGTTTTCTCCGGCGCGTGCCTATCGCGCGAACGCCTCGCCGGCGATAAGTCCGCGGCCGGGCGCCCGCGGCGTCCGTTGAACCTCGTCGCCTCGGCCGAGATTCGCGTGAATTCCAACGCGACCTTCCGCCGGCGGCGCTGGCTCCGGCTCTCGGAGCGCCTCGCGTGCGCGGCCGCCGCGATTAGCATATCTCGCGATCGCCGATGATCGAGCGCGCCGAGCGGATCGAGGCACGAGCGAGGCCGCCTCTCAACCTTGGCCCGGCTTTGCTTGCAGGTGCAGCAGCTAATCTGCGCAAGGAAGTGATCCGGAACAAGATCCGAGCCATCGGCAAGATGGCGCGCGTCTTCTCGGTGCTCAGGTGGGTTCTCGCGGGCGAGCCCCGGCCGCTCGCGCGAGTGCGCGCTAACGCGTCGCCACGCTTGTTGCAGGGAGGAGAGCGAGAGCGTGCTGCAGCTGAAGGGGCTGACGCCCACGGGCGCGCTTCCGCTCGGCGCTCTGTCCGGAGGCAAGACATCCTTGAAGAACGGTAAGCGCGGGGCCGCCGGCCCGCCCCGACGGGCAGTGCGATCACTCAGTTGCGATCTGGCCTTTCAGCGCTGCAGGGCTTTTCGCCCAATCACAAGATCACCTCGTTCGCCGAGGCGAAGGGCCTGGACGCGATAAACGAGCGGATGCCGCCGCGCAAGGACGCCCCGCCGACGCCAGTCAACGAGGACAAGGCCAAGACGCCCACGACTCCCAGCGCCGAGGCCAAGCAGTCCCAGCAGTCTCAGTCGCAGCAGCCCCAGTCGCAGCAGGCCCAGCAGCAGCAGCAGCAGCAGCAGCAGCGGGACCAAGGCAACGCCCAGCCCCACTCGTGAGCCCAGCCCCGCGCCTCTTAAGCAAGGTACCGCCCAGACCCACCTCCGTAGATCAGCCAGCCTTATCAACCGATCGACCGATTACGCAGCTGCTGTTAACGGCAAGATACCCAGCGACGTCCACTGCGCTTGCCGAAGCCACCATGCGTACGACCACCACTGCTCGTCTCTTCCCGGACCCATACACGCGCGCGCGCCACCACGCGATCATCGCTCGCCACTCAGACCAACGGACAACCGACCACCAGCCAGCCAGCCAGCCAGCCAGCCAGCCAGCCAGCCAGCCAGTCAGCCAGCCAGCCGACGGACGTTCGCTCGCTCTTCGACTTCTCTTCTTCGACCCGACCCCTCCCCCTTCGTCGCCGAATCAAGTCGCCTGGGCAGATCGGCGCACACCCTTCACTCACACACCTACATACGGACACTGCGCGCGCGAGGATAGAGCTCGACTGCTTTTCGCTGATGAGAGAAAACCAACTTGTTCTATCCTCCGGGAAAACACGCGCGCGCGCTCTCACACACAAGAACTGCCTACTCTTGAACAAACGGTGCAGAGCCATTCAATATAACGACGAAACTTTCATTTCGAATTGCGCAATGCATATATTAATGATAAGAAGAAGATTGTTAAGAAATTCGCTTAACGAGTCTGCGTGAACGCGTCTCTCGAATTCGTACGTGCAAAGAGACCTTTTTATTCGAGTGTCTCTCTTATTCTTTTTCTCTCTCTTTCTCTCTCTCTTTCTCTCTCTCTCTCTCTCTCTCTCTCTCTCTCTCTCTCTCCCTCCCTCTTACTTTCTCTCTCTTACAATTATTTCTATTCTATTCAAAGCTCCGAATACCGATGTATTCATTACTCTCGACATCTCCATATTTTTCAATAAAATCTTCATTTTCTCTTTGCACGTATTGACCCATATACATAAACATGTTGACCAGCATACATATGTATAGCAACGGACGACGACGGTACGAGGCTCTGAATAATAACGAAGTATCAGATTTTCGACTAACTACATGCAAAAACAGTGTAGGAGAATTATCGACAGAAAGAGACAGCGAGAGAGAGAGAGAGAGAGAGAGAGAGAATGTGTATTTGTGTGCATGTAATTATCAGATAACAATCGAGTTTCCTCGTTCTTCAATGTGTGCGTCTGTCGCGTGTATGTCCGTTCGTCTGAGTGTACCTGCATTAATGTGTTGTTGATAAATCCTTGCTGAATCGGTCGACCAGCTAAATATTACATCCTAGTTTGAAAAATTTACACATAAGTTTTTCAATTTTATAAGTAGAACAGTTTTCTTAGAAGGAGGCTCATTTTGTGCTATTTTTTTACTCCGACTACTCTCGGCAGCAACATCTGTGTGTTTATTCTCTTATTCTCTCGTTTTACGGATTTCGGTTGTTTAGTCTCGTCGACGGTCTTTCCTTAATTAACCCGATCAATGACGACGATCGTTTTATATATATATACTAATAAGAATTTTATAAACCGACGGAAGTTGTTACGTCGAAGCAAAAAAAAAACCAAACTAAAATAATTAATTGTTGAAAATAATAAACGTGAAAAGTACTTCTTCATATCAAAAATACATTTACGAAAAGCAGGCAAAAAAATAAATAAATTACTATATAAATAAAATAAAATAAAATAAAATAACCGATAATTCGCGAGATTACACGCTTACCGACTGTAAAAAAAACCATAAACTTCATGTAAAAGTACTTGTAGAAAGAAGAGATAGGTAAAAACGTTGTGGGTGGTAACGAAATGTAAAAAATAAAATTACATATGAGCGAGCGAAGTATATCGAGCGAGCAGCTGGTCTGCCGCGTGAAAGGGCAAAGCAGCCGTTTCTTCCGGTTTTAGAACTCTTTTTATCCCTATGATTGTTGAATCGATGCTATACCATTTAATTGATCAAGCGAGCATGGTAAGTCAGATAAAGTGAGTAGCAAGCCAAAACGAAGATGACAAGTTTAAGTTACGCAAAACAAACGATAAAAACTCGCGCGACAAATCGCAAGGAAGTAAATCTCATAGGGCTATATATTCAAAAGTTGACGGCTTAGCATTATCATTGCAATGTCAGTGCTAATAATCGTAATATAATAGGTGACGAAGAATGAAGAAACAAAAATTTAGGACAGTTAGACAAGTGTAGCAGAATGAATGATACGGCTTAGATATAGATCTAATGAGTTACAATTGTCGGAAAAAAATTTCATTTTTAAATATAAGTATTCAATCTTAACTTTTTCGAGATTCATCGCGCGGGAAAAAATAACATGTTACATTGTTATAGTATATATATATGCATAATATGTCTCTCTTTTACCTTTCTCTTTCTCTTCCACTACACACATCAATCTCCTCTCTCTCTCTCTCTCTCTCGCTCTCTCGCTCTCTTTCTCTCTTTCTCTCTTTCTCTCTTACTTTTTATCCCGCGCTTTCCTTCCTATTTTTTTTTCTTCCCCTATTATCTCTAATTATTCGACCCTTTTTCATCTACCTCAGACTGACTAAGAAAAATCTATGAGCCCATTATGTTTACTAATTGAAGGAAAATTCTTAAACGTCTTTTTTGTAATTAAAAAATATCTAAGGTGAAAAATGGATAGAATACACGATGAATTCATCAAAGTGATTTCTGCTGGGTTATAAGACAAGATAACTTGCTAACTCATTAAACATATTAAACCGTTTTAATAAAAGTGCACAGTTCGTGTGCAAATAACAAGCGAATAACTTACTGATGAATTTTAATTTTTATACGTCTTCTAAGTATACTAAAAAGAAAAAACTTATCCGCTTGAATACTCTTTACATAATTACACAAGTAAACGGCAGCAAATCGTTCCTCATCAAACAAACATATATACAAAGTCACGTGAATCTACAAACACTAGTCGATTGCGGTTCTAGCGATGAAATATATATATATATATAAACTTACATATATAAATAATGAAAATACGTCGAGATATTCAGCATCGAATTCCGGAAGAGCGTATTTAATAAATATTTATAGTCCAAAGTCTCTCTAAGAATCCTTTTTAACAAGTCGATCTCTCTCGAATACCCTTGTATACAACTTTGCACCGCATAAACCTTGTCAGACACATCTGCGCGTCCGTATTATCGGACGCAATAAATAAATTAAAGAAAATTTTATGGAATAGTGCATCTTTTAGCCGCGTTTAAAAAACAATTATTAAAATTTTTTCAGAAAAATCTCATTATTATAACGATACAGTAACGCAAAGTCGATGCTATGCATCGCTTTTTTCAATCACTCTTCACATATATATAGCGCTTACATATATATGTACATAAAGTTTAGAATTGACGTTTATGTCATAATTGTCGATAGCTGGACGGACGTAATCGTTAAATTATCGAAATTTTTTCATACTGATTTTTTTTGCCGATTTTGCTTTTCAAAGAACGTGACGCTTGGTTCTCGGCAGTAGCAGTGGCCCTACGGACGCGCACTGTTGGCGAAGAAACAAACGTGTATCGTTAAGATAGCTATCCTTTTCCTCGCGTACTCCGTTTTTTCTTTTTTTTTCTCAAGATTTTCCACGATTATGATGACGTTCGAACAAACGTACGCGCGATGAAACTTCACGGGGTCGCCGGATTGCAATCCAAGCAACAAGCAGCGCGCCAAGGCAACAACGCGGTGAAAGCGCGCGCGCGCGCGTCGAGGCGACGAAGCGAACTCGGGCGACATCGAACGACAGAGTGAATCTCGCAGTGCGATAGCAGAGAACAGCCTCGCGAGCCGAAGCCCGCGGGCGAACGAAGAATCTCTTATTTTAATGTCGTTGCGCTTATTATCGGCGGAACGTTGTCGCGCGTCGCCCCCCTCACGAGTCAGGCGTATAGGCTCGGAGCGGCTGATTCGTCGTCGATCGCGCTGTCGGTTTCGCGCGCGCGCGCGCACGCGATCCTGCGAAAGTAATTGAGTCCGCGGTCGCGCGAGGGACGACCACCAAGCCGTTTTCGCTCCCTCCCTAGCGATACGACGATGATTTGCCGCGTGAATCGCCGATTTCTAGCGCGCGCTCGGCGCCGAGCATCGGAGTAACGACACTTGCGGGGCTGACGCTGGGCGGCGACGAATCGCCGGCCCTTGCGCGTAGCTCTTCGGTTTGGATGTAAGCCATGACACAGCGCGATGATTTCAATGACGATGACAATGATGGCAGTGATGATTTTTCATTGTTTTCCTTTCTTTTCTTCTCTTTCTTGTACGTGTATGCGCATGCGTGCCAGTGTGTGAGAAATACAAATACGGCAATCGTAGAAAGCTCCTTTGATCGTCAGCTTCTCCGATATTCCGTATTAGCTATTGTTTTACATTTCTAGCAAGGTCTGGATCCCTGGTCGAAATCCAAATTTCGATCCGACCGCGATCACTTCGAGGTACTCGGGGCTTGCACTTTTTGTCGCCGATGCGTCAAAATTGCTGACTGCGAGCGCCTATATTGGCACCGCGCGATCGAACGAAGAAACAGTGTGAAGACCGCGAGTCCATCGACGAGTCGTCGTTTGCGTTTATCTTGCATTACTATTGCGTGTCACTTTTGTTTCGTTTCTCGGTAATGCTGTAAGTTGCGTCTACACGAATCCTTTCTCTCTCGACAGAGCAGAGAGTGAAGCGAAAAAGAGTGCGAGTGCGAAAGAGAGGAATTTAGTGTTATTTTCGAGTGAACGCTGCCAGAGAGACGGAAGAGAGAGAGAGAGAGAGAGAGAGAGAGAGAGAGAGAGAGAGAGAGAGAGAGAGAGCTCCTTCAACTCGAACTTTAAAACAATTATAAATATTATACATAATTAATATTAATTATATATAAATATTGTCCCGCGTCGCATCCCGGGAAAACTTGTCGTCGTTTTTCGCTGTTTTTTCTACCTCTTCTTTAGGGAATCGCGTGGTTTATTCAATGACGATGCTGCTCACAAGTAACATTGAGACGAGAGAAAGTAAGAAGCAAAAGGTTTAAAAAAAATTTTAAAAAAAGTACGCGAAACAAAATGATTTTCGATGAACGACAATGTCGGCATGGGGTATGTGCGTTCATTTGCAAAGGCGAGAATCGCAAGATCAAGAGTACGACACTGACAACGGAAAGTGATCGTTGATCAAAGTTAACAAATGAAAATGCGCTACCAAGTTTGTAAATCGTCTTTACGACTCTAGACTTGACATTAATCGTTGGATCGATATCATTGGTGATCGAAATAATGATACACTGAGAAAGAAGCAAATGATACATTGCGATCAGAAACATAAAAATAAATGAAAACTTTAATTATTATACAAAGTATATACAAGAAGACAAAAAAAAAAAGGATGAAAGATTATTATACGAATGAATTACATAAGATATATCTCCTCTCTCTTCTCACTATGATACAAAATATAAATGAAATAATTAATTCTATCTCTCTTTGCTACCAAGTTGTACTTATTCATAACTAATTTACTTGTACAAAAATGTGTTAAATAATAATAATAAATACATAATATATAATATTCAATGTGCTCCGATTTGATTTTACCAGACATTCGTTAATGACAATTTGTTGTACTTTAGGTTTTTAATTGAATAGGCGATATTTTGCGAAAATAATTATTATTTATTAACAAATGTTTTATTACTGAATTCATAAAACTACGAAGCAAGCTTTTTCAACGACCTCAGTGACTCCGATTGCTTGGAAATTTCGGCCATTTGCGACTGTAAATTTGCTAACTTCACCGTCAGGTAGATCGCTTCTTGAAAATGCTTTTGTGCCGATTTCAAACTCTGCGGCACAAGTAGGCCAAACCACTTGATGGGATCCTGAGCTTCCTTATCATCCTCCTTTGACTTTGTTTTCAGGCTAATGTCGAAATGTGGAATACTCTCTCCCTGCGATTCGTCGAACGTCGTTTCCAGATTGAATATGGACTTTGCTTCTTTGTCTTCGCTTGGTATTTGTAACATTCCTATACTCTCTTTGCCGCGAATATAGCGAGCTTTGGCCAAATCTATGTGTCCCTGTCGGAGCAAATTTTCAAGTTGCACGTTCAATAGTATTTTTTCTTCCATCAACTGTAGGCTGTCGATCGTTAAGTTGTCTAAGCTTTCGCATATCTCCTCCAGACGTTTATCTGCTTCCTGAACACGTAGATTATTTATTTACTTATTTATTTTTATATTTTTTAATAATCTTCACATTCATTGTCGGCATTGATTGCATACATTCATTTATTATTGTCAATATATAATTGCGGTACACACTTGCACGATTGAACTGAATTATTTACGAGCGAAACAAAAGCAAAAGAAATTTATCTATTTCGTCGATGTAATCTTTGATACCTTTCAAGTTTCGTTTACAAATTAAAAAATGCATCGAGACATTTCTGTGCAGGTGACTGTAGTAAGGACAAGTTGTTAAGAATAATATGTGATATACGAACCTTAAAATAGAAACTACGATGAAGGAAAACATGTCCGATCAAAATTCGGCGCTATTATGTTTTTTACTTTTATCGCTATCGAAAGACTTTATTGTATGATGCTTATATATCACATATCCATTGAACTCCCCATGTTGAGCAAAATGCGTATCTTCGCAATAGATCAGTCTTATATAATGTCTTAAAAATGGTTCAACTTTGTCTATTATCGAATCATCTATAACAACGTGACTAGGTAAACGAGCAATGTTTCTGTTGTTCAAATAATTGATCTCCAACCAATTCATAGGATTTCGGCGAAATTTATCTGTTTCGTCGATGTAATCTTTGCTACTTTTCAAGTTTGGTTCGCAAGTTAAAAAGCGCATCGAGACATTTCTGTGCAGGTGACTGTAGTAAGGAGTTGCGTGACAAGTTGTTAAGAATAAAATGTCAACCTCTGAATTTCTCATGGTCTCCAAGTCATTTCTGAGATGCGACATAATTTCTAACGGCCCTTTTTGATGTAATACAGAAAAGTAGATGCCAGGAAAAACATTACTGACGATCAACGTGAATACGAAGAGTTTCTTTTTTGTTTTACCAACTCTCTCTTGAAATATGGTTTCGTTTATGACAAAAATCAGCATAGGCAAAAGAGGAAGAATAAATCGGAATTCTTTGTGACCAATTAGGGAATATATGACTAGACTACAAACAATTGTAACTGTAAAAAGTAACGATTTTTGATAGTTATTGCCATTACTGATGACTTTGTAGACAACCAAAGGTAGAATGCAATAATTGATTCCTAGCAGCACTGGCAAGCCTGAGAATAAATACCACAATCCATGCATTTTTCCATATTGCTCGGATACTTTGTTCAACACATTGATTTTGAAAAACTCTAGAGGACTCAGAGTAAACCTGCCATAGCACATGCTATCAATTAAAGTTGAAATAATTAAATAAAATAGGCCTATTGCTAGATACCACGTCATGACATATTTGTTTTTCCAAACATGATAGAGACAGAGTGGTAGCCAGAACACTGTAGCAGTTGGTCTAGCGAAACATAGAAACCCAACTATCCAAAGAAATGTAGTGTTTTTGACTTGATGACCAGACCATGGATATTTTGAAAGTGCAATGATGGTTAAGCAAGTCTCAAAACTATTGATAAGCGTTCTTGTAGCACAATAATACCAATACCAGTTTACACAAAGGCTTAACAATGCTAACTTGCTATTAGTCCATGTGTAAAAACTGTAATCAGCATATGCACTAAGTAGAGCTTGAAAAACTCTGGGTCCAAATATGATTACTAATGGAAAATCAGCGTTGACAAATTTTACAATAAAATAGAAAATTGATAAAAAAAATGGATACAAATAACTTCTAATTCCAGCCTGCCACTCCCAAGTCATGTATCCATAACCAAATGACAGCTTATGGGCAACTTCTAGTGACTGCCAATATTCATCTGGTACATGAGATGTTTGAACAATGAAAACTGAAGCAAGTCTCCAAATAACCAACAATGTGAAAAGTTTATTAAACCTGGGCTTCATCATGATTCAATCTAAAAATAAGATAGTTAAACTGCCGTGCATAAAGTCATAATAAGATAAGATTAATAAATAAATGTATGAATCAATCAATATTTATAAGTACCATGTAAGTTTCTAACAATAGATTTTTGGCGTATATTGAAGAATACCAAATATGGATGAAGAATTACGTACGTGACCCATCTCTACACTGCTTGAACAATCAAATTCTTGGTAATTGTTAATTCTTTAAACAAAAATAAAATGTAAACAAATGTTAACGCGTGATGCCCGACTAGCAGACACCGCAATGTCTGCGCGCGCATCTAGAAATCATGTGATCAACAATCGACACGATTTTGTCTTCTGTTCATTTTAAAATAACACGTAATCCTACTTGAATTGCTTGGATTAGTCAGAAAAACTTTTGTAACACGTATTTATGAATGAAACCTTATAATCGTACTGACATTCGAAAACGATTTAAAGACGAGTAAGCGATATTCTCCGAGTTGAATTTTTTTTTATTAATCTTATTATTTCAATGGAGGACAATCTTGTCACGATGGACGTGGTTGAATGAATTGTCCAATGAGCGGCCGTATAAACGGTCACAAGGCGCCAAGCCAAGTCAGTATACATTGTAAGCAGTAGTCACATTCGGTTACGTAGCCAAAGCATTATTAAGGTAGCACACACGTATACGCAGACGCAGCTTACTTTAGTCCGTTAATCGTCAGCTACTGAAGAGCTGTGTTCTCGATTTCGATAGACATCGCCCCACGCAGATTAATTAATTTCAAGATACGGGATATAAAGAAGAATATAGAGAGCTGTGATAAAAACAGCTCTCTTTACGTTAGGGTTATAACCGTTGTTACTTTGTCCACCAACACGATTCGCCTACAAGAGCTGCCTTCATTATCAACTCCTTTTGACCACTAGAAAAAAGGAGTGAAAACCGCTTGATTAGAGGATGACAGCCGAAGATGACGGTGCTGGACACCGTGATGGACCCGTGAGCTCCTCCTCGCAGGCTGGACAAGTCGTTCCTGCCAACGGCGAGCTCGAACAACACGTAATTTCAACCTTGTCTTGCTTTTTCATCCACACCCATTTAAATTCTTCGTTTGTCACTCAACATTTTTTCAATTTTTCACCGTTTTCTATTTTTTCACCTGTTTGCATTGTATGCTAGATTTCTATGATTTATCGTAAATTTTCGTCTAAATTTTCAGGTTAAGTCATTAGATATACATTCGTAAAATTCCTGTTTCTACATACTATAACGCAATGCTAACTGACTTGCTTAATGGTTTCACGTGACTCGATAGGCACTTTCCATTAACATTTAATGCATTTCTCATCTGTTCACTATTAATCAAGATAATTTGTTAATCAATATGTCAACTCATTTTAATCAAAATTTTATACAAGTTTATTTGTTTAAAATAACAAATATATTTATATCCAATCAATTTTGAATGTTTAAGTAAAATTTATGGATTATAATTTATGGAATTTCAGACAAATAATCAGGAAGTGGAACAAAGGCAGGCACCACCACAGACTTATGCACAATCATTTTTTGCTATTACCAAGTCGCTAATCATCAGGGCTGTGATTATTTACTTTATTAGTTCCTTATTCAGTAGACGATCTACACCAACTGTGCAAAATGGAGCTACAACTGTAGCACCAAGTGCTGCATTCAATATTTTTTCTAATGGAACAGAGTTTGACTTCCATGTCTACTTGTCAGAATCTGAAAATTTTAAAGATTTCAATGATCCCAATGCAAAAATCTGGTCTGAATATGGGCTGGTTTATGGAGATTGGTACAGCGGAGAAAATGGAGATGGAAGCAGATTTAATACTCATAAATTTGTTCCTTCCAAAAGTTTACTGAATAATGGATCTATTTATCTTCATGTATATGTTACGCATAATGATAAATCACCTGATCCTTATGCTGGTAAAAAGTATGGAGGAGATATGATATCCTACTCTAAAAAAATGATAAATAAATTTAAGAAAATCAGGTATCGAAAGACTCACAATTTATTGACTGGAGAAACTGAAGCTACTGAAGAAGAAAAGAAGGTAATGAAAATAATAATGGCTCATTTTTATCTCAGAATAATTCATATTTTTATACTGTAGAAAGCTGCAATAATGGACCAAGAAATTTTATCTCATTGGCATCCAAATTTAACTGTGAACTTGGTTGTAGACCAAACGAATTGGGTACAAGGCCAAGTGCCCATGCCATTAGATGAATGTAATATTGATTAAATTTTTCTACTTTTTTCATTTTTTTGAAATACCTATAATGTTCAGTTGATACTTAAATTTGTTCTATTGCAGATGTTAAATTTTTACCCAATGGAAAATTCTACAAACCAGTAGTGTATATGAACGACTTTTGGAATATGCAAAGAGATTATTTTCCTTTGAATGAAACTATCAATGAACTGGAATTACATTTAACTTACCAACCTTTATCTTTTATCAAATGGGAACTGTATGCTGCTCAAACTATGAGAAATAGATGGACTTCATCTTTATTAGGTAAGTACAAAGTTATGTGCAAAATTAATGATTCATTATTATATATCGTCAATTTTGTATAAATAATTATTTGCCAAATGAAAGCTTGTAAAATAAAATGCATAATGTTTCTTGTTTATAGGTGACACTCAAGAAGATGATGGAGATGATCAAGATACTTTAAAACAAACTCTTCTCGACACAAATCCTTACCTACTTGGTGCAACCATATTGGTTTCCATACTTCATAGTGTATTTGAATTCTTGGCATTTAAAAATGGTGAGTTGAATTATAAATTATTTAAAGATTTTGTTACTCAAGTAAATAATAAGAAGTAACAGTAACAAGAATGGATAATTAATTATTTGCAGATATTCAGTTTTGGAATAATCGTAAATCTCTAGAAGGTTTATCTGTTCGCTCTGTTTTCTTCAATGTTTTTCAATCGTTAGTCGTGTTACTCTATGTTCTAGATAATGAGACAAATACATTAATCCAAATAAGCTGTGGAATAGGTTTACTAATAGAGATATGGAAAATTAACAAAGTTATTGACATCAAGGTGGACCGTTCAACTAAAGTCTTAGGTATCTTGCCCAAATTGACTTTTCATGATAAAGGCTCATATGTGGAGTCGTCAACCAAGGAATACGATAGACTTGCATTCAGGTATCTATCGTGGGCACTCTTCCCTCTCTTGGGAGGCTATGCCATTTATTCACTCATGTATCTTGAGCACAAAAGTTGGTACTCGTGGGTGCTTAATATGTTATACGGCTTCCTCTTGACTTTTGGTTTCATCATGATGACACCTCAGCTATTTATTAATTACAAAATGAAAAGCGTTGCTCACCTTCCATGGCGCATGCTCTCATATAAATTCTTAAACACTTTCATTGATGACATTTTTGCATTTGTCATAAAAATGCCGACGTTGTATAGGTTAGGATGTTTTCGTGATGATATTGTCTTCTTTATCTTTTTATACCAACGCTGGATATACAAAATTGACCATACGAGAGTTAATGAATTTGGATTTAGTGGTGAAATGGAAGCACAATTAGAAGATGAAAAGAAGAAAAAAGCTATCGAAAATAGAGACGATTCCAAAGAGAATAAGAAAACAAACTAAATAATTGATTGTTAGGTGATTGTATGTGTTGCGAATTATTGTATTTTTTATTTTATTTCGTTCGGTTTCGTTGGATCGATGTTTGTGACAGATGTTCCCTTGTTGTCACAATAAGGAGAATGCCAAGATTGTTTGTTTATCAATTGTTTGGAGAAGCGCTAAATGTAACGAACAGGCTTGTGTTTGTGTTGTTGCGCTCATGTTTGGTTGCTATTCAACCGTCCTCTATGAACAATCATTTGCAAAAACAGAAGAGTCTTTTAACTTTTTGACTCAAACTCCAACCAATGTTGATATTTTGGCACCCTGTCAACCTCGGGACACTGTTGACTTGGCAACACTGATGCATTCCTGCAGTTCATCCGTTTGTCAACAGATAAGCAGAAATACACTCTTCTGATGCCCATTGTTATGAGTTACTGGTCAGAATTTTCATCAATGTTTTGGTCAACAGCCATCTGACATCAGTTAACATGTGAGCCCCACCATTCCAGCCTTAGATGAAGCCAGATGATGGATAGTCCTACAACTTATAGAGAAGAAGATTGAGAGGATAGAGTCAATAAAATTCCGATCCTGCCATTGTTCCAATAAATTCATCTGCAATTGTTAGTTGGATCACTTCAGGACTCTTCCTTGGATTTAGAAATGTATAGCTGGTTTCCACTTAAGCTAGTTTGGATGTGAACCTGTTTATACTATACAGGATTCTCTGCTGTATTTATAGTGGGGGTGAATGTGTTCAACTGTATTTCAAACTTAAACCTACATAACTTGATTTCTTCAAACTCACTTATCCTGCAATTTACACCGTGACTTTATCCGGACTGGATTCCGAAAGAGAAGCTGTAATCGTGTTCAGTATGTTTGAACTTATTGCATAGAGGGTAATAGTCAAAGTATTGAATTTATGATATTTTGATTATAAGCGAATGGAAAATTTGTTACAGTTTTCATGTTGATGACATTGTTTGTCTGAATTACAATTGTACATTACAACAACAAAAATGTTTGAGCGTGCAAATGTTGTTTCCACATTCACATGTATCCATAAATGAATTGCGTGTGTAGATATGAAAATGTAAGTTTGTGTGTGCGATTGTAGAGAACTTAGCAATTGAGATGTAATTGTAAAAATTGATGTTATAAAGGAAAAAATAATTGGTGTATAATAATAGCTCACGCGAGATATAAGAAATTATTTGTTAATCGTGAAAGAAAACAAACCATGTGCGTAAGTTAAACTTCCTGTTCATTAGCGTTTATTTAATGATAAATCGCTTATCATCAAGTCGAGTATATCTGCCGTCTGCGTTGATCACAACATAAGAAATATTTAGTCAGATTCAATTGTATTTAAAAATTAATTCTCGACATTTAGTTAGACAAATTTATTTTCAATATTGTCAAATGTTGAATAATATCAATTTTATATAAAAGAGATTTCAATTTTTAAAAATAAGAATCTTTTTTATCAATTTCATTTATAAAACGAAATAGCAATGTACACTTATGAATGAAAATCCTTGCCTATTTTTACTCACTTGATTTTTGATCGCACCCTTTCTTATTTCCCTTGCAACCGCTTGGTTTACATTTCAATATAGTGTCACTCAAAATTAACGACATTATTTTTTTAACTTTTTTCATAGTTTGCTATTAATTTTTTACCGTAGCAGCTTATCAATTTTGTGAGAATTTAAATTTTCATAATAAATTAGCGTTCCAAACAATACTATAGTTTTTTTTTCTGTGAATTTTGGATAAATTGCATATTGATAAATAACTGGGATATAGAATACCTTAATAAAGTATTGTTTAAGCAATACAGAAAAAATAAATGAAAAGTAGAATTAATTACACGGAGGATTAAGTGAAAAGCCACCAAACTTGCTCACAAAATATTTTTATTTCGAGCGAGCTCGTCATTGAGTCTCCACTTTAATGTTCGTGTATAATTTTAAAACAACATATCTGTATGCTAGTCCAAAACTTATTTCATTTGAGGGGTTATCAAAAACGTGAAAACAATTCACATGTGACATCCCGCTCGAACGCGTTGATTGCGTCGAATGTAAAAACACGTTCGAATAATCGAGTTCGCGCCACGAAGGGTGCAAACAGCCCTCTTCGAAACTTGTGCACAATCGCATTAACTGAATGAATTCATAGAATTACGAAAAAGTCGATAATTTACAGAGGAAATCGGCATCTCCACACACTCAATACATCAATCGCGAGCAGCTACGACGAATTAGAAAAAACAGCACTTTTGCAGGCGCGAACACACGTACACAGGTAACAACCGAGCGGCGAGGACCTCGAGGGGGAGCAATGGTCCAGCGAGGGTGCGGTCCTAGCGCTGGCTGCTGGAGCCGGCGGTGGTCTTGGTGGCGGCCGCGGCCGCGGCGGCAGAGCTGAGGAACGACTGCGAGACGGCGCCGGCGGGCGCGCCGAGGGGCGACACGTCGTCGACGATGGCCTGCAGATTGGCGATCTCGCCGGCCGGGTCGCAGCAGTCGTTCATCGCCGAGTGAATGAAGGCGAGGCTGCCCTCGCTCGAGGAGGCCAGGCTGGCGGACAGCGGCGGCGAGCGCTCCTTGGGCGAGGCCGAGGAGGCAAGGTTGACGGGCCCGAGCGAGCCCGGGCCGCAGGTCGCCTGCTCCAGCTTGCCGTGGAGCTCGAGCACGCGGCCCTCCAGCAGCAGGTTGATCTCCAGCTGAGCCCTGTACTTGGACTCGACGGCCTCCACCTCGGCCGCGTGGCGCTCCTTGGCCTCCTGCAGCAGTCGCTGCTGGTCCACCAGCTGCACCTCCTTGCGCGCGTCCCTGTGTTCCAGCTCGAGCAGCCGGCTCTTCAAGGACTCCAGATGCAGCGTCTGCGAGTCGAGCTGGCGACGCAGACCTTGGGCGCGAGAGAGGCGGGCCGGTAAGCCAGGGGCAGAGGGGCTGGGGCAGCGGGTCGCGGCCGACGCCTCGAGGGCACCACTTACCGGAGAGCTCCTCCGAGCAGCACCTCTGTATCTGCGCGATCTCCTGCCTGGCCATGTGAACCGGTGCGCCCATCTTCTCCTGGGTCCTCGCCTGGGCCTGCGGAAACGAAGCGCTGCGTGAGGACCGCGCGGCCGTGCGCGCCACGAGCGACGCTCACCTCTCCGAGCAGCAGGAAGCGCTTGTGCACGGTGTCGAGGAGGCGCTTGAGCTCCTCGCTCTGGTTGGCCGCCCGCAGGGCCTCCTTCAGCTGGTGCGCCGCCTCGAAGAGGGTGGCCTCGGCGGCGCGCCTCTGCCTCTCGTGCTCCGTCAACCTGGTCCTCTCGGTCTTCAGCTCGTCCTCCAGCCGCTCTATCCGGTCCTTGAGCGCCGAACCGCGCTGCTGCTCCTCCTTGCACTGCAACGCAAGCATCGGGGTGAGGGTCGTGCGGACACGGCGGCGAGCGCCCGCGGTGAGCTCGGCACCTTCGCTTGCCAGTGCTGCACGGTCTCGGCGAGGCGCTGCTCGGCGCTGCGCGCCTCCTGCCGGTTGTGGCTCAGCTCGGCCCTCAGGGAGTCGATCTCGCTGTCCGCGAGCTTCAGCCTGCTCGCCTAGAGCCAACAGAAAGCCGAGTGAGCGCGGGCGCAGTGGCGCAGGGGCGCAGGGGCGGAGGGGTGAGGAGCTTGGCGCACCATGGACGAGTTGAGCTCTTCGAGCGCGCGCGAGTCGCGCAGCTTGCCGAGGAGCCGGCGGTTGCGCTCGGCGTGCACCTCCCTGCGCTGGCGCTCGAACTGCAGCTGCAGCCACATGAGCTGGATCTGCTGGGCGGCGCGCCCGGCCTCGGCACCCTCGTCGTCCGGCTGCGGGGTCCCGTTGCTCTCGGCCTCCTCGCCCGGCCGCTTGTCCGGCCGCGACCCTGCGGAGCGGCAGCGCCAGCGCGCCGTGAGTGCGGCTCCGGGGGCGCGGGCCGCGACGCGGTACTCACTGCACTTGGCCTCGGGCAGCGCGCACACCTGCAGGTAGCGCTCGAGCATGGCGCTGGGCGAGAGGCGCGCGGATGCCGGCGGCTCGAGGCAGTTGGGCGTGGGGCCGCCCGAGGCGGCGGCGGTGGGCTCGCACAGCAGGTAGTCGCAGGGCAGCAGGCCCGGGGTCTGCGTGGCCGCGTCCTCGGTCTCGGCCGAGGCCGCCTGCAGCGGGCGAAAGGTGCCGGCGCGCCGGGTCCGCGCCGTTGACGACGGCGCCTCCGCGCCGGACCGCGCCCGCCCACCGAGCAGCGGCCAGGTGCCGGCGCGCCGTCGCGTCCGCGGCACCGGCGTCGGGTTCTGGCACAGCACCCGCAGCTTCACGCGGCGCGTCAGCTCGCTCACCGTCTGGCGCTCGCGCTCCCCCGCCGCGCCGGCCGTCGTGGTCCGCCGCGCCGACACGATGTCCGAGACCTGGGCAGACGCGGGACGGTCAGTCGGCCGGCCACCCGCCGCGCGCGGCTCGCCCGCGCCGCTACCGACCTCCTGGTCCTCGAGCTGCTGCTGCTGCTGCTGCTGCTGCTGCTGTTGCTGCTGTTGCTGTTGCTGCTGTTGCTGCTGTTGCTGCTGTTGCTGCTGCCAGGACTCGAGCGTGCCGTTGATCAGGTCGTGCAGCTGGTGCAGCGGGCCGGCGCGCTTGGCCGGCTCGTCCTCGACGCGACTCTGTTGCGGCTGCGTGGCGTTCTGGCGCTCGGCCACCAGCTTGTTGAGCTTGCGGTCGAGGATCGACGGCCCATCTAACTCGAGGCGGCTCGCCAACAGCGAGTGCTGCCCGGGGTTCGCGGCCGCCCCGCTGCCGATCGGCGTGGACGGCCGGCTCGTCGAGCCCAGCAGTGCCGCGGCGCCGTTCGCGCCGAAGGCGCTCAGTGCGCGCACCGCTGCCGAGCCTACGGGCACCTGTCTCCCCATCGACCTCACGTCCTACTTGGCAATATGCAAACCCTCTCGTTAGTTACGCGTTCAATCCTTCATCACCCTGCGAGCTACTACAAGTCACTACTCCCGTTCTGTTTTGCTCTTCTTCTGGTACTCTAGCAAAACTCTTCGCTAACGCGCTTGTTTTCTCCGTAATGAGGATAGAATTGCTTAGGCAAGTTTGCTGAATGTCAAATTAAATACATTATTGACAACCATTTGCAGTGAGAAGACTTTGAAAATAAAAGCTTTACGAACGATGAATGTCAATTAATGATGGCTCGTGAGATTGTAAAGAAAAAAAAGGGAAAATCAAACAACGTAATTCAGTGATAGTATAAATAATTGCGCGGTTAATCTACGTACCACGCGAAAATATCTCTGTATTGTAGGAGCAGCATTTTAAATACATACAAATTGTGAAGTTATTGCGACAACGTGCGTTCAACAACGTGCACAGTGTCTTAAAAATTTCTAGTTTATTTCTTTATTTTTTCAAATAAAAACAAAAAAAAACTTAGCAAAAGCTCGAAGAACTTGTACGACTTTCGAAAAACTAATTGCAAGCGATCACGCCATATACAAGCATACGTCAAAAGACGTAAGAGTGTAACTATATCGATGCGATTCAGAGATACATTTATCTGCGTTGTACTTATTGATATACTGATAGTTATGCTGCTATCTTGACTAATGATATCGTGTTGCTGCTTACTTCTTTTGTTTTTTATCGAATCAATCGTGCGATTTATATGAATGTTTAACATATGAAGATAAGATTTAATAGTAATAAAAATTAAATACGGTTGATTCGTTATATTTGTATGAAAATAAAACTCGACATCGCGAATCTATTACTAAAACTATGACTTGTGAACTACGATAGATTTTGTACAATCTTTTTAATTTAATTCCTTCAAAGTTCTAAAAATTTCAAGGAGAAAACAATTATATGAAAAACTGCCATTGAATAAAGGTGGGAACCTTAATTGGAGTAGTTTCAGGAGTCGCCTCGACGGCTGCCTCAGGTGGTGAAGTTCGACTGCGGTTATTGAGATTCGCGTTGGCGGCCACGACAGTGGTACCACCAGGTGTTGAAGGCGTCGACTTGACATCGCCGTGTGACAATGGCGTTGCTTGAAGTGAAGTAGGCGGCGGTGGACTGTGCGCCCCTACGAGCATGCTCGGCGACCAGAAGCTCTCCTGACTCGTCACATTGTCCAAGCTCTGTTGCTCCAATACCATAGGAAACTCCGAGTTGCTTACTGGTGTATATGGACACGAGTATTCGGAAAACACTGCGCAGCGCGTGTCTTATGTAATTTTCACTGTTGATATTCGATAAAAAATTAGGAACCTACCTGATATCGGGGTGAACCGCATGTTTGCCAGCGACATCATCTCTTCGCGACTCGATCTTTCGAACAGTGAAAAACGGCTGCACTCTACTACCACATCGTGATGCTCCATTTTCTTCCACCTGAAAGCACATTACTCCTTGTATTATTTTATTCATTTTTGCAATTAAACTTTTACTTCTGCTATTTAAACTTTGACTTTTGCTATTTAAAAAAATATATTTTTACCTCGAAGATGAGATCTCTGTTTCTTTGGACATTGTCACCAGCAATGGATGCATACGCACCGAATCCAGCATTGGACTTATCACTTTTTTAAAAATCATCGTTTGATCTCGCGAATATTGGGGTTTTAAAAAGGAAATAAAATTACATGGATACATGGCGTACAATCGGTGAAACAAGTTGTGTAATCCAACCTGCAAACATTTTTAGTTTTTGAATACTTCTATTCTAAATTAAACACTACTTGCGATATATAATATGATTTATTAAGGAGCAATTAAGAAGTTTTCATATACCTGTAAATGAAGGAGATTATAATCTACATCACAGCCAATAGGCGTTGTCGAAAAAGCTCCAGAATTTGCGTTTGAAATATTCAAACGATTATAATATAACGATGCAAGTCTAGAAAATACTTCAAAGATTTCATTCAGATGAGGAGCCAGTGCAGTTGGTAACATGGGTAACAGGGTTATCAGTAGCAAAAGAGCACTCATTAATAACACTATATCTTCTTCCACCTTAAATATAAATATTTTCCATAGAGATTACACAAACTAATTTTATTTTTTGGCAAAATTATGTTTATTACCTTGAGCAAATGAAGCAGCTGTTTAAAAAGTGTATGGTTAGCCAGACGGTAGAGCCATGTAGGTTGCCGTCTAGCCACATGACCAAGCAGTGTAAGCGTTCTAATCTTTTGTCCATTGTTACTAGGTTTCGCTGCAAGTGTTTCTGTTAATTTATCAAAAAGATGCTTGTCATGAGGCTCTCTTACTCCTGCTAGAACTTCGACTGCCCTTAAAGAATCCGTAGAAAGATAGTAATCAAACAATCCATTCACCAACCAACTATCTTTTGCTGTAGTTTCAAAAAAATGTTCAAAAATTATTCAATACTTCTGAGTCTAGAGGCAGACTGGAGATAATATAAAAAGTTGTATTTACTTGCTAAAAAGTGATCATGGAAAACCTTTTTAATTTCTTCAACATCTTTGAGTTTATTGGACTCAAGCATATGAAAAAGTTCTGCAGCTCCAATGTTGCTATTGGCATTGCTGTTAGTCATACCGAAGGTGTCTTGTTGCACTTGCCTCTGGATCTTCTTAACTGGCTTCCCTCACAATCCAGCACTGCCTTAAGCAAGAATGTGTGATAATTGGCCACTGCTTCACCATCACAACACTGTTGCTTTATTACCTCTTCACTCCTTCCAACTAAACTTCTGATTGTCATTCGAAATTCAGTGTTATAGCATTCCTGCAAGTATCAAATACAGTTTTATTTACTCTCAATCAAATTTTAAAATCATTTGAAAATCTCTAAGTTAATAGGTTGATAAAATAAAGTTTAAGATTCAAGAATATATATACTTTGACAAATTGGGTGTTATTCAAAAATTCAGAATAATAATTCAAAATATAATGAAGCAGAGCTAACAACTTCTGGTCTTATATTCTATAAGTATAAAGTTAAAAAAAAATTTGTATGTACAGTATAGTTTGAAAGTTAAGCATAGTGTATGAAATTGAGCAGGGCTACATGTATATCTATATGAAAATTAATAAGAGTAACAAAATCTGATTTGTACACTTAGCTGATCATAAAAAATAGGCAGTAACTTTTGACAGATTTACCATTTAATGATTATAAAGATGTTATTGATAGAATTAAAGAATGAAGCATTGAATAATTTATTCGAAAAAATAAGCCGGCCTACTTGTAGATCGCACCAAGAATAAAAATATTCTTTTTTTACTCTGAGAAGCGAATAATTATAAGATTATTAAGATAATCGAGGTGCTTGCACGCTCATGTCCGGGAACTTGCGACAAACAGCTGATTGTAATAAACCTCAAATTTTCGAATGCATTCAGTTGCTGTCGTAAATTTATAATTTATTTAGGTTTGTGCGAAATCAGAATACGGAAGAACAACATCATAAAACCCGAGAGCAACTCATCAATCAGCAACAAATCGACAAACGCGTTAGAATAATAATGGAGCTACTGTGTACAACCTATCTGACAAAGAATAATTTGTTCGAGTTCGACATTGCACGAGAGCCGCACCAACAGCTTATTCAAAAATTATAACGATAAGGTACCAGAAGAAAACAATAGAAGAAATGTAAAACTTACGTGTGAGACTTGAAGAGTAATGGAGCAAAGTCAGAGCTCAGCAGCATGCAGGTGTAGTTCCTGGCGATACTCCATTGGCTCCACCGACTGTTTTCTTTCTCTTGCTCTCCACAGAGTGAGCCCTGTCTTCTCTCTCTCTCTCTCTCTCTCTCTCTCTCTCTCTCTCTTTCTCTCTCTCTTTCTCTCTCTCTCACTTCACGGGTACAGCTGTTTTCCACACGGGCATAGGCCACATTGCCGAGCAAGTCAGCTAACCGTGTAGCGTGTTTATTAAAGGCTCTGCTCCGTTTCTCGACCGCATGGGCGCTGCCGCAGTAAGTTATATATTGTTATTCGCGCCAACGACCAAAATCAAATTATCTTCACTATTGCGTGATCAAGTCAAGCTACAGTCAATTTCTGAAAATACAATGTTCTAATGATAAAAACGGAAAACACGGAATTCATATAACGTGAATGTTGGACATACAGGCTTGAGACTGTTTTGATATATTTATGTCATTTCCCGCATTTTTCTAGTTCAGAACCTATATATCAGATTTATAGCTGAACTACAAAATCAAAGATCTTGTCTAACAGTTTTTCTACCATGAGCTTACGTGATAAACAACACTCGATTTTAAAAAAAAGTGTCGCTGAAAGTGTACAGACATTCAAAAAATTAGTAGAAAATCAAGCGAAGGCATTGACCAATTATGAAAAAACTGTAGCAGAGGTTTACAACAGCAGACCACCAGAATTTGTTTGTCCTTTATATCTGGATAAACCAAGCAGATAACCATTAACAAAAACAAACCAATAACCAAGCAGAACTTTTGCTTCCAAAAAAGGTATTGAACGCATAAAAAGAAAAGCAGTGGCTTACGTTGTCATTGAAGATTTTAACAAGTGCAGCTCTTTTGATAACAGTATCATTGTTGTTAATGGCAATGACGATGACAATGATGTTTATGTTGAAAAACGGTATATGTTGATAAAATGTACTATTTTTAAAATAGAAAATAAAAACCTAAAATTAATCAGAATTTTATTAATATTCAGGTTAATACAGGTAAAAAAGAAGACTCGAACAAACTAGACGTAAGGATATTCCTACAAATATGTGGATTTGACTCGAACGTAAAGTAGTTAATTTTTTAGCGGTTTAAAAAAAAAGAAATTGTAGCTGTAACCTATATATAAAAGAAAACATTGACTATATCTTATGAGAGCATGCAGTTATGTTTAATATGATATACGAGAATGGTAATGCAAAGACAACATAATTGCACGCAAGCGCATCGAAATTTATATTTCTTCGCGGATTCGCGGAAATACTTGAAAGTATCATGTACGCAAAAAGTGACTCTAACCACCAGATGTACTGATGGAGCGCGGAAAGGGAAGAAAGAGTTAGAGTCCACAAGAGAGACGGAGATAGCGAAAAGCAGTATTTGCGCCGACGAGGTCGCGCGCGCGCGCGCGCCTTTTTCTTCTCCCCGTTTCTTGTACCTACATACAACATGTAAGTAAATACCCACGTCGAAGAAAAAATATTAATTGAAAGGATTGAGCGTAAACAACGGCCGGGGAGCCTTCCCCGACGGCCGTGCCGACGTCATTTACCGGAGACAGAAAGAAATAACTACAAGAGCTGTAACGAGAGCGAACAGTAGGGCACAAGAATGTTGCTCTTCCATAGAAAATGCGGCGACCGTGTGAGCTTAATGAACAACCAGTGCACCGCTGTCAGGAGTGTCTCTGAGTACAATTATGGCCTGGTTTTTAGTGCTGAACCATTGAAAGATGACGAAGTTTTCCAGGTTCGCATTGATAAAAAGGTAAGCGATAATTTTGATTTGATGTTCATAATGTGCATGAAAAATTACATTGTTGTCAAATTATAATTACTACTATATTTATTTTTGTCCTTATAATATTTAAGATGATGATATGGAGTGGAACGATAGAGATCGGAGTGACAGCTTGTGATCCAGAAAACACCAATTTACCAGCATCAGCTACAAGTTTGCGACATGGATCATGGATTATGACAGGTTCTAGTATAATTCACAACGGAGAGCCTGTTTTAGAACAGTATGGAATAGATTTGAGTACATTAGATGAAGGACATATTATTGGAGTATGTCGAACATCAAAGGTTATATCTTATCAGATAATAACTACTTTATTATTGTTCATGATCATACATTGAAGTAATAGTTCTATATACTTGATTTTAGGATGAGTTGGTATTTTATGTGAATGGCTCTCCACAAGGAATAGCAGCTACAAATATACCATCTAGAGTTTATGCAGTTATTAATATGTATGGAAACTGTATTCAGGTTACCACAATTCAACCTTCTATTAGTCCTGCATCAAATTGTAGTAATGGGGAGCTCCCATTAGAAATTAATAATGATTATGCAATGGATGAAGCATCAACCTCATCTACAACAAATTTAGTGACAAATTTAAATGTGAATCTAAATGTACTACCAAAAAATCCAAGCTTAGCTGCCATAAGGGAAGATAAATTGAGATTCCATGAAAGAGTGGGTTCCCTAGTCAAATTATCAAATAATGCTCGTACAGCAGAAAGGAGAAGACCATTAGATGAATTCAACAATGGAGTTGTGATGACTCATAGGCCTCTGAGAGATAATGAATTGTTTGAGGTAAGTCAATGATTTTACTTTAAATATCAAATGGTTTTTTATAATTATTGTATATATGTTTAGATTCGCATTGATAGACTAGTTGATAAATGGTCAGGTAGTATAGAAGTAGGTGTCACTACACATAGCCCTACTGCCTTAGAGTTCCCTGCAACTATGACAAATATGCGTTCTGGTACTACTATGATGTCTGGATGTGGTATATTAACCAATGGGAAAGGAACTCGACGAGAGTATGGTGAATTCAATTTAGATGAGCTCAGAGTAGGTTACGTTTCTTATTTCTGTTATTTTTATTATTTTTCAATTCAATTATCCCAAAGACAATGAGCTATATTTGAGAATTATAGGAAGGAGATCGGGTAGGTATGCTGCGAAAAAGTAACGGCAACCTTCATTACTTCATAAACGGCCTCGACCAAGGAGTTGCTGCCAAAGTTCCTAATACAATATGGGGCGTCATTGATTTATACGGGATGACCGTGAAAGTTACAATCGTCGATCGTGATGAGAGAGAAGAACAAAATCTCGTTACCCGAAGAAATACTTTGCAACTACAAGGAATAAACGGTAGGTAATGTTATTGACATTTTTTGCTTTGCGATTGATGTAATTTAAAGAATGTTGTTTGATGTGTAAACAGGCGAATCTGAGGAGCCTCTAGATAGATTGATGTTCCATCCGTGTTGCGGTACTCACGCGGATGTAATTAACAATGGTCGTACAGCTCATCGACCAAAGTAATAATCCCAATTATGTACCGCGAATAAAATATATAGTTTTATGTATATTTATAATGCAAAATTATTTATAGTGCCATAGATGACTTCAACAACGGCGTTGTTCTGACCTCGAGGCCCTTGAGGGCAAATGAACTGTTTGAAGTGAGGCTCGATAAAATTGTCGCAAAATGGGCCGGGTCAATCGAAATAGGAGTTACCACTCATTCTCCAACTGAACTGGAGTTTCCATTTACAATGACCAACGTAAGGTAAGTATCGATTGAATGTTATACTTAAAACAGCTTGCAGCATCCGTGTAATACAAAAAATTTGGTGATATTAATTAGGTCAGGTACGTGGATGATGACAGGTAATGGAGTGATGCATAACGGCACGACAATGATCGATCAATACGGCCAGAACTTAGACAGATTACAAGTAGGCGATCGCGTGGGAGTGATGCGTAAAGACAATTCGACACTTCACTTTTTCGTGAATGGCACGGATCAGGGTGCAGCGGCAACTGGAGTCCCGGAGCGGGTTTATGGAGTGATCGATCTGTACGGTCAAGCAGCCCAAGCTACTATCGTTGACAATTCTGATTTTTGTAGCCCTACCACAATTAATTCCAGTCTTAGTAATACTACTTTATACTGGTATTTTCTAACATTTTTGGAGGCTATTTAATTCCTCTTGTAATCCTTTTTTTGTCAAACAAGTCTCACCTATATAAGTGAATAATCTTTCAGTGATCTACGCTTTCACCATGTGCATGGAAAGAATGCCCGAATCACTAACAACGGATTGACAGCCTCAAGACCGCGAGCTCTTGGAGAATTTAACGACGCGATAGTCATTGCAAATCGTGCGCTTCGCGACGGCGAAATTTTCGAAGTTTCTATTGATAAGATGGTTGAAAGATGGTCAGGTGCAATAGAAGCTGGTGTTACGGCGATAAGGTAAATTGTACAAAATTTTGTTTTAATTCGTTTAAAACAGGGTCTGATAATTTACTGACATTGTTTCTTCAATTACGATTAGGCCAGACGAGTTAGAATTCCCATCGACGATGACAGATATCGACCATGACACGTGGATGCTCTCAGGCTCGACGATCATTCGAGACGGTGTTCCTTTGAGGAATAACTACAGTTGCGATCTGGATAAGCTTGCCGAGGGCAACCGTATCGGTATGATGCGTTGTTCAGACGGAAGCTTGCATTATTATCTTGACGGCGTGGATCAAGGCACCGCGTGTATTGGTCTCCCGGCGCAAGTTTATCCTGTTATCGATCTCTACGGACAATGTGCCCAAGTAAGTAATGCGTAATTCCAATTTTCTTACGTGACATCTACCATTGACCCAAAGGACTAAGTATTACACATAAGAACATACCGAATCAGCTTATATTTTATACCTATATTTGAGCTAAGTAAACGATAACTTAGAAAGGCAGTTTATTAGGCCTAATTCTTTTAAAATCATGCGGTATCTTAATTTTCGCCAGTTCATGCAGAAAGCACATATTTTTCGTACGTTCAGCCAAAAACGTGCGTTCAAAAACGAGCTTTCCACACGTCGTATCCAAAAATACGGTATGACACATGTTCGGGAAAGAGTTTCTCGTGTCATGTGGCGCTTACGCCCGAGCGAAGTGAGAATCTACTTTCCCGTACTTGTATCGTAATGTATTATTTCAACACACCGCGCGGAAAGTACGTTTTTATTATAGCTTGGCGAAAAACATGTACTGGAATTCGCGCTTTTCACACGTTGTTTTGAAAAATACTGTACTTCTGTGCTTGTGAAGTAACAATATATTTTCCCCAAACTAGTTAGGAAATGTACTATATTACTACTAGGCAAAAGAAAATCGAATTCACACTGTAATAAACCTTTCCTCGTGATAACAATAGCTTAACTTTCAGGTAACAATCGTTTTACCAGAGCGACGTGATATGATACAACAATACCTGCCATCAGAAAACAGCACAACGAGCCAGCAGCCAACGTCGGTCGTACCACCCGCTGTTCAAACCGAGATAACTCACAAATTCCACGAGTCGGTGGGTCTGAATATACAATTAGATACTGGGCGCACGGTGGCTACTCGCTGTCGCGAGTACAGTAATGCTGTACTACTCAGCGATGCTCCTCTTGAGAATAACGAGATTTTTGAGATCTGCATTCAGGAGGTTGCCAAGGAGTGGAGCGGTTCGCTCAGAATAGGTTTGATTAGCAACGAAAATGGTAGTTGGTTAACGTCGATGAATCTTGTCCAAGGGATGACTTCCATACCCGTTGATGCCTGGTATCTCACTGGTAAGATTTTCTCGGTTTTATTGCATAATACCTTTCGTCTTCTCACTCTTTTTACTTTTCACAGGTAATCAAGTGAGGCATAAAGGACACTGCCTTTGTTGGAACTACTGTCCAAGTTTAGATTGGTTGCGTGTAGGAGATAAAATCGGTCTGAAACGTACGAACGAGGGTAACCTAAAGTTTTACGTGAATCGAGAAGACATGGGTGTCGCTGCAACGAACGTGCCTGAAATGTGTTACGCCGTGATTGAACTGTTTGGGTGTACGGTTGCCGTATGCGTGACTAGCACAAAGCAGCAAAATATCGCGATATCACCAAATGCAAGTCTTAGGTTACAAGATTCTTTGGAATTATTGTTGGATCCGATGTCATCTGGTGTCAGAGGGTAAGCTACCATTGTCTTTTTCGCTCGGTCAAGGTTGATTTTTGTTTTAACTAAATCTACTATTTTATAATTTTAGTGAGGGAAATATGGAGTTATCTTACGATGCGTGCGGAGAAGGAAAACTATTGACCGATTTTGTAACGACACCAACTCAAATGGCAGTAGCATCCATAGGTGAAAGTGATTGGTCCTATGAATTCCACGAAAACCACGGCAGAAATGTTCAATTAGAGAAGAAGACTGTCGCCAAACGAGTAGCAAGTTATAATCAAGGTAAATTGAGATTTACATTTAATTGCTTGTGCAGAAATGTATGACTGAAACGTCACATATTTTCATTCATACTGTTACAGGTGTAATCATGTCTAGTAAACCTTTGATAAAAAATAAATTATTTCAAGTTAAAATTGAGAAAGTGAACGACAGGTGGGTATCTGGAATGCTATGTGGAGTCTCTTGTATTCCGCCAGAAAAAGTGACTTTCCCCGTAACGGCTCTCGGTTTGAAGAAACACTCGTGGATTATATGTAGCGATTGGATATCACATAATGGAACAAAAGTCAGATCCTGTTACGGTGCAAACCTAGAGAATCTGCGATCGGGATCGATAGTTGGTTTGCTTCTGGATGAAGAAATGCGCCTCCACTTGTATATTGATGGCGTGGATCAGGGTGTTGCAGTTTCGGACTTATCCTCTTACGTTTACGCTGTTATTGATCTGTATGGGCAGTGCGAACAAATTTCAATTGTCGGCTCTAGTAATGATACGTTGAGTCTGCCATCTCTTCTTGGCGAGAACGATATACTCAATAATGACACGGACAATGCTACAGCCTTGGCCATAGCCATCGAATCAGAAGATGTTGAAAACTCAAGAGAAAAAGCAGATCTCGAGTGCCACGAAAAAGAAAGCAACGCATCCATCATGTTAGATGATTTAGCTGATGGCTTGGTCGAGTTGGATTTGCAGGATGAAGAAAGGCATAGCAACGATGATGTTGATATCGATGAGGAGTTGGCCAACTTTGTTACTGCGTCAACGACTGATAATGATTTGGCAAGCAGGAATCTGACAACCAGTAATAAAGGTAATTTTGTCTGTTGCTTTCAGAAAACAAATGATAGAATATACAGTTAGTTTGAACAAAATTGAATTCTTTTACTTTTATATAGACTTGAAACCGATATCACTATCATCTTCAACTACAACAGCTGCAACTTCTAGCAACCTTGTACCGTTAGATACCAATTTTTCTGATCCAAATGGAGCTTGCGGAGAAACAATTCTCTTCAATATTCTGGACAACAATTTATATGGTGATAAGGAACAAGCAACGTCGTCATCACTCGATAATAATGTCGTCGCAGATATCGATGATAATTGCGAGGACGGTGGCTTTAATAATAACGAGCCCTGTACAAACGTCGAGCTCAATAACGCCACGAATATCAATATTAAGAATGGCTCCGTGATCAGCTCAACAAACATGACAAACTTGAACACCGCAATTAACTCGAGTAATGCTAACAATGCTATTAATGAAAGTATCGCGTCGAATAGTTCGCAGAATAATAATGTCAACGCAGTATCAACGTTGAACAATGTGATGACGCAGAGCTCCAACGTCCGGGCCTGGCATCAGAATCATTGCATGCCCAGTGCACCTCAAGAGCTTCTACTTAATTGTCATCGTCAATCTGCGGTAAACAGTTTTTATCGGTACATTTGACTATTTCCATGTACTGATATCAAATTTTCTGATTTTTTTTTCAGATTCCAAACAACTGTATATTAAGTAATAGTATATTGAGCTCAGCACAACAGACTTTGTCGCAGCAGCCTTCGATACCGTCCACGCCATTGACGAGCAGCAACTTGATAGTGCCTCCGCCTTCGAAAAAATGCGAGTACCTGAAAGCTTGCGTGCGTCTGAAAAAATCGCTGGTTTTACCAGATGAATTTTTCTCTGTGGACGAAGTGCTGTGCTACTGCAGCTCTTGCTTTAAAGCTGATGGTGATCAAGTTATTTGCAAAAAAGGCGAGCCACTTGCCGAATTCGCAATACCCGTGGGGTGGGTAAGATTTCCACTCAAGCACAGTATAAATGCCAATCAGATACCACAGAGTACTACCGATAAATGGCACGTTGCCTTTTACGGTACCAGAATTGACGCCGTCCGGTAATTTTTCAAACCATTTGAAAATTGTTAATAAGAATATATCGTACAAATGCCTTTTGAACCTTGTTTATATCGACAGACAGATTCTCGATAGGGGCGAATTATTAACCAAAGAGCAGTTGGACACTGATTCATTGACAATCGGTACTAGTAGTGACGACCAAAACCCTCAAGTTGTTTTTTCGCCAAATATCAAATATGCAAGCTCCGAACAATTTATCAAGCAATATTCGTAAGTTACGTATAAAAGCAGAGTTCATAACAATTTTCTAATCTTAAAAATTTGCAAATTTTACAGATACATCGATACACAATTAAACAAAAAAGTCAATGTATCAACAGCCTTTCAATTACTCGTAAGGCCGAGTTCGTATACAACCTCGTGTAAAAAAGATGGATTAGATCCACAGCTTGAGTGCATTGAATGGGCTACCAAAGAAACTGGAGCTACAGTTATTATAGCATTGTTGATACATCTTGATGGAATTTAAAATTCTTATTTTTCCAAATAGCTCGCTTAACGTAGGCAACGTTCGCGCATGTATGTACTCTAAAGTAGTTAAATCTTACCTACATCTTTTTTGTTCGTACGTTATAGCCATTTATTGTGGTTACGAGGCAAAAATAATAATTTTTCTTATATTTTGCGCTTAAAATTGAAATTTTGAAAGACTTGAAAATACCAAATTAAAATTTTTTCAATGCATTCGATTTGTGATGATTAAAAGTAATCGTTGACATTAATCATAACTATTTTTAATTATCTATAAAGTACTTAAATTTGCTTATAATTCAACATATATAGATATATATCATGTTTGATTAATAGCGAACCCAAGTCATTTAATTTGATTGATCAAATTTCTTTGCTTAGTTACCAAATTTAAATAATATTATACCATCATTAGGTTATTAATTTTACGTTTAAAAATACACTTTTTCTGTGATATATTGTAATATTATAATTATACATGGTATTTAATTTTACATTTAAAAAATCTAACTGTAACGAAAACGATACTCTAAAGAGAATGATACGAAGGGATTCAATTGGTAATATATAAACAAATATGAATCGTTGACTGTTTAACATTGTAAAGCTTAATGAATCTGTTAAAAAATATGAAAGTGCTTATTGAACAAAAAAAATAAACTTCTGAGTAAAATATTTTTCGTACAAATTTTGCAGGAATAAAAGTCGGAAATATTTTACTCAATCGATAGGGAAAAACGATGCTTGTCGTTTTCGTTATATACATATGTATATGTGTACGGTAAAGTGCCAGCAGGATATTCAGCTAAATTCAATATTTATTGTAAATTATTGAACATAAGTGTCCGCGCACATGTCGATGTATATCACAAAAGTAGCTCAATTTTTACGGAGGAAGCGATACTCGAAATATTTATTATAGTATTGCGTCATCAATAAAAATGTATGCAGCAGCACTGAGAATATTTTACGTCTAGGGTTGAAATTGTAATCGATCGCTTATTGCACATTTCGACATCGTTTAATTTTAAGGCTTGTTGTTTTTAGAAGAAAAAAAAATGGCTTTTATTAAACCTCGGATATTTTTGTTGCGCGAAATTTGGACTAATTTTGATTGAATGATAGGTACAGAATGTGCACTACGTTAAAGCTCAACCCTAGCCGTCCAAAATCTCACAGCGAAATAACTACTAGTTGTATGAATAAACGCAATATTTTGAGTTAATAAAAGATAAAACATTTATTTCTTCAAAGCCTCAAAAACAAGCACTGATCGAGTACAGACAGATCAATGAGAATCGAACAGCTCAAGAAAAGTAAAATTTACAGATAATTGTTTGCTCGAGAAATAAGTGAACAACAACATTAGAATATTAAAACAAGTAAGGAGTGTGAAAGTGGTAAACGAAGCAAGACGGCAAAGTGGCTGAAAATCGCAAGCTCAGACCCAGACTCGGCAGTTCTGATCCCAAGAGGTGCTGACCAAGGCCATGCCGTTGCCGGCCATGGAGATGCAGGTGACTCGGTTGTCGTGGCCAGACAGCGAGCCTGGAAGCAGAGGCGTGAGTAGCGCTGGCAAGTGGCGACGGACAGGAGGACCTCACCGTTGTACTGCTGCTTGAGGGTGTCCCAGATGTGGATGTCCTTCTCGTCGGTGGCACAGAAGATGAACCTACCGCTGAGAGAGAGCTGCGTGGAGGTGAAGCCGGGGTTGGAGTTGGGCGGCTTGAAGGAGGCGATCTGCTGGTCGGCGCGCAGGTCCCAGAGCCGAGCCGTCTTATCTTCGGAAGCAGTGACGAAGTTGTTGCCGTTGGGATGAAACTGCGCGGAGGAGCGGGTGTGAGCGCGATCGAGGCGCAGGCCGCAGCCGCGTCGCAACGTATATACTCACACAGACGGAGTTGACGTCAGCCTCGTGGCCGAAAAAGGTCTGATGCGCGACCTCCTCGCGCAGGTCCCAGAGCTTGCAGGTGCGGTCGACCGAGCCGGTGAGGTAGGTGTTGCCGTCGGGGCCCAGGCTGATGCTGACCACGTCGCCGGCGTGCGCGGCGAAGTCGGTGGTCTTCTTGTAGGCCTCGAGGTCCCAGATGCAGATCTTCATGTCGCCGGAGCCGGTGATGATGTGGCCGTCGTCGAGGAAACGGCAGGAGGACAGGAAGCCCTCGTAGCCGAGCAGCTCGCGCGTGATCTTGGCCGAGCCCGTGGCGTCGCGGTTGTTCACGTCGTAAACCGTGCACATGTTGTCCATGCCGCCGCAGGCCACGAAGTTGCCCGACTGCGCGAACGCCACGGACATTACCCAGGCGGAGCGCAGCGGAATCACCTGCACCTTGTTGCCCGTCCACGTGTCCCAGATGATGAGCTTGCCGTCGAGGCTACCCGTCACGCAGTGCCGGCTATCGCCGCTGAAGTGCACCGAGTTCACCTTGTTGATATGGCCCTTGAGCATCTTCTTCGTGCTCATCTTCACCTTGGGCGCATCGGTCGCGCTGCCGCACACGTCCTGGATGCTCGTGTCCTGCATCTTCTTCTGGTCATCCTGCCGAGCCAACGAGTGCCACACTCCAGTCGCCCAGTGCCTCGCCCACAGCCACTTACCTTACACTTGTTGATCAGCTCCTCCAGCTCCTGCTTCAATGCTGCGGTCTCCGGGTCGTCCTTGCCCATAGCTGCTGCTGCTGCTGCTGCTGCTGGTGCTCGTGGCGCGCGTTGCTCCCGAGTGCCCTACAGCCGCCCACCCAGGGAAGCCACTGCTGACCCGCTAATCGCATTACGTCGCCAATCCCGTTTGCCCCGCTTTCGGCTTATTGGCTCTCGTGCCCGTCAGCTTCACGTACGGACGGCAAAGTCAATTAGCGTCTCCTACTTCCTCCTTCGGCGCGATTGCCGAGCGCCGTTACGTGCGACGCCTTGCGCTCAGCCTAGCTGGCATATTCGGCTGCGGCTCTTAGGCAATCGCTTATCGGGAAAGCGGAGACGATGACTTTGCTCTCGCTACCAGCTGTTTTTGCGCGGTCGCGCTCCATCGGGCCCGCAGCGAAAGCGACGTCCTGATCGCACGATCGAGCGTGACGAGGCGCCCACGCTCGCCGCGGCAAAACACCCGTCGATTTCGCGGCTGCTCTCTCCGCTATAAAACCCTCGCTCGCGCCCGCGACATCCTCTCAGAGCGGCTGCTGGCATCGCGCGCGCAACCCTATGCTCGCCATCAGTGTCCTGCTCCTCGCGGCCTGCAGCCTCGCCGCCGGCTGCGACGCCGATCGCGATGGCAAATCGGTCGCCGACGACCTCACCCAGTACAGCTGCAGTCGCGACCTCAAGCTCGGTTCGTACGTCAGCCGGAACAACAAGAACTCGTCTTGCGAGCAAGTCCACGACAGAGGCCCGCCCAGGACGGCGCGCAAGCCCAAGGATCACTCCCAGTGCTATTGCACTCTTGACGATCGTCAAGGTAATGCCGCGTGATTGTGAGCGACACGTTATTCATGGCTTTGTTTATTATTTGACACAACGAGTCGCGTTATTTTATACTTCGAGACTTGGACGTGTCCCAATGGTTCGCTGAAAATAACGCGTCAAACCGCGGATAATTCGAGACGCGCAGAAAATATTGCGAAATCGTCCGTGTAATTTTGAAAAATAGAGAACAGGTGTGATGAAGACGACGGGTCGATAAAATAGTCGAAAACACAATAACAAATTTACATTCATTTATCTACAACTTGCTTACAATTCGCTTATAAAAATAAGTATAACAGGTTTTGTGCTTGCGCGTGGTTTTCGTCTTACGCTTAGTCATCACAGAAATTTTTCCAAGGCTTACATATTCTTAATATTTCTAAGTACAAAGTTTCAATGCCACATTCAGTAAACAAAAAGACGTAAACGTACGCTTTTAACAGTCTTTCTATTCAAAAGAATAATCTGATAGTACGTCTTCTATAGAATTGTTCCTCGTGAATGATCGGTGTGCCAGTTAATTTGGCTATGTAACTATCTAATTTCTCTCCCACAAATGTGTAGCAATACAAGCAACCAACTAAAATTCCACCTAGATGTCCAACGAATGATGCATTCGGTACTAAAAGATGTATTAAGAATAACTCAGCCCAAACCGCAAATTTACTGGGCACTCTAAATCCTCCAACGTCATGTGGCCGATCATGTTCTTCACAAACAACAATAACTTTCAAAGCGAAAAGCACTGCAGAAAATCCAACTGCACAAGCAGTATAATAGGCATAATCCTCTGTGAATTGTGTAAGAATGTATCCTAATGTAACATACATTGCACTGCAGCCTGTCGATAAAATGCCAATTAGTATTGCAAAATTGGATGTTCCATACATGGGCTCCAGGTAAGAGCCCTTTAGTAGAAATGACACCATGTTGTAGTACAGGTGCATGTCTGATCCATGCTCAAAATTCGAAATAAAAAATGAACGCCAATCTTTGTGTTTCAATATTTTCAAAGTTGAAATACAAGCATCTTCTGGATTCCAAGGAACTCTGATTATTCCTGCATACAGTAGACTTTGTGCCGCTATACCTATCAGTGTTGCTGGTGGAATTTTGTCAATTCCAAAATTTATTGCTTGCGATGCTAATAATATCAGCCCATATTGCAAGCCAGGTTGTCTTCTTTGTGACTGCCTCATGGTAATTCGTTCTTTTTCGAATTTAATCGCCAACAAAACTTTGTACCTTTCTTCTGTATAATTTTTTTCGTCAACTATCACTTATGTCACAAAACACATCGGTCAAAAATTGCATTTGAAGTGTGCACAAAATTTCGAACTTGATATATGCAAGTTTCTAACTATTGATGAATTAATTATTTTGTTACAATGTATGAATATCGTTTTATTCCGTAATACTTGGCTTCTTTGCGTGATGCAGGAAATTTGGTACTGTTTTATACTCAGCGAACAATTTAAACTGACGTGTCCTTTTTAGATTCATCCGCGGTTTCGCGCATCCCCTCACTTCGTAGGAGAAACGTTTGTTTACTAAGTCAGGTTAGGTCGAGCTGCATAGTGAACGTACGTGAGACCTGTTGAAGCTTCATTCAAAACAGTGCGACAAAAAAATTTCTCCAACTTGTTTCGTCCGAGAAAACTGTTGAATTATCGCCAAGAAATTGACATAATGATATCTAATGTCGCAATAAAACCAGTTTATCGTGATTCGAACTCAAAATTAAACGTCTTTGATTGATTTAAGAGAATGATCCGTTAGTGATGAGATTGATGAAGCGATCATTGTGAACGCGTTTTCAGCGCTTGCGCATTGAATGACACATTTCAGCTGGTTGACATGATGTGTATGGCGGTGCGTTTCTCGGTTGACTACTTTACAAAGATAAAGAGTTTTGTGTATGTAAATCAGTGATTAGAGATTTTTTCAAGCCATTCCTACTGTGATAGTTAAATATTCGTGCTGGAGTTAACATCGATGAATCATCTAAAACGTCGGCAATAACATTTACTGTCGTTTACTATTACGTGCTCTAAAAGCCTTTGTTTACTTTTTAAAATAGTCAACGTACAATAACTAAGGGTTTCATTCTAAAGATAAATGTCTATTCCTGTGAAATTCGAATACGCTAAATATATGTATGATCAGTTGTTGTTTTACAAGATAGATCCTATTGTTGTAGGAAGTCAATCATCTAACTTAACCTATGCATTTGAATCATAAAATTAATAAATATTTAAATAACGTTAATGCAGAATGTTTAGTTGCTGAAAAGACGTTAGTGATGTAGAAGTGTCTGGAGTCTGTTTTTTGAGAATAAAAAAGAAAAGTAAAGTTTATTAAAACATCGCAGTATTTAGCAGCTTAGAAGTGAATAATTGTTGGCGTAAAAGAGATTTTTCGAAACAAATGCTATTACTCCAGGATATTAGCACTCGTGATAAATTCGACATAGCGCGGTGATGGAGAATTGATAGTTAAAAAAAGTAGAGTAGAAATTCATAAAAAAAAAAAAAAAAAAAGCGATCACGCAAGTAGCGAAAGTTGGATAAAAACAGTGGAGAGGTGGCGAGAGGAGTGGGCAAGCGGGATCGAATAAATCGCGTCGAGCGGCAAGATCGCGAGTGGCCGAGTTGCGTGGGCCGCAGAATAAGCGGCACGACCGCACGCACGCACGCACGCACGCCGCACGCACAGAGCACTCGACAGCTCCGCGGCGCTGCAACGCGGCCGCGCCGCAGCGGAGACGCTGATCTCAGTCGGGGCCGCGTGTTCGTGGAGAGACAGCGCGCCCACAGCACGCCTCGTTGTTCGCTCTTCTCCGTCCGTGCACACTGGCAAGCGAGCACATCGACGGTGATTCAAGTGCGTCTCGTCGAGATCTCATCATGAAGCCGGCCGCCTTGCTGGGGCTCTTGGCCCTTCTGTTGCGCGGCTGTGTCGCCGCCGAAGATCGCTTGGACGATGGTAATAATAATCTTCGCGCTCGGACTAACGAGGGTTTCGCGTTGCGCCGGCTGGCGCCTTGCAAAGCCATTTTTTTCTATTTATACACGCGATCGTAGCGATCGCCGAGGCGCGCTACCATTTCCACGCGGCAATCACGACGTATTCAGCCACGCTTATCGTTCGGAAACGATGCCGAGTCGAACGTAACGCTGACGGCGGACAATAGCGTGCGCGGATCGTCGGCAACGACGGATCACTTCGGATGCACGAGTACACAGACAACCAGGATGTGGCGATAAATCGGCTCAATTAATTGACTGAATTGAAGTGGCCGGTAGTACGGTCTCCTCCTAGCTCGACCAACGAGATCAACAAACGTCGACGGGCTCGAGCGTCGCGGCAAATCAGCGCCAAAGCTCACGGCCGAGCGGGCCGACTCGTCGCGGAATCTCCGGGAAGGTCGGTGCACGTCGTGGGCAGCCTACGTGACCGAGTCTCGGGATCCGATGGCGAGAGGGGCCGCGCCACGTCGAGGAGACTGTTACGCGCGGCGAAGCGCGGCCGAGGAGCGCGCCTCGGCCACTGTGACGCGCGCGCGGGCACTACTTTCGAGGCGAGTGCTGAGCCGGGCGACTGGTGTTGCAGAGGCGATAGTGCTGACCGTGGCGACCAACGAGACCGACGGCTTCAGGCGCTTCATGCGCTCGAGCGCGGTGTACGGCTTCCGGGAGCGCGTGCAGGTGCTGGGCCTGGGCGAGGACTGGCGCGGCGGCGACGTGAGCCGCTTCGCGGGCGGCGGCCAGAAGGTCAACCTGCTGAGGCGCGCACTCGAGCCGCTGCGCGAGCGGCCCGACACGGTGATCCTGTTCACCGACAGCTACGACGTGATATTCCTGGCGCCGCTGGATCGCATCGTGCGCAAGTTCAAGGACTGGCCGGGCTCGCCGCGGTTGCTCTTCTCGGCGGAGGAGGCCTGCTGGCCGGACGCCTCGCTGGCCGCCGACTACCCCGAGGTGGCGCGCGGCAAGCGCTTCCTCAACTCGGGCGGCTTCATCGGCTACGTGGACGCCGTCGGCGAGGTGCTGCGCGCCGCCAGCATCGACGACGCCGACGACGACCAGCTGTTCTACACGCGGACCTTCCTGCACGCGGAGACGCGCCGGCGCCTCGGCATCCAGCTGGACCACCGCAGCGAGATCTTCCAGAACCTGCAGGGCGCCGTCTGTGAGTGACACCCCCGCCTCCGCCCCTCGCCCCCGCACGCGCGGCCTCCTCACGCCGACGGCCTGCTCGCAGACGACATCGAGCTGCGCTTCAAGGGCAACGAGGCCTACGTGCAGAACACGGCCTACAACAGCGTGCCCATGGTGCTGCATGGCAACGGGCCGAGCAAGCTGCTGCTGAACTCGCTGGGCAACTACGTGGCCGAGGCCTGGAGCCCCGAGGAGGGCTGCCTGGAGTGCTGGGAGGGCGCCGTGGAGCTGGACCCGGCCGAGCCGCTGGCCTACCCGCGACTGCTCGTGGCGCTGTTCGTGGAGCGGCCCACGCCCTTCCTCGAGGAGTTCTTGGAGAAGGTGCAGCGCCAGCGCTACCCCAAGAGCCGGCTGCACCTGTTCGTGCACAACGCCGTGCCCGAGCACGAGGCGCTGGTGCAGGCGTTCGCGGACCGCGCGGCCGAGCAGTACCGCGGCGTCAAGCGGATCCGGCCCGAGGACGGCGTCGCCGAGGCGGAGGCGCGCTCGCTGGCGGTGTAAGGGCGCTCGCCGCTCGCCTCCCCCGCCCCCTCCCCGCCTCGCCAGCTGAGCTCTGTGTTGCAGGCGGCACTGCCTGGCGCTCGGCTGCTCGGGCTACCTGTCCGTCGACTCGGAGGCCCACCTCGACAACGCCGACACGCTCGAGCTGCTCGTCGAGCAGCAGCGCGGCGTGCTGGCGCCGCTGCTGGTGCGCCCCTACAAGGCCTGGAGCAACTTCTGGGGCGCCATCACCGACGACGGCTACTACGCGCGCAGCACAGACTACATGCAGATCATTCACAACGAGCGCAGGTACGCACCACGCTCTTTTTTGCTTGTTGCCTGCTCGGCTACTGGCTCGTTTATTCCAACGTCTGGCCGACTACAGTACAAAAGTCTACGATACATTGTTTGTGAAAGCGTGTGGTTAGGCCAGCTCGCGCGGCTGGGCCGCCAGTCGCGGAGCTGCGGCCCGAGAGCGACGAGTGGGCGGCCGGTCGTCGTCGTCATGGTCGTCGTCGTCGTCGTCGTCGTCGTCGTCGTCGTCGTCGTCCGCGTGTGCTGCGTCGATCATGGGCACGTCGACGCCCGACGCTGGGGCCTGAGGTGGGCGCCGGGCGCGCGCGCTCTAGTCGAAGGCGATGGAGAAGTCAGTCTTGAAGGAGCGGCGATCGATGGCGTACATGTTGTCGGCGGTGCACTCGTACACGCCGGCGTCCATCTGCGTGGCCGGGTCGATCTCGAGCTTCGACTTGACCTTGTCTTTGCCCATCTTCCACTCGTGCACCTGCGGAACGGCCGAGGCGTCGAGCGGCGAGCGAGCGAGCGAGAGACCGGGCGGGCGCGGACTTACGTGCAAGTAGAGGTGCGAGTATATCTCGTTGCCGTCCTTGTACCAGGTGATGTGGGGCGTGGGCGTGCCGCGGGCCACGCACAGGAAGGCAATCTTGTGACCCAGCACGTACTCCAAGTCGAAGTGCGAGGCCAGCAGGATCTTGGCGCCCTGCACAGGCGGACGGATGAGATCGCGGCGAGCGGGCAGGGGACGGGGGGCTTACGTTGTTGTTGTTGTAGTACTGGTCGCTCTCGGGGTCGCGGTATTTGCCGGTGATCGGCAGGCCGATCTGCACCCTCGACTTGCTGCGGCTCCTGGAGCGGCCGCGCCGCGCGGCGGCCTCGTCGCAGCTCAGCAGCAGCAGCAGCAGCACCAGGAGCAGCAGCAGCGGCAGCGGCGGCGGCGACGGCGGCGCCGTCGCCCAGCATCGCCTCGCGCCTCTCGCCATGCGTCCGCTGGCCTGGCCGGAGTCGACGACGGGAACGGTGTCAGCGGGCAGCGGCGAGTGTTGCCCCCGGAAGAGCGCTTGCGGGCGATCGGCGAGGAACTCGGCCGGAGTCAAGGCGCACTGCGGTCCGACGGTACCTGCTGGAGCGAAGCTTGCGCAAGCCGTCATCTGCAGTCGACTACTGCTCTCGACTAGCTGCAAGCTCGCCGCGCTAACGCGACTCGGTCCCCCAGCTAGCCTATCGTCCTGCCCTGTCCTATCCATTACGGCCGCCGGCAAATCGCGACCGACGTGCCATTATAGCGCTAGCTCTCTCTCTCTCTCTCTCTCTCGCTCGCTCGCTCGCTCGCTCCGTCGTTCTCGTTGACACGGCCACGCGGCGGAGCGACAGCCGCGCCGGGCTATTTTCGAGCTGGCCAGGGAAAAATTAGAAAAGTGTCCCGCGTGTCCGCGCAGGATTATTGGCCGCGACGTCTCCTGCCGGCGCGCTATATTTAGCTCGCGCGATCCTTGCGCGCGCGCTCGTACGCGCGCCTTGTCCGCCGCGCGTAACTCGGCAATTGGCGCGTCCATTACGCGCCGAGCGCGCTCGTAACGAGCTGCACTTACGGCCAGCGCTGCCGCCGATTGGCTCGCTCCTTTCTTCCCGCGCTCCCAAAATGTCGCGCCTCGCGTGACGGCACATCCCGTGCTCCCAATATCCTTGCGCGACTACGGCATCTGCTCGTCCGCCCCCTCCCCCGCGTCGCGCGCACCTATCGCGCCCGCCGCCGCCGCCGCCACGCTTCCGATCCGTTCGACTCCGGCGGCGCGCGTGTGCGCCTCTCTGTAGGCCGCTGGCGACGTTGGCCCCGGACCTACCGCCTTCTGCGGCCCTCTCGATGAGTCCTCCTCTCGACCGACACCTGGCCCGGGCAGCCGAGGCATTTCCAGACGTCATTTCGAAACTGATAACGACCGTCCAGCGGCAAGAGAAACAGAGATATACGCGGATGAAAGTTGGGATACGCTCTGAGAAGAAAAGTAACGATACGTTTCTTATCTTGCGTGGAGCCATGGACGGGCCGCAATAGCTCGAGTTTGCCATGCAAAACCGGAACCAACTCTTTCGGTCCGCTGACAGAAGGCTGTAGTAGCAATAATAAAATTATCTAGCCGATCGGACAATCAAGAGACAGTATTCGTATGAATTTAATGAAAGTTCCGATCTCTCTCAACGACTTCGGCGATCCAAGAATTGCATAACTATTTCCAAATTGAATTCTCGAGATACGGATTGATTCGCTGACCGGCATCCAGTTTTTCGACGTTAATCGACCGGCCGCGCGTGTCCTTCGGCTGCACGGATATTCGAGAGATTTAATTTGAAATTTGACCGATGAGAAGTTGAAAAAAGAAAATATAGAGCGCGAAGTTAGTCGGTGAAGAAATAGCGAAACGCGTTATTGCAACGTGCGCGAGGCACGCGAGCAACGATCGCTCGTTCGTCGCAACCGTGGGACCGGGAGGGCATCGAAGAGAACGAAGGCGGTCCAAATTTCATACAAAATTTTATTCGATTCTAGTGTGAAGCACATTATTGTCGTCGTAGCGTGGTGGCCCGGCTGGCACGCCGTGTAAACTGTGATCGTGGGACTGGACCGAAGGGTGGTCGGGAGGGGCATCGGGTTGTACACGGCTAGTGGAACGGCGGCCTAGTAGTTGGCCATGACGTAGTCGGTGCGGAAGCCTCGCCGGTCGACGGCGTACTGGTTGTCGGCCTGGCATTCGTAGTAGCCGGCGTCCTTCTGCGTGGCCGGGTCGATCTCCATCTTGGACTTGATGGTGTCGTTGCCCGTGACCCACTCGTGCGTCTGGCAATGAAAAGGGGCATCGAGCGAGAGCGGCGAGCGGCGGTGGGCGAGCGCGCGGAGGACGGCCCGCTTACCTGGAAGTACTGGTGGTGGTAGAGCTCGACGCCGTCCTTGAACCAGGTGATCTCGGGCCGCGGGATGCCGGTGGCCGCGCAGAAGAACGTGATCTTGCGGCCGAGCATGTAGTCCAGCTCGAAGTGCGAGGCCTTGGTGATCTTGGCGCCCTGCAAGCACGCGCGAACGATCAGCGCGATCGCGGCGGGACGCCCGTCGCCGCGCGCCCACTCACGTCCTTGTTCTCGTAGTAGTTGGCCGCGCCGGGGGTCCGGTTGGGGATCAGGATGGGCATGCGCATGCCGTAGGTCCGCCCGCGGCCACCCCGCGAGCGCCCGCCGCCCCGGCCGCCCTTGGCCGCCGCCGCCTGCTGCAGCAGGCCGCCCACCAACAGCGCCAACAGCGCCAGCCTGCCCAGCGTCCTCGGCCACTTTCTCCTCATGCCTGCGCTGCCCTCGCACGCGCCTCCGGCACCTTGACGATCAAACTTGACTCTGCGCCCGCGTAGTCGCCCATTAACCAATTGACCGGTGCCCCAGCGCGCAGCGCCAGCCGCGCGCGTCGGACCAGAACGTTATTTTGACTTTGAGATCGAGGGGGTGGGGGAGGGGGGGGGTGTCTGGGTGTGGGCTCGGTGTGCGTGCGTGGAGGGGGCGGGGCGCAGCAGCGGCGCCCGTCGTCCGGGCCTGGACGCACCGCGAGCGGCCGAGGGCTCCGCGACCGATCGCTGGCTGCGCTCGCCAAGGCGACGACGGGCAAGCAGGGGATCGACGAGCGCTTACCTGGTCGCGCGGCGGCACGGAGAGCGGGCCGAGCCGAGCGGAAGAAGCGGAGCGAACCCAAGTGCAGACTGCCAGGTGTCAAGTGCGCCGGAGCGGTGGCCGACTGGCGAATGGCAGCGCCCGCGGGGAGCCGAGCACGCGAGCGCGAGGAGCGAGGTGACGAGATTTCAGCGGCTAAGCGCGCCCGCTCGGCCGCGCTATCAATGAATCTCAATTGGATGATCGCGCTGCCCGCCGCCCGCGTCGCTCTCCCGCGCGCCCGCCCGAGCCGAGTGTTAGATCCAGCGGCCTAATGACCGAGCGCGACTCGGCTGCTTTGTCCCAGGGGCCTGTGGAACGTGCCGTTCGTGAGCAGCTGTTACCTCGTGAACGCGAGCCTGCTGGGCAACGAGGCGACCCGGCCCTCGTACCTGGAGGCCGACCTCGACCCCGACATGGCCTTCGCGCACGCCAACCGACGCCGCGACATCTTCATGTACGCGAGCAACCGGCTGGACTTCGGCCACCTGGTCAGCCTCGACCAGTTCAACGTCTCGCTGACCAATCCCGAGGTCTACCAGCTGTTCGACAACCGGCTGGACTGGGAGGCGCGCTACATCCATCCCGAGTACGCGGCCAGCCTCGAGCCCGGCCACCGCCCGCTGCAGCCCTGTCCCGACGTCTACTGGTTCCCCATCGTCACGCCGCGCTTCGCCCGGGAGTTCGTCGAGATCATGGAGGCCTACGGCCAGTGGTCCGACGGATCCAACTACGTGAGTATGCCTTGCTTTCTCGCCCGCCCCGCCACCCCCGGCCGCTCGTCTTTCGAGGCTCTCGAGAGCCCGGCGCCTCGACTGCGAACGACTGTACACAAGCGCCAACGCAGGACCCACGGCTATCGGACGGCTACGAGAACGTGCCGACGCGCGACATCCACATGAATCAGGTGGGCCTGGAGGCCGAGTGGCTGTTCTTCCTGCGCAACTACGTGCGGCCGCTGCAGGAGTCCGTGTTCACCGGCTACTACCACGACGTAAGCGAGCCCAGCTCGGATCTTCACTGACCGCTTGCTCCACGATTTCTAGGACCCGCGGCTCGAAAATGGTTACGAAGCGGTGCCGACGCGCGACATTCACATGACGCAGGTGGGCCTCGACCACCACTGGCTCGAGTTCCTGCGGCTCTACGTCAATCCCCTGCAGCGACTCGCCTTCCACGGTTATTACGACTACGTAAGATCTGCTCTGCTCTTCCGCTTGCGATACGGATTACGCCAAGAGTTGTCGTAGTTGTTGTTGTTGTCGTCGCTTTGGGATCATTGGCGCGCGAGTAACCCTCGACTCGATCAGCACCGCTCTGTACGTTGCGAGCGCGACCTTGCACTGCTTCTAACTGTTGTTGGTTTCGGGACTGGTGCACTGAATTCATTCCACCGTGCGCACTCAGCGCCCACGAAACGTCCGTTCGCCTTTGCCCCGCCAGCCCGGCCGATCAGCCAACTGGATTGAACGTAAATTGCACCGATTGCTGCTTTGTTTCTTCGTTTTGAAATACGTCTGCTCGGATGCGACTGGCGTGGGCTAAAAGTGAACCGATGTTGTCGTATAGCCAACCATGCGTATGGAGGAACCTCGAGTAGACGAATCCTAGAAATCATGGAATTCAAGTTAGCGATTAGCGTTCGTTCAAACGGTCAAGCTGGCTTGTCAGCGACATGGTTCGTCCGAGCGCGCCAAGGACAACTGGCCAGCCTCGAGTGGAACAAGCTCGGGCTGGGGCAGGCCTCTCTGGCGTGAATCGGCGTAGCGTTGCGCCTTGACACGGTTTGAGCGAAGCTCGTGGCAGAGTCTAATCGAGGCGCTCGACGAAACATCCACAGCCGCCGCGGTCGCTGATGAACTTCGTGGTGCGCTACAAGCCAACCGAGCAGGCGAGTCTGAAGCCACACCACGACAGCTCCACCTATACCATCAACATCGCCCTGAACCAGGTGGGCGTGGACTACGAGGGCGGCGGCTGCCACTTCATCCGCTACAACTGCTCGGTCACCGACACCAAGCCCGGCTGGATGCTCGTGCACCCGGGCCGCCTCACCCACTACCACGAGGGACTGGTCGTCACCAAGGGCACGCGCTACATCATGATCTCCTTCGTCGACCCGTGAAAGTCCACCGACCGACCTTTGCCTTATGCTGCCAGTTTCGACAGCGCGTCCTCGTCCTCCTTCTCTTCTCCCTCGCGAGTCGCTATTTAACGAGCTTTCTGTGTGATGTGTTTAATCAATCCTTCCATTTTATACGTGCTCTCTTCGTCGTTTCGAACAGCAACTCATCACCATTCATGTCTATCTCAAAGGCCAGCGATCGCCTGCTTTCTTTACGAACAATGTGTACGCGCAAAACTTTTGTCGTACGACAACTGGCCCATATTTGCCCTTATTTTTTACACGTGCGTTTTTCATGACTAAATGAGAAGCATGACATTTGTTATAAGTGTCGGTATTTGTAAATACTGTCTATAAAGAAACAAATAAAAAGAAGTATCATTGTATAAAAAATAAGTACACCGTTATTATAAATATTTATCTTATATTTTTTCGCAACATTACTTAAAAGTACAACTTTTACATTTTCCATCGTTACCAAAACCGCAATTTCCACCATCGGCGTTCCTGAGAATACTTGGAAAAATTATAATGTCACGTATTTCAACAATCGTACTTTTTCTGCTATTTTCTTTTTCTTCTTCTTTAAATTAAAACACAGAAATTTATATGAAAATTAGGAACATCCACAAACAAGATATATACTCTTATTAAATTACAGCTCATGTGTATCACTTGACCAAACTACACACTGTTACTTTTGCGAGTTTCTTTTTCGTAATTATGTTACATGTATATGTATAACGCTTTTCTTCTACGACTTATGTACAATATAGTATAAAAGTGTTTTATTTCAAGAGTGCAAAATCGAATCGAACTTTGCACTTTTCAACTTCTATTCAATCGTTTCTGCTTCGGTTTTCAAACGCTTCTGACTTAAACATTTAAAAAAAACTTTGTTTTCTTTATATCCCGTTAACGCTCACATATCACGTTAAAGCATTGAAATTGTTTTACTCTGAATGATTTATTTGCTGCAAAAAAATATTACTTTTGTCTCTTGGAATGTCTGAAAGATGTGCAACACGATATTCTCAGTAACATTTTAAAGAACATTCTTGGTGGCTAGTAAAAAGGTGCAAAAGCAACAAAGCTTTCGAAAGTTAGTATGATGTATATGTGAAGTTTATAATTTGAAGTGTAACTAGCGATCAATATCAAATTAAACAATCAATAACGGCACTTTGTAAATTATCCGATGCAGCCATTTCAATCGAATAAAAAACAAATAATAATAAAGACAAGGACCGATATCTAATGCTCATGTATGTTGTATTCTAATTTTATATTCTTCAAATTTATGACAATAATTTTGATGCATTTTTAATGGCAATTAAATTACTAAAACATGGTTCTCGAAAATCATTTACAACTTGAATAAGAAAAATTTAATTTGAAAAGTGATTGCATATATGATCGTAACTGAAGCAAATAACAAAGCAAACTTTTCGCGCAGCAAAAGGTGAGTTGATTAAGTCAGTAATCGTGCATAAAAATCATAATTTCTGATTTACGTAAACATACCTACATGAACGCAGAGTTCAATAAAATAACCTATCAGTCCATGAAAAAATAAAATATGTATAGAACCGTCAGAGATGAGAGATCGCGCGTGGACTGTGTGTACAATAGCGAGTAATTTTACTGATTTTTTTCACAGAAAAAAAACGAAATTTGTTCATTTAACGATGGGCTCTCTTCAATTCGTTAAGTTGATGTGTTAGTTTCTCCTCCTTGGTTCGCCTGGCTTGACCGAGCTTTCGACACTCGACATATGTACTAAGAAAACGCTCCACGTCAATTTTGCGATCGAGAAAGTCCTGGGCTATCACTTCGCTTTGCTCTTGGCTTTCATCGGCTGCTTGACTGAGACAGTCTCTTATGTGTTCGGCATCATACACCTCCGAAAGCTTGTTATATCGCTCGACAAGTTTTTCATATCGAGTCTTCAGAGTTTCCATCGTTTCCATTTTCTCGACTACTTCTTCACGCAGCTCTGCCAGCTGCTGTTCTTTTGACAAGTTCATAGCTAGAACAAAAAATTGTAGCGCAAAATTCATTTCGGGCAAACAATACTAGATACTTCGCGTAATGAATTATCTGCAACTTACACGCTGTTTTTTCCACCCAATCAATAGCATCCTCAATTGCAGAATCGATTTCTTTCAGCTTTGTATGCTTTTCAAGAAACTCATCCATCGAATCTTCATCCTTCCCTAATTTCACAAGTTCTTCATTTGTCATCTTTTCCAATTCTGGAAATTCCAAACAATGCACTTTACTACTACCCTTATATTGCACTTGATTTTGTATAGACGGTCCCACATTAGCATTTACATAATGTAAGTTTGTATATGCATTAACACTGGGACTTGATGAGTATTGTTGAGCATTTGTAGTATCAAACTGTACAGAATTTATAGAATTTCCCATATACGATACTGGAGGAGTATATGGTTTATGTCTTGACTGATCACTGACATTGTATGTATTACTGGCATTGGTGTAATTATAATTGTATATGCTAGGAGTAACATTTGATGAAGAAAACTGTTGGAATGATGTGTTGTAGAAAGGAGCATAGGAAGCAGCTGCGAGCTCATGAGGTTTCCATGCATATGATGGTGATACTCTACCAGCTACATCTGTAAGAATGCCAGAATTAGCTTATGCAAATTATGCAAAACATGCCATCATTAAGAATTTATTGTCAATATTTTTCAAGTAATTTATTAATATGTATCATTAGTATTCAATACCTGTGAGTGCAGAGTTATCTTCTAAAAGTTGCGGTGGATTCTTACTAAATTCTCTAATAATAGCTTGCACAACGCGCCCCAGGTCACTATGTACGGTAAACTGCAAATAAAAATATTCCACAACTTTAGTTCATTTGCAAATAATATTTTAAAAGTCACTTGATTTAAGAATAACGTTTACATTCAATAATCCTGGTGCACTAGTAATTTCACTGTGTTCATTACACCATTTATGTTTTATCGGTGGTGAAACTCTGAGCACTGGTTTTTCCAGAGGAAAGTCTGGAGACAATGAGACCATAATTGCCATACATCTTTCTCCAGCATTGAACAGCACTTGGTATTCAACATCTTGTTGCAGTTCCAAGACACTAAACAAAATTTATTACGGAGAAAATTAATTTTCTTATATTGATGTAATTGATTAGGAAAATTCTCTTGTTACTATCACTTGAGCATTGATTTCAAGCTACAACTGTATTTCTATAGCAACCCAGCTATGAGTAATCATTGAAAAGTACTGTAATGTTCCAGATGAAAAAACAATTAAAGCAAGTAGCTAGTTAGTAGAAAATGTATATTCCAAGCAGTATAAATGAGGATAATTAGCTAATAAAGTGGAAAATAAGAGGAACACGTGAGTAGCGACGCAAGAGGCAAGAAAAAAACTGCCTTCGTTCATCGGCATGAACAATGGAATTCATACTACAAGCAGACGAGAGAGAGAGAGCAAATTGCAGGTTAATTGTCAGAGATGTCATAGCATGTAGCTATATGTACGTATGTGGTCATCAAGAGCTACGCGAAATCATCCTCGCGGAAGACGTAGATAGTCGACGGACATAGGCGGTTATAACCTAAGCCTTGCTCACATATTAATCAGATTCCCGTTCATATACAGAGGTAGGGCAAAGACAACTCACTTGTCATTAAAAATTTTCAGCGTGTCGATCTGGCGTTTTCTCTTGACGGCGACGTTTTCATTTTCTCCCCGGAATATTCGTGATAACATTTAAACGCCTGAATTTTGAATAACTCATTCGCCAAAGTCGCAGAGGAAATTGTCAGCTTCCCTGCTGTGCAGCGCGTCAGAAAGTTAACCCACTGCTGCAGCTGCACAAACCCACTGACGACGACGACTGACGATATAGTGACAATTGAATCATACGAACGACTGTGCACACTGCACAAACACACGTACACGAATATGTACATGCGCAACTACTAATGTGAGATTGTGTGCTTGTGGAGAAAACGACGTGCGCACAACAGCTGTTTCTATTCGACTGGTCTGTAGCTTATTTCATTCTCTCGAATGTTCAATCGAATTGCACGTCGATTGAATAGTTTGATTACCAAATAATTTCACATCAAAACACATCAAGCTAAAACTTGTTAAAAAGTTGAAACGTCGTTAAACATCTTTGCCTATAACCTTGCAACGATCTATTTATTTGTATGCTTAAAATTTTTTATTATTCAGTTAAAGTTATATTATATAAAATTTAGATTTCAAAAATGTGTAATTCAATGTGTAAAAATCTATCCCTTTTATTTCTCAAAAACATTTACCTTGAATCAATGAATATGCTGGTAGAAAGATAATATAATTTATATTATATTGTGTAACTACAAACTCTATTAGTTGATTTCTTATATTTAATATTTACAACTATCAACAATGCCAGTTTTTCAAGAATCATGTGCAGAGGTGAGATGAAATAGAATTGAATAATTTTTAATATGTTAAATAAACTAATATGGTATTCAAATGATAACTCAATCATTTGCCTACAGCAAATTCAAGCTCAAACAATAGTTATTATACATCCTGGTTCCAAAAATCTACGTATGGGCAGGGCTTCTGATGTCATTCCAAATACAATATTAAATGCTGTTGCAAGGAAAAGAAAGCCTGATGGACTTGTGTACAGTGATCCATTTCTACCTCCCTTAATTCCTCGCACAAAGGAGCTTACTCAGGCTATGGAAGAATCAAGACTTCAAGTGTCTCATACTCTTCAATCATGCCTACAATCAGATGGGAGAAGAAGATATGCAACTCCTCCACAACAAATAGCAGCTTTTAATCGCAGAGTTAATCCTGAAATTCAAACCTCTTCTATCTGTGAGTGGATAAAAAATGAAGATGATATCATCGTTGGAGATGATCTCTTAACATTGAATCCAGACAGTGATTATAATATACATTTTCCTTATAAGAGAGGAGAATTAAATGTTCATTCTGGACCTGGAGGAAGCTTGCGTGCTGTACTAGCTGATTTGAAGACAATTTGGGAATATGTACTGATAAAGAAAATGGATATAGCAATCAGAGACTTAAAACATTACAGAGCAGTTTTAATAATTCCAGATATTTACAATAGATTGTATTTAAAAGAACTAACAACATTGCTACTGTGTGAAATGGGATTTGGAGGATGTTTTTTATTACAGGTATTAGACTTTGTCAACGTTAAAGCATTTATTACGTGCAAAATTTTCCGTGCAGGATCACGTAGCGGCGACTTTTGGAGCAGGTCTCGGATACGCCTGTGTAGTGGACGTTGGTGAGGAAAAAACTTCGGTATCTTGCGTTGAAGATGGAATATCTCATAGGAATACGCGAGTACGTATGGATTATGGAGGTGGAGACATTACTCAAACATTTTTTTGGCTCCTGCAAAAGTCAGCATTTCCATATAAAAATTGCGAGCCGAGTAATCGGTTCGACGCTGTCCTTTTGGACCAATTGAAAAGAGATTCTTGTCACGTCGATTTAAATGTTTGTGGCTCGCAAGAGAAAACTTTTATAGTTAAAAAGCCAAATCAACCAATTGAACAATATACTATCCAAGTAAATATTGTGTCAACTGATAACGTAATTGATTTATTTTTAGAATCTAAACATTGTTTACTTATTAGGTCGGCGACGAGTGTCTTATTGCACCATTGAGTCTTTTTCAACCAGAACTCTTCAAAGTAACTGGAACTCACAATGTTCACATTCAAAAACGTTCAGTGGGTGATTCAGAAGACCCACATGATGAAAATTACTTGAGGGAAACAAGTGTGAGTTTGATCATTGTATAGTTGGTATCATTGAAAATGTAAAAAGTAATTATAAAATAACACTGTTTTAATTTAACAGAGAAGAGGAATGAAAGAAAATTTAGAGCAAACTCTGGAGATGCAAGAAGAAGCTGCGAATCCAAATGTGGCAGGAGAAGAAGAAGTGAACGTCGATAATGTGGATTCAGCTCCGATTTCTTTGAGCGCTCGAGAACCAGAAGCGCCGAGAGACTTTGTGGTTGGTCCTCAACAAGTACTAGGTCTTGATCATGCTGTACTCCAAAGTATTGATCGATGTCGTGAGTTTTATTGAACTATTATAGTTTGATATGGAATTAAATCGTGATGAACAAATTGAAATTGATTGATTCTAGCTACCGACGATTTAAAGCGTAAAATGTACAGCTGCATATTGGTTGTTGGCTCTGGAATGAAATTTCAAGGTATTGGCACTTGGCTACACAATAGGATATCCCTTCAAATACCATACATGTACAGAGCAGGTAATCTCACATACTAAATTTTCCTTGCTTTGTTGCATTCGTCTGAAAAATCTAAATTAGCAATTTAAATTTTAGAACAAATGGACGTTATAACATTACCAAAAGATATCGACCCAGGTATGACAGCTTGGAAAGGTGCCGCAATTTTAAGTTGTTTAGAATCTGCACAAGAATTGTGGATTGGACAACAAGAATGGGAGCATATTGGTGTAAGGATCCTTCGAGAACGGGCACCTTTTATGTGGTAATTTGAAGAAATACATCTTGTTTTATGTTTAACTTTGCAAGATTTTAATAAAAAAAATTTTGTACAAACGTAAGCTAAACTGCATTTTATAGATTATTTACACAAGTATTGATAGAATAATTAATAATGATGTTTGTTAGTTACAAATTTCTAAGTTTGATTTTCTTCTTGTCATTAGGATGAAATTGAACAATGTCTGCCTCTTCAAGAAAAAGAGCAAAATCAAAAGTGTCTTTTGACACATCAATATACAAATCATCTCCTCCTTTACTCAATGCCCTTGTTAAAATCTAAAAAGTATAAACTAACAATTATTTCTTTTGAAATAATATTTACTTCTTAATATTGATATACTCACGCATAAGAGGTCTTGAAAACACCCATTGTCCGGAAAAAGTACATCAACAACATTTTCCTTAAAGTAAGAATTTTATTGAAAATTTGTAAATTTATAAGAAAGTTGAAGTGAAAAATTCTAGCATACCAAATCATTCTTCACTTTTTGAAACAGTTTCTTTGTCACAACCATTTCAGCTTCATAATTGGATTGGGCTTCATTTTCTGCAGCAAGTAAAGATGCTTCTTTCATTTCTGCAAAAGCAGCTTTTTTCTTTTCCATGCTGCAGAATAGATATAAATTAGTTAACAGCTACTTTTGTACATTTATAGATCAACATATTTCTTACTATGTAATATCTTTTTCAATATCCTCAATATCTGCATCAATAAATTTTTCAAGCTTTGCTTGTGATTGCACTTCATCTTCCAACTCCTTTAACGCATCATTGTAAAAATCAGGCGTACCTGAAATTGGAAAATCTTTGGGTTGCTCTTTTTCAACTAACTTTGCCATCGAATAAACAAATTTAAGCCTTTTTTTGCGAATCTCTTCTGGTGTTATATGTGGTCCCAGTGTTCTTACTTCATTATTCTTCAGAACATTCATTAATTTAATAACTTCTTGCTCTCTTTCAGTTTTTAAATCTTTTAAATGTTCATAAGTATCTTCCAATGTAAACTCCACTGAACTCATTTCAATATCGTCTTCTTCATTTGTCTTAGACATTTTGAAACTTTGTTCTTCAAAGAAACAGAATTTACTCTAGTGAATAAACAAAATGTGAAGTAATTTGTTTTTGAACAAAAATAGCAGCCATTTATGATGGTTTTTTGGCGGGAAATGTTTTCAATAAATTTTGATAAACCTACCTTTCATTAACACACGGTTTTTCATTCTAATCTGTAATAAAATTGAATATTTTTTTATACTGAGCGTAATTTGAACCATGAAAAATTTAAATATTCACCTGAGATGATCAACGAAATAAAAAATCGTACATATATTATTACTATAAGAAGTATACTAATCTGCTCATAGAGTACGCCAGTGTTGGGGGTTGCGCATGTTATGATTTCACAGATTTCATGAGTCGTGATACTCATGAATTGTGACTGTCATGTATTTGTGCATGGTATGGGAGTTTACAGAATGTGCAAGGTGAAGTACGAGGTCGCAGCAGAATAAGTTTTATTTAAATAATTGTAATTATTACTTATCGTCATGCTATTCCGAGGATTCAATCTTATAGTACGACTTTCTTCACATCGACGCGTGTTGCGAAAAGCGATTAGAGGTTTTGCATCTTCGGCAACGGGTAAATATTTGTTTAGTGTAGGTTAACATTATTGGAAAAGGTTTATTATAAATATTAATAATCAAGAAGAAATCAATTTACATCACACCTAAGGCTATAAACGTAACAATATTTACAGTTAATCTGTTAGTTTGCATATTATTCAATGATTTGCAGTAATTATAAAATAAAATCTATGAGTTAATGAAAAATTTGGTGATCTAATTGTAAATTTTGAAATATATATTACAATAAATATTTTAGGTTCATATAGTGATAAAGATCCTGCACCTTACTTTTTTAATGAAGAAGTGCAAAAGTTTCTTAAAGTTATAACTCGGCCGGAACATGATAAAGTTTTTAGGAGACAATTAGATGGTAGAGAAATTGAAGAACCTGTATACAAGTTTATGACAGAAAGAGATTTAAAAAAGGCTTTAGATACGGCCAATCAAAATATGGAAGAACTTTTGCAAATGCCTCCAGTAGTAAAAGTGAGAGAAGAAAATGTTCGTATATTATCCAAGGATCCAGCTCTGCAGGGTTATGATGATTGTAAATTTGTTTTCACTGATATTAGTTTTGGAATAAAGAATAAAGACAGAACCATTGCAGTTAGAGAACCAGATGGCACATTGAGAACTGCTAATCATAGTGAAAGAGATCGTTTAAATCAAATTTATTTTCCTTTGAAAGGAAGAGAAATTTACATGCCAAAAATGTTTTTACAGGAAAATTTGGAGGTATTGAATATTCACTTAATCCGACATCTTACTTAGAATTTTCTTGATTTGTGCTTATTTTTAAAATTTTTACAGCCCATACTCAACAGAGGAGATTATGAATTCATCTTAAATCGAGCCTGTATACAGTTTGATCCAGACAATCCAGAATACCATAGAATAACTCAGGTTACCTATGACCACATAGATGAACATCAACAGTTTGATAAATTAAGATCAACGAGGCACTTTGGACCTATGGTATTTTATTTAGCATGGAATAAAAAAGTAGATAATTTACTTCTAGAAAATATAACAACTGATAGAATTGAAGATGCTGCATTAATTTTAAAAGTCTATTATAAATTGAATCCCAGTGACAATCCCATTGAAGAAGAGGATCATGTTAAGTTGATACAACATTACATTAAGACAGAGAGTAATATTAAACGGAAGTTAGATCATGCTTTCAAAACTTTCTTAGAAATAGAAGCTGCAACAAAGAAATTGGAAGAAAACATTGCTATAGCGCATGGACAAAAGATCACAGACACTACGTAATCCATGAAAGTGATACCTTTGGTGTATTTTATTGCTGAAAGTATTTGTTTTTATATTTAACCAATGTCCTTTAATTTTGGAATAAATTTTGATTTAGCTGTTTATTTGTGTATTGGCAGAGCAAAGTAAAAAAGTCAAACGATAATAGTATACTCGAGGTGAAAACAAAAGAAAAGAGATTGTCAACAGTTGTTATTGAATAAATTATTTTATACGATATTTAAAAATAAGCGTTGAATGTTTGAAGAGCTCGACGAGCAATAAAAATGAAAATCGCGCGCGCAGTTCGGAATAGTCGAGAAAGCCGCAGAGTCGACGGAAGCTCTGTTGCTCGACGAATGCAACGGCAGTAAAAAGTCGGTCGTATTACGAAGTCGCCGTAGCGAGGTTTATCAATTAGCAGTCGACAGTGCCCGAAGCAGCTCACGAGAGAGGAAAGAAAAAGCTGCTGGGAGAAGTAGAGAGAAAGAGAGAGAGAGAGAGAGAGAGCGAGAGCGAGAGCGAGAGCGAGAGCGAGAGCTTGTAACGAAGCAACAAGTTGGAGGGGGAGCGGCAGACATGCGTGGCGAGTACTACGTAGGTACAGGGGGGCGGCGCGCGCGAGAAACGAAGCTCTTTCTGCGTCGAGTGGAGTAGAGTCGAGTCAGTCGGGCCGCTGATATCCAATCGGCCGCTTCCTCTCGGCTGTGGTTTTTCTGCGCTTCCTGCAGTCGACACGCATGACCCCTCTCTCTTTCTCTCTTTCGTTCGCGAATTGCAAACAAAGCGAGCCTCGTTGCTTGCTCTCGGCCCGGCGACAATTGTCGTCAATCCGCGCTGGATCTTCGGTGGGACGTTTGCCGCAGGACACGATCGCGAGGAATAGCAAATGATCGCTGCCGGGCTTGCATAGTCGTGGTGGCGGCACGAAAATGTACAGCGCGCGCGCGCTGAGACGCTTGCAGTGTTGATCGTGCGATTCCCACCGGTGGCGGATATTAATAAACAGAGGGGGAGAGAGAGAGAGAGAGCGCGCGAGCGCGAAACTCGCTATCGGGAAAGTGCGAACGAAAAGCAACAACGAAACGCCTCCCGCTTGGCGCACTGGCGAAGCGAAAGAAAGCGCGGTTCGCATTCCAGCGCTAGAATGCCGACCTGCTGGACGAGAAGAAGCTGCGTTCGGCTGACGACTGCGGACATAGCGCGAGTGCTTACGGAGTCCGGCCGACCTTAACGCGTTCCTCCGAGCGAAGACGAATCCCCAGCGATTTCTCTCAGGGCTACTCCAGCATCTGTTGCCGAGATCGTATGGTAAGTCGAGCTGCGTCGTTTGCCCGCGACCACGGACGCTATCTCGTTGTGTAATCCTTCGCGCTCGTCGTCGCAATGCCCAATAAATCCTTTCCGCTCGCGCCTCGTCGAATCTCGATCGATCAGCTTTTTGCCGATAAGGGAGCACGTCCAGATTGCCATCGCTGCTTAATAATGGATCGGGACCGCGCCAACGTTTTTTTTGCGACTACCGTTGTCCAGCATTCGCCACCTTTCGTCGCGCGCTCGGAGAGGCACTCGGCTGCGTTAGCCTTTTGAGGGCGACGGCGAACTCGGTTATCCCTGCGCTCGAGTGTTTATCCTCCCCGGAATTCCACGATCCATTGGCAAATAGTACATCCGCGCGCGAATTATTTCAAGCTCGAGCCATCGGACCAAGTACACGTCTAAGCTTAACCGGATTAGAGAATAAGCGAGCGAGCGAACGCGTACCCCGGTTAGATCGACCCAGCCGTCACTTCGAAGAGGACGTGCCGAATATTGAAATCCGCTGGCAAACTTCCATTGCTCGGCCACACTCGACGATCTCGCCGTAGAGATAGACAGACAGAGAGAGAGAAAGAGATGACATTTGCTTCTTATCAAGATCGTCGAGCTGACGAAAGCGCACGAGCTTATCATCATCGCAGCCGCGCTGAGATTCGCTAATCGGGCGAATCGTGACTCCAATCATCGCGGCCGCGTGCTTATCAGTACAGCGCGAGTCTTTGAATATCAGCTGTTGCAAGCGGGCCAAAACTGCCGTTTCATCTGCTTGCGCCTCGCTGTCGTCGAGTTCCAACCGCAGAATCGCATCGTTGAAAAGCACAAGTGGATCGACTGCGCGCCGACGAGGAGCGCCGGACCGCGCACGATTAATGGAATCTTCGTGCGGCTCCCCCGCGGGATATTATCATAGGGGGGCGAGGGGAGAAGAGAGCGAGCACGCCGCGAGCTTTCAAAGCTGCAGATTTGCTCGTGCACGCGCGAGAAGTCAGTGGGACACACGATCGCGAGGATCGGCGTGTAGCGGCGAGCAGCGCGTCGTACCAGTCAACGACTCGGAGAGTGGCGCGGCGCGTCAACGATCGCGACTGCTCTTCTCGCCAAGGTTGGCCGCGATCAAGGCCGTTGTTTTCTCGGCGAGCTTATCGCTCTCCTCGAGCAGCCGTCGCTTTTCGCGCTCGAGAGATGCCGAGAGGCCGCTTATTTTCGCGCAGATCTGTCGTTCGGCTTATCGGCGTTCCGCTCCTCGTTGATCATTGCCCCCTGCGGTCCTCGCGCGAGCTCGTTACGATCGTCAATCCAGAATTGACAAACGTTGTCGATCGGTACACCTTCGATCGAGGGCGCGCGCTTTTATACATCGACGGAATTGCGAAAGGGCGCTCGAGTGAGCAACTACCATCTGTCACTCTGTGGCTCGCTGCGCTATTTCTGATAAGACGCCTGGCGCAGGCACTCCAGCGAATCGTCGAATCAGGTCAGCGCGCGGGCTCGAACGCCAAAATGCTTCGGCCTCGGGAGCAGCGAGGTTGATTCTCGCGGGCTGCTGCGAGCAACGTGGCCGATCACGCAGATCAACGTTTGGAGCGCTAGGCTGTTTTGGCCGAGGCAGGTGTGCTGCTCCACGGCACGCCGCTGAGCATCCACACCCCCTGATGTGCGTCAATAACCCAATGGCCCAGCCAGCGGATGCTCGTTCGAACGCCACGGACGCGGATAAAGCGTAGAACGAACGGTACAAGACGAATGCGCCTTCTCTGTCTGCGGCTGTTTAATCAGTTAACAGGCGAACAATTAGCTGATTAGCGTTGCTGCACACAGCAGAGTCGTCGATTGGCGCGCGAAGCGTACTCGACGTTTAATGAGATACACCAGGAGCGGGAGAAGGAGGAGGGGAGATGGGCGGCTGAAGGGAAATACACTCCCAGGACATCATTACAAGAAGGGAGAGCCGATGGCCCGATCAGCCGTACGAATCATCGAGCCGTAGCGTAAGCCTCTGTTCCCTCTACTTCAGCAGTTCCCGTTCTGCATTTTGCGAGTCATTTGACGTTCAATGACAACCGTCGATGCAAAAATAGGGAGGCATTATCATCGAGCGAGCTGGGGTGTTCCGTAATTAATCGCGGCTGATATAATATAAAAAAAATTAAAAAATTAATAACGGGAAAGCGGAGACGAAGAAGCGGCCCGAGGGGGATGATGAATGGGTGGCGGCGGCGGTGGCAGCGAGCGACGTCGACAGAGATACAGCACGAGCAAAAGGTTGCGCGCTGTTCCTCGGGCGGAAATCAGGCGGTTGGCTTTTCGAGCAGCGCGGCGCGCGCGCGTTTGGACGAGAAAGGCAATCGATGACGTTGAACCGGCGAGGCGTCGCCGTGGGGGTTGCGCGCGCTCGCGTGCAGACAACGGGAGGCGCATCCCGCGCTAATGGGATATTAGTCTGCCGGCATGGGCTCTCTCTCTCTCTCTCGCGCGCGCGCTCTCTAATCTAATCTAATCTAATATCTCTGTGTACACCGGCAATTAGTTAAGAGGTTATTGTCTGTCGCTCGCGACGGCGTAAGCGCTCAGGCCTCGGCGAGCGAGCGTCGACGGAGGAAGGAGAAAATAAAACAGCCCGTTACGCCCCGTCGGGCCGACCGGCCGATGGGCTTTCGAGGCGTTGGCGTCGAACAGGATGATGCGCGAATCGGCGGCGACCGCGGTGCCGAGCTTTTGCGCTGCGTTTGGACGTGACCGACGCGACGGCTGTACCATGGGTGCGTCGAGCGATCGAGGGTGTTCGTTTGCGTGACTCGCGCCGTAAAGCACGAGAAAACGAACGCGCGCGTGTTCGCGCTGCCGTGAATAATTCTATCGAGCGACTCGCTCGTTTCCGGGGCGCGCTGGAGAGGGACGAGAGAGAGAGAGAGAACCGAGCTCGAGCTGAAGCTAAAGCACACATACGCACGAGGAGAAGCGGCTGGATTTTCGTTTCGGCGTACGGCGGGTGCTTAAGCCGTAGAGACGCATATCGGGTGCGTTATCCGCGTCTCTGGAATGGACAATTGCAGTACCGCGCCGCGCTAGATTTTCCTTAGCGATTAGACTGGTTTGCTACGCGTAAGGCGCGTAAGCACACAATCGCGGGTTTATGTAATCTTGAGAGGGAGGGGAGATCAGTCGACCAAACTGGCTCCACGAGTGTAGCCCGGAGGCTAATTGGCCGACGTAGAGACCAGACCCTGTGATCACATCATTTCCGTCGGAGCTTTTTACACGTGTCACTGATACAAGCATCATTTCCGTCTTTCTCTCTCTCTCTTTTTAGGTCGGATAATCTCCAAATAGAACCTAACTCTCTCTCTCTCTCAACAAAACTTCTCGCTTTTTGCAACGAATGCACACTTATTTGCGAGCACACGGAGAAAACGGATCGAGGGAGTGCGCGCCTCGCTGCGTTTCAATTTGTGAAACGGCGTAAGCAGTAACGCTGTACGCGCGTTAGCTATGTCGAAGACAACGAACGGAGAGAGACAGAGAGAGAAACAATCGCAAGTTGATATCTCGATCATTAGCCAGAGGTGGAAGCTCGCTGGCGAGTTGGTAATTTGCGTCATTGAATAACCGGCGAGATATCCTGTGCACAGTTCGAGAGAAGACGAGAGAGAGAGAGAGAGAGAGAGAGAGAGAGAGAGAGAAGAGAGTGCGAGTGCTGCCGAGTTCGCTACTGTTGGTTCATTGAATTATTCGAGAGCCTTTCGCCGAGAGAAAACTTGGACGAGTGCGCGAACGCGGCAAGTCCCCCCCCCCCCCCCCCCCCCCCCGCGGCGCCGCGAAAGTGCTCGCAGCGAGCAGTCCGCGTCGGGAAGGCTCGCGCTTTGAGAAACCAGCCGGCGCGGCGGATACAAGCCTGTGTCGTGGCCCCCGAGGAAAAGCAATCGCGCCAAGAGCTGACGGCGCGCTAATAGCTGCCGCGAACGCGCTCGACCTCGAGGCACACACACCGGATCAACGAGACGCGGAGAGCGAGTCGCGCCGTACGCCATCGATTCGCGCGATGTTTTCCTCCGCCCGCCCGCGCGAGCACAGATTTCACCGACGCGCCCGCCATATTTGTGCACACTTGGAGCACCGCGGCGAGCTTATCTACGCAGTGGAAACACGCGCAGGCGAAAGCGACCTCGGCGAGAAATGTAAATTGCCGGTGACGCGAACCCAATTAGTTTTTACATAGAGCGGGCCGAGCGAACGCAAAACGCCCGGCCTCTGCAGCATCGGCTTCGCCGCGTGTGAAAGCTGCTCCGAGCCGCAATCGAATTACACGGCGCGTGGTCACGATCGCCCATTCAATTACGGCAAATTGACGCGTCCGCGGGAGCCGCGCGGAGAGCTTGCTGAGCGGCCGTGATGGATGCGATTACGGCCGCGCTAAATGATCCTCGAGGAGTTCGAGGCGCGCGTGCACGCGCCTCGGATTCGCCGCGCGTCTCGCCGACGTCGCGGTGTCCGAGGCTATGATCGTCGGCGCGAAATTGCGAGTATCGTCGGCCGCCGGAGTCGAGTGTCCGCGCGCCGACGGCTCCGTGCAGTCGTGCGGGTCCGGCGCAGTACGTAGAGGCGGGTCGACTGGTCGTCGGCCCACACCGAAGCGAAAGTCGAGTCGCTCGCGAAGCGCTCGACTAATTGGTCGGCAGCCCGCGTCGGCTCCCCGTTGCTCGTCGCTGGTCTGCAGCGGCTCGACGCTCCAACTCGCCCCGTAACCGAGTATCGCGATTCTACGTGACGCGCTCTGCCTCGTTGCTCCTTTTTTTCTCGTATCACGCACGGTCGACAACTACGCTCGGCTTTGATTCGCTTTCAGCGCAGTGAACGTAATAACGACCCGCTCTAGTATCGCTTGACTCGGCTTTTCCACGACGCGTGTCTCTCTGTCTGCCAATTTCACGTAATGCGTTATTTAATTGTCCCACGGATCATTTGAACCGTATAGCACTCAATGTACCTAAGTCTGTGATTTATTTATAATGTACGTTCGAAATACTCGATAGGTTTCGTCAAATTGCGCAATTCATCACAAATTTATCGTAAGGTATTTGCATTTTCAACAATAAGATATCGATTTTAATATAATGCTAGATTAAGATAAATTATTATGAAATAAAGTTTCATAACGAAGACGAGAAAGAGAGAGAGAGACGAAGAACGTGGGCTACGGTTGATTCACTTGGCGGATTCGTTGACGGGTACGGACGAAACGCAAGAGTACGTAAATCCTCCGGCAATTGCGACAGAGTGCCGATGGCCGATTGCGAGCTTGACGTTACGGGCTCGAGAGCGGAGTTGACGAACGCAGCAGCGCGAGCCGTCGAGCGGATGAGAAACAAGCGGAAATAAAGGCAAAACTCGGCGCGGCGTCCCATCGATCGGGCAGAAGGGCGCAGATTTGACGGCTGTGCCGAATCGCAGCAACAAGTGCACAAGCCGCGCGTACGGCAATCGATGGGCAGCGCTCGCGCCCCGTCGCCACCGGTGTTCGCGCGCGCTCCGGCACGACGGCGCGAGGGGCACGGGGGAACGTACGCGATCGAGTGCTCGCGGGCGCGTTTCGGCGTCCGAGCGCAGCCGCGGCGGTACAGACGCGGCCACGCGCATCCGGACCGCTTATCCGCGAAGCCGGAGCAGTGCACTCGCGGGTCGCACTCGCAGTGCAGTTGCGCTCGCGAAGTAGGTCGCGAGCGCGCACGCGGCTCGTGCCGTCCTATGGCGCGCGCGCGATATCGATCATCGCGGCGGTGGAGGAGGAGGAGGAGGAGGAGGAGAAGAGCCGCTGCCCGCGCGCCTCGCGGCGCCGGTGCAATGATCGATCGCCGTGGCGGAAGCGCCGATCAAAGCAGAGCCCTTGCGGTGCATCGACGCGAGCGCGCGCAGCCCGAGCTTTTTTACTTCCGAGCCGTGCACTCGCAAGCGGGCTAAATGCCGCCGGTTGCCTTCATTTCCATTCCCGCTGAACGCGCGCGTTTGTCGAGGCAGGCTCCCACTACTTTCACTCCTTTTTTTTTCGCTTCCTCTCACTTCGGTTCGGCAAATCAGTTTGCAAAGTCGAAGGCAATCATGGCTGATTGCGTTTTCTCGGGAAGACCGTGTACGCGTGGTCGCGATACACGTACGTACAGATATAAATCGTACGTATCTACGTGCGCGCAGCCGTCTCTCGGCGAGAGGAAGGGCGGCCAGAATTCACGGCAAGCCGTGCAGACCGGAGAGGCGAGATTTTCGAGAGGGCAAGAGGCAGGAAAGACGAAGCGGTCGCTTGACAACTCGACTCACGTACCGAGCTTTGAGAGGCACACTTTTGTCCGAGCGCGTCATTTCGGCGAGCGCAGCCCTTTCCCCCGCCGCGGCGGACAATTCCGCCTAATTATTCGGCCGTCAACGACTCGTGCGATCGTCGGACGAGATTCCATCTGGAGCGCGCGCGTGCTGCTTGCGCAGCGTCCCGGGCAAGGGGAGACGCGACGGCAATAAGATCCGCTTTGAGAAGCGGAAAGAAAGATATAGATAGATATTTCTTTATTTGCCGTAGGGCGAAATACAACGTACAAATAATGGCAGAGAGAGAGAGAGAGAGAGAGAGAGAGAGAGAGAGAGAGAGAGAGAGAGAGAGAGAGAACGCACGAGCGTTTTGCCATTGATAGCGAGCGCAGCGTCCAAAAGCTTGAAAGGCCGTACCTGTTGCAGTGCCGAGCTTCATACTCTACTGCGCCGGAGAGGAACGACTGCGATCCTCCGGCTTTGTCGAGAAACGCGCGGGCTTGTCAACGAACGCCGTTTGATTGGATTTTCGCGCCAGCTTTGTCTTCTGCCTCGAGCACAGCGCAGCCGATTAGGGCGGACGGGATTTACATATGGGCGTCAACGCGTTAGGCCGGCCCGGTCTTATCCGGTGCAGCCGGGCGGCTTTTCGCTTTCCGACGGCCGACATCGCCTAAGCCCGAGAGGCCGCCTGCCTGCCTGCAGCTTTTACAGACCCGTCGCCGGCCGCGTGCGAGCGGCGCACGACACACCGAGTTGGCGTTCACGGACCGATTAGCTCTTTGGCGATCGGCGGCACCGAACGAGTCCGATCGATCGTCCGCGCGTCAACGACGCGTCGCAAATCTTTCCTCGATCGCAAGGTCTCTCGGCGCCCCCCATCTAGCCCTCGCAGCGTCCTCATCAGCCCCGCGCACCTATAAACGTTATCGACCGCGCGCGAGAATGACCGTCTCGCTCTCGTCGCTGAACTTTATCGTTCGGCTCGGGCTGTCGCGCGAGCGACGATTCGGAGCGACGCGCAACTTTATCTCCTAGTCTATCTCTCTCTCTCTCTCTCTTCCTTTCTCACTGACGCGCGTAAAGCTCGCTTATTACTTTCTACTGCCCCGACAGATGTGTTGCCGCTATACAAGTACGCTCTTTGCCACCGCCTCGCGCCTCCGAGGACTATACGGCGCGGTTTCCTCCCGTGCAATCAGCGCGTTCGCAACTCTTTCGCGGATCTTCACCAGCCGATCAAAAAGATATAATGCTCGATTTCCGGCTATCGTAGCGATAGCCTTCCCCGGACTATGTTCCTTCTGCCTGTGTAGCTTTGGCGCTTTGTCCTACGCCGAACTCGCCGCGCGAGTACCATCTACCAGGCGTCGTTCAAAGCAGCGACCGCGCGTGCAATAATTATGCTTGTTTTTTTTTTTTTCAACGTTCGCTTGCCACTGTCGCCGCACGAGCGGACTTTCCTTTGCGGGCTGAGTACTTTTGAGGCAAGTTCGGAGAGCGTGGGTGTAGAGAGAGAGAGAGAGAGAGAGAGAGAGAGACAGAACGAGGGACATCCGGAAAGACGCGTAGGTGGGATGAATTTAGCTCGCAAAGCGTCCTCATTGTCAACGATGTCCACTTTGTGAGAAACGATTGTGCGCGGGCGCGTCAATTCGTATAGCTCTCGCTTTCAGAGAAAATGGCCACGCGGGCGCGCTCCCGTCTGCTCCCGCGGCCGGGACAGCGAGTCGACCGGCGACGACCCGGTCCCGACCAGCAAGCGGACGCACGAGCGCCGACAATTTATCACCTTCGCGCTCGCTTTCATTTCGAGCATTAACAAGTCGACCCGGCCGGCAGCCGTTCAATAACGCGCTCGCGCTCTTTATCTCGTCGCCCGCCGCGCTCCATTCTTATGCATGTATGCCCGCGGCAAGCTCCTTTTCTGCCTTCCTTTGTCGCCTCTTTATATGCAACTTTTCTTCTCCGGCCGGTCCCCGCCGCGCCGCAGCTCCCTCGTTCCCGTCTCTATACTTAGACCGCGGCAAATCCCGACGCCGCGCGTTCGAAAGTATGGTAATTCGGCGGAGGCCATCGAGCGTTTTTACGCCTCGCGAGCGGGAGTCGCGCGCCGCGAAGCCGTTATCGATCGCGGCAACGGGCGCGATCGCCCGTCTCGCGGCGGCCCCCCGAAGTACCGGTTCGGCGACCAGAGCGAATCGATACGGCCGAGGCCGCGCGGTCCGCGGAACGCCGATCGGTTCTGCGGCGCGTCGCAAAGTTTGCCCTCGCGGATCACGCCTGCGGCGAATCGAAGCCCGGGCCCGGCTCGAGAGAAGCGTGACCGCGGCTGTTTATTGGCTCCGTCGAGCGTCCTTTTCCCACTTGCCGGCTGGGAAATTGTCGGCCGTGGCTCCGCTCTGGCACCCCGATCAGCTGGCCGCTCGACGGGGGGAGCCCACTTTGACATGTGTTTTTTTCAGGAGGCGAGCCACTCCAGCCGCGCCGAACTTCAGGAGCAAACTCGGCGGATGCGCGAGCAGAGATGCCTCATCGGCTCGCGTTCTCACGAGGGTAAGTGTTCGAGCCGCCCCCGCGCATTTAGCTCTCCGATCGCTTCTCGCGTCCTCGCTCCTCCACGGCCGAGACGTCGCTTCACGCCGCGCGTACTCGCGAGCGATCCGATTCCCGTCCGCGTCTCGGCCCCGAGCGGCTTTTTCCCTCGGCGCGCCCTCGGCGTTCGTTCGCCGCGTTTTCGCCGCGACGCTGTCGCGCTTCCACTCCTCGACCGTCCCTCGTCTAACGTCATTAACGACCTCAAAGCTCCCACGGCGTGGCTTACGTTATTTATTAGGCGCCGACTGGTCCCCGAACGGCGCCGCGCCTTTTTCATTCTTATTGACGTCCGAGTTTACGCGTGGTTTTCCTGTACCCCCCACGTGGCGCGTTTCAAAGCTCGCAACGCCACGGTAGCCCGATGATAAGATCGTAAAGTCGAGAGGGCGGGAGAGAGAGGAGAGAGCGCGCAACATGAATATATTCAACGGAAAAAAGAACATTGCGCCGAAGCGCTCGCGCAATAACCGCAATGACCTCGGTGACAATGATACAGTGGATTTTTGTCCACGCGCTCGTCGGACGCGCTTGTGCGGATAACGACCGGGATAATCGGCAACGCGGCTTTGACCGTTGCCAAATTAAAGTCCATTTCCGACCGGCAAGGGTTCTTAATCGCCGACAGGCTCTTTTGCGCGTCCGTCAGACTCGCCAAGTTCGATCGACCGACGCGTCTGATCGAATCCAGTCCTTTTCCACTTGCCGCGAGCCAGCTTTGAAAACACGTCAGTTAATTCATCGAGAAAGAGAAAGAGAGAAAGAGAGAGAGAGAGAGAGAGAGAACGAGCCGCGTCGGCGCGCAAAAAAAAACAGTCATAGGTGTCGAGTGACGCGATCAGAACATGTAGTGGCGGCGCAAGGAGAGGGAGGCCCGCGGACTGATCGATGGAGCTGGCCAACGGAGCATGAAAAAGGGCTCCAGCCGACTTACAACGCCAATAGATGAGAATCGGGCGATTGTCTGTATACAGGCTGGTGCCCGTCGACGTGGGACGGCATCGCGTGCTGGGCGTCGACGGCCGGCGGCGAGCTCGCGGTGCAGCTGTGCCCGGACTACATCACTGGATTCGACGGACAGGTCGGTATAGCAATTTCAAGAATGACGGATGGTTCGTTGCCGCGTACAACCAGTCGCGTCGCCGGTCGCGCATTCGCGCTCGAGTCGACCGAGAAGCGGCAAGACAGAGATGGAGCCCCGGCTAATAATTATGGCGCTGCGCGGGCTCGTAGGAGAACGCGACGCGGCAGTGCATGCCGAGCGGCGACTGGTACTGGAGCCCCGAACACAACAACACCTGGACCAATTTTTCGCGCTGCTATCGCGAGCGCTACATTACCGTGGTGGTCGAGCTGCCCGGCAATCAGGGGAAAAACAGCAGCATGTTCGAGGTAAGCGTGCTCGCATTAGTCACGACGTCTCGACGAACGAATCGACCACTTTTCTACCTGAAAGTTCGTTCTTCCTCTCTGTATTTTTTGTTTTTTGTGTTGTTGTTTTTTTTTTTTTCGAGAACGAACGGGCGATGCTAAACACGAGTTTTCCAATAAACTCGCGCGCGCTCGTTAATCTTCCGGTGTAGACTATTCGCCGCGACGCTCGACGAGTTTACTCGCGTCGTGCTGCCCTCTTCGACGCGGCAATAAACCGCGCAGCTACTTTGAAAGTTAAAAAATGCCATCGACGCGCGCGAGCTGCGACCGACAGAGGAGCACCTCTTAGCCGCGCTGTCCGCCCGCGCGTCCGACGCCATATCGCGGCGCACTCGGCCGCGGTCCGAGGCGAGAGTTCGCGTGAGCGGGCGTCGATGGGCGAGGTGGCGGCGAGGAGGCGGCGAGGGCCGTTGAGACGAAACGAGCGCGCGGCGTTTACGGCGGGACGCGGGCCGATGGGTTTTATTGGAAAACTCGCCTCGCGGGCCGGAGCCTCTCGTCGTCGCGCCGCGGCGTCGGTTGGCGGATAGCCCCGTGGCCTGTTTCTCGCAGATGATGCTGCCGGCGATAAAGGGCATCTCGAAAACGGGCTACAGCCTGTCGTTCTGCAGCCTGCTGCTGGCCCTGTGCATCTTCGCCAGCTTCAAGTGAGTATGCGCACACGGCCGCGGAGAGGCGGGCCCGGGTCTAACGGTTGTCGCGCAGGAAGCTGCGCTGCCAGCGCAACCTGCTGCACATGCACCTGTTCGGCTCGTTCGTCGCGCGCGCGTTCGCCTGGCTGCTGAAGGAGCTGCTGTTCGTCGCGGGCGTGGGCCTGTCGTCGGACGTGCTCGTGAAGGACGGCCAGAACTACCTGCTCGGCGACAGCCTGCAGGACAACTGGCGCTGCAAGGCCTTCACCTCGCTCTGGCAGTACTGCATCCTGTCCAACTACTCGTGGATCCTCATGGAGGGCCTCTACCTGTACCACCTGGTCTTCTGCGCGCTGCTGGCCGACCCCAACGCCAGCATCGTCGTCTACGCGCTCGTCGGCTGGGGTGCGCGCTACCGTCGTCCGCGCGGCCGTGGCGCGGCGCTCGCACCCCCGCCGTGCCGGCTGCAGCTGTTGTCTCTGTTGCAGCCATGCCCGGCGTCTCGGTGGGCATCTGGGTGGCGCTGCGCGCCCTCTACGAGGACACCTACTGCTGGACCACGCACGAGCACGGCCTCATCTTCCAGGTGATCCGGCTGCCCATCACCCTCTCCGTGGCGGTAAGTGTGTGGCGGCGAGCGACCGACCGACCGAGCGCCCGCCTGCAACCGGCCGCCCGTTGTTGCAGATCAACTGCGTGCTCTTTGTCAGGATCGTGCGCGTGCTCCTGACCAAGCTCGAGTCCACCATGTCCGAGAGGAGGAGGCGCCTGAAGTAAGCCAGGTAGGTGGCCGGGCGCCCGCGACCGCCCCACTGACCGCCGACTCTGTTGCGACAGGAAGTGGGCGCGAAGCACGATGGTGCTGGTGCCGCTGTTCGGCGCGCACTATTCCGTCTTCCTGCTGGTGTCCTACGGCGTCACGCTGAATGAGTCGCTGGAGGCGCTCTGGCTGCTCACCGACCAGGCCTTCGCCTCCGTGCAGGGCTTCTTCGTGGCCCTGCTCTACTGCTTCCTCAACGACGAGGTACGCGGCGAGCTGCGGCGCGTGCTGTGCCCCCGCCCGCGGCTCCGACCGCGCTCGGCCAGCAGCTGCAGCTGCCACACCGCCGCCGCCGTCGCCGCCGCCGCCGCCGCCGAGCAGCAGTCGCGCATGGCCGGCTGCTGCCGCCGCCTGCTGGCCGCTTGGCGCCACGGCCGGCGCACGCTCAGCCACTCCGCGGCCAGCACTCAAGGTCTCGCCCCCTACTCCCCCCTCTGCCGATGACAAGATTTTCATCTGGCCGCGTGTGCCTGCGCGTGTTCTCGGTGCAGACATCGGGATCGAGACCCGGGGCGGCAGTCTGGCGAGCAGCCGGGGCTTTCTGGAGGTGTCGGGCGCCGGCCCCGGCAACGGCAACCCCGTCAGCTGCCGGCCGACGCTTTGCAGCGACGCGGACCACGGCCGGCACTCGCTCTGCTCCAATGTTAGTACACGTCCTAGAGCTGCAACGAGCAACGACGAGAGCCACTTGCGACTGCTTTCGTGCCCCTCTCCCCCCTCTCCTCCGTATCCACGCGAGGAATCGTCACCTAGCCCGATGAAGCAGCGACGCGCCTGATTGCAGACGCTGGAGTGCATCGAGCTGGATCTGGATAGGTGCGAGCGTCAGGACGAGAGCGACTCCGAGTGCTGCCGGTTGTCCTACGAGCTCGACCACTTGCATCGCCACCCGCACGACACGTGAAACCCGCTCCACGACGACGGCTCGGCCCGACGAGCCGACGAGCAGGAGATCGACACGGCGCTCGTCGCCGGGCCGCTGCGACGAGTGCAGCCGCGAAACGCGCCCACGCGCACCCGCGTACGTGTTTGTACCGAGCGCGCGCGTGGATGCTCGCTTCGATTTGCGAACTGACGTGCGCGTCTACCTCGGCGAGGAGAGGCGCGAGATCTACCGAAAAACGTGCCCTAGATGCCTCGTTCATTACTCGTGTCAATAGCACTTATATCGTCACTTATGTTGTCAGGGACGCACTTATGCGTCGAGGAGGGAAATACGAGTCTCGCTGAGGCAAACTGTGTGCGCAAGTGTACGAATCGCTTCGCGTTCCCGGACCAATCCGATTATTATTAGTATACATCTTTCGACGAGTCTAGCCTTGCGGTTAATACGCGCATACCAATATGCGATCGCCAATGCGAACGATATATATCAAAGGAGCGTTCGCGTAGCGAGAAATCGATAAGCCAATTATAATTAAGCCGGACCAATATCACACTGTCCATCCGTGAGCCGTGTGGATGAGCATTGTCGACGATGTTTTCAATACCATTGCGTCCTAATGTCATTTATAAGGTAGATTTGTTTACCGCAGAGCTTCCTGGGCAGCGCGGCCATTCAATTTTCTATCTATTCCCCCCCACAAGCTATCGAGTTTTACTTGTATCGAGGTGCTTTGAGAGCAAGAATATCGAGTGCTGTAAGTAATTGCGTGGTGCCAATATTGCTGCGTTATCAATGATGCTCCGAATTGGTTTTGTACAAATTGATTACCCGACTCTCAGATCTTACTCCTTCTATTACTGCTAGATGCTATCTAACCTTCGATATTTTCAATCATGTTTTATTATCAATAGGATTCAAATTATCGATCAACTTGATATTTCCATCTCCCGTGTACGTTCCAGATATAATCTTGCGTTTACGTAATATGTTGTCAAACAAACTCATGATATCGCATCGTGTTTATTGTTATCGATTGTCATTGTAAACTACAACTCATTATTTATTACAGAAATAAATCATAGTCAACGTCGCAATGGTACGTTAATTAAAAACAGATCCTAATCTTTCAAGATCTCGAGTATGATTCGTCAAATTGTTTTGTAGATAAATCGATCAGCTTACAACAACTAATTCGCATCAAAGTCGCGCGAATATTAGATAACATTAAAGCAAAATAATTAACCGAGTAAATCACACAGCACGACAAGGCCAATTCGGGGTGGAAATGATCAAATATATTTTATAAAGTTTTAAGAATTTTCGAGTATAAGCATGCGAGCGAATGAGGATTTTTCACTGGGCGGTGCTCAGAGATGGTTGTGCAACGGCAGATTATCAGATAAGTTTTGAAACATTCCGAGTTCACAAAAACAAATGATCGGGCAACAGAAGCGCTTTCATCTTGCCGAGCGTTCAGGGCCAAGCCAAAAATCTCCGATCACGTGTCTTTTTGTCGGTATGCTTGAGAACACTTCAATTGGCATTTTCAGCTCTCTATGTTTCTAAGACATAAAGTCAATCTATACACATCCGTGTTATTAAATTGTACACGTTATTAAAAGATATCAGAATAAAATTTTATGTCTAAAGGTTACTGTAAGTTATTTACTTTGTTACATAATCCTATATATGTAAAGACTAAAAATTAATTATAGAATCAATTAAAAATGTAGGTAAGGTTTGAAAGTCTCAATAAAAAAGAACAAATTTAAAAAAAAAAAAAAACAAGTGATAAATATATTTGAAAACTTTAGATTTTCATTGTAAATTGGAGAAATGTTTTTAACAAAAATGTGTTATCTTTATTTACACTTATGCATTAAGTTATAGACTACTTAAAAATATATTAATCATGATCTTATAAGTTATGAAGGTTGGGTAAGACCTTTTAAACTAATAGAAGGAAACCAGTCTCCTCCATACAATTTATCATGTTTGATTTTGTTGAGTAGAACACTATTGACTATTTTTTCAGCATCGTGTGTTTGCCCATAATAATCAACAAAACTACCCTCAGGATCAACAAGATATATTATTATTGTATGATCCACCTAAAAATAGTAGAAACTTATCAATGAACTGTCGTATGGATACTCAAATTTATAAATGCTTCAAAGGAATCACTTACGATATAATCTTCATCTTGATCTTTTGGCCCCGAACTAAAATATACTCTGTAAGCTTTGCAAACTTGGGCAATTTGTTCAATTGAACCAGATAATCCAAGAATTTTGTTTGAAAATTCTTTCACATATCTTCCCACAGCAGATGGACTATCTCTTTGTGGATCAACAGTAATAAATATTGGTTGAACTTGCAGCTGGTGCTCCTTTTCTATAAAATATTGTACAGGGAATATACTAGATGAATCACTTATGTTAAGTCTGGAGGCGTAAATTCTTACCAAGCTTATCAACCACAAGAGCTAATTTTTCAAGTTCATCTGGGCATACATCTGGACAATGAGTAAAGCCAAAGTATATCATTACCCATTTACCAAGAAAATCACTTGACTTGACTGTCTTGCCTTGAGGATCAACCAATTCAAATGTACCCCCAATAGCTGCTTTTCCAATTTGACGTCTACGGTCCTTTTCAATTTTGAGATCCTTTTGCTCTTTCAAATAATACATATACATTATAAATCCACCACCTATTACAAATGTAGAAGCTAGGGTCTTCCAAGTAATAGGAGACTTTTTTGCAGTTGTTATTGGTCGATGAGATTTATTTGGCAGCAATTGACATAATATTTTGCTTGAATGAATATTTCGATACTAAAACAAATAATACAAAAGTTCAATTTCTGTTATTTTTCAGCAAGAAAGATAATTACTGTGAAATGATGCAAACGTTTTAATTTTTATTGTTAATGAAACAATACAGTAACATACCTGGAATGACGTAGTTCTGATGAGCTGTGGCGCAAAAACGAGCGATCGCAAAAATAAACTCGACATTTTTGTTTAAAAATGGGTTTATTTGTCCAAAGTTGTTGAAAAGGGTTATGTCTATCGCTCAGCCAACAATTAAGAGTAACCGTTCGAATACCTGAGAAATTAGGAGTTTAATTATTCGATCAAGAACGACAACCAAACTGTTGTCATTGAATTCACTAATGTTTATTTGTTAAAAGAAAATGTGATACACTGCAGCAAGCATGCTGTACTTTTGCAAGGTAGAGTGGTTATAATGGCTAAGGCTATCGGCTATCGGCTATCCCGATCCCGCTAATCTCGCTACTACAGTATATAGTCGGATGCCGGTCGTCGGCTTGGCGAACAGAAAATCTGTCATACAGCGACATCTTGCGTCGGCAGATGTAAGCTGTAATTGAATTGCTCTTGCGCGAAATTTTCAAAGCTGCAAGCTTAGGAAGATATTCCGTATACTGTGTAGTTTATTATAACCGGTACCAATGTTTACTCGCACGCGATAAAAGCCAAATAGTATAGTGGAGATAAAAGCGACAGAACAGCTCAGTGACCAGGCGAACGGCGATGAGTTTGGATGATTCGTATATAGGTTAGTTTGATACTTTTGTTGGCACGCACGGAGGTGCACGGTTTGTGCGAGTCGCTCATTTGTTTGTTGACAGAGCCATATTTGGAAGACTGGTTGGCGTATATTCGCAAGAGCAGCGATGCCGAGCAACAGGTGATCAAGAACGGCAAGGAGTTTCGCGTCCCTTACGCCGGTAAAGAATGTGCGAGTTGTCGATGGCAGAGCCGGGGATCGTCAGCCGTAATACTCTGCGTTACGGTCGCGTTGCAGGTGCGACGGTGGAGGCGATCAAGGCGATCTTCATCATAAGCGAGCGTTTCCGCGTGGAGCATGAGGCGAAGTACCTGGCGGTGCACCTGCTGGACCGCTACATGGGCTGCCTGTACTGGGAGCGAGTGTCCGGCCTACCGGAGGTGAACGCCGAGGGCGCGCGACAAGTTGCCCAGCACATGTCCTCGCAGCTGAGGCTCGTGCTCGCCACGTGTCTGCAGATCGCGAGCAAGGTCGACCTCTTCCGCACCGGCCTCTCCGTGTCGCAGGTGAGCGAATCGACTGGACGCCTCTCGCGCGCACCCGCACCACTGACCTGCTCCGCCGCGCTCCAGGTGCAGGACCTGCTGCAGTCGATCGACCCGCTGCGTGACTACTCCCGGGAGAGCATCGTCGCCAGCGAGCTGCGCGTGCTGCGCGGCCTCGACTTCCGGATACCGGTGTCGCTGCCTCTCAACGTGGTCGAGCTCTTCCTGGCCTACAGCCAGCTGCCGCCGAGCCAGCAGCTCAGGGACACCTGCCTGCAGCTGCTCGACCTCGCCTACATCCGCCACGAAGACCTCTTCCAGCAGCTGCACCTGCTGGCCCGAGGCTCCAGCTACGACCGTAGCCGGCCCGAGTGCCGCGACTTCCTCCGGCTGGAGACCAACGCGGGCTTCGTCGGCGCGTCCATCGTCGTCTGCTCGGCCTTCTTCTACCAACTGAAGAAGAGCCTCGTGGAAAACCTGGCCGCCAAGCTGGCCAAGCTCCTCGGTATGGAAGCCTTCGACCTCAGCATCATGGCCAACCTCCTGTTCATGACCGCGCTCGACGAGGACGACTTCCTCGGGCTGCAGCAGCTGCACGACGGCACCAGCGCTTCCGAACTCGACTGACCACGTCCCACGCGCGCCTCGTTCTCCTTCGTTTTAACGCTTACTTCTCTGCTGATATCGGCGCGTGGCTTTTAGCGCTTGGACGGCCCCGCCTTCTTCGCCAACGATCGCACAGCAGAACGATTTTAATTCTCCGTTGTTTGTCTGATTTTCTTCGCGGGGCCGATACCGACGACGATCAAGCTGAGGCCTCGTCCTGTCCGAGGTGATCGCGCGATTTTTCAGTGCGGTATGCTTTTGCAAAACCAGAGAGCGACGCAAGCAGCAGGAGCAAGAACAGCGAAGCGCAAGCGGGAACATTAATCTGATGGCAGCGAATCAAGCGCGAAGGAGAAAAGAAAAAACCGATTAGCCTACTTACTTTCTCGTGAAATCCGTGGCAGTTCGCAGTATCCTGCGCGCGCTGAGTTTGCACTTTCGAAAATAACGTCCGCCCGAAATGTTGCCTTAAACATTCAACGCGAAACCATCTTATCGCACCTGTTTTCTCTTTTTCGCGTTGTAGAACGAAATCAAGCCACATTTTAATTGCCGTTTTCTTTTGTTTTTCTGTTATAATTATCGTGACTGACGCCTTTCTTCCCCTCGTCTTGTCCTGCGCTGAATATTCAACTCCTGCACAATACGTATTACTCGAATGTGAAAGGCAGAAAGGAGAGAATGATAATGTCGTGTATGAGCAATGTTGTGCGCTACAGAAATAAAGGTAGACGATACGTATAGCGAGATACGAAAAAGATAAAAATTACGAACGGCAACGCGCACAACGATTCTCAACGAGCGCGCGACTTGCTTGAGAAATCAGAATATTAACCTGGCGGCTGTATGAATTTTTATTCATAGCATTGTAACAAAAAATAAGGGGAGTGCGTATACGCGTGAAAAGTCATCGGGGTGTGGGGCAGGTGCAAGAAAAATGGGAGAAAGGGAATGTTACGTTACTTTTACACTGATCATTGCGAGCTCACCTGTGTAATTAGGCTGAAATAATCGTTTAAGTTGTGTGAAAAATTCTCGATTGAACCCGAGCTCGCAACAAATTTTGTAAATAAATTTGCAATTAAGTTCTTAGAATGTATTTCAGTTGATTATTCATTAGTTTGAAATCATCCCAAGTGAATCGTGTAGAATCACGTCGCAAATGATTTATTTTTAATCAACATGCAAACGTATCAATTAAAAAAAAAGTGGAGTATAGTTCTAAGGCACATGGCTAGATCAGGAGTTATAAGGCACGCGAACACCAAACGAATGTGAGAGAGATGAAAAGCGAAAGGAAGTGATTCTCTCGGACGTACACAGACGCGCATATAGACATATTGTAGTAGTGGCACTAACACACTCTCGACTTTGGCATTTCAAGATGGTGGCGAGCGACGGCGACAGCGAGTAACGCGGGCTGCTATGTTGCTGCTGTCGCTAGTGCGCCGTGAGTCAGTTGCAGTGAGGAATCGCGCAAATATAATTGTATTGTTTAGCCGAAAGCCAAAGTGCACTCGGAGCAACGTGGACGTGCCTTCGGAGATGTAAAGAGACGCTGCTCGCGAGCTGCCCAGTAGCTCGCAGCAGTGCAGCCGCTCGGATTCCCCTAATTGCTGCTGCTGCTGTTGTTGTTTTCACGGTGCGGTATATGTTTGAGTGCAGAGCGCTGAACGCTGAACGTCCTTGCTCGCCTTCTTTTTTTTTAACTTGGGCCTGAGAAGGGGACTGGAATTAAAGGGTCTTTTTCGCGCAGGTAAACATGGCCAAGAGCGTGCTCGGTTCCGATACCATGCCCAAGGCGGGCAGAGTTAACGAAGGTATGACTTCATCATCTCGTTCTCTTTATCTGTTCACTCTTTTTCCCGCTATTTCCCAGCTGTTCGCTCTGATTTTCTTTTCTTCTGCACCTGTACCGCTTTATTTTTGCACGCTGTCGCGCGGACCTTATTGTTCGTCGCAGTAACGCGCCGAGTTTCTCTTTTATTAACGGCATAATAAATGGTGATCTAATAAACAAGGGAGGAGTCGGCGTTCGTGACGATAATTGTACCGCGCTGTGCTCGACCATTCTGTCCGACCTTTTATCTCGAACGGAAGAAAAAAGAATTTGTGAATGGCATTTACGAGCCATAGCTGTGTTGCATACTCTACGCTGTCCCACGCGTACGGCTTCCTTCGCCTTGATATCACTTTTATTGAGCGTAACGGCAAGTCACCGCCGCTTCGATTATGTTATGTACAATGAGAAACTTGTGGACGGATTAGTTTTTTTAAAGAGCTTCCGTTCGTTGATTGCAATACGAATTTTCAGTTTACCGGCACAATCGTCTTTCACATGAAAATACGTAACCTTTTAAAACAGATTCGTTCGAGTGAAACTTGTAAATGGACGTTATTGTGTTGTAAAAAAAAGCCCGCAAAAGTTTTATTCCAGTTCGTGAGTCACAGCGTAAGAATCCTTGAGAAAAATGATTATCGGTAGAATAGTCGGTTGCCTCGGGCTCGTACGTGCAGGGTCTAAAAGTCGTCGAAAATACATTTGTTGACGTACGATCGTATTCGTTCGTTTGGCAAAGCAGCCGAGCAGAAAAAGGGCTCAGCGATGGGTGGCCCCGTTGAGCGCGAGCTCGAGGATAAGAATTTAGCGTGCGCGTGAAATTGACAATTGCGGCAGATGAAACGGAGCAAAATAGGACCCCGAGCAATGAATCATCTTTGAACGCGTAGTTTGCAGGGAGTGGTTGGTTCACGAGGACGGAGCACTGGCCTACCGGCTGCAAGACGAAGAAAGTACGTGGTCGATCTGCCTGCTGTCGCGATCGCGCGCCACCAGCACCAAGTAATCCGATAAATTGTGATTTGCAGTTAAAGAGCACTACTCGCACAACAAGGTGCGGAACGCACAGGTGAGGGAGGATCTGCCGAAAGCTCGAGTCGAGCAGGAAATGGAGATGCTGAGATATCAAGCTTACGTGCAGGAACAGTTAGTATATCATTGACGATTAGAGCAGGCGGCGGCCGAAGTCGCTTCGACGACAAGTTTGTCACAGTAGGCGCGTGTGTTTGTTCGCAGGGAAGAGAGGGACGAGTTAATTGCCAGACAAGTAGCGCTTTCGCTGGAAAGGGAGGAGCGCACGAAGGAGCGAGAATTGCGCGAGCAAATGAGGTTGCAGCTGAGACTCGACGACGAGATCGCCAGACTGGAGGCCGAGGCTGAAATACAGCGACGACTACAGGAGGAAAAGGATCAGGTAAGGCTCGCTCGCGCCGAGGCGCCAGTCCGCGCGCGAGCTCTCACGCTCGGGGGCGTCTTTCCGCAGGAATTGGCGCGAAAGATTCAAGAGGAGGAGGAGGGCGCGATGGGGGTGGACGTGCAGGACGCCGGGGCGGTGCTGCTGGACGAGCAACTGCTGCTGGACCACAAGATCGCGATGGAGGCGCAAGACGCCGAGCTGGCGCGGATGCTGCAGGACAAGGAGCGCGCCAAGGCCAAGAGGGCGCGCGAACGAGCCAGGCAGAAGAAACTCGAGCGCCAGGCTCAGCAGCAGCAGCAGCAGCAGCAGCAGCAGCAGCAGCAGCAGCAGCAGCACCTCGAGGAGGAGCGCCTGTCGGCGAACGGCAGCCTCGAGAGGCCACGGCGACCCGACAAGCTGGATCTCAAGTCCAGCCTACGTGAGTTCACCGAGGTTACGTTCAACACGATTACGGATAATAATGCTATCGATTACAAATGTCAGCGAAACCGAGGCAGGGACGCCACAGTCGGCAGCCGTCGGACCCCGAAGAGATTCGCAGCTACTCCGGGGAATTGGACGAGGAGACGCAGCCGCGCAACGTCGCTGCGATGATCGATCCCACGTACAACGCCAACGCCTACACCAGCTCAAGTTCTAGCAGTCAGATAAGTCCCGGCTACGCCCTAACGACGCCACCTTCCACTTTGTCCCACGGCGAGCACGTCGTACTCGACGACACCAACTCCTGCTACATGCCTGTCCCGGGAACGCGACGTAATCATTCCAGTAAGCAGTTCTCTTTAGTTCTCTTGCTAATCGTCAATCGTTTGTCACATCGGTTTCATCCCAGTTGTTTCGTTCACTTTTTCCAGATCCACAGCATTCACCCTCGCAAATCCACGAAGAAAAGCAGAAACGACGCGTTAAAGACAGCTGTAAGCAACAGTAGGCACTCGTTACGTTATTAACAATGAGACTATGTGAAAATGAATTACGAATTTTACACGTTTTTCTATTCGTTTGTAATCTGGTGGAAATATTTTTGTCCCACGAAAAAAATTAAATGTAATTATAAAATTATGATATATTTTTACATAACGAAACGGTGTACAATATTATTAATTAAACTTAATGATGTTTCCACGAGCGATATGTGTCAGGGGAGTCGTGAACAGAAATGAGTTTTATAGCAACATAATATTGAATAAAATTGCTACTCTACTTTTATATTTTAAAGTAATTTAACGAATCAACGTTATGATAACATTTTAGATAGATTTTGTAACAAATTCTGGAAGACCTTTTTACAAACTAACTTTCCATGTACATTCCTATGTCAGTATATATATATATTAATACAAAAGTATTTCCACCATATTTCATAGTATACATAACGCTTATGAGGCCTTTTTCACCTTGGAATAAATTGCTGATAATGAAATTCAATTGTGCCTTTGAGATATGGGCATCAATTTTTACCCGAGTGCCTCGACTATCGAGCTAAACTAAATGAAATAGGAAGTGCATTTATTATACGATTAGCAAACTGGTTTTACTTGATAAGCTTTCAAAGTAGCATCTTAAGGCAATACTTTTTCATCATCAATCAAAATTCAATCATTATATTAACATTGTATACAATACTTTTATGAATCGTATACCTTACACTCGTAGTGAGATTTTACACTATATTTGGTCAACTCGACTTTTATTCGAACCAATTGTTGCCAAAGATCTGAGATCTTGCAGAAATTAATCATTAATAAGTTTTATTATTAAAAAATATAAACGTTTGAACTGCGTTTTTACCTCCAAAAGATCTAATCATATATGGATAAAAAAAAAATAAAAGTATTAGTATTATCAGTATACTTGCTTCGCATATCGAGCAATAGAGAATTATGTTTATAATTATGAGAAATATTTGTGCAGTAATTAGTAATCTATTACTGCGAAAAATTGTGCGTTTACATGATTTATTATAGTACGACGTGGGATTTCGGAGACTTATTTACAAGTGAATAAATTTATATTATCTTTATTGAGCTAACACATGATGTATTCAATAAATTATTTACAACAGTATCATACATGTTTTTTTTCTTTGCAAAAGTAATTTTTTTTTATAGTTCGAGGCAAATTAATGTATAATAACAAAAAAAATCAAAAAAATGTTCACAGCATATAAAGCGTAAGTCGCAATTATCACTCGAATTAATTTTTAATCAATTAGTTTTATTTTTCATCTTTTTCGGCAATACAAAACAAGTTCGTGGGCGCCGCATTCTGATAGACGTTGCTCGCTCACTTTTCACATTAATGCGTTTGATAAGGTTCGTTGTCATTTCGGAAGTCTCCTCGTCGTCTGGTATTGGCGAAATAAATCTATAACGATCCACATACACATGTTTTACACATATATGGCAACTTTGTCAGTCATTTGCTTTTTATTGATGCATCCAGAGAGCTTTTCCTCTCTTTAATAAAAAGGAACTTACTTCTGAAACCCGGCTGGTTTCGAAAATTCGTAAGTTGGCGTTTTACATTCGCCTAAAATAATATATTATTGATTAAAATTTTACAGTATTGAAATTATGTACAAAACGTGAAAAAAAATTTTAAAAATGAATATACCTTGAGCATCATCTGGTAACTCTCCAGTTTCTTCTGGCACAGAAAATTCAAAATTTTTCCCCTCACTGACTTTTCTTCCTCTTTTTGGCTTGCCAAGTAATTTGGCCTTTTCCGTTTCTTCAACTGCTTCCACAGGTACTGAGGTAGCGCGTTTCCTTCTAGTCGGTTGTTTTTTTGTTACTAGAGATTTAGTAGTTTCTTCGGGTATAATATCTTCGATTAATGTAGTTTTGGCCAAGACGCTCCGCGTTACACGCTTCCCCACTGGTACAATAACTTTTGAGTCAACGCTCGCAGCTCGTCGACTTCTATTTTCGTCATGAATCTCGGCGCTATTGGATTTTTTGTTAAAGACTCTGACTGGGATTGGCACGTTAAGAATCTCTTCGAGTTCCTCAGGAACGGATTGTATCGAGGAGCGTCTACTGCGTGTGTTAGTAGCCGGACTAGATACCGCAATCTCCTCTGCAGCACGTGGTAGACGATTTCGTTTGTCCATAGGCGAGTCTAACTGCGAAAGACTTTCTTCGAGAATGACTTCTTGCAAGAGACTCGTGGAGCGTCTTCTACGAGAGTACAGCTTAACCGGCTCTGTTGATTAGAAGTTGAAATACTATTTAATAAACTAAAATTAACGTGAATCATAGTTAAAATTATAATCCTACAGACCTGCTGGTGCATCTTTAGGCACAGAGCTACCGCGTTTCCGTATTGGTCTCTTACTAAAAGTTTCTTCGTGTTCGGGTGTTGAAGTATCCTTAGATACTGACGCAGCTCTCGTTGCTCTTTTAGTCATGGTATCTCCATTCTCAATTGCACTGGTATCTTTTGACACCGACGCGGCTCTTGTTCTTCTCATTCCTAACGGCACTTCTTCTTCTTTAACTACTGAAGTAGCCCTTGTTTTTCGATCATGGCTACAGAGCTTTTCCTCCGACATATCGCGATCTTGAGCCACACAGCCAGCTCTTGTTTTTCTCGTATTAATTGCAAGTTTATCGTCTTGTACTACAGAGCTTGCTTTTGGTTTTTTCGTGACCGTTACAGATTTTTCTAAGAATACCTCGTCGTCTTGAACAACGGAGCTTGCACGTGTTTTTCTTACGCTCGCAGGTTTTTCTAGTGCTGATTTTTCCTGAGTTACTGAGCCAGCCCGAGTTTTTCTCACGGACTTTAAGCTCGTCTCCTTTGTTCGAGTAGCTCGAGGTTTAGAAGACTTTTCAACTTCATGAGCTTCCTCTGTTTCATCAATGTTGTCCTTAAATTAAAAATACATGGATAATTATTCATTTGACATAACAAACTTTTACGTCATCAATCACAATACTTACAGCTACTATTGCATCCTTTGACATAGAAGTGACTTTTGTTTTGAATTTAGTTTTCTTTTCCGACGGCTCTTCAACCAAATGTTCACTGTCAGTGCTAGATTCAAAAATCGTTGGGCCATCTCTCACAACGGACACTACTTTTGTTTTTTTAGCTGGCTTCTCGACTTCCTTAGACGTTGAGCCAATTCTAGCACGCGTTCTTGTTGAAATTGTTTGATTAACTGATTCTCTTTGAGTCGTTCGAGCGGATCGTTTCGTTTTAACTGATATTTCTTGAGATATGTCTTTATCTTGAGATGGTTCTCGTGACGATTGTCTGGAGGACGCGCGTGACGATATTTTTTCTGATGACTGATTATTTGATTGCTCATTGGGCATTCCGAGCGCTTTAGACAATGACACTTTGACTTCCCTCATCGCTGAAATATTTTGCTTCTCACGATCACCTAGAAATAAGCATCAAAACATAAAGTAATTGTATTACGTTAGGTTGAACGAAGAATTGTTCTCCAATTGTAAAATATAATACTTACTCAATTGACTAGGAGTTATGGGTTCCATTGCTTCACAAATTTTGCCAGGACTCGAAGATAATGATTTAATGGAGCGCCTGGGCGACGGTTGTAGAATCGCAGATGGCTTTCTGGCACTTCGACGTAGTGGGGTACTTGGTTTATTAATGTCATCGATCAACATCGTTGGTACCGATAACGAAGGTTCCTAAAAATATGGCACATAACGTCTGAAACTCATTTAAGCAGAAAAATAATTGATTTAAAAGCACAAGGTCACTAACTATAGAAGACTCTTTCGTAGCGGATACAGTACGTTTTCTCTTCAGTGTCTTTGAGGTAGGCGATGAGTCCGGTAGTTTATCTTCCTCTTTTCGACTCGACAAACCATTGGTTCGAGTTAACGTGTCAGATGCGAGTTGTTCGTTGTCGGGAGAGTTGTCGTCGGACGAAGATACGCTGAGCTTTAGATCATCCTCGTTGTCTTCATCCTCGACTTTGTTTTGCGACTGAATTATAGATTCCAATTCTGGCATTTTTACCGGTACTTCATCTACGGACTCATCATCCGTGATATCAGGAGTTGGCTCTGCGAATTTAAGCGTATCGCGGTTGTCAAGAAAAAGAGGTTTAGTCAAGCTGTGATCATGATCTTCATTGATGGATTCATCCTTTGGATTTAATTTGGAACGTTCAATTAAACTGTAATCTTGACCATGAATTTTTCTATTTTCAAAAGTATCCGTTATATCATAATTTGCATCATCATTGAAATTCTTGATCGGGTGATCAATACATTGTACAATTGGCTCGAATGTGCTGTTGTCCATAGAATTGGAGAAACTTTGAAAACTTTCACATTCACCATCTTCTAGTTCAAGATGTTTTGACTGCTTCTTAAGTTTCTCGATTTCCTCGTCATCGCTAATTTCAGGCTGCTGAGATGGATCTTGACTTGCGGAAGCCGATATTTCACTTTTACTATCTTCGTCTGGAGTTTCCATTTCTTCATTTTCAGCTTCGTTTTCACTTGCCTCTGCAGTTTGTTTTCTATCTGTCTGCTGAGCCACTTTACTAGTAACGGGTGTCACTAACAAATTTTCATTGTCACAAGTTACAGTTGAAACTTCCTCTTCGTCTCCCGATAGTTCTTCGGACTCTTCACTTTCTTCTTCAACATCGCACTTAGATTCGAACGCAAAAGGTCTCTTCAATGGAGAAGTTTCTACGCTTGTATTTGCAGACAAAATCGAAGCATTGTATACGGTTTGGGACAGCAAAGATTTGCTGGGATCACTGGGCGAGCCGGATGTTTTTCTACTCTTTTCTTGTGAAATATCCTAATAAACAAATTACAATTGAGCGACGTAAAGTTATTGAATATATGGTGCGTGAAAACTTAATCATCTTATTTACCAGTTTAGAGACACTCAAAGTAGAATTATCAGATGAAGCCATCTTCTGAGACAAATATTCACTTGATGCATGAGACAATAGGCTACTTCTTCGTAAACTTGGCCTGGGTCGAGGTCCACGAAAATATTTTGTAATACTGCTATCAGTAAGGATTGAGCTATCTCTCGAATATTGTGTGCTTGCATTAGGACTATAATAAGTTTCGTCAGTTCTAAAATAAAGAAACACAGATTATTTTATCCAAACTCGTATAAAATTCGAGTTATTCAAGAGAACTATGTAATGTTTATATCTACCCTGCTTCGCCGTCTGCAATTTTGTTACAAAGCGAAATGTTTTCTTGTTCATCTTTTTCTTGGTTGCTGTCATTCATAGAGCAGAGTGAATCCTCGTTGCTGCTGAATCTTTCTACGCTGAAGCGAATCTGACGAGCCGGTCTTACATCGTCTATTACTGAAGGTTTCAAAAAATAATTTTCTTCGTTCGAACCCTATAAAAAATTAATAAATTGATGTATTATAACTTAACTCAGGCTGTATTGTGAAAATTTCAATCATTAGCAGTAATTACTACATTTAAATCGTAACCAGGTGAATTAGAATTGCGTTGGAGCAGCTGTCGTATTTTGAGTATCGAATGCGGCGTCTCAACAGTTAAATTATTAAATTCTTTGTCTTTACGCTGAACTAGTGGCGTTTTACATACTTGACTCATACTTAGTCGGCGAAACAGTTGTGCGTTATTTTCTTCTTTCGACAGATTTGTGTCTTCAATGCAATGAAAATTAATGTTAAATATTGGTAACTAACTATAAATAAAATAAATATCGGCTTACCACTAACACTGCCGAGTCTTCGCCTCTTCCTATCAGTAGTGTCATCAACGGCATCGATGTTTCCATGGTTTATCGTATCTAAAGACCGCTTGCTATTTATTAATTTTCGTTCTGGGAACAGTACGCAATTAGCATCAGTCTGCTCAGGTATATTGCCAGTTGCCCTAGTGCAGAAGACAATAGTGGAGCAAGGTGCTCCAAGGAAAGGCACATAATTTACGGAAGTATTAACTTTGCCTGCTTTAAGACATGTTTCGCGGGTTTTGTATACGGCCAATTCGTAAATTTCTTTAGCCGGAAGACGGCACTGCGACATTGGCTTGGGATAACCCTGTGTAATATTGGTTATAGAACTTGAATTGCCCATAAATGATTGTGGCTGTAGTACTTGGTACGAATTGGCTTTATTGGAGCTAAACAGTGGAACGGAAAAATCATTTTTGTTGAGCGTGTTGGCGAATTTTTTCGTGACAGCAGGCAACGTGTCGTTGTATGCGCCGAGCATTTTCAAAGCGATAGGATTTATTTTATTTGGCGCTATCGAATGACCTTCATAAAAATCATATTAACAGGTTATTTCTATAAAAAGAATGTAATAATAAAGTTGTACAAGCTACTCACGAGAATTTCTGTTGGTATCAATGCTAAATACATCTTTTGCCTCCGCATGTCTGGAACGTTGTAGATAATAAAGCAATCTTATGTCCTCGCATTCGTTGTCCTTTAAGAATTTCACAAATGCTTCCTCTTCCTCACTGTCTAATGACAATAACAAAATTTCTTTGAGTTTGCCATGAGCTTTGCATGACTGAAAAAATCGGGTAAGTAGCTGATTATAGTGTGAAGATGGTCGGGCGTGGAATGCTGATTCGACGAGACCTTGCTCTACTGAAAGACTTATGATAATACCCTGTTCTTCCAAAGACGTTAACGGAGGTTTGATTATACGCAAATACATTAAAGCTACAAATACATATAGAATGTCAAATCATTTTCTTCAAGTAAACTAATAAATCACAAAAAAAAACTCTCTTTACCTAGTTTGTGCTGATTGTTTTGTAAAAGAGTACGAATGGCAAGTTTATGGTGCCAGTCTTTGATGTCAGTCAAGGATACGAGTTCACCGGTAATGACGTTGAAAAAGCCTTCGTAATCCTCGTGATCAAGCAACCAAAAGGCCTGGGTGAGTTTGATTAAACTAGGGCTAAGCTTGAATGCTGAAGGATACTTTATAAGTTGGTCAACGTTAGAATGCGTATTTTGAAGTAACATCGCCAGATCCATTAGTAGGTATATAGTGATACTGTGCTTGCTTTGCATTTCTACTAAGTCACCGATATCTTCTTCATCAGTTGTTCCATCGAAAGTTTCCCTATAACAATCCGTAAGGAAAGATCTCAAGAGCGTCTGTAATGATGGAGGTGGGTATCGGCCTTCGCGATTGGAAAATTCACCAACGGCTTCTCGTTGCCATTGTGCCTTTAGCGCCATGCACTCATAGTTTATCAACTGATCAATGAACAGAACATCCTCTTGTTCCATTTTGCCACCCATTTTTTGGCAATTTTCTTTTCTTTTTTCGTAAAATTCTGCGAGCTTGTCTATTGGATAGGGAATTTTTACTGGAAAAGCTATTTGAGGTAGATCGCTTTCCTTTTGTTCTACAAGCTCACGGCTTTCCGGTAGTAGACCAACGTCGTAAAACCACAATAATACTTGTAGATAAGTGGCTATCCTTTTGAGAGCCCTTCTTTGTCTTTCGAGGTCACCTTCCAAGTTGGGCACGTGTGCTACAACGTTGCCAAGGCATTCAAGCTGCTGAGCACAGAACCGTAGAGTTCTCACTTCAGTTTCACCAATAGTGATACCAGATTGATCAAAAAGTGGCACGCACAGCTGATCGGTTATCAGTTTAAGTTCCGAGGCTCGCTGTACGCTCCAGCGCAAGAATTCTGGATAGAGGTAGGCTGCGCTTCCGTCTGACCACTCAAGCACACATCGCAATAGAAAGTTGGCCCACCTCTGCTCGAGGCATATTGATAACAACATCTGTCGTTGTTCCGCCTGGTCTGCATCGAATAGAAAATCTTGTGGAGTTGAGTCGAAAGGTACCTATAACAAGCAAAGTATAAAATTAAAAATATCAAGAGATCAATAGTAATATTATCGTCAAACTTAAGCATACTTACTAAGCCGGACACAAGGCATCTGTGATAAATTTCGGTTGGCTTGACGAGAACGATTGGGCCGGTAATGGTGATCTCTCGCAGCAGTTCTGCTTGCACGCCTCTTACAAGCCAGTGAGTAAGTGAATCCCAGCTGAGTTCGAGCCACTCGATAGTTAGTGAGTTCGGGTAGAAAAGCTCCTCCGGCGAGCTAGGTCCTTTGATGGGGAATTCCCTGAGTGACTTGGACGCGTAGGCACATGCGACGATGCCTTTTCTCGGTGCCGTCGAGTCTTCGGGCGCCGTACGATAACTAGCCATAACACTGTTGGGGTTGCGGCATTCGGCCATCGTACGCGGCATCTGCTCCTTGTACCAGCGATTCAGGTCGAACAATAGCACCCGCTCATCGCTGCCAATTAGCAGCAGACTGTCCTCACCTCGGCGAGAGCCGTAGTCGGCCGGATCACGCGAGTTCTCGCGCTCTACTGAGATCAGACTATGAACTCGCTCGCCCTGCTCCAGCTCCAGCTCGAATTTCAAACTCGGCTCTGACTCCAAATTGAAGTACAGGCTCGATTCGCCTGACTTGTCACTGTGCTTCTTATTGAACAGCATGGCATACATGCGCAGCACTGCTGACGAATTCGACGAGTCGTTCTGCAAAAAATATCGACCACTTCAGTAAATCAGTTTATTATCTTAACAATAACTTTTAAGACGTTTTTTAACCTACCTGACATGCAATCCAGAGATAATAAAATGGTCGAGGATCGTCCGAAGGCTCGAGGAGAGCGACGTGAGTGACGTAAGCATTCTCATCAAAAGTTGGGCTTATCCAACCGATTGAACCATCACTTTGCCATATTATGACGCGACCTAAACAGCCAGTTATCAAGCAGCCAGTCTTTGTGGAACTTAATAAAACTGAACACAAATTTTCGTCGAACAGCGGTGTCGACTCAAAATCGTCTCTGTCAAAGCCCATGAATTGCTCAATTTCTGTCAAATAATATAAGTCAAATTTTATTTCAAAATATTTTCATATGTTTTACATTATTTACTACAGTTGATTATTCACCTCTATCCATTAGGTTATATGCTAAGTATCTGAGTTCTTTTTTCTTACTATTCAATGTTGTAGGAGGACTGTTTACAAATTCTAATTTTGCTGACAACATTTTACCATCTTGTATTTTACTTTGCCATAACAACCTGTTTACATCAATAATAATGTGCTGAAGATTTCTAAGAGCAGCAAATATCAATCCTGAATTACCAGGTAACACTGTATCTGGTCTCTTCTCATTGTATTCTTCCCATTCTGCACCACCATGAACAATGCATGCCTTCTCAACACCAGCAGGTACCTAGGAACAATATTATTTCCATTAGAATTTTGTGAAATACTGTTTCAAACTCTGAAGTTAGATGATTAATCTGAGCCATATAATTTTAATTTTGAAAACGTATAATTACTTGTATCGTTGTTAATATAATTGAAGTATTGCAGTCGTAAACATACAAATATCCTATTGAATCTTTTATTCTTATTGCATTATTATCTGTTCCCACTAAGAGCAATGGCATCTGTCCAGATTCCATGGGAAAGGAATATACCGATGTGATCTGATTTGGAAAACTCCAGGTACTAATGCACCTGCCACATCTTGCATCAATTACAACCAGACGCCTATCATGGCTAAGCCATGCATATCTGCATTCGTTATTTAGAAAACCGCCAAAGTTTTGAGTAAGATTTGTATCTTTCGAACCACCTGTGGTAGCAGATTCTTCGTAATGTGTTACATTGTCTAATTGACTCCATGATGGAATATCCAAATTTATAACGTTACGTATCTATAATTCAGAAGTAAAGATTATCAGTTTTAAAAAGAGAAGCTCACAAATATCAATGGGCTTACCTCGCAGTTGGTTTCTTCTAATTCTTTCATTTTCTCAAAAACTATCTCTTCAACTCAAACCTTACTAAATACATTTATAACTTTAATCTTTATCAATTGCACATAATTTATTGAATGAGAAGATAAACTTTATGGCGAATAATTAATGATAAAATGAGGTTATGGCCGCTAGTTCCCGCGAAAACAAGAAATCCGTTGTGGCCTACTTTACAAGTCTGTTTGATTGCGTTTTGTGGTTGCTACTAAGTAAAAATGAGATAAAAATCAATATTAAACGGTATTGTTACTTTTATTACTTTTGTGAACAATTATTTGAATATTCCCGAAAAAGCTTGCTCCCAAAACATGTTCACATCAGCCGCGTGCATTTACTTACACATAGAGCATGGAGTCATCCTGCACTATTATACATTCGCTAAATTTAAATGTCCGACTGCTTTACGTCATATGCGTCAAATCGTCAAGTCGTCACTAATAAAAAATGTACATGCAATTTAAAATTTTATGTCGAATTACATAATTAAAAATAGAAAATTATAAAACATTGGTTAAATTTTAACTTTGATAATTCAAACTTATTTTGACAATTTATTTATATTATATTATATAGGTATTTCGCATTACTTACAATTATTTAGATTATAAAAAAGTTTATTACTAAGTCCAATTGTAGAAAGTAAATTTTATAACAATTGTGCTTTTCCAGGATCCGTTTTGTTTGACATTTATTTTCCCTTGTTCCCCTTATAATCTCGTTTTTTTTTTTTCAGGTATAAAAAAATGATGGGTGCCATGTTGAAGCATTTTATTCATGATTTGATTGGCTAAGATATAGTCACGTGATATAGTGTTATGAGGCCGTAAATATAAGCGTGTAAATCTAGTTTCGAGTTGAGATTTTAGTAATAAAAATTTAATTCATTGTATTTGATACGGGTAATTTTGAAGATAACGAAAGTAAAAAAAGTAGGTTCTAATGTTATTATTTTTTTATTCATTTTATAAAAACTAGCAGCGAATAAATCATTTCGTAAAAATCTCTAAATATCTTAATTCTATAATACTATATAATCGATATGATCTGGTTTTTAAATGTGTAAGATTGAAATAAAGGTTTTGTAATATCTCAATCTTTATTAAAAAAGTAGGATAAACATTTAATAATAATTTGACTCGTTGGAAAAAACTAAAGATTATTTATTACAGTTTTCGATAAGATAAATCATAAATTTAAGAATGTACTTCATCACTAATATACGTTTTCCACTGTGATATGTGTTTTGTAAAAAATTGAAAAAAAAAACTTTAAAAAAACTAATTTATGTTAATATAGTAATACAACAATAAGAAATGAAAAAGAAGATAAGAGTGCGTAAAGCACATCTGATTCTATATATTTTTATTTTCTTATATAAAAAAGTATAATAACTTGCCGAGTGAAGTAATTTTATTCATTATCTAATTAACTATAAATATATTTTCATTTATTACAAAAGTGGTGGATGTCATATATGTTGCAACATTTTATTCATGATACGTGAAATATGTTCATGTGATATCCTGGCATATGGTGGTTAATAAGCAATATTTTGAATTTAGATTTATACTAATTTTAGTAAAAGAAGTAACTAAATAAAAAAAGGAAAATGTACTAAAAAATATAATTAACTTGTTCAAAGATTCAAGAGCATTAATAAAGAAGTTTGGCTTTATGTACAATATTCTCGAAATAATTAGAATTCTGCCCCTGAATGCGGAATATATAGCTTATTGTAAGGGTCTGTCTCCATAGGGCCTGCCTGAGTCCGTCCGTGCCGGCCGAGATTTTTTATGGGCACGCCATCTCTATAATTTCGTGTTCATGCGTTTCTCGTATTGGCTGCGTCCGATCGGGCTCGTTTATGTAAACGCAGCCATTCACTATGAAACTCGCCATTGGATACGAAATTATAGAGATGGCGTGCCCATAAAAAATCTCGGCCGGCTCGGACGGACTCAGGCAGGCCCTATGGAGACAGACCCTAAGGTTTTAATTAGACCCCGGTCCCATAGCTACGTATGAATGCGGACGGATACGGACGCGAATCGCAACTCTAGTAACATCACTAAAAATATCTAGTTCGATTATTTAGTACCAGCACTACCGGTAGTGAGCAAAAGTAACTGTTGTTTAAAACTGTAGCGCCGAACGTACCACATTTAATGTTCAAATGTCAGGTTTACAATTTACGTTTCAAATTCTCATGAATATTGCTTATTGATGAGTATGCTAATGTAAAAAAAGCTTTTGGGATGATTAATACATATCATTTATATATATTTTCTTCTTCTCGTATATTCAAGTACTTCTATAAAATTAAGGCCTAATTCCACTAATTGTAGTTGAAAGTCTATCAATTCTCTATCATTTGCCATCTTATAGACTGCAATAATGTAAAGGTTAGATAAGCGTTCATTAAATGTGGTACGTTCGGCGCTACAGTTTTAAACAATAGTTACTTTTGCTCACTACCGGTAGTGTTGGTACTAAATAATCGAACTAGATATTTTTAGTGATGTTACTAGAGTTGCGATTCGCGTCCGTATCCATCCACATTCATACGTATATAGCTATGGGACCGGGGTCATGAACGTGGCAAATATTTAATTGTGAATCTGACGCCCAAAAAAATTTTTTAATCATATTTTTGAGTTTTCATGAGCTTTTCTCCCTTTTTCCGGATTATGTCTCCGCTTGAAATTTTATTTTCGGATTTTCCGTTTTTAAGAAAGTTGCGAAAAAAAATCGGGCGTTCGTATAGCGCGATAAATTCATTAAACATTTTTCTCCTGCTTAAAAAGAAATAATATCGATAGCGGATGATAGCTCCTTATTCCCGGATTACGAAACAATTTTCCTTTTGTCGATTTTCTATCCAAAATTGAGGAAAATGTACAAATTAGTAATATGCGGCAGTTAGTCGATAAAACAGATCAAACGTTTGCTAATCACCAGATATCCCTATATAAGCTCTACATTGCGTAATTATAATAATAAGTAATTCAAATTCTACTCAATTAACCATTCACATTTTATGTACATATACATAAATAATTTTTAAGAATAAGAAAAATGGAAGTAAAATTAAAATCGTTATTAAGTAATTCAACAAATATAAAACTAAGCTATAAGTTTTTGATCAATTATTGTTTTTTTCAATTTTAACTAGTCAATTCAATTTTTTTATTACTTTGTTCAGAATTATGTTATTTTATATAGTTAAAATATTAATAATAAAATTTACATGTTGACAAAGTTATAGAAAAGCTTAGAAAAAATTATTTATGTATATGTACATAAAATGCGAATGGTTAATTGAGTAGAATTTGAATTACTTATTATTATAATTACGCAATGTAGAACTTATATAGGGATATCTGGTGATTAGCAAACGTTTGATCTGTTTTATCGACTAACTGCCGCATATTACTAATTTTTACATTTTCCTCAATTTTGGATAGAAAATCGACAAAAGGAAAATTGTTTCGTAATCCGGGAATAAAAAGCTATCGTCCGCTATCGATATTATTTCTTTTTAAGCAGGAGAAAAATGTTTAATGCATTTTGCGCGCTATACGAACGCCCGATTTTTTTTCGCAATTTTCTTAAAAACGGAAAATCCGGAAATAAAATTTCAAGCGGAAACATAATCCGGAAAAAGGGAGAAAACGTCTTAGCTCATAAAAACTCAAAAATATGATTAAAAAATTTTTTTGGGCGTCAGATTCACAAGTCTAATATTTTATACGGGTAGCCAGACGACCTGAAGGCAGTCAGAAAACGATCTTGAAGTTAGCTATCAATTCAGCCAACACTGCGCTCCGGTGCGTTGTGTAGTGTGTTGGATAGTCGATAGAGTCAGTCCATGTTTTATAGACGCTGTAGTGATAGAATTAATTTTATAATGTTATATTGATAATTTTTATAATTGAATATTTTCAGTAGAGTTTTTTGTATGATCAATTTATAAATTTTAATGTCAATACTATTGCTTTATAAGAAACTTAAGTTGAGTTTGTAAATTATTTGGAAGCCAAATATAACCTTAACATGATCAAAATCATAAGTACATATATGTCCATATAAACAAGTATGAAAGTATCAATTAGTTTTTAAAATTCTTCACAAATTATGGATCAAGAAAAATTTTAATTAGTAGTCATACAAAATGACGACTGTAAAAAATAACGGGACCCCGGGCGATAGTTTAGAAGATTTAGGAATACCTGGACAATCTTTTCTTAGTGATGCCTTAACTAGCTGTAACGATCCTCTAAAAGCTATAGAAGAATTTCAGGTTTGCTATGAATCTTTGATTAATTATTATTTTGATTTTAGATAGAAGAGATTTTTTTAATAATATTCATGACTAATTTTTACTCTTAGCTGGAAAATGGAATCCTCTTACCTTCTCTTAGACCTATGTTACCATTATTAGATCTTCATGGTATTCAAAGATTTGATTTTCATGCTTCTGTATTAGAAGAGCTAAGAGAACAGCTAATAAAACGCATTAATGAAATTGGAGCAGAAAGAAGTGAAAAAGGCTCGCAATCTGTTGATCGTAGACTGAAAGAGCTCTTATCTAAAAGTTTTCCTGCTATAAGAGTAGCTGCTTTGAGGCCAGTCGTCATGTGCATTTTGAGAAACACACCAGTCATAGATGATAAATACTTGAAAATACTTGTAAGAGAAAAAGAGCTTTACAATGATGCTGATACAGAAGTTAAAAGACAAATATGGAAAGACAATCAGAGTTTGTTTGGGGATGAAGTGTCTCCATTATTTAGTAGATACATTATTGAAAAAGAACAAGTTCTTTTTGATCATCTTAACTTAACTAGTCCATTCTTTATGCCTTCTCCAAAAGTAAGTAAGAACAATAGCTGTAATTAATGTGATAAATATATTTTATTGACAATGCATCGAATTGTAGGTGAGAAGACAAGGAGAAGTTGTACAAAAATTAGCCCATATGATTGGGCATAGTGTTAAGTTGTATGATATGGTTCTCCAATTTTTACGAACATTATTTTTGAGGACAAAAAATGTTCATTATTGTACTTTAAGGGCTGAGCTCTTAATGGCTTTGCATGACTTGGAGGTTTGACCTGTTCTACATTTTGTTTCTAACATAAATGAATTTTTAGTAATTTTTAGCTTTTATCGTAGGTTCAAGACATTATTTCTGTAGATCCTTGTCACAAATTTACATGGTGTTTGGATGCTTGCATTCGAGAAAAAAATGTTGACGTCAAGAGATCTCGTGAACTTCAAGGCTTTTTAGATAGTATTAAGAGAGGACAAGAGCAAGTCTTGGGGGACTTAAGTATGACATTATGTGATCCGTATGCGGTAAATTTTTTAGCAAGTAGTGCAATGAAGATTGCATTGCATCTTATTAATGGAGAGTCGTTACCTCGTGATAACGCTGTCTTGGTGTTATTGCTACGAATGTTGGCATTGGGTCTGTCTGCGTGGACAATGATTGATTCGCAAGATTTTAAAGAGCCTAAGCTCGATAGTCAGGTTGTGACTAAATTTCTTCCAGCTCTAATGTCTTTGATGGTAGACGATCAAATTCGACAGTTGAATCTCAAGCTTCCCCCGGATGAGCGCGAAAGCGCAATTGCAATAATCGAACACTCTGGTCCTCCACCAGATGCATGCCAAGCCTATGCACAATTATCAGGTGTTGCCGCAGTTCTGTCTATGTACTATGCGTTACACGTTGGCGGTATCGGTGCTGGTACCACTGTTCAAAACAAATCACGCGGGGATGCTCGCGGATTAATGCGCGTACTTACCACGTTACCTAATTGCCAAGGACAGCGTGCTTATGAAGATCCATTTCTACATACCTTGGTAAGTAGCGTTACCGTTTTTTTAATGGTTAACTCTTATTACTATTAATATTTTTCGTTTTATCTATAGGTTCTTTTACTTGTTTTAAACATGGCTGACGAATTTACAAATGAATCATTTTGTACTGTGATATTTGATGAATTCTTCTTAGCAGGCATGTCGAAAGATAGTGTAACTAGGCACTTGTTAAAATTATTATGGTGGGTGCATCCAAAATTACCTTCAGCTCGACTTCATGCTCTTGTAAAATCTCTAGAGCCTACGAGTCAGGTAATTCTAATATCTCTCAGCCGATTCCAATTTATCCGCGGCAAACATTAACGTTACACATATTTTTAGCACAATGAAGCTGTTCATAGTTTGTATCAAGCTTTGAAAGACAAAATTGGAAATCGTACCAACGAAGATTTAACAACCCCACCAAGTGATGCAATGGTAGAAGGTCCTACGTCTCCAATGTCTAATTCTACGATGCTTGGAGCTGCCAATCTTTGAGCTACACGACTTGAGGATGTTGCCTTTCGCGGCTTTGTCGCACTTACGCATTCTACTTTGAGTGACAGGAAAAAATATTGTACAACAATTGTTAAAAGTACAAAACTATCTTTATATTAATAAATATTGATTAATTTATATTTTACAACATGGACTTCAGACATTGTGCTACCTTGGATTGATGTTTGGATTAAAGGATGTTACAAGAAGATTTAAATAATCCGAATTCAATTTGTATGCAGTTAAAATCATTGATATATACAAGTTAGCTTGCTTTGTCGACAGTAAACTTGCAAGATAGGGATCGGATAAACTGAGCCTACAATAGAAATTAATTGTATTAATAGGTACTTGGTACAGATTTCATGACAAAAGTTTGATTTTATTTACATTTTTATAATGACAAGACCAATCAGAGTCCATTCTGCTGTTTTAAAAATAATATTTTTAGCAGATAAAGAAAATGTGGATACTAGAGCTTTAACAGGTGCACACCTGACACTGCTGTAATTTAAGCTTGCCCTTGCATACATGTCATTGTTACCAGCTAAAGTTTTAAGAAGATCTGGAAGTCTGAAAATAAAAAACATTGTAAAAGTTATTTTTCAATAGACCAAGTTTAAAATACACTTACACTTGATCTAACTTTTCTAAAAAAATTTTACGTCGCAGAATTTGAGGTGCATGAGTATCAGTAAGCGGTAAAAAAGTATCTGTATTACCAGACGTTCCTTCATCTTCGTCAAATTTTGGCGGCTCCTCAAAATTAGTTTTCCCTTCGTAAAAAGCATGAACCTAATAAAATAAATTGTTTAAGCGATTTGTTTTATGAATAAACAAAAAATTGTGCTTGATTACTTTTAAATTAAGTTTCTGTCCTTCCTCTTTCAATACAGCAAAATGGGGCGCTGGTTTTAATGCAGTTCTTCCTAATATTTCGGCGTCTTCTCTTTCTTCTTGAACTTGTAAACGATCTAACTTCCCGCACAAAATTCTATGGTTTTCTTGTATTTCAATCGCGTTAATCACTTTTTTCTTAACAGATTCGTCTTTAAACAGGTAATCTACAGTTTGATCAGTGATCCATTCGTGTAAACTTTCTTCTACTCTAGCAGCTAGATTAATATCTGTAAGTTTTTCACATGCTTTTTGTTTTCTCTTTTTAGTAGTCTTTGATGTACAATGACGGGGAAGTTTATCAATTTCTTTGCCTTGTGCTACCGTCAAATCGTATTGATCATCTGAATTAGAAGAAATTTCATTAAATCTGTCTTTCACTGGGTATGAAGTCTGTTCGATTACATCTTCACTTTCAATCTGCTTTTTCGTTAAAATGTTAGAGCATTCATTATTTAAATCATTTGTTTTATTTTTAATGGGATTGATGCTTTGCTGTATAATATTATCTATACATGTATTTTTGTCTTTTTCTGTGACATGAATATTGCTGATTATTCCTGTTTCTAATTTTATTTTGTTTTTCATTATTCTATCTTTTTTATATTTCTCAACATGTATATGGAATCCTTCATTTGTTTGCAATGTCTTTCCATCCGCTTCCTTACTAGTTTCAACATCTTTGATTTTTGTTGTTACTTTCGTATTGTTATTTTGATAATTCTTTGGTGGAACAGATTTATTAACAGTAGTATCTAAGTCTTTCAATTCAAAATTTTGCACAGTTTCTAGAACAAAATTTTCAGTGCATTTTGATATTTCTTTTACTGCTTCAATCTGTAGTTCTTTAGTTTTTGATTGACTATCTTTATTGAAAGTGGAATCTTGTGATTTAATATTATATAGTGCATCTTCCTGATCAGTATTTTTAGCATTAGCAATATCCACTTCTTTCCCATGAGTATCAATAGAAAAATTTTTTAAACTTTGTTTTTCTTTGTCAAAAATTCTGAATTTGGGAATTTCTTCATTATCCCTTAACCAAAGAGGACTTGTTAGCAATTGTTCTAGTAAATAATTTGATGCACTAAAGCAACTTGAACTGCAGAAATTTTTCCTTTTTGTAACATCGTAAACTTTTTTGTCTTTCAGTGAAATGTGATAACGTTGATTGTAGACAACAGTTAATGGTTTTTGACAAAGCACATACCCACAAAGTTTTACAATTGCCCGTTCTTCTATGACATCTTCCATATGACATCTATTAATATCTTTTAACTGAAATAGTAATTTGAATTTATTACCATGTTCAATTTTGAGTCAAGAGTTACAAAAAAGTACAAACATTTTCTATAAGCCAAGCAGGATCAACAACAGGTTCCAATAACTGTTCAACAATTGTCAAAGCTTTTGCATCACACTCTTTTTTTTTTATAATCGCCAATTGCATTTGTTCTTTTCTGTAAATATAAACATAGATTTACACACACACACACACACACGCACACACACACACGCGCGTACACACACACACACACACACACACACACACAGAAAGAGGTTAATACTTATTAAACCAATTGCTAAAAAAATACTTGAATTGTTATATACTTTTGTTTCGAGTTTGAAAATCCAGAAAATTGTAAATATATTGATTGTGTATTATTCGAATTTCCTTCATACTTACGTCATTTTTTTCTTGAGTTTACATGCTGTTGTAGGGTTATTTCTTCTTTTCCCCATCATTCTACAAGTGTTACCTTGTGTATTTGAAGATATACACAGAGTACACGTTAAAAATAAGTAACAAGTTTATATATGATTCTGACACATTGACTACAATTATTTAAAATGGAGCAGCGATAAAAAAACAAGTCCAATTAGGCAGGTATAAAAATTTTACACTTGTAAACAAGAAATTCAGCAGACGTTAGGTGGAAAAAAATAAACGCATGCGCGTATCTATCAGCATTTATCGTCAGCCGTTTTCAACCGTTGGACAGAGAAGAAAAAACACGTTTGTGTCCACACAATGCAAGGGCAACACGCATGAACATATACTCACACACGCTTACTGTACGTAAACGCACGCGTGTCTGCTGCTCTGACTACTGCAGCAGGGCCAAACGTAAATTTTGTTTCTTGCGCCCCGCGAGAAAAGACATCACCGACTTTTACTTGCATTTATCCCCGGCGACATGTCGCTTATCCGCACTCTGTGGCAGTGCACTTTTAGTCCGCGACTTTACAAATTCTACGAAGTTTCATGGGTAGGGCGTCTCATCGACGTGGGTATAGCCCCTTCAAACCTAATATGGCCCGTAGTTCTTTCTTCTAGAACTTGGGCTGTTATTTTACTTGTAGGTTATGTTTATTTATCTTTTTTATAATTAATTGTTTTTTTAAATGTTGATTTACAGAAACCATACGAAGCCAAGAGTTTAGAAAAATGGGGCGACCAAGTCGTTTTTTCAGTGAGAATGTTACCATCAATACTCTATTCATTTTCATTTATCAATAATTTGTATTGACTTTTAGATTCATTGAATATTTTGTTTTTAATAACGTCTTACTCTGTATTTTATTTAATATATTGATTGAATTGAATTATAATAGCATGTTTTTCATTTAGTTTGTGACAGCATGGTCTCTGACTATTTATGCCATTCCACTGATTGTAATAGCAATATTTCGAAGAGGTACACCTTTAGCAGATGCCTATACAATATCACAGTTTCTGACAGGAGCTGGCATTGTGCTGGCAACATCTTTGATGGCTCGAGGATATTCTCGGGCAAAGAATCCAACTTATTTGAAATTTATGAAAGTATTAGATGATGCTCGATCTCACCATACATCAGAAACCAAACAAGAACTTGGTAAATATGACTTTGAATTTTGGGCATGGCCAGTCGATTTTAATATTACAACGCTTGAAAAGTAAGTACATTTATGCTATTCTAACTTTGGTTATAAATACTGTATTTATAAAAAATATCACCTTTGGCAGAGTTGGGCTCAAACCGAAATTAACATTGCAAACTGTGGATTCAACTAATAGAACGAACAGTACAAGAAGCAGAGATTCAATCCTGGCTGTACCTTGCAAAATTTTGTCTTATGGAGTAGCACATACAGTGGCATTAAGGCTGATATATCCCGGAAGTGTTTCCTTAGTTAGTTGGGCAATGCGTAAGTATTTAACGATGCAAAAATTGTATTGACCTTTAAATTCATACAAAATGTGATCAACTTCTAGGTGGAATACTTATGCAAGGTAGGGTTGACCTTGTAAAAATTGGAGCAGAAAGATTCAAATTATCAACCTCTGATAAAAATGAAATAGATACAATATTCTTGGATCGAAGACACAAGTACTTAATTTTTATATAGTTTATTATAAATAATTCACTCTTTACAATAAAATTTTACATAAATTATTTGAATAGTTGCACAAAAATCAAAATTTTATTTATTACTTATTTTAGAACTTCAAATGGAGCCACTTTAGTCATAACTTGTGAAGGTAATTTTGGATTCTATGAAGTTGGAATTATTACTACACCACTCAACAAAGGATACTCTGTACTAGGATGGAATCATCCAGGTTTTGGAGGAAGTACGGTAAGTCAATCATTAAAAATAAATCTTCATGCTAATCTTTCCTGTTTTATTGATAATAAATATAATAAATATTTTAAAGGGAGCTCCATATCCTGATCAAGAGGAAAATGCTATTGACTGTGTTATGAAATTCGCCATTCATAGACTAGGGTTTGCTGAAAATCGTATTATTTTGAATGGTTGGAGTATTGGTGGATATACAGCTTCATGGGCTGCAATGAATTACCCCTCAATTCATAGTTTAGTAAGTCTTATGATTATTTACCCGTGGTAAAACTGATTATCTACCTATTTATCTTTTTATGTGGTTTAAAATCATTCATACAAATATAGTTTTAATTCATTCTAATTTATTAATTTTTATTTCTTCAGCTTCTGGATGCAACATTTGATGATATCTTGCCACTAGCATTAGCTCGAATGCCTATATCAATAGAACCTTTAGTAAGAAGTGTTATTAGGAATCATTTTAATTTAAATGTTGCTGCTCAGCTAAATAAGTAAGTTTTATAACCATCTACAAAGACGTTTGTGACAAGGTTAGCAATGAAAGAATGTCTTATTGTTTGTTTGACAGGTATGATGGTCGTGTTTTAATTGTCAGAAGAATAGATGATGAAATGATTTGTGTACCTGATAATAGTTTGGCTGGTAATAGAGGCAATAAATTGTTGGAAAAATTATTGGTAAAACGATATCCAAATCTATTCGCTAATTCAACAGACTCGTTCACTATTTTATCAAATTTCCTTGCTGTTCCAACATTTGGTGCAAGACGTAAGACTTACCAGTCTACTGCTTGTCTTTATAATTAAGTATTTAATAAAAATAATTTGTTTTATTTTAGGACTGATTATGGATGAAATCGAGTTTGATCAAGGTCATTGCATAGATTTAATAGCAGCTGATATTGTAGATAATAACAACACTGTAAGATACCCATCAACTTTAGGGCAAGACTGTGATTCAAAGACTAAGCAGCAACTTGTATTATACTTGGTACGTAACAAAGACTACTAGAATAAATGTAATAATTCCTCAATAGATATAATCTAATAATCATTTAATAAAACTTGTGGTATTTTAGGCCTCAGTGTACATGGAAGATCAAAATACACAGCACTGTGCACCTCTTGCTTCTGAACTTTTTCACTCGGGATGGGATCCAATGTCTACACTTAAAAATAAATAATGCAACATGAACATCAATTAAAAACACATTGTGCGGCTGTGAGTGTTTTTAAGGACTAAAATTTTGCTGTCGTTCTACAGTACCTTTGAAGAAAAGTGATGTCCTGGATGGGACATAAGCGAGGTTAAAAAAAAACAATTTAAAGTTTTTTGTACTTGAGGGTAAAAGGTTAACACCCGTCAAGTGTACCCGACTTGCATTTAAAAACCCAAGTTTGTACTTTAAGAAATTATGGTGTGTGGAATCGTTGTTAATTGCAATTCAGTTTACCTTTTTGCTATATTAAAAAGAAATGAAAAGGTGTTCATGTGCAGTTGACACTATTTGTATATTTCAATTTAATTTAAGTAACTTTTTTTAAATCGTTAATTTGCATTTTCTCACTGACAATACACTTTTTACATGTTATAGTATAGAACATCAAGTAGAAAGCTTCATAATTTTTCATATGGAAAAAATTGTTATTATGATTTTGTTCTCTCGATAAATAAAAAATATTTAATAAACACATATGCCAGTCACGTATATGTACTTTTCCGGAAAGTTGGTTACAAATAAATAAATTATCTAAAACTTTTGTAAATAATGAACCTTCATAAACATCTCAAAGTGCTTAAATATAATAACTTTGTAGATGAAAAATAGTTCTTTTTAAGAATGATATTAATACACGATTTTCATCATAATATGTATATAGAAAAATTAAAAAAAAAATCGGAATAATTGTTACGTGCTTTCAATCCGATCTAATACTTCTTTTAAAGAGCTCTTAGCTTCCTGGAAAGGATCAATCGTCCTGGTTCTGCTAGGCTTGATTGGTTTTTCAATGAACACTTTAAGTGTATCCTTCGTTTGTGGAAGAAAGTATTCCCTTTGACACACCTTCTCCAATGCCTTAAAACAGCCCTCTAAATTCCAATCGATTTTCATACTTTTATTTTCTCCCTACAAACATTATATTTAAAAAAAAATCAGTTATAAAATTTTTTCAATACGTCCTGCGGAAACTATGACTTTGCTACACGATCGTCGAAAAACGTGCAATCAATTTCGTTTTCCACAAGTTGTTTTAAAAAATATCGTACTTAACATGTTCGGAAAAGAGATTCTCGTCCGGGGTGCCTTTCCATACGAACCCAACCCTCGCGTCGCTCGGGCGCAAAACCCAGGAAAAGAATCTACTTTCTCGCACTAGTTAGATAATGTACTATCAATTTAAAATGTAAGCTTATCTTACTTTTATTAGTCCTAAGTTGACTAGTAATGCGTTGTTTAAACTCGGAACTCGATTTTGTTTAACAGCATTTGAGAATACTTCAGTGTAAAGTCGATCAGTAATTTGTTCAGCTGGCTGACGAACATCCATATAACCACTTGCACAAAGAGCAGATACTTTCATAATGACTTTCATTATATTATCTGTTGGATCTTCATCTTCATTACTAAATTGGGTCTAGAAAAAATATTGAATTTAATTTAAAAAATATAAAATATTTTTTATATAAAATAATTCTTCAATGTTAATTATAACCTTACTTTGATGTATTCAGAAAAAATTTGGAATTTATCTCCTTGCAGCTGAAGAAAGTTCTCTCCAGAAGGGGTTTTCAAAAACTCTTGTATAGTTACAACTTTATTTGCTTTTTTTGTCACATTATTTGTATTGACTTCATGCACTTCATCATCTTCCTCATCTTTTTTAGATTCATTTTCAGATTCTTCATCTTCTTTTTCACTTTCACCTTCACTTTCACCTTCATCATCAACTTCATCTTCTTCTAACGTACCCAATGAATCTATTCTATCTGAATCCGTTAGAGTTTTGATCAGTAAGGCTTTACCTTCTTCTCCAAAAGCATTTCCATCAAGAGAAAGATTTGTTAGTTGATTTTTGTCAGACATTGCACTAGCAATGGAACTGACGGCACGAAATTTGATTTCATTATAACTCAAATTCAATTCTGTTAGCAAAGGATGATTGCCTTGGACACCTAGTGCATCAGCTAGTACAATAGCTCCTTTAGTTTTTAAAAGACAATCTCCAAGGTTGAGCTTTTCAAGACATGAAAAATTTTGTAAAACATCTGCAAGTGCTTGAGCTCCTTTAGGTCCAACAGTGTTGTCATTGAGATTGAGTATCCTAAGACCTGGATTCCAAGATAAACCTTTGGCAAGAGCTGATATACCCACGTGATAAATACCATTTTGAGGCATTACTACTTCCTCTAATGTAGTTAGCTTTTCAAAAACTTTTGATAAAGCTATGGCACCTTCATTTTCAAGTCTATTTCTACCTGCAATGAATACTTTTAGACCAAAAGGTTTTGAACTATCTCTCAAGCTATTGGTGTAACAATCTAACAAAGCTTTGGAAACCATTTGTCCACCACGTATACCAAGGCCATTATTATTGAGCCTTAATTCTTGCAATGTATAACATGGACTAGAACTCAATAAAGAAGCTAAACCTTCGACACCAATAGGTCCAAAGGCATTATCACTCAAATCAAGTTCTACTAGCTGAGTCTTGGCAATACACAATCCACGCCCAAAATGTTCAAGTGCAACTGGAATTTCATCTTTATTGCGTCCAGTAAACATATCTTTCCACAAAGCTCTCTTTAATTTGCTTCCATTTTTTTCAATAGCTTTTGAAATGCTCTTAGCTGCATCTGGTCCTACTGTGTTTCCTTCGAGATCTAAATATTCCATATCATTGCATTTTTCAATAGCTTCATTAACTTCTTGTGCTATAAATAAAAAAAATTAGCTCGTTACACTGTTTTATTCGCGATACAAAATTTAACGTAGTTTTCAAATAATATAAAAGCATGTCATCTGATAGGTTAGACATTGACATGCTTACATTTATCAATAAATATATTATAAATATGAATATTTTTTATTTACCATCTTCTTCGGTATTGAGCTTCAGTGATCTTCCAGCAAATGAGACGCCGGTACCCTCCGTTTTTTGACTGGCTTCGATTAATGAATTGCCGATAGCGTTAAAATTAAAAGTCGACATTTTGATATCTAAAATGACTTTGCGATAGATAAAAACTACTTTATTTACGAAAACTTTTGGAAAATTGTGAAAATTACAAAAGAGATAAACACAATTAAGAAAAAATTACGCTGCAGCAACGATTTCGAGAGCGCTAACACAAAACAAAGCAATGTTGTAAACGTAACGGCTAGTTAAGTTACGGTGTAGTAGTAGTAGGAACGCGGGAAAAACATAAATCCAAAATATGACGCCATAATGAAAACAGTTACTACGCTCATCAATGGAACAGCTGTTCATTTATTCTCTTTCCGATCTGTATAATCAAGATTCTATAAAAATAAAAGTATAATATTTTAATAAATACAACATTATTTTTTATATAAATGTCAAATATTCTCTGAAAAGAGCTTTTTCATTTTGTAACGGAATATAAATTTTATGTGAATATCACTCACATTATACGATTGTTACCGATACATTTTTTATGAAAACAAATTCTGACACACGATTGTAATTTATATTATTTTTAAATAATTCATTTTTTTAAGACACTAAAAATTTTTTCAACTATAATCTAGTTGAAATAATTATAAATAATTAAATAACTTTAAAAGGTAAAGTTAAAAATTGTTTTTGAAAATTATTATCGGTAAGGTAGACTTGCCATGTCCACGTGCTCTTACGCACGTGTTTTTCTTTTATATTATCACCCTTATATACCACGCCGGATCACTTAGAACACGCTATAGTATAGAGTAGTACGCGAGAAGCCAATCCAAGCCACATTACGATTCTTAATGTGGTTAGTCATGAACATTTGTTTTTATAAGAACTTGTTATATGAAATATAATGATTTTAAATTTTGTTTAGCTATTGTTTGAAAGTAAGAATCAATCAGATATTACAATGAAGACCAAACCTACAAGACATAAAGAAACAAATACTTTTAAGGTAATCATTGTTCTGTTTATACTTAAGGCTTGCACTCTCAAATCTTGACTCTTTTTATTAATTTCTAGCAACTTTTGTACATTTTCAATGACTTTTCAAACATTAAGTTTAGTATCTTTTTTATAAATTATATCCTAAATAATGACTCATCGTTGTAATTTGTTTTGTTACAGTTCAAACCTTTTTCTGAAAGAGTAGATCAAATTGATGTAGATGTTTTCCACAAAGTTAATCATAGAAATGAAGAAGTTTCTGATGAGGCTGAAAGTTATTTTCATCAGTGTCTTCAGAAATGGAATTTTCTCAATCTTTCAGAGAATTACATTAATTTAAGAAAAGAAGTAGCAAACGTTATAACCTTACCACAACTATTAAATCGAAAACAATTTGTAATCGACACATTATTGAAATATTTAAAATTGAAGGATCCTTTATGTTTACAGAGTGTATTAGAGTAAGTTTTTATATGAATATATATAAATTTTCAATAGCTAAGATTTCTAGAAAATTCACGTTAATCTTATTAATTTTCAGATTAATTATATCTTTAGCTAAAGATTTACAAGCAGATTTTTACAATTACTTTCCAAATTTTTTGGAAGCTATCATTGATTTATTGCACACAAATCATGCTGAGCAATTAGAACAGGCATTTACTGCTCTAGCTTATTTATTCAAATTTTTATGGCGTTATATGAGAAAAAATATTGGGATAATCTTCAATTTACTTGTACCTTTACTAGCTGATACAAAGCCGGCTTATATCAACAATTTTGCAGCAGAAAGCTTTGCTTTTGTTGTAAGAAAAGTTCAAAACAAAGAAGCTTTTATTAAACTTGTTTTGACAGCTGTCGATAAAAATCAAAATGGAGCAGTTGGTTGTGGAAAGTTATTGTTTTATGTATTGGTTGGTCTTCCGGGTCAATTTCATTCATGTGCTGAGTCTATGCTCACTGTTTATCTTGAAGCTCTTCAAAATTCTCAAATCAATCAAGATTTGTTACAAAAGATTTTATTTACCTTATTTGATTGTATTGTCAAGGAAATACATCCACAAAAATGTGATATTTTGTGGACTGTTATTTCTAAAATGATAGATAAGTTTTCAGACAAAAGCTTGATTATCCTACTGAAGTTGATTCAAACTGTTATTAATCACAAAGGAGGAAAGATGATGAAAGATGTAGTATTTTGGGCAAGAAAGTTGGCTGAATTGATTGATAAATATCACAATAATCAAGAAATTTTGATGGAAGTTATAAATGTTTCTGTTGCAATTTTTATTGCACCAAATATCAACATGTTGCAAGAAACTTCTAGTTTTTTGATTTTAAAGCTACTGTCAATTGATAATCAAGATTTAATACTGAAACTAGCAGAAATGTTGATTCCATATTCTTCATTTGAAACTTTAGTATTACCAGCAATATTGAAGAAAAGTATGTTTGCTTCATTAAGTGAAGAACAATTAAAGCTTTTAGTTAAAATTATTGAAGTAAAATCATCTCCATCATTGGATGGTATAAGTTTAGGCAGATGGAAAAAATATGGTTTGAAAATCCAAGGTGATAAAAATATAAAGTTTTTATCAGAAACTTTGGATTCACTAAATACTGGTGAAATCAAAGAAAATGCTTTAAGAGTTTTAATTTTATTACCTCATTTGACTAATTTGCAAGAGCAACTTAGCGGCAAACTTACGCAAATTATTGTATCATTGTACAAAAGGTTGTTTGAAAAAAGTAACACACAATCTAAAATCAATTTTGCATTTTTGTTAGCTATTGAGTGTGCAATTCACACAATTGATGCTGCCAATTTTCGTAATCTTCTAAATGAGTTTATCATTAAAGATGAAATTCTGTCAATAGTGAAAGAACATGAAAATGATTTGTCTATATTGAATGCAGTTGATCTTATTTTGAGTTATTTGAAAAATTCTAAAAGTACAGAGGATTATATAAATCAGATTAATTTTGATAACCTTCATGAGTTATTAGCTCCAAAGTTAGGTAATGCAAGGATTAATTTATCATATAAGTTTTAAATAATTTTATTTAAAAAAACAAAATTTTTCTATGTTTTAGGTTCACCAAATCCACTTATTCGCTTAACAACATCGCATCTATTTTCATTGTTTAGTTACGTACCTAATTTAACACACGAGTCCAATGATCCCAATGTAAAAAATGCCATCGAGTTGCCTTACTTGGCAGAAAGTGAAGCCATTACCATACAAACGTATCGCCAGAGATTACTGCTTTTACAAGCTCTCGAATTTTCTGGAGCTAGTATAAATCATTTAAATTCGAAATATTACGATATTCCACTACATTATCTATTTGGAAATTTATACGTGAACTTCTCGTTGTTGTGGAAACCAGTGAGTCAAATAATAGCCTCTTATGCTACAAAAGAGTGTCCGCATTACTGGCCAGTATTCCTCGTAAAGCTAAAATCTGAAGAGATTACAAACGTAGCCGAGGCACCCAATTTCGAGTGTGAGATATTATCGAAACTAGCTGCGAAGGTGTTTGCTGTCTCGGACAAAATTGATCATGATAATTACAACCAACTATTGTGGAAAATAATGGGACTTACAACTTCTTATTGTGAAGTCAAAAACAGAGATTACGTTCATTTATTCATTGATTTTGTCGAGAATAACTTTTTTAAATCGAATTCTGCAGATGCCAAATCTTGTAACATCAAAAAGAAAGAAAGACAATCATTAGCTGAAGATAATAAGGACGACTCCGGTAAGTTTAAACATTTTCATCAGGTAACAATAATCAAGTAATACAAATGCAAATTGTCTTGCAGATGATGAGATAATAACTGAAGAGGATAAAGAGGTAAAGGATAACGGAGGACAAGGAAAAATTACGATGAAAAACTTTGAAATGGAACTCGATGAAAAGAACGACGAGGAATCTAAAAAAACTGATGAAGATCAATCTAACACGAAAAATGCTGAGGAGACATATAAAGTGCAATTTGGCAGAACTGAGCGCATAAAATTGTTATTAGCAATGTTAGAAGTTTTTGGAAAATTCACCAATACTCGTTCTTTATATCGCGAGCCTGAAATTTTGAAAATCTATCTAGAATTACTCTCCTCAAAGAACTATGAGATACAGCGAGCAGCACTTACGTGTTTATATACTTACAAGTACAAATATTTGTTACCCTACAAGGACCACTTGGATAACATAGTTACCGAGAAGAATCTTAAAAATGAGCTCACTCGTTTTCATGTCAGTGTCGAAGAAGGTGCTGTGCTTCAGCAAGAACATCGCGAAGGCTTAATGCCGATTCTCATGAGAATCCTTCATGCAAAAATGTCTCAGAGGGTGGGCATGAGGACTGGCGGTAAGGCTGGAGGGATAGTGAGAAGGAAGACTATTTTGAGATTTTTAGCCGGGATCAAGGAAGATGAAATGATGCTTTTTGTGAGAATGGCATTCAAACCTTTTGAAAATCATCTGCCTATACTGAACATCCAAGCAGAAGAGCGACACGACGTAGATCTTGTAAAAATGGTTCACGATGTTATCAGTAATATCAATTTGGAAACTATCGTTCCGCCAAAGCGTCTTCAAAGCGCTGTGAATCTGTTGTCCATCATGATAGAACAATTTGGTGGAAAGATGACTAAAATACTACTGCCGCACTTACTTGCTATTCTCATTTGTATCTTAGCTCAGGTTGCAGGTATTCTCTCCAGATCCTTGGAAGTACATCCAGGCCATTTGACAATCGTGCGCAATGTTAGAAATAATTGCATTAACGCTTTGGCAAGATTTTTTACTCGCTACGAAAACTACGACTGGTCAAATAAAGAAATTGATGCTTTGTTGGATGTTGCGGTATTCCCATGGATAGATAAACTTCCAATCGAAGCTATTCATAGTCCCACGCCCTTATTAAAAATGTTGGCAGCCTGGGCTTATAATCCTCGATACTATCCTCTATTTGTTAAATTAAATAAGGTACTGATACAAATGTTGACTAGTAAATTTATTAATTTCGCCAAAATATTATAAATTCCACTTTTCTATCTTTTTTCTAGAACGAGAAAACGCCACTGGTTTTCATGATTCAATTGTTGCTTGGAGCAAAGACACATAAGTCAGTTCAAAATACTATTCTCGACATGATTGAAAAAATGCTGACTTTGCAAGATTACGAGAAAGAAGACGCCGAACAGATGGAAATTGATGAAGAAAAATCTAAATCGCTGATACATGTTGTCGACAACAAACTGAACATAATAAAAAATGATGCAATTAATTATGGCTCAGCGATGCTTCTTCCTCACGTCACGGATATTTTAGCATACGTTGAACGTCAGCTCAAGAGACATGTTAAGCAAGGAGCGACCAGGACTGAGCTAACAATTCTTTCTCGCATCTCCGAATTTGCCAACGATCCAGTAACGTGCGATACCCTTCTAACTCTTGTTCTTCCGATTTTGCATAGAAAGTCTAATGACTCCGAGGAAGTCGTAGTTCAGTTGCTTACGACTGTCATGAATCTTGCAAAACGGGTGGAGAAACCGGTGGCACATTTGAGGCCCATACAGCATTTATTGGCTCAAATTAGCGCAGCTCCACCAAGGAAAATGTTGATGCAGGTGTTAGATGTCGTTTGTAAAGGAGACATAGCACTGCAAAAGAATTTGGATATTCTAGTAAATCTCAATGCTTATGATAAAAGATGGATTGATCAACCTGATTTTGAAAAAAGGTTGGACGCTTTCATGCTAATAGATCAGATGATCGAGGTATATATTTTCTTTTCATTAAGACGATACATTTTTTTACATCATTAACTTTTTAACTTTGATTTATTAATTTTGTAATTTTTAGATAAATGAAGTATCTTTAGATCTGGGAGTGGCTGTTATTCTAAATTGCTTTTTTTTCCTCAAAACTGAAAATGATTTAGCCATGAGAGACAGATCAGGACATTGTCTGAAATTAATGGGTGTTCATTTAGCCAAAAAATTCAACGAAAATAATGATAGAAAATTTTTAATTGAAGATACGATTATTTCTTTATTACGTCATGGAATACGAAGTAAAAATGAGAATGTGAAGATGCAGTCGATTGCATTTTTGGGTCACATGGCGATGGAATGTCCAGAGTCTCATCTAATTTTCAGAGATTTGAATCATTTTACGAATAAACAGGATCCGGAAGTGGACTTTTTCGAAAATATGCAACACTTGCAATTGCATAGAAGAGCTCGCGCACTTGATAGATTTTGTAAAATTGCCAAAACTTTAGAAAAAGCGTTAAATCCAAGGACACTAACGCAATTCATTATGCCACTCGCGACTTCGTACCTATGCAACGAAAGATTTACTGGCAAAAATAGTTTAATAGATTCTGCAATAGAAGCTGTGGGAGTAGTTTGTAAACTATTGCCGTGGAATCAATATGAAATTATTCTTAGGCATTATTTGGACAAATTAAGAATAAGTAGCGAATTTCAAAAACAAATTATTAGAATTGTTGTAGCTATATTGGATTCTTTCCATTTTGATATATCAAAATATAAGGAAATTCAAAACAGTTGTACATCAGTCGCTGAGAAAAATGTTTTAGAAACTGAAAGCGATAAGCGTAAGTATTTAATCATCATTTTTTGATGAAATTTCTTGTGTCGTGGAAAATATATAGTTTTGATAATTTTTAGAGGTCGCAGTCGATTCCGAGAAAATTGATGAGACTTTGAAACCACAGGTTCCAGAGTCTATTACAGAAAAAGTGGAGGCAGAAGAGATTACAGAAGAAAATCTCCTTGAAGCTTTGAACGAAGACAGTAATAATGAAATAGTAGCAGAGACGATAGAGGAGCTTGCGAAAATTGTTCCAGCGTATGAGAAACAAACAATACTCTCGCCATACATGACTAAACGTTTGGTTTTTAGCCTCACCAAAGGTCTGCTACCTCAGTTGCACCGATCGATTGCTACGAGAACTCGCCATGAAGGCAGTCATAAAGCCAACAAAAAGAGTGTTATGGCTGAACAGGAGGAGGAAGAGCTGATGAGAATACCGATCGCTTTAGCTATGATAAAGTTACTGCAGAAACTTCCTTCTGACATGCTTGAAGCTAATTTGCGAGGGTAAATATATCGTGAAATTATGAATTCTTAAATATTGTAAATATCTATATATTTTTATTGCTATACATGCTTTTGTTCTTTAATTTTTTTCCAGAATTTTTATGAAAATCTGTACATTCTTAAAATCTCGACTGGAGTCCGTGCGGCGAACAACTCGCGAGATTTTAGAAAAAATCATGGTCACGTTAGGTCCAGATTACTTACATTACTTGCTCAAAGAAATGAATGCTTTACTAACTCGCGGGTACCAGGTGCACGTGTTGTCGTTTACTATGCATGCGGTATTGGTGTGTCTAAAGCCTTTCTTAAAGCCACAACATATGCGTTCAAATTTACAACATATCTTGAGCGTCTGTAAAATTGATTTATTTGGGTTATCCGCCGAAGAAAAAGAAATTGCGGGTATTGTGAAAAGTGTATCGGAAGCTAGATCCACTAAAAGTTTCGATATACATCATATATTTGGAGAATTCGTTGACCAAGGTACATTTTTTTACTTAGCGATTGCTTACCAATCGAAAAGATATTTAAATCATTTTTTTCGTTGTAGACTGCTTGATAAAAGTAATGGTGCCTTTGAAAGAAGTGCTTTCACGCGCTCGTTCGCACAAAACTGTACGTAAGGCCACCGAATGTTTGAGGCAATTGGGTTTGGGACTTGCAGACAATAAATTTATAGACATGAAACACATGTTGACTTTTTTGCATGGTATAACTAGCCAAAGTATTCCGCAATTGATGCCTGAAAATAAAAAGAAACAGCTGCAAGAAGCTAAAAAAGAAAATAACAAAAAGTCCGCACTGTATCAACGCCCCGATATATTCCTCATTGCTCCACCTACAAAAAATAGAATGGGTATCAAAGCTGAAGCTAAGAGCTCCAGAGACACTAACGATCACGTTTTAGTTGAATTCGGAATGAGGCTATTTCACATACTTTTGAAAAGAGACAAAGTCAATGACCCCGAATGTAAAACATTGCTGGATTGTTTTGTACCGGTGCTAAGTGATTGCTTGATATCACAACATGTTAAGGTAGATCGTGTTTGAAAATTTTTTGATGAACCAAGTCTATCAAAAGTACTAAAATAAATTATTCTTTTTTTAGCTCAGCACATTGGCACTACAATGCTTAAACTGGATTTTGAAAATGGATCTCCCGCAAGTACACGCACAAGTGACCGAAATATGCAAATCGATTTTCGCTATTTTGCGAAAATATCCGGTAGCTGGTTTAAGTAAAGGCGATACCTACGACTTGGTGATGGCTGCTTTCAAGACAATGTCGGTACTTGTGAGGGACGTAAAACACCATGAATTAACGCCCGAACAATTAACAGCCTTGTTGCTGTACGCCGAACAAGATTTGCACGAGAGCGACAGGCAGGCAACGGCATTCAGCCTGTTAAGAGCTATAATTTATCGAAAATTAGTAGTACCCGAGATGCATTCGGTTATGGAAAAGGTCGCTGATTTGAGCGTTACCTCCGAACTAGAAAATGTAAGAAAGTCTGCTCGTGCAGTATTCTATTCTTACCTGATGGATTATCCATTGGGCAAAAAACTCGAAGAGCATATCACTTTTTACGTAGCACAGTTGGAATACGAACGGCAACCTGGTAGGCTTAGTACCATCGAAATGATTTACAGCATTGTATCTGGATTTCCTCCAGTAAGTCTGAAATAATTTTTACAGTCACCGGAAAATAACTATAATAAAAAAATTTTATATTTTACAGAAAGTGTTGGTCAAGCACAGTAAAGTTATATTTTGCACAGTGGCCTTAAGGTTGGTCAATGATGAGGATACTGTTTGTAAAAAGGCTTGTGGTAGGATCCTTCAAGAATTAATAGATCGTCTCTCTCATGATCAAAGAAAGAAACTCTACGATATGGTTATCGACTGGCTTAAGAGCAAAAAATTAGTTCAAAGAAGACTAGGTGCACAAGTTTGTGGTATTTTTGTAACTGTAGAAAAGGAGAAATTTCAGTCAAAACTCGACAATCTTTTGCCGCTTCTGGCAAGGCAATTCCTTTTGACTGATGATTTCGAGGACGATAATGAGCCAGGACAATTCGTTAGAATCAAGAAACAAGTTGAAGGAATAAAAAAATCTGAAACATTGAAAGACGAAAGATTGGAAGCACATCATCTATTTTTCGTGTTGAAATTATTGATGAAACTCTCGGCGAACTGTTCCGCGTTTTTGAAAAGCGATCACATCGATACGTTTGCCGGTAATCAATCGCTGAATCCATTTGTTCCTCGCTTTTTAATCGGAAATTTAATAAATGCTAAATCTCTTTCATCCATTTTCAGAACACAGTCAGTCGCTACTCGGACACTCACATTTGTGGGTGAGGTTAGCAGCCGCTCAGTTTCTTGGTTTTATTCTGGCTTCTTTAGACATCGACAAAATTATTCGACTTTTGAACAACCCAGCGGAAACCGAATCTGAAGAAGGATTTATATACTACAATCCGGTTGAAAAACTGAAAAGTTTGATATTAGATTTTACGTCACAGTTGCAGCCAGATGTACAAATACCTGGAATTGACGAGTTTTACGATCAAGTTATTAAGAACTTGGTATTTATCGCGAGACTTTTGAAAATTTCAAGCCCCAAGCAAAAAGAGCAAGAGAACGAAGATAATGAAAACGACGGCGGCAATCAGTTGACGCTTCTTTGGCTCATGAAAAAACTGAGAAAGTCTATTAATTTCGAAGTGTCAACTGCTCCTAAATCGACCGAAGTTGTAAGTTGATTCGTTTAAGAACGAATTCGTTATTATTTCTATTTGTTTTAACGATCTTGATTTTATAGCGATCTTCAGTTTTCAAGTGGATGGCTGGCGTGATTGCGACGATAAATATCGATTTATTGCGACCTATACTCTTTCACTTTATGTCTCCACTAGTTCGTGAATTAGAAACAAAGGACGAATTGAATGCTCCGTTGCGCCATTTGGCTAAAGACGTTGCAATGATGATCAAAAAGAAGATGAGCGTCGACGAGTACACCCAATTACTTAATCAAGCGCAGCGACGATTAGATTCACGTCGAGCCGAAAGAAAGAAAGTTCGATCTCAACAGGTAACTACTATTTTTCTTCTCGGCGAATCAAATCAGCTTGCCGTAGAGAAGAGTACAATAATGTTTTTAACGTAAAATTACAGTACATCACCGATCCAGAATTGGCGGCCAAGCGAAAAATTGCCAAACAGCAGAAGAAGAAGGAGGCGAAAAAACGAAAGATGGATAACATTAAGGGCAAGAAGAATGTTCGCAAACGAGCGAAGAAAGAAGTCGATATGGAAGAGTAGAATATCATTAAAGAAGAAAAACAAAGAACGTTAAATACTTGAAAACTGTGATAAGTTTTTAGGATATTATTGTACATATATATTGTTATGTAAACGAAACATAGGGATTTTTTGTGAATAATAAAGAGAAAAATATTTTGAAATCCGTAACATGAATTTGAGGTTCAGGACGGCGCGAACGAGCGGACTGATCAGCAGAACGTCGAAGCTCGATTGTGGCGATGAAACAGAAGAGGTAAGTGGTTGGCGCAGAGAGCGAGCGTTGAATGCGTGGGTGTCCGCGCGTACAGCTTAGTATTTTAACAACGCGATGGCGCTAACGAGCGCTGGCTAGCAGTGCGCCGACTGGTCCGGCGATCATCCGGGGGGATATACGCGGTGAGAGCGCGGGAGGGTATTTTTACGCAACCGTCAATTTGTGTTAATCGAGCAGACAAGTGAAACCGCGAGAAACTTTTCGACGGCGGCGCAGTGAGGAGCGGATCAGTTGTACGCCCACGAGTTGGTCCGTCCAATTCGAGCGGCGAGATATGTTCTGGCGCTCGGCAGCCAGCGAGCTCGAGCCCTACTGGCGGCTCTTATGTCCCTCGGCGGCTTTCATGCATCTGAGCAACGACGCGATGCCGCCCGAGCTGCTGCTCGTGCTGCTCGTGCTGCTCGTGCTGCTGCTGGTGGCTGGCTTCGCCGCCGCGGTCCTCGCTCAAAAGTCGCGCGGCAAGCGCGCTCCGCCAGGTAAGCGATATCCTCGTCGTCGGCCACTCGGCTCGCTCGTCAAGCGGCGTGCGTCGGGCTGCTCGGTTACATCACTGCGTCGTCGGGCGCGAAAACGATACGCGCCGCCGGCGCATAGGCTCATCGCTCGTTGCACGTGTATTTTTCTGCCGTTACACAATGCCCACGTGTTCCGTCGCGCCACGCGCCGCGCGCATTCTCGCGCATCGTTTGGCGGAGCTCGAGCTGAATTGCGCTTCGAAACGTGCACCCGCGAGACCGACGACCACGGACTGAAACTGAAGAATCGCTCGGCATTTTTGGGATTACATTTTTACGCTTTTATTCACACCCGTAATTCGCGCTCGTTGAGTCGGTGCGTCAAAAGCACTTTTCGTTAGCCACTCGGGCCTGATTCGATTGCCCACTGTCTTCCACTCGGAAGAGTAATTTGCCTGGACCGATTCGATCGACGCGAATTGGTTGCAGCGCGAGTCTTCCGAAAATAGCACGCGCGTCCCGCATAGCTCGCGATTAAATGCGGAGCGCGCGAACAAGTGTCCGGCGCAGCTCGCGAATCCGATCGTCGACGTTGTCGATCGTCGCGTGCCAGCCAACTCGAGCTCGACCGCTGCGTCGCTGCGCTTGTGTCGTCGGGGCTACACGGCTGTAGGGGTCGAGGCGGCGGCAGGACGGCCCGACAACGACAACTCGGACGGGAGCGCTAGCGGGCGATTGCGTTGGGTTGCAGGACCATTTCCGTGGCCGTTGGTGGGCAACGTGAAGCTGCTGCAGCGGCTGAGCCGCGAGCTCGGCGGCCAGCACGAGGCCCTGCTGGAGCTGTCCCGGCGCTACGGTAGCCCCGTGGTATCGCTGCGCCTGGGCGGCCAGGAGTGCTTCGTGGTCAACGGGGCCGACTGCATCGGCGCCGTGCTCGGCTCCGAGGACTACGACGGCCGGCCCTGGAACTTCTTCGTTCAGCTGCGCAACATGGGCAAGAAGAAGGGTAGGCCTCGGCGTCTCGCCACGGCCCTGCGCGCCCGCGCCCGACTCACGCGACATCGACGTCCGCAGGCATAACCATGAACGACGGCGAGGACTGGCGGGAGATACGCGGCTGGTTCCTGAGGAGCATGCGCTCGGTGGGCTTCGCCAGGCGCGAGATGTGCGACGCGCTCGCGGACGAGCTGCGGCTGGTGCTGCGCCGCGTCGGCCGTGTCGACGGACTGGTATGCCAGATCAAGCCCATCGTCGTGCCGGCCATCATCAACGTGCTCTGGACCTTCGCCGCGGGCAGGCGCTTCGACGAGACCAAGTCAGCCGCCGATCGCCACCCTCGCGCTCGAGCCGGCCTCTAATTCGCCTTACCACCCGCAGGCTGCAGTACTTCGTCGGGCTGATGGAGCGCCGCGCTCGGGCCTTCGACATGACCGGCGGACTGCTCTCGGCCTACCCCTGGATCCGACACATCGCGCCCAACTACTCCGGCTACAACCTGCTGCTGACCGTCAACCGGGAGTTCCGCTCGATGCTCACGGTTGGTCTCGCGCCGTTCTAGTTTCGCGTAGAGCTGGGCCCCGAGCTTCGGAGCCTCGGAGTCCTCTCGACCGAGCGTCGCGGCCTAACGTGTGTTGTTGCGCGCGCAGGAGACCATAGACGAGCACAAGCGCAATTACGTGGCCGGCAGCCAGGCTGACCTCATCGACATGTTCCTCGAGGAGATGTACGCGGGCAAGGGCCCCGAGGCCGGCTTCGACGGTAAGTGGGCGCCCCCCTGGAGTCGCAGTCCCGCGACCGCCCGATCAGCGCCTGCTCCGTTCCAGACGATCAGCTGGTCATCGTGCTGCTGGACGTGTTGCTGGCCGGCCTCAACATCACGGCCACCACGCTGGAGTTCCTCTTCCTGAACATGCTCGTGGACCAGCAGTCGCAGCGCCTGCTGCACGAGGAGATCGATCGCGTGATCGGCCGGGAGAGGCTGCCCGCTGCCGGCGACCGGCCCAGGTAGGCCAGCCGCGCCAGGTCGACGGGCGCAGTGACGCGAGCGCGCTCTCGTGTCCGCAGGATGCCGTACGCGGAGGCGGTCATCCTGGAGAGCCAGCGACTGACGCCCGTGGTGCCGGTGATCGGGCCGCGCCGAGTGCTGCGCGACAGCAGCCTGCTGGGCCTCCACCTGCCCCGCGACGCCCTTGTCCTCATGAACCTGCACTCCATCCACTCGGACCCCGAGCTCTATCCCGAGCCCGCCAGCTTCAGGCCCCAGAGGTTCCTGCGCGACGGCCAGCTGCTGCGCGACGACAACCTACTGTTCTTCGGCAAAGGTCGGTCTCGTCGTCCCCTCCGCCCCGCCCGCCTCGGTTCTTCTGACCGGCTGCTCTGCCGACGCAGGAAGGCGCCAGTGCCCCGGCATCTCGCTGGCGAAGAGCGCGCTCTTCATGCTGTTCGTGGGAATGATGCAGCGCTACCAGGTGCTGCCGGTGCCCGGCCAGCAACCGCCGAGCCTGCGAGTCAAGGCCGGCATGACCCTGGCTCCCCAGCCCTTCGACGTGCTCCTCGTGTCCAGGGGCCAGCAAGCTGTCGTGTGAAGGCTGCGTCCAATGCCTGCCGAGCGCGCTCTCGACGAAACGCCTAAGACGACCGATTGCTGCTGCTGCAGCTCGGTTCTTTACTCTAGGTACAACCAATTGTAAATATCATTGCCTCGCAGTTTGTTCCGCATCCTATTTTAAGTTTGTTACGATAAGGAAATAAATCGAACAACGTTGTACGGTAACTTTTTATTCGTCCACGTCAAAGACTTAATTCATACTAGTACCCACGCATTTTCGGCCAACGCCTTCAACTGATTTATCTTTATCTTCGGTAATGTCTGCATTTTACAAATTATGATATTACATTTAAAAAGTGATTGTGCTTCATTCGTATTGATAATCAGCCTGCAGTTTGAATCAGTTCAGTGATTCTCGGGCGGATGCTCGTTACCGTTTGATAAAATAAAAAGCTAGGACGTTGATTCGAAAGAAAAACGACCATTGTACTTGCAATTCTAAACAGAAACGCGAGCCGATGCAGTAAGCTGCTGAGCAACGCCAGCGAAAATCTCCGCGCGTAACTCACGCGAGGTAGTTTTTAAAACAATGAGCCGAAAGAAGCACGTAAAAAGCTTGACGCACTCGTCGCAGCGAATGTCTGGCGATCGTCGACGGGTGTCCGATGCTCGGAGTCGGCCGTGGCCATTGAATGCGAAGAGCCCGCGGCGGCGCGTCGAGGCGATTATCGTCCCCGTGACACGTGCGACCGCGCGCACTCGGGCACACCAGTCGCGTGTGCCATCCAGACTTCGATCGTCACGACGGCGCGCGCTTTCGAGTCCTTCGCCGCGCCACTGGCCAACCGCGACTCGGCATCGCCTCCCATTGCAGAAGCATCGGGGGCATTTATGTCCTACTGGACGTACGTCGTCTCTCTCGCCGACTCAGCTGGACGTGCTCTCCCATGAATACGCGGAACGTTGGTCTTGTGCTCGAGCAATGCGGACTGTCAATCGCAGAACGCGCTGGCAATGTCGGTCCTCGGCGTGAGCTCGAGATAGTAGGGCTTCAGCGAGATGACGAAGCCGTCGTAGCCGTTGAGGTCGGGCTTGCCGTGCGCCTCCGAGGGCTTCAGGTCGAAGTAGTGTATCACGTAGCTGAAGAACAGGAAGAGCGACGAGCGCGCCAGACCCTCGCCGAGGCATCGCCGTTTACCTGCAACCGAGCGGCGGCATGAGAGTCAGAACTTCCTCGTGTCTCCGACGAGACGGCGACCGAACGACCCGCGTCTACTTGGCTTCTCTGCTCTTTCTCGATGGCTCTCGACGTGCCGTTATCGGCGACACATCATTGAAGAGCCGGCGCGAAAGAGTTCGATAAGTCCATGCTATCGCGACCAATTGAGCAATGCCGCGCGTCGTTTGACGCTAGACAGCGGATTTTGGGTCGGCTGGCCTGTCGTTGGGTCGTCGACTCGCTGGGTCGCAGATAGCGGCGCGTTGACCCCACCGATTCCAAAAGGCATCGCCGCGCCGATAGCCCGGAACTTGCCGCTGTCGTCGATGAACCGCTGCGGCCGGAACTCCTGCGGCTCGGCGAAGTGGGCCTCGTCCATGTTCACGCTGTGGTAGTTCAGCAGCACGACGGTGTCCTGCGATCATCGACAAGCGACTCGGTGAGCGACGGTCGAGCGGTCAGCGGAAGGAAAACGGCAGGGACCCGCAGTACCTTGGGAATGGAGTATCCGGCCAGAGTGACGTCGGCGACGGCCCGATGCGGGATCCCCAGAGGCGCCATCACCAGGGTCCGTTGAGCCTGCAAGCAGAGCTGGTCATTGGGCGGTCGGTGGTCGGGGGAGCGAGCGGAGCACCTCGGCGAGGAAGGCCTCGAGCTTGGGTAGAGCCGGCAGATCGGCCAGACTGGGTGGCCTGTGCCTGCCCACCACGCTGTCCAGCTGGTCCTGCAGCTCGCGCAACCAGTGCGGCTGCAGCGCGAGGAAGGCGAACACGTTGACGAGCGTGTCACTGGTGGTCTTGGAGCCGGCAAGGAACAGGTCTAGGCAGAGGATCAGCAGGTTGTCGCCTGGGCGAAGACGCGGCAACGGAAAGCGGCGGAGGTCAGTGCGACGGGGCGCTGGTGCGCGCGGCGGCGGCGGGATCACTCACGGTCGAAGATGGAGTCGGGCTCCGAGCGGCCGCGACGCTGGATCTCCACGAGGAAGGCGTCGATGAGGTCGCGGGGCGGCTGGCCGGACATGTTGGCCTCGTGCTCGGCGATCTCGCGCTCCAGGAAGACCCATAGCCGGCGCATGTTGGCCATGAACTCGTTGTAGCCGGTTAGTCCGGGCGCGAGGTGGCGCAGGAAGGGCATGTGCGACATGAGGCCGCCCACGGTGTCGCTCAGGCTGCGGGCAGTTGGGCCTAGCATGAGCGCGGGCTCGGCGAGCGGACGGCGGCCATACCCACCGGAAGATCTCGTGGACCACCCGCAGAATGTCGTGGAGCGTGCGGTCGGCGTGCTCGAACCTGTGCCCGGCGAACATCCACCACAGCGAGTTGAGCACGGCCACGTCGAAAGCGCGCTGCACGGGCACCGGGCCGGCGGCCGCGCGCCGCCGCAGCCAGTCCACCAGGCAGCCGGCCTCGCGCTCCAGCTGGCGCGCCATCGACGCCTGGCCGAAGCCGAAGGCCCGTAGGTGGCGCACGGCGAAGCGCCGGTGCTGCGACCAGGTGGGGCCGTCGCTGAACAGCACCCCTGCCGACAGTCAAGCCACTTCGGTCTCGCGCTCGGACGAGACGCGCGCCGCTCACCTACCCAGCTCCTTGCCGAAGGAGCGCGCGCGGAAGAAGAAGCCGTTGGGCCGGCCGGTGAACTCGTCGCGCAGCAGCACCTCGCGCACCAGCTCGTGGCCCGAGACGACGACCAGCCGCTGGCGGCCCATCTTCAGGCCGAGCACCGGCCCGTAACGGCGCGACAGCTCCTCGAAGGCCAGGTACATGTAGCCGCGGCGCCGGTGCACCCGGTGGAACGCCGCCAGGCAGCCCAGCAACGGCAGCCACGCCGGCCCTGTCGGCAGTCGCACTCGTCAGCCCGACCCGGTGAGCCCGCGCGGCCCGGGCCCACCTGGCGGGAAGTTGCGCGGCTTGGCGCATCCGCGCCAGCAGGCCCGGCAGGCCAGCAGGCCCAGCAGCGCGCACAGCAGCAGCAGCAGCAGTGTCGTCATCCTCGCCGAGCGACTCGTGGCACTGGCAGCCGCGTGGCCCGCAGCCGCGGCTTTTTATATCGGGCGACGATATCGGCGCCGCGGTGGAGATGCACTTGGGCCGATAGCGATAGCATGGCCATTCACGATCGTGCCCCTCGGCGCCAGAAATAGCCGCGTTTTGTTGCGAGCCGCCCACTTTGTCCTAGACGCACGGCTTATCTCCGGCGAGGCGATCCCAACGCGCTGCCCGTATTGTTCGCTGCTCGTCGCTCGGCTCGTCGCTCGGCTCGTCGCGGCGAGCGGCCAGTTGCGATGCCAGCCGATGCGACGAATAATGACAATGCGCAAAAGCGGCGACGTCGGGGTTCGAGCGGACGATGGCTCGCGCGAACGTTACCGCCCGCGAGCGAGCGATCTCGTATCTGCCGGCTCGATCCACGTGGCGTCGAGTCCACGCTGCCTTCGTTTTCAGAGCGCGGCGAGTTCATTCGAAATTCAAGGCCTACACGCACGCGCGCTCGAGAACGCAACGGCGGGCTGAGCTGCGTCGCTATAGGAGGTAGAAAACGAGGACAAACGAGTTGTGGCGACGGCCCATAATGGCGCTTTATTTGTCAAGCAAACGTATAAGAATTGGCAGAGCAGGGCGACTCGGCTGGTCTTCATCCGCTGGTGTAGAAGGCCTGGCCGCAGGCGGGTGGGCACACCGGCACGACGGTCTCTGCAAGGTCAGAGCGGAGCATTAGTACGGCGCGGGCTGCACGGCCGGCGGAGCGCAGCCGACGAGCGACCGACCGACCGACCGAAGAGGTGGACCGTGGTCTCGGCCGAGCCGAGCTTGTTGGCCGCCCGGCAGACGTAGTCGCCGAACTGCTTCTTCTCGATGCTGATGACGCGCAGCGTGGTGTCCGTGTACTCGTCGGCGGTGGCGAAGTGCGAGACGCTGTAGTGCTGGTTGTTGGCCAGCTGGCGGTGGTCCTTGTGCCAGGAGATGGCAGGCGGCGGGTAGGCGACCACGTGGCACTCCAGGTCCATGTCGTACTGCAACGCCTGGCCGAGCCGCGGCCGCTTGGCCTCGATCACCGGCGCGAACTCCACCTCCAGGTTGACGTTGCGCCGCGCGCCCCGACCCACGCCGTTCTCCGCCACGCAGTAGTAGGTGCCCCGGTGCTCCTTGCGCACCGCCGGCACCCGGAGCACGCCGCCGCTGCGGGTCAGAGGGCGGATCGCGCGGTCAGCGCCTAGCGATCGCGGCATCCGCGCGCGCACCTACCGGAAGATCGAGCCGCCCGTGGGCAGCCTCGCGTTGTTCTCGCGTCGCCAGGAGACGCGCGGCTTGGGGTAGCCGTCGGCGTAGCACTCGAGCCGGACGCTCTGGCCCTCGCTCACCAGCAGCGAGCGCGTCGAGTTGTCGTTGATAATAGGCGAGCGGCGCACCGTCAGCTCCACCTCGGCCGCCACCTTGGTGTGCGTGCTGATCAGGATCTGGCACTGGTAGTAGCCCGCGTCCGTCTCCTGAATGTCGTCGATCTGCGCGCAGCCGAGTAGTCGGGCGTTTCAGTGGCGCGCGGCCGCGGACGAGCTGCCGACTCACCCGCAGGGTGTAGCTGGAGGTGGCGGGCTCGACTCGCAGGGAGAACCGGCCGTCGGGAACGATGAGCGCGGCGTTGCTGGAGATGGGCATCTGATCGTAGCGAGTCCTGTCCAGCTTGATCCACAGCACCGGGTAGTCCTGGCTGTACTGCACCTTGCACGTCAGCTCCACGTTCGAGCCCAAGTCCTTGATCTGCTCTTGCGATATGTACGAGATCGTCGGCGCTCTCTGGCAGCGCGCTGCGGCACAATTGCCAATCTGACGCTCGGTGCTCCGCGCGGTATTCGTTGCTCGTGCTTACCTGCGCTGCCAAGGAGGAGAGCCGTCGCGAGCGCGACGAGCAGTCGTCGCGGCGTGGCCATCGTCGTGGGCGTTGCGGCCACCGAGTGTCGAGCGGGAGCCACGCGGTCCTGCGAGAGCCGAGGCCGAAATCACACTGCGGCGCTCGCACCCGCTCCGAATCGCAGGAGGGATGCGGGACAAACCTACCTGACCGGTGCCGCTGGCCCTCCTCGCATCTCCCTTCCTCGCTCCCTCCCTCCGGACTTCTTTATTCTCCGATTCGCCCCTGCCGTGGCCTTTCTCAGCGCAGCCGATCGCGAGACCGGCCTCCCGAGGCTATTTTTAGCCGCATCCCGACTCGCCGCGCGTCCTGTCCCCGTCCCTGCGGTGCGGGGGAAGCCCGTGACGCGCCGTTCGCGTACCGAGCGGAAACGCCGCTGCGAGAGAGAGAGAGAGAGAGAGAGAGAGAGAGAGAGAGTCGAGGCGCTGCAAGATTTACGCGCCAGTCGCGTAATCAATGCGGCGGACCCATCAATTCACGGCGGCTCTCGAGCGACCGCATAACGAAGGAGGCCCCCGATCCGACGGAAGAGATATACGCCGATTGATTCGGCATAAATTTTCAGCGTGTCGCCTCGAATGAGTGGACGATGCCCGATGCCGCGAGCCATGCGCCGCGCTGGGTTTACGCATCGTCCGATCGGTCGAATCTTCGAAGCCCGCAGTACGATCGCGGATGCAGCCTTGTCGTTTGTTCGTGGCTGCCTTTGCGCTCGCTTTTGCAAAGCTGCCCCACGCGCGGCAAAGTCCATCGGAGGGCTCTGCTCTCGGCGTCCGTCGAGCATCGTCATCTCCATCGGAAGCGGGGCAAAGTAGGGCGCCCGCGGTCGACGGGCGACTAGCGACTCGTACGCCAATCGACAAAGTGTCGGCGTACCGATCGCGGCGCGCGAGCCATATATACATACGCTTTCACCGATTCAATTTCCTAGCTGTGCGCGCGGACACGACGATCGCGCCTGGACTTTCTCCTTCGCGGTGCCGCGGCGCGACGCTCGCACGCGGACACGACGATCGCGCCTGCGCCACGCACGCTCGTTACGACGATCGGCTGCCTCGCGTCACACTCGAAGCAGCTCGTCGCTCGAGATTCGTAATGCCCGTTGCGTCAGCCGCGGACACGCGAACCCCACACTCGAGTCCGTCACTCGTGCAAGCGGACCCATGCGTTCCGACTGTTATCCGCTTCGCTTTGGCGATCGCCCGTGATCGACCAGGACGCCTTATCGCCGCGTCTTTCGGCCGCGCGCGCACCTGGATAGGGGCCTTGATCGGTGCCCGTGCGCGCGCACTCGCCTACGTGCTCGGCCTCGCGAGCAGTAGAAACTATCTACCTGCTTCTGCATTGTTTATGCTCTGTCAAAGTGTTTAGTTTAGCTTACGTAGTAAATCAATGCCACCGAGTCTTGGGTAACGAGCCTTGGATTTCTCCGCCGTCGTTCGGCTTCCTTGGAATTCGCTTCGTGCGGCGATCGCGTTACCGATCGGATGAACCCTCGTCCGCGAGAGGTGGAATGAAAGCGTTGTTCTTTTTTTTTTTTTTTTTAACAAAAATTAATCAACTTTATTCGACGGCATTAGTTAACAATAAGTTGGTCAACGTGTAACACCGCTTCTTTTGTGCGCACAAGTATAAAAATATAAATGTATAATGATACAGTAATACAAAAAAACATACGCTTGCGATCGAGGACGCTCGCAGACACGAGAAAGAAGAAGAGAAACTAAATAGTATAACGCGAGGAGAAAGAAACTAAGTACAAAGAAGAAGAGACGTATAATAGAAGGGCCCTTCAGTCGAGTTGGTCGAGGCGTGCGATGCCTCGGAGCTTAGACAGCTTAACAGTAATATGTACAAAAATTGGCTTACGTGTCCGACACAGGGTACGACAATGCCAGACTCGAATGAGAAGCTATGAAAGGATAGTGATAGCGACAGATAGATAGAGCGAGATTATTTGGAAGTTGGTCCAAGTTCCCTGCAGGCTGCCCACTGTCGGCGCAGAGCTTCAGCCGCCGACGCGAGAATTAGCTGCTGGGGCTGGGGAAGCTGAGAGACCGCGGCTGCTGAGCGCCCCCTTGGTCGAGCGGCGGCGGCACGAGGTCGTGCGTGATGTCCTGCTTCTGCTGCGCCGGCGACACCTGCGAGCTCGCCTGGAACGACCTGTCCCACCGCACTGGCCCGACGCTTTGCTGCTGCTGCTGCTGCTGCTGCGGAGGCTGCTGCGGAGACTGCACGCGCTTCGGCTCTACTTGGGACTGCTGGCCTACCGTGTCCTTTCTGTCTTTCCAGCCGTGATGCTCGTGATGGTCGTCCACCGGGAACCACTCGGAGATCCAGACTGGTCGCCAGATTTTCTTCCATGCCGGCACCCAGATCTGAAACACGAGTTTTGACGTTCATCGGAGCTCCGCACTCGTTCGACGGGCTTGCTTTTCTCGACCTACCTCTTTCCAGTCGGGGACCTGGATTTCCTTCCAAGCCTCCTTCCACACCAGCTTCTTGTCTTCGACCCACTCTTGCTTCTGCTCGGTCTTCCAAATTTGCTTCCAGTCTTCTTTCCACTCCAGCTTCTTGTCGGGCACCCAAATCTGTTTCTTGCCTGGCTTCCAGATCTGCTTCCACTCTTCTTTCCAAGCCAACTTTTTGTCTTCTACCCATATCTGTTTCTTCGCCGGTTTCCAAATCTGCTTCCACTCTTCCTTCCATTCCAATTTTTTGTCCTCGACCCAGATTTGCTTCTTGGACGGCTTCCAAATCTTCAATCAGTCGCAAAAGTTATGAAAAGTTTTATTCGAAACGTGGCTCTGCGCATAAATCGATGGCTTCGAGACCCCACCTTTTTCCAGAGAGGCTTCCAGATGAGCTTCTTCTTCCAAAGATCGTGACTCGTGTACTGCCATCCGTGGGCATCGGTACCGAGATCTTTCTCGCCTGGAATGCCGACCTTGATCCACTCGGGCACCCAAATCTTCTTCCACGCTGGCACTTTGATGTCTATCCACTTGGAGACTTTGATTGGCACCCATATTGGTTTGTACACCTATTCGGAGATTATTGAATCGCATCAAATTTAGCTTCGCCATTAGGAATATTCGCGGAGCACTAATTTTTACCTTCTTCCAATCAGGTACTTGAATGTCTTTCCACGCTGGAACCTTTATCGGTACCCAAATCGGCTTGTAAACCTTTCAACAAAAGTGAAAGTATTTCATTTCGGATGACTTTCTACGAAGCATAACTACTCGATTGAATTAAAATTTACCTTTTTCCAAGCCGGGACCTTTATTTCTTTCCATGCGGGCACCTGCGGGTATCGAATACAACATTTACGTCTTGCGATAAATCAATAAGAATGAGGCGTAGACGAAATAGAGCTACGTTCCGTACCTGAATTTCTTTCCACACGGGCTTCCACACTTTTTTCCAAGCTGGCACTTGTATGTCGCGCCACACGGCCTTCTTAGTGGGTACCCATTCGGGCTTCCATATCTGTAATCGAGGCGCTTAATGAGAGAAAAAAAAAACTGGTCCAGGCATAAATTATTGAAAGACTACTTTTTTACCTTCTTCCACGCGGGCTTCCAAACTTGCTTCTTGGCGGGCTTCCAAATCTAAAAGGATGTACGAATCGGATGAAGAGAACTAGTCAGAGAAAGCCGAAGAACAGTGGCCGTTTGCCGTACCTTCTTCCATCCAGGTTTCCAAATGAGTTTCTTCTTCCAAATGCCCTTCTCGTGATGGTCGTCGTGGCCAGCGTCGCCAAAGCCAGCGATATCGCCGGCGCCTACGTCACCGCCCCCGTGACCGCCGGCAAAGTCGCCGACGGGGCCGGCGTGGCCGCCCCCGTGATCAGCGCCAAAGTCCCCGCCACCGAGGTCACCACCGGCGTGTCCGCCCCCGAAGTCCTCACCGAAATTGGCCGCGTGGTCGCCGCCAGCCGAGTAGCCTTGGAAGTCGCCACCGCCGGGGCCGTGGGCTGCGTCACCTCCTCCGTAGCCTTGAAAGTCGCCGGTCCCGGCACCGTGGACTGCGCCGCCTCCCCCGTAGCCTTGGAAGTCGCCGCCACCGGCGCCGTGGGAATCAGCGCCGCCACCGTAGCCCGCGAAATCGTCGCCTCCTCCTCCTCCTCCTCCTCCTCCTCCGAAGCGTCTCTGTGCCGGTTGCGCGCCGTAGCTGTGAATCGCAGTGCCTCGTGAATCGTACTGCCGCGGGAGGCGGAGGTGAGCGCACAAAGTGCCTCGGTACTTTGGGTCGCGCAGCGCGGCGACAGCGAAGAGGGGAAATGACGGCACCGCGCGACCCGAGCTAATTGCGAGAGCAAACCGGTCGAGTCGACGAGAGCGAGGCTCGCCGCGTCGCTCGATCGTGTGGGCCAATTAGCGCGAGCGCGGGGCCGAAGGTGAGAAGGAGCTGCGAGCGTGACTTACGGTATCTGCCGGGCCGATTGCGGTGGTGGCGGCGGCGGCGGCGGTAGCAGCAGCTCCTTCTGGTCCAATGCCTTGCTCGCCACCAGAGCTACCTGCAGTAGCAGCGCTAGCGCGGCCTGCGAACACACGCACATGCGCGCAAATATTATGGGCTCGCGCCACGACGTCGCACTTTCTCAATCGCGTAATTGGCTCTAATTTTCGGGCGTGAAAGCGGCCGATCGCGCGTACACCCGGTGCCTCGGTGCGACGACAACGGCGACGCGCTAATCAGCCGCCAGGCGAGCCACCGTTGCTCCCGCCGGACCACTTGGCGGAGCTTTCGTTCGCGCTTGCCGAGAATACTAATGAAATCTGACTTTCGACTCGACGCAAATTGCAGGTGACTCGAGAGCCGACGTAAATGAAGATCGCAAAGAGAGCCGAGCTCGGACGCGATCGTACGAACCGCCACGGTAGCCTCTGCCGACGGACGTTTACTGCTGGGTGCGCGTATGCGGCGCGGCCGCGTCGACTGACGTTTATCGACGGTCCGAAAGCGCGCGTCGGCCGGCGCCGTCGTAAAAACGCCAGATCTGCCGGGCGAGCAAGTGCGTTGCGAGCCGGACGAACACATGCGCACAGCGAGCACAGCACAGCGCGCGCGTACTCGCGGAGTCAGCACACTAACCACGCATTCCGGGCGAAACGTCATGTTGCTTCGGCCGCAGCTGGCCTGCGGGCGCTGGGGTTTCCGAGTCGCGGGAAAAGCGCGGACTGTTCGAAACTTGGGCCAATAAGCCGGAACGCCGGCGTTATATAGGCGCGTATCCTCCTACCCCGGGCCCGCTGGGCCCCCCCGAGCCGCTCCCCCACCCGCGTTGCGCGCAGGACGTCCGGAAGAGCGAGGCCCCTGTCCCGCGCGTCGGCCCCCGACCTCTTCCTTTCGCCTTTCTTCGGCGGCGCCGCGCCGAGCCCCCGCCGCTTTCTTCCACGAGAGCCGGAGCGAGCGCGAAACCTTCTCGAGGGTTCCTCTCGCGTGCCGCTTGCGCAACCCGCGGCCGGCGCCGCTGCTGCGCTCGACGCGGCGCCCGCGTTGCGTAAGCACCTCCACGTCGTCGTCGTCGCCGTCGTCGTCGTCGTCGGCGCCCCGCGAGCTTGGGGGAGCAGCAGCGCGTCGCTGCGCCACGGTTGGGCCCAGTTCGCGAGCGTTGCCCGCGCAATGGAAAATCACGGTGCCGCGCGGGGGTCGTGTCCGCGGCGCGAGTGAAAAGCGCGAGGGAGACCGGTCGCGCGCGCTCGCAAAGGGGGGCTCCGCGCCGTCAAACGAGCGCGGCGCACCGCGACGATCATGAAAAGTGAAAGATGCATCGGGAGCGCGAGCCGCGCGGAGAGAAAGCGATCGGGAAACAGGACTGACCGCTGCTCGCGCCGGTGAAAGAGCTCCCGCGTAGCCCACCGATGTGCTCGCGCGCAAGGTTACGCGGCAAGGTTGCGGAGCCGCGGCGCGCCGCTTTCCTCGCGGCGCGCCGCGGTCCCGATTTTTTGCTCGCTCTGCCTCCCCGTCCCCAAATTACGCCGGCTAACTGCCGCTTTAACGAGCGCGCGCGACGAAAGTGCCGCGCAATCAGCCACCCGGGTCCGATCCTGGTGAACGCCTCGAGATTGGCGCCTCTTGCCGGCGCGCTCCGGCGAAACGCAACTCGATCGGAGAGTGTCATCACTTTCCACCTGCAATTTCGGGACGAAAGTCGCGCTAGCCGCTGGAGGTGGGGGGATCTTCACCTAAAATGATGCACCGAGAGAGAGAGAGAGAGAGAGGAACTTTCGTCGCCGAAAAATCCTCTCTAATTACGCCGCGTCTGATAGGGCCCGAATGGATCGCCGTACAAAAGCAGCACAGTCATTTGCACTTTTTCAAGCGCCTTGTCTCTCCTTCTTTTTTTCGCCTCGTTACGGGAAACACTTGCGGAGTATCGTTGCCGACTGCGTCGCTACTTTTTGTTTTCAAGAAAGTTTCCTTATTCCCTCGGAAACACGTTAATCGAGAGCTGCGCGCGAAGACTCGTGTACCTGGCGCGTACGCGTAAAAAGAAAAGAAAAAAAACGAAGAGAGCGCGAGGAGTGTCGGCCGAGGCGGGGCGTTCTACATTGGCGCGTGGATCGGCGAGAAGGAGAGAGAGAGAGAGAGAGAGCGCGAAACCGGAAGCGTTCTACGCGGAGGACGTAATCGCCCAAGGTCGCCGGCGAAGTTACGATCGGCGTGGCGAAGAGCGGAGAGCCGCGGCCCCACGGTCGACGAGGCTGCCGAGGTGAATCGGTGCTTTCTCGTTTTACGCTGCCTCCGAAGATCGCGGGGCTGGTCATCGTCGTCGTCGTCGTCGTCGTCGTCGTCGTCGTCGTCGTCGACGATTTCGCCGCGGCGCGTCTCGAGCCTTGGCGCGTGGAGCCAGGCACGTCCCCGGAGTTGCCACACGCAGCCCAATAAGAAAGGCGAGCGCTGTTATAAACAATTGCCAACGCTTGCGCAATCGCATATCTCGCAGTCGATTTCCAATTTCCAACGAGTAATGCTTTTTAATTACTTTCGCCACGGCGGCCGCGGCGACGCCGCCGATCGGACGTGCGCCCGGCTCCACGAAGCTGCCGCACGCGCGCTCCTCGCGTTTATTAATATATTGCACAATGCATCGCGGCGATCTGTGGGAAAGTTCCGGCCGATCCCCTGCGCTCGTTTACAGTCGGTTATTGGAGCCGTAAATACCAGGATTTGCGGCTGCCGCTTTCTTTCGGCAAGCCTGCAATTATATCGCGGGGCATTGTTGGGATTTTCGCCAACTTTGATTTACGCACCGAGCGAGCTCGTCCGATTTTCTCCTCGCGCGCGCGCAATCTGCTTTCGTACGCGCGGAGGCGGTATAGTTGACGCGCGCGCGCAGCGACTTTCTCGCGAGCGCGAGCTGCCAGCAACCCTCCGCGGGCAGAGGCGCGTTGCGCAACTCGCTCGCCGCTCGACCCCCGATCGTCGGCGCGGAACACGCCGGGGCAAGAAAAAGAAAAGGAGCCGGTGCGCGGTGAAAGCCAATTAAATTAACGAACCTGCGCGCAGGACCCGGCGATCTCCCCCGTCGCAAGTGAAACGCCTGGGCGCGCACCTGCGCTCTGGGCTACCTTTCGATCGAAACAGCATCACCGCTCGGAGCGTCGGGCGCGACACGCCTGTCTCCGATTCGACCTGTCGAGGAGCGAGAAATCGCAACGGGGCGTCGATAGTCCGGACACATCACGGACTGATGTTTATCTGCCACAGGCACGAGCGTGAGCGGGCAAACGGCAATCTGCCGCGTTATCCCGTTCCTCTTTGTCCGCGCTCCGGCTGCTTACGTAATAATGGCAAGAGGGAGGGCTACGACCGAAAAGAAAAAAAAAAAAATAACAATAAAAAAAAGAAGAAATAAGCTCGCGGCGAGCAAAATTTCTCCGGCGCGAAAAAAGAAATGACGAGAAGCGCGTTATATAAAAGCCGCGCACAATGCAGCCGATTTCGAAAACCGATTTACGAGACACATCACCTGCACTGAATAACGCCATGCGCGCTTTGACATCGACGCTGCTTGCCTTTCCCGTTGGCGCTCTTCCTGCTTGACCGTCGTCCAAGAGCTTCGGAATCGAAAGTGCAGAGTCGCGTTTGTTTTTTCTCCGCGGCGGAGAGCGTCGGGTCGAGCGTGTGGACGCGCGAATAGCCTTCGAGTGCCGATATCGCGAGAGCCGCGCGCAGATCGGCACGGGTGCGCGCGCAAGCTGGGCAGTCGGCCGTTACGTTCCGATGCGCTCGTTCTAAGCCAGCCGTGACACGTTACGAGCCGACTCGGCTATATGTCGGTTAATCGTTCAAGGCTGCGCGCGCGCGCCCGCCTCGATATCGCGACGGGCTGGTCACCGAGCGTCTCGTTTGCGCGTCGACTCGCTTCGCCCGTCCGATCGCGACGCTTTTCCGCGAAGAGCAACACCGCGGAGTCGCGCGAGCGAGCTTGTACCGCTGAGCAGCGGCGAGTGCGTCGGCTGTAATTGAACGAGGCTTCTTGGCAATCGTCGCGGAGACGTTCGCCACTCGACGGGCGCCGAGACCGAGTCTACTGTCCCGTCGTCCACCGCGAAAAGCCATTTTTTAGCGATCGTTCGATCCGGCGTTATTAGATTTCAGGCATTTTCTCTTTCTACAAAGTCAATGTCGCGAGGCCGACATTTCAAGCGTCTTGCTTTCTTTTCGAGCGCCGTACGTGCGATTTTGCTTCTCTCCGACATATACTGCTCGTTTCCGCGTTCAGCGAATTACTTTTTTTTCTTCTCATTTCTGTAATCTGTCATAGAAGTCGTGTTGGCGAGTGGCTCTTTTCACTTTCTTGCAGCCGCGTAACGAGAGGCAGTGTATGAGAGAGAGAGAAAGAAAGAGTGTAAATTTTATTAAAATCTGTTTGCTCAAGTTGAGCATTCATTTATTACTGTGAAAAGTGAAAGCCCGCGCGCGTTGGCACGCACGCGTATACTTTGTGAATCTAGCCGAATTCACATCTGATTAGATTGAGCCAACGGCGGACCTCTTAAGCTCCATTGGTGAATTATCGACGGCGCACGCAGTTCGGTTTGGAAAGGCCGCTCGTATCGGTCGAAAAGTTGATGCACACGTTCGACCGGGTGCAGGTATGAAATTCGTGTTAATCGCTTTCGTTTCGAATATAAAAGCCTTGCAACGCACATTTTCTTTTCTCTCTCTCTCTCTCTCTCTCTCTCTCTCTCTCTCTCACTCTCTTTCTCTGAACGAAAAATAAAGAGACTTTTGAAAGTGGCACGGTGGCTGTATAAACTTTCCTGACAGTAGCTTTCCGCTATATCGATTGGGCAACAACGGAATATACTGTTTGACATAGGAGGCGGGTGTTTGAAGAGCGAGCATCATTCACGCGCCTCCGAGAGCATTTCCTCGCGGCACGGGGCAGAGGGGAACAACACTTGACAATCCCATTCCGCCGCGGCAACGTTATTTCTCCGCGAGTGGACTTTCGCGCGCGCGGCGAGGACGACACCTGCCCGCGCCGCTACGCGCGGTTACGGCCCGATAAGACGCGCTCCGGTCGCGCCGGAATAAAAGTCTCGCGCGCGCGCAATTAAACTTTTTCTTGCGACTTTCATCGCGACACTTATTCGCGGAAAGTCTCCGTCTCGCTGCACTCCCACGTTAATTAGCTCGCACTCCGGCACGCACGCGCTCTTTATCTATTTATTTATTTTTTTCTTTTTCTCCATTTCGGTCTTCGCCAGCACGCCCGCAGGATTGAATTGGCCATGGGAGCTCGATGCGCGCGCCGAGATTACATTATAGCGCGCGCGACAGGGTTCCTAATTGCGCGGCGTGGTGTGGTAGCGACGTGCACTCGACGAAAGTGAAATTGCCGTGCGACGGGAGGCCGCGTGTCGCCTGCTTTTTCCACAGCGAGCTTGGCGCGCGCGCGCGCGCGCTCAGCGTTCTCTCGAGGCGCTCGCGCAAGGATCGGCCGACATTCGCGCGATCGATTATGTTATATCGCAGGCTGCGGACTCGATCGGGCGCGGATCCAGATCAATTTTTGACGCGCACCCGTCAATCATCCTTCATCCGGCTGATCCGTGCGAAGCGAGCCGCGGCTCTTTCTCGCCTTTCGCTTCGCACTCCGAGTCGCTCTCTTCCCTCGCGATCCGATCGAATTTGGCAGCGACCGGAGACCAGCTGCGGGTCCACGCGATCGGCCGCGTAGCGCGTTCCGAGCGCGAACGCCGTATTGACCGAAGCGATTGTAGATGTAGGAAACAAAAATAAGTGAATTGCCCGGGGGCAACAGATTTATGAGCGCACGGCAACCGAGCGTTTCCCGATTTCCGTCGCCAGTATCCAGTGCACGTATACGCGCGGTACAAAGCGGGCTGTCGCGGCCAATTACGGCCGCGATCGCGCGCGCTTCCGGATTCCTCGCGGCGAAGTCAAGAGCGCCGTGGCATCTTAATCACCGATAATTGGGCCCCGGCCCAAGCTCGCGATAATCGCAAGATCAACCGGTCCGCCCGGCCGCCTGCACTCGACCGACTCGTTCCCCATTATTTCTGCTTTTTCCTCGATTCCCGCCTCGCGTGGTCGTCGGCCACTCTGTCACGCCAAATTATCATTTTGTCCGTAGACTCCGATCGACGCGGAAAAATGCCGCCGAGCGCGCTTTCGGTTCAGCCTCTCGGTCCCGAACGTCGGGACAAAGGTCAACGAGAGAATTGAAGATAAGATAAAAGTGTCATGGCGCGGAGAAAGCGGCATTAGGGGGAGGGGGCAGTTTGTTTGTTTACGAGGCTGAGACACACGCGCGTGATTATGTAGCGTGCGCGCGCGTGCACGCGGCACAGTGAAAGGGAGATCGGTGTCGCGAGAGCCGCGCGATCCGCGAGATCCCGAGCTCTCTCGCGCGCGCGCCGTGCACCTCGAGCCATCCCGTCCCCGCGGACGCGCGCGGCGCGACAGCGTCGAGCCGAAATGCGCAGGTGGCGCAAGGCGGCGAAAGCGACGAGCGACTGCCGCGGACGCGAGCGTGCCGGCGATCCGCGCACCGCGATATTTATTGCAAAGGCCGACGTCGACGACGACGAGGTCGGCATAACGAATCGCGCGAGAACCGCAGCCGCGGCGGCGCACGCAGTTCGCCCGCACGGACACTCTCGCTCGCCGCTGCGTCGACTGCAGCAGCAGCAGCAGCGAGAGACAGCCAAGAGACTGCTGATGTTTTTTGCTTTTCTTTTCGTTTCCGAGAAGATCGGCGCCAGGCGCGGGACTCTCGTAAAAAAAAAATTGTTTTTACGAGCGCCACGAAAACGAGTCCGACAGGAAAGTTCACTCTCGATTATTCGGTTTTCCTTTCCAAGGTCGGAGCCCGTTTTCCCTCGAGCCGCCGCTGCACCTCCCCGTCTCGCGCTTTCCAATCGCACCTACGCCGCGCCCGAGCTAGCAGTCGCGCGGGTCGCTAGATCGCGCCGAGCGGCTCATCTCGGAACGATCTCTTCGGCGGTGTCGTCTCGCTGCGACCGCCGTTCCCAATGGTTGAGCCTGTCTCGTTTGGCAGCTCGTCTACGTCAGATCCGACGGGATGTTTGTCGAGCTCCTGAACGACTCGTTTCTCGTTGGCGTGGATGACTCGCTCGTAACTGCAGGCTCGTATCGGTGTGTTGGCGAACTGATTGTCATCGTTGGCGTGGATGACTCGCTCGTAACTGCAGGCTCGTATCGGTGTGTTGGCGAACTGATTGTCATCGTTGGCTCGACGATTCGCGAACCCAGCCCGTTACGTAAAGCCCGTTGGTCCGAAAAATTGTCGGAATGCCAAAAAGCCGCAGTATCGCTGATCGCTCGATCTCGCGAACGAATGAGTTTCGCCGTCATTGCCGGAGAGCCAACGTCGGAGGTTAACGAACGGGGCCGGTCCGCACGATCGTCGAGCAATTTAATTACAATCGAAGAGCCGCGCGAGTGCAAGCTCGGTTTCCTCGGCGTTGCGGCGCGCGCGGCTATGCAACGTCGGCAAATTGGCACAGCCGTGCGGATAACATCTGCAGGCGGCTGCGCGGCCGGAGGCGCTTTATTCATTATGGCGCGTGACGGTTGTATCACGCTCGGTAAGCGAGCGGATCGCCGCGCGCTCGATTTCTATTGTATAATCCACTTTGCAATGTCGATAGGTGGTACATCAGCCGGATACAAGCGAGCACGTCGGCGTCGGCGTATCATTCCCAAATTATAGCTCTGCACGGCTTTGGAATGTGAAAGTCTGCAGCGCGCACTCGCGATTTTTAGCAAATCGGAGATAAAATCGCGCCTAAAACGAGAATTTGCGTAGGACAATGAGCGCTCGCTCGAAAGCGGTGAAACCCACGGCGGCGCGATCGAGCGCAGCTCCGAGCCTCTTCGGATCGCCGCGCGTCGCGATGACTGGCAAAGATCTCGGCCGACGAGTGTGAAAAACGGCCCGGATTTACGGCAGTTCGGGTGCACGGCTTGCGCCGCCTCGCGAAAGAGGGAGGGAAGGACAGAAAGAGAGAGAGAGAGAGAGAGAGAGAGAGAGAGAGAGGTTGGCAGCGATAAATCGACGATGCGGCGCTTTCGCGCCGAGCGCATGCCGTCATCTCCGCGTCCGCGCCCGCGCGATCGATGAATGCGACACCGCGAGCGCGGCGCGCGCACGAGTTTGTCCGCTCCCGTTCGAAAGCACGAGTTCGCCGATACACCGGCTGGCTACTCCGACGCGCGCTCGCCCGAACGCGCGGAACCGATAAATCTCTCGCGAACGAAAGTTCTAGGCGGCTTTCCTATGCACTGCCGGATCGCACGAGCCATTGCTTTTTATGGGGCTGCCTGCCGCCGAGTGGCGATGCAGTAATGCTCGCGGTGTATCGGCTCCGCTCCACGCGTCGATCGTTTTCTCCGCGCTGCCTCAAGAGCGCTCGTCGGGGCGCGATTCGCGCATCTCTTTCCGAGTCCGAGCACCTGCCGCTCGAATTATCCGCGAATCGATCCATCGTCGCGTCTCCGTGAGCTATAGACACTTGGTGCCAACGAGGACCACGGACTCGAAAGATAGGATCGAGGAGCCGACGGCGGCTAGTCGAGCGGACGAATCGGCCCGGCTGCCACGCGTCGTTGGTCGTCGCTGCGATAAGGGCATCGGTACGCGGTCGCCTACTTCGCCGCAGCGCATGACACGTAGCGCTGCGTCACGTCCGCCCCACTCGACTACTCGCGCGCTCGAGCAGTCGCGAGCGAGCGATGGCGCGCAGCGGCGGCGGCGGTGGCGCGCGCGATTACGTGAGCCACGAGGAGGCGACGGCGCTCGCCAGAGCGCACTTCCAGGACCAGCAGCTGCGAGTCGTCGACTGGCGCGTGGAGGCGTTCGCCAGCGAGCAGCTCGGTTACCTGGCCGATCACAAACTGCTGAGTCTCGCGGTGCAGCCGCGCGACGACGAGCTCGCGCCTCGGCGCCACTGCAGCTTCTTCGCGAAAGCGCTGGCGGCCGGCTGCGACGCGTACGAGCGGTCGTTCTTCCGGGAGGAGGTGCGCTTCTTCGGCGAGGCGCTGCCGCGGCTGCTGGACGGCTTCGAGGCCGAGCGCTGGGCCCCCGAGTGCTATCTGGCCAAGGGCGAGCTGCTGGTCCTCGAGGACCTGCGCGCGCAGAGCTTCGCGCACGCCGCCGTTAGCGCGATGACGGCCGGGTAGCTGGAGAGCGCCGCGGCGAGCGTCGCGCGCTTCCACGCCTGCTCGATGCTGCTGCGCGGCAGGCTGGGCGCGCGGACCCTGCCGGACGCCTTCCCGGGCCTCTTCCGGGAGAAGGTCTTCGTGGACGACGGCGGCGGCCCGGCCTCGAGGTGGCTGCGCGCCGGCCGCCGGGTGGTCGAGGCCGTGGCGGGCGAGCTGGGCCTCGACGCCCACGGCGCGGCCACCGCCTACGACGTCGCGCTGCGCCGGATCCGTCCCACCGATCCCGCGGGCGCGGACAACGTGCTGGCGCACGCGGATCTGTGGAACAACAACATCGTGTTCAGCGCGGACCAGCGCAGCTGCCGGCTGCTCGATTTCCAGACGCTCACCTACGCGTCGCTCGCCATCGACCTGCTGCAGCTGCTCCACCTGAACGCGGACAAGCGCACGAGGCAGCGCTTGGAGCCCCGAATCGTCCGACACTATCACTCGACGTTGAAGATGACTCTCGTGGACCACGGCGTGAGCGCCGAGCGCGTCTTGTCGCTGGAGCAGGTCCTCGCAGCGATCGAGGAAAAGCGCGTCTGCGGGCTCGTCATGGCGGCGCAGATTAATCCGATTTCACTGCTCGACAAACCGTTCGCCAAGGAATTCGCGGCGCGAACTTCCTACTACTCCTACACCAGTCGAACGGATTTGGTGAACAGAGCGATGCAAGCTGACCAACGTTACCGACGTCGAATTCAAGAGTCAGTCGAAGAACTCGTTGATTTCATGGAGCGATCTCAGAGTACGTAGGTTCTTAGATTAAAATAATATTGTACCTCGAGCTTTTATAACGATCTTCACTTGTGCAACGGTAACGTGTATTTGTCATATGTTGTGTATTGGTACTGAGATCCGAATAAAAACGATACAGAGGACAATTTCATAAATCACGTCTTATAATTACGATCGGGAATGCAAAATCATCGGTTAAACATTTGCGTTCACAGATAAGCTCACGTGATTCGATAAAAAGAACAGAACTTACTCGGGCATTCGTATTCGTAATGCCACTGGTGCGGCTCACTGTATTTATGTGTTTCGCGTGAATATATATGTATTATTGCATTATTGTTGAACGAGGTGCCCGTTAGATTCGCGCAAAAACCGGACAGAGGAGTAAAGAAAACAAAGCCATGGGCGGTTCGTACGAGAGAAATCACGACAGCCCAGGTATAAAGTAGAATATAAAAGCGGAAAAAGCGTGCTACGGCGGAGACGCAGTTGGATTTAGCGCGGCGTCTATTTCCGCAAAATTCGCTTGATTATTTTCGGCTTGTTCCACAATATCGCGCAGCGGAGAGTGAGTTTGGTGTTTGCGCGACCGTCGATCATTAGGACTTGGAATGGATTTTTCGATTATGCGTCGGCATGGTTGCGGTTCGCGCAAAACGGCCGCCGATGAGCCGCTGGCCGTTCACTCCTGTCAAAACCAAACGACTCAGCGCGCAGAGTATACGATGTCTCGCAAGACGCATGTGGCACATGTGCAAGGCACGTAGAAACTTGCAAGCTCTCGCTCGAGCGCGCGCACGAGACAGGTCCGCCAATAATGAGTTTGAGTCGTCGGAAAGAACCAACGGTCTTGGTTACGTAGCCAAGGCAACGTCCTATCTCCAATCTATGCGAACTTTCGAGTGTAAGCGGTTAACGTGATCGTCGTGCGTGGTTGTTCCGCGTGAGGATGCCGTGCGCGCTTCCTGTAACCTCTTATCTAACGTGTCGGAGGTTGGCTACATGGCGGAAGAGCGTTGCATGGCAAATTGCAATCTGGCGCATTACACATTCGCTACTCTCACTCTCGCGCGCCGAAAGTTCTCTCGATATCGACGTGCGCGCGGTCGAGTAGAGAGCGGCGCGACGTGGGAAAGCAGTTGCGCGAGATGAGGCGGCGCACGAGCGGAGAAACCTCCGCTGTGTTTGGCCGAAGGTGCAGATGCATCGTATCGAGCCCCGATTCGACGGGCGCGGGGTGGGGGAAATCATGGGTCGGTGTACGATTGCGGCGGCGATCGATAAATAGGTGCGCAATGCGCGAACCTCGTCAACTGCGATCCCGGCGCGACGCGGGCATCGCGGAGTCGGCGTTCGTTGAAAGTCAGGGCCGGGTTGCGCAAGCCGCGCTGCAGGAATAAACAGAAGTCGAGCGTTATCCGTACGCGCGTTATATAAAGCGACGCCCGTGCGCGCAATTGCGGCCGGCCGATCGACGTCCGTCTGGCTTTGGCTTCGGAACGAAAGTTCGACGCCGATCTCGGCGCTCGCGGGGCCTTGGGTCGCGCGCAAATCAAACGCTCCGCTCGGCGCGCTCGTCGACGCTGCGGATTCGAGTACTCGCGCGCGCCCGTGAACCGCGGGAAAGAGCCGCCAAGTGCAACGTCCTCGCGAGACAATGGATACGCAGAGGCGGCGCGGACGCGTATGACGCGGCAGCTGTGGGAAGTCGTTAAATCAATGCTCGAGCGCCGAGCGCATAAGCAGCGCGGCTTCGGGGCACTTTATTCGCTCGCAGATTTCTAAAGATGATTTAGGCACGTGCGCTCGTTACGCGGGCTGCGCGAGGACGCGGGGCTCCCCGAACTGGAACGAGATTAGAGCGCTATTACCTTGGCTGTCCTCTGCGAGTTAATGAACTTCGCTTTCGTCCCGCCGTGACGCTCGCGATTACCACACGTGGACGCGCGTTGGAACTCAGCAAAGCATCGTAAGCGTAATGAGCAAGTCATGCATATGCATACTATATTGTCTCAATCCGCGAGGAAGTGGATTTTCGTTGACGCAATACAACGTGTCTGACTAGTTGCCCCGGCCGAGCGAAAGTGCGAAAATTTAACAGGAATTATGCTAATCACTCGTTTAGCCAGCTACAACAACATCTCCCCCCCCCCCCCCGCTTCTTCCTCTCCTTTATTAATTCCGCTCTACAAGTGCTATATAAAACAAATATTCCGGACTGCTTTCTCTTATACTTTATGCCAGAGAGCAGTTCTCAGTTGTTTCGATGATACTTCGAGTTGCACAAGTTGCTCTCTCTGAGAAACAATACTTTTCTTCTCTCTTTTTTTACGCACGCGGGAAATGATTTCCCACGACTCATCGTTAACTTCAAGTCTATAACAATGATAATTGCGAGTGTTACCTCAGTTTATGGAAGGAAAGAAAGCAAAATCTTAGTTTTCAATGCAACAAATTGTTTATTCGTCGTACATGATATTTTCACCATTGATTGTTTCCGTCTTTTATCAATCGGTGGCTAACAGTTTCCTGGATGAGCCACCTTGATATCTGCGAAAAGGGAGCAGTTGTATTTCGGCCAAATGTCAATGAAAGAGAACGAGCGCCGGGCGGTCGCAGCTTACCTTTCTTCTGACAACGAGCAGCGCAGTACAAATAAGCTCGGCTTTGGTAAGTTTGGCCGTCGGTGCCACAGACCGGTTCCGCCACTTCCGCCACCGCTGGGCAACGACAGAAGTCCGCCGCGTCACCCCCCGCGAACAGCCAGACCGCTGAAATCACTGCGCAAATTATTACCTCGCGTATTGTTGCCTCAGACGAGCGCGGCGCCGGAAAGCTCGAGATTTGGCAAACCTAGCACAGCGAAACTCGGCAAGTTGAGCATCGCGTCGGCGCGGGTTTGACAATGGAGTTCCAAATCTGCACGGCGCGCTATCTCTTCGCCGCTCGCTGACGTCTGAGCCTGCCCGAGGAAACTTTTCGAGGCGTTTTATTGTTGCGTTCGATTAGCGAGAGAGAGAGATAGAGAGAGAGAGAGAGAGAGAGAGAGAGAGAGAGAGAGCGTCACATGACAAACACAATTGAGACGAATCAAGGCAACACCGAGCTCTCTTATCTCGCGGCATTGTTCGCGGGAACGAGTAGGCGATTTGACTTGCTAACGAACGAGCGGTGCGCAATCAGTCGGGTTAGGCGAGGGGGCGCGAGTGCTCCGAGGAAAGGCGAAAGACGCGTCGATCGCGTCGAAGGAAGCCGCGCGCGGCGAGCCAGTCGGATTGTTCGGCGCCGACAAGATCTGCCCCGACAATGAGACGCCTCGGCGCGGTGTATGCAAGCTTACGTAAGGAGGGCCGCCGGCTTTCTTTATTCGGACTCGGCAGTCGGAGTATTACTGGTAGATCGCTCGCAGCTGCCGTGACTCGTTTGGCCTTCATTCGTGGGCCTACATGCTGCCCCCGGGATCGTGGAATTCGGAGATGCGCGCGACGCTGAATGACAATGGCTCCTCTCTGCTCCGTGTTTCGATTTCCTTTCTCTCCCACTCGACGTGTTGATCGGCTCGGCTTTTATTTGGGATAGTCGACGAGACTGGTTTGAGTGCTTTTAGAAAGGCAGGCCGGGAGGAATCCTCCAAATGATTCGCCGAAGGGCAGTGGCGTGATCGAGCGCCCTTGCTCTCGTGATGCACCGGTTCGGCTCGACGACGCGAGCGTGCCGGCGAAAACGTTTGCCCGTCGCTGCCGGCTCACTCGTAATCGCGCTAATTTCGAGCGCTCTCTCGACTCGCGAGGTGTTTACGGAACGTTCACTTACACTTCCCCCCCCCCCCCCCCTCCCCAGCAGCAAGTTCGCTTCCTTTCCGTAACGCGCACCGTCATTTTAATAATGAGATTCTAAGGCGAATGCAGCGCAACATTACGTGGCCAGCTCCAGCTGGAAACGTTTCGAGATGGGTTTTTTCAGTGCCACGAGGAACAGCTGCTCTTCTCAAGTTTATGTAAAACGTTCGTCACGGCTCTTCTAACGATTCACGCTCGTTGGCACTTCAAGCGCTTGCGTTGCGTCACTCCAAACGGGTCACCCGTTTCAATGAAGCACGCGCCAACAGTTTAAATTATTCTTACGCCTTTTTTTCTTCTTTTTTTCTGCTTTTTGGAAAATAAATCGCGCACATCTCTCCTTGGAGCGTAGGTTTAGTCAAATAATGATAAAACAGGCCACGCGATCGGTCTCAAACAAGCGTATGCTGGAAAAGGATGGCTATAGCGCAAAAAAATGCTTTAGATTTAATCCGCTCAATCTGAATTTCACACTTATATTTCGACGAAACTACTTTAAGCGTTTCGACGCTGTCCGATGATTTTTCTCAATGTCAAGCTCGACAGCCGACATTGACGATATAAACACGTTCGACTAAAAATAATCAAGCTGAAATTGCGCTAATTTGCTATTCGCAGACTAGTTGCAATGCTAATTAGAATTTGAAAGAGCGGTATGACAAAGCGAGAAACTGGCTGTCGATGAAATGCCGAGCGGCAGTTTCCACTTGAAAATAGTCACTCGTACAGATTGGAAAGCTGCTATATTTTCAGCTCAACTACCAAACATATTCAATGCACGCTCATTTCGAATTCCACGCGAATGTATCTCTCGCATTGATTTCTGATGACAGGCGTTGAGGCGTGCGTGCGCCTTTGAGAAAGTCAGCAGATTCACCGGCGAAGATAACAAGTTTGATTTACGAAAAAGCTACCGGGAGAATGAAGACATGAAAGCGGGCTCGCGAGATGTGGTTCCGACCGGAGGTCTCTCATTACCTGACTGTCACTATAATGGACGAGCGGACTTTTCCGGGAATGGATGTAAATTACATACGGAAATCGATATCAATGGTGCTTGTAACTGCGAATTACGTAATTAAGAATTCGTTATTGCCAGCATCATTGCTGTTTCACACTCTCTGACATTGGTCGCAGCGGTGAAGTGCCTCGCTTATGGATTTCCAAAAATACGTTTTTATCTTTTGCGAACGAGTTTGCATAGCCATATCAAAGCGATGTTTATTTTCTTGCGCGAGTTTCCTCCTTCTCGGGCGTTTTCCTCTTGCAATTGGCAGTATAAAAATTACAAACCATTCTGTATTACTCATTCGCAACGATTCGTCGCAGTAACTTTGTACTATTGCTCATTGTAGCTTCTCAAAATGAATTACGGACTTTCGTCGCGAGTCATCGTTAGCACGATCGTCTTCTGTGAGTATGCCGCCTAACGACATTTTTATTCCTCGTCGCTTTGATGCCAACTGTCGAGTGGTATATTTCGTTTTCGTCTCAGTGCTCGTCGTCGGCTCGGCGTTCCTCACCTGCGAGGCTTTTGTCTGCAGCTGTCCGCTGATACCAGCGTCGAACGAAAATGTCTGCGGCACCGACGGCCGAACTTACAAGAACGTACAAATGCTGAATTGCATAAGTCACTGTCAACGAACAGGTCGGATGGAAATTCAAACGCAAATGCAATTATTTTTTCTCGGCCGTAACCTGTATGCGTTTGATTTGCAGGTGTAACGGTGGCGTACAAGGGACCTTGCTAGACGACAGGCAGCCGGTCGACTCGAGACGGCGCGCAATTAGAATTGTCGACAACGCAAATCAAATAAACTACGCCTGTGCGCGTATAAAAAAAAAAATAGATTTGCAGCAGTGGATTCGTTGCGCGCGCAAAATCTCGCGACTGCGGCGATTAGAGAATCAGGCCAGGCCACGAGAAGCACATATAAGCTCATGCGCACTTTCCATTGGGTAACCGGTGGCTGCATATGCGCGAGTCCATACAAATAAGAATATGACGTGCGGCGCGTTCGCGATGCGCGCGCCGTAGCACGCGAGGCACGAATGAGCTTTCGACGGGATATGTACACGTCGAGCGCGGCGCGGCGTAATATTTTTCATATACGCTCGGTACTCCGTGCTCGAAACGACCGCCCAACCCAATTCATTGCCAAATGTACACATAGTTATATATATACATACGCGTGCTCGAATTTCTCCGGCGCCGAGTAATATTTGTCGAGCAGTTGCGTCGAGCGCGGATGACGCGCTGTCGTGCGCGTCTCAATCGACTGTCTCTCCACGATCTTTCGTATCGTCCTTTCGACCTGCCACCGTGGCCGCCTTGTTATAACGACTACTAACGCATTCTCCACTCCCCCTCCCATTAAAAAAAAACATATCGTAACGTTGGCTACGCTGTTGATGACCGCCGGCGTTGAACGCTATTGCCGGAAGCTTCGGCACGCAGTGCCATTGCAATCGCAGATCAACGAGTCACACGGGCGGAGAGAGCCTTTCCCACGCACAAACAGTTTCGCAAGCGCGAATGGCCGACTTTTAAGAACAAGCCACGTCGTTGTTTTTCATTTTCCTTTTTGCCTTGATTTGGCTATCCGCAGATGCTTGGAATGATTTGGTGCACGATTCGCCATATCGTCTCCGATTTTTGACAAATTCGGACGGCAGCGCGATTCGCTGTATTTTCTGATCGACGATCGAGCAAATTGCTGAAAAATAACGGGAAGACGTATATTCTCGATGTAACGAAGGATATGAGACAACACAGTCGGTCGTTATTCGTTGCTTTCAATCGTAAAAGTGCTTTCCCCGCGTGTAAAATGAACTGGACGTAACAATTTTATCGATCGCGTTAATGCGTTAAATTCACGCTCTGTATCCAATAAAATGATCAGCGTTTTTCGATTACATCGAATAACGCAGTCGACGTTTTGCGTATAGAAGCAAAGGCAAAGACATTTTTAGCCGTGCAAGCAAAGAACAGCGTCCGAGATGTCTTATTTTTCGTTCGATAAAAGATATAACGTTAGCCTCGACGTTACCATTAATCACGAATAATCGTTCGGTGATCAGCGCGCTGTCGTCCTGTTGCGTTGAAAATTGGCGAAGGAACACAGCAACCCGGCGCGACGACGGAACGTATTGGGTTCGCCAAGAGAGCCGACTAGCCGTCGAGTCGCGAAGCATCGAGCGCTCGTGGAACTTGAGCGCTTAGTCGGTAGATGTCGGCCTGCGACGGTCTGCCTAAGGAGCTAGGAAAGAGGAACGCGCGGCGTCGAGCTGTTGCGAGCGAAAGAGGCTGCCGAGGGGTAGGGAGCGCCGATGACTTTAAAGCGCCAAGTTCTGGATCTCGGCCTCGACATTCGACGCTCGGGCGTCCGATGCGCGAAGTCGGCCCGCGGCTTCTTCTCTCGCGACAAAGGCGGGAGCACGTTGCGCGGTCGCTTTCGGTTATCGGTCTGGGTCGCGCCAGCGGGAATCGCGCTCCCGGCGCATTCCGAGATCGAGAGGCGAGCGACTACCGCACGCTAACTGCGGCGCGAAGCAAACGCCGCGGGCCGTAGTCCATTAGCGCCGATTCGTAAATCAGGCGCCACGAGCGGCTTGCCCGTTTGCGCCAGCGTTGCCGATCGTAAATTCGCGAATTAAGCGCCGATTCTGATTGACGAACTCGCGCGGCGGTCGCCTTGTGCACCGGCACTCTCCGCTGGACTTTCACTCGCGTGCATCCGTGCCTCCGAAGCTCTCGGGCGAGCGCGGCCGATCGGTCGCGCGTCCGCGAGGAGAAACGAGGAAGAGGCGACGATCCCCGTCTCCGGATGACTCGCGCGCTGTGGCAGATGCCGCGCCGCGGTTCGCTTTCGCGCGAGCCTCGCCGGCGCGTTTGCCGTGCGCAAGCGTGCGTTGCGCGCGCTAATTCAGGCGGACGTCGTTTCGGCCCGCGATGCGTGGTTTTCTTGCGAGAGGAGCCTCCTGCGCGGCGCGCCGCCCGCCCCGAGCAACGTCGCCGGCTCGGTCAGCGGAGTGTGCGAGCCGCGCGGCAGCTGCTCGCAACCTGCAGCGCTCGCTAATTCCTGTCGCCTTTTCGTTCTGGGCGCACGCGAACCGGTGCACCTTTGATCGAGGCTGCCTAACACATAGGCGCGATCGGGCTTCCCTTTGCGAATATTGACGCTCGCAAAATTATCGACTCGCCAACTTTCAGATCTGGAGGAGAAACTCGGTTCGAGTGCGCACTCGAGATCGTTGCCGCGCGGATCCCCGACGTCGCTTTCTTCGACTGCATCGCTCGCAGTTGACTTCCAGTATGCCTACAGCAGCTATCTCCCGCCGCGATGAGCTTGGCAAAAAGTCGTTACGTAAGCCGTGCAAGCGACCGGCGAGCGGCTACATAGCCCTTTCCTTTCTTCCCCATCGGACGAGCAGCAACTCGAGAGGAAGGAAGAAAGAAAGAAAGAAAGAAAAACAAGCGTCTCGTATGACTTATCAACTTTCCCGAGTCGTCGGTCGCGGGAGCGCGCGAAAGCTGACGTCTCCCGGCGAACGAACCGACGTAGAGCGGCAAACTCGAGCAGGGCGCTCGAAATAATTAAGCAGTCGAAAGGACGAGAATAATTAGCCTCGCGTTCGCACGCAGTGCGCCGACGGCGCCCGAGTGTCAGTTCCGTCTGGCGTTCGGCTGGGGGCATTTTGCACTCGCGGATGAGAGACAGAGTAAGAGCGAGTTTGTGTAACGCGCATGTGGCTGCGGCGGCGCGAGCGCTCAGCGACGTACAAGCGCCAGTCGTGCTCGGAGAAAGTGAGCTCGTGGCTTCCTCTGCGAGCCGCAGCTGCATGCACCACCTCACCACTCCGCGCCGTAACCTGCTGCTGGCTCTTTTCTGCCTTGCAAGTACGCTCCTCTGGCGAAAGTCTTTCGTCTGCAGCATTCGCTCGATTTATCCAAATACCTTTCTATTATTCGATCGACGACGATCGCCTCCTCTGGTTAGCGCCTCGGCGTCGAATCTCGCCAATGACGACGCAATGATGACATCCAAATAGCGTGTACACGAATATCCACGCCGCGAGTATCTGCGCTCGTGCGCGCGTTAATACAGTAATTTGAAAATTCAAATTCAATTCGGCTTAGGCGTGCGCAATCGTGCGCGCTCGGGGCTCTCGAGGCTTGTAGGGGAATATGAAAATCCGCGATGCCGACTGGCCGTTGGACACTCGATTAAAATTTCGAGTTCGCGAAGCGAGAACATTTTTACGGAGCACTATTAGCGATGGCGACCCTCGACGTAGTTCGTGGAAAAGGTCGTTCAAGTCGTATGTGCCTCGAGGCTACTGGTAATTGTTTACGGAGCGCGGCAAAACCATCAAACTCGCCGCGTCGAATGCAATAGGCCGCGGCCTTGATACGAACGCATGGGAAGCGGCCGGATGATCGACTCGGCCGCGATGCTCGCGATCGAACGATTGCATTATTCGAATATCGCGCGGCGCGCGCGTCTGTCTGTCTGTCTCTCTCTCTCAGACTTCTCTGCAGTGCCGACTTCGTCATTACGCGATGGCTATCCACGAATGATCGTTTTCTGTTTGATTATGCCGCTCGGTTGAACGGCTAACGAGACGTACGTGCGCGCGCTACCGACAGCGCAATTTTATTATCCTCGGCGAGACAATGCGGTGGCTGTGTAGCATTGATTCCTTATCAAAACTACGCTGCGCGCCACGCAATGCCGTGCGGCTATGTGCGTGCACTCGGCGTTTTATCGGCGCGAATAAGTCAATGTTGCGACCACTCCACGCGCCACTCTGCTTCGAGGTGTCTTCGATACGCGCAATCGCGCGATCACGTATGTTCGACGGCGCGACGTCGTACTACACGTATATACCGCGTAATCACATAAATTACCAGCTACCGAAGCCGCATAATTGATGGAACGTTCTCACACGTCCAGCGCTATCGCGTGAATCTCATTCGGCGTGCAAGGGCGATGCAATTGTCCGTAGTTCATAGAAAAAGTTATTCACTTTATTATCCGTAGAAAAATAATAACTGAGAATCGTACAAAAAAAGCATTAATATTAAGCTTACGTGACTATAAGGGAGGGCGACGTGACACCACTTGACAAAAGTTATTTACAATGGAGGGACAGCACGGTAACATACACGAAGATTCAAACGTTTACATAGGTACAAAGTGTTTGCACTGACGCAATATCTACCGGCTCTGTGTTAGCGCCGATCGATCGAACAAACAACTCGCTTGTTGTACGCGCGTTGTGTGCCAAAAAGTCTCTATCGGTAATTTACAAATCTTAACAATTTTCGTAACGGCGCAGGCCAGAAATCTGGTCGAGAGTTCGAGACAAGTATGTCGAATTTGGTCGAATCGATTAGACAGACCGTACCGTGTAAGAATTGGCCGACAGGCGCACTGAATGCGCTACAGATGCGACGCGCTTCGAGACTTAATCGGCGTGAATTGTTGACTGGGCGCGCTGTGCTATGTATACTGATGGGCATGCACCTTGGCGCCTTTAATACTTGTATCCCTCGTCTTGATTCTGTTGAGGATGCTCCGGCACCCAGACGTTCTCCCAGACCGGCTTCCATACCTTTTTCCACGTAGGTACTTTCACCTCCTTCCACGCGGGCACCCACCTGCAAGATCGTAATGGAACGCGTTGATCGTTTGATTCTGCCCCCTCGATCGCCAGTCGACGTCAGACCTACCTGCTCTTCCACTCGTCTTTCAAAACTTCCTTCTTTTCGGTCACCCACACTTCCTTCTTGTGGTTCTCCCATGCCTGAACGCTTTCCTCCTTCCATACGAGCTTCTTTTCGGTCTTCCATACTTGCTTCTTCTCGGTTTTCCATTCCTGTATCGTTGCGCAGATTCGAGTGAAACATTGTCGAAATGCCGAGGAACTTGACGAAGAAAAGTGGAAAAAGCGCTCACCTGCTTCCACACTGGCACCCAGTCGAGCTTCTTCTCCACCTGCCAAACTTCCTTCTTCTCGGTTCTCCACACCTTCTTCCACACAGGCTTCCAGACCAGCTTCTTCTTCCAAAGGTCGTGGCTGGTGTATTGCCAACCGTTGGCGTCGGTTCCGAGGTGCTTCTCTCCTGGGATGCCGATCTTCACCCACTCGGGAGTCCACACCTAAGTAGTTTAGCGACACGGCTGTTACGATAGGATGCACCGCGCTGCCGCTGCTCGGCAGAGAACCTTTTTCCACAGTACCTTTTTCCAGTCGGCGACCTGCACCTCCTTCCACGCGGGCTTCTTCTGCTCCTTCCACACCGGCTTCCAGATCTGCAAGGTTAATCGTCATTAAGGAAGAGATTCGTCGTGAACGCGACCGATCGCACGGTCCGCCGCTGCTCACCTTCTTCCACGCGGGCGACTGCACCTTCTCCCACGAGGGGGTGGCCACTTCCTTCCAAACCGGTTTCTGCACCTGCAACGCGCGTTTGCACATTGGCCACTGGGCTCTGTCTTATATAAGAAGCCACTCCATAGACTCGCTTTGAATGAGCGCGCCGAGGATGTAAGATTACGCCGAAGCGCGATGTCGGCACGAGAGCGAATCCCGAGAGCATTATCGCGCCTTTCGCCTGCTCGTAAGTGCGCGGATAATCGCGACTTTCTCCTCGATGGTCGTACGGAGAAACGCGAGGTCGAGCTCACCTTCTTCCACACGGCTACGGGCACTTCCTTCCACTTCTTCACTTGGACTTCCTTCCAGGTGGGCACCTGCACCTTCTTCCACTCCTGCTTCCAGGTCATCTTCTTCTCGGTCTTCCACACCTTCTCCCAGGACTCCTTCCACGTGGGCTTCTTCTGCCAGGAGCCCGCGGGCTTGGCGGGTGGTCCGTACTGCGGGGCCGGCTCTGCGACGGGCGGCCCGTACTGCGGGGCCGGCTCTGCGGCAGGCGGCCCGTACTGTGGGGCCGGGGGCCCGTACGAGGCCTGAGGCACGGGCGCGCCGTAGGAGTCGGAGGGTGCGGGCGGCTGCAAGCCGGCGTCGCCGCTATTACCAAAGCTGACCGACGGCCGCCCATACGAGCTGTCGGGCACGCCGTACGACGACGACGGCGGCAGTCCATAGCTCTGCTGCGGTGCCCTGCACACAATCGATCCCACGCGCGGATAAGTATACAGGCTGCCTGGAGCGGCGGCGGCGGCGACTCAATGCAAACTCATCGCAGCGCGAGCGCAAATTGTCACCTCTGATCGTCGCGCGTGTCAGCAGTCTCGCTGCACGTGAGTCAGCAGCTCGGAAAGCGTCGCCGCAGTTCGAGGCAATAAATAATGAATGACTTACTCTTTCTTTGTCCTTATTGGATCCGCCCGGGCGAGCGAGACGGCCAACAGGCACCCAAATACAATCTGCGAACAGAAAGAGGAGAGGGAGAGGATGAGACTCGCTGGTGGACCGGCGGATTGCTCGACTCCCGAGGGGGATGCTTTCGGCGGACGTCGCGCGAGAGCAGGGACAACGGCGCTCTCGTCGCTTATCGCTCTTCGAGACGTCGCGTGGCGATCCCGCGCTTCGTCGTCGTGAAAGCTCGCGTGTAATTGAAGACTCGATCGTTCCCGAGGACGCGTCGCAGTCCGCTGCTTTTAATTGAGACGCTCTCGCATCCGCCGACGCGAGGACAGGGCGGCGTCGCGCTGTTAATCCGGCGGCGTTCTCGTTATCCGCAGCCGTCGCTACGCGCTGAAAATCGCCGGAGCTGCTTTCTAGCTCGGCACCGCGCGGCTCTGTATTGTCCGTTTGGCGTTGCGAAACTCGAGACTATATCGCCATCGGCAGTTTCGGCCGGTCTAACGATTGGTGAGCCGCGCGCCACTTTCGGCCGATTGCGTTTTCGGACGCTTCGCTACTCTATTCGGGTCAGCAGTCCGCGGAAAGAGCCACTCCGCTCTCGACTCTTCGCAAGTCCGAACGTTCTGGTCCGGCCATCTTCGAGATGTTTGTTTGGAGATTGCGACGCAAGTTCACTCCGATTAGAATCTCAATTAATTAACGCTTCTACTGATCTCCAACTTCTCGCTAACGACGTCAAGTAGAAATGTGTTGATGACTGGTTTTGATCGAAAACTTACTCGTATTTTAACTCTTGCGAATTAAAATTTTCTGATAAACCTAATTGAGGCACGACAAGTACTTTCAATGGTCGTTTGCTAATTGAATTTCGAAAGAAAAGTAAACAGTCGTTTTGTGCGCGAGCAACGTGTGAGCTGAAAACGGCACTGTTGAAAAACTTAGAACGTATGTCCGACACTTTTTACGTGTACGAAAGAACGAAATGACCGTGACTTCGCATCGAACGTTCGCTATGAAATAACGTTAACAGGAGCAACTGAGATTGAAAATTTCATTGATAAATCGCGAGAGTAGAGGAGCACGTAGCACTTTCGATTTCGCAGTCGGCAAACAAAAAAACAAATCGGTAAAAAAAGGGCTGGCTCGAAAGGATCGTCACGAAAGCACGAATACGCAGACACTTGACGGCGTCACAAAAGCCTCGAAGCTTGCGCACTGGTGAGACGTGCCACTGCTGTCCGTTCGGCGGACGATTAGCGAGGCGTAGAATCACGGAGACAGAAGGGCTGCACTAACCAGGCTCGAGGTGCGCATGGTCCTGCGACGGGTTGCTCCTCCTCGATCGAACGTCGACGGCACGGTCCTGAGCGTAAAGACTTGTGGCGAATTCCTGGTGACAAGCCTTCACTTTTATACGCGCGAGCTGCTCCAGCTCGACGGAATCCCCGCGAGTCGCGGCTGGCGCGCATGCACGCCAATCGGCCCACCGAGGTGGGGCCAAACTCTTACACGTGTAGCCGCCTCTGCCTCTCTCTCTCTCTCTCTCTCTCTCTGTCTCTCTTCTATCTGTGGCTCCTCTCCTCAACGCTCACGTAATTGTTTCCTTCGCTTCGCTTGGTCGCGGTGAGAGGGACGGTCCACCCTCTCTAGTCCAACGCAGGAGAAAGGGACGCTCCGAGCTTCGCTAATCGCGCCTGTCCATTTTCCTGCTTGCGTCACAAAGGGGGACTTGCGCTGGTCCCGTTGTCACTTTTACCGTGTCAGCTTCGATTCGATTTCCCTGCTTGTACGTTTGACCACGCCAAGCCGGCAGTCGGTCTGCGCTGATCTTGCAGCATCCTCCTTCGACATACGTTTGTGCACTTACAACTTGCATCTACTACTGAGCTAAACGCGCATATTTCGATTCCTTCTCACGAGACCATCTCGCCGAGCGACAAATCGGGAGATCGTCATACCAGCCTGCAAATTTTGCAGGCCGCGTACCATTGGATCTATGTTAGCTATCTACGTTTCTTGGTGTTTACCAAATTGACTTGGTAGGTGAGGCCGGTCGCTCCAATCGGCCGCACGTCCTTAGACTTTGGACAAGGTCGATCGTCCGAAAATCGCGCCAATTGCAATGGAGTGACAGAGCGACGAGCGCGTGAACAATGTCCGCGGAAATCATCGACAGTAGCGAGAGGCGCGACACGTCCGTCGCGGAATCGAGCGCGCGGCGCAAGTTCACGGACGCGACTATGGGCTCCGCGCGCGGCTTTGTCTCGCCGGCGCGAACGATGCGCGGATCTCGGGCCCGATCGGCAGCTCCGCGCTTGGTCCCGAGAGGTCGACGAAGGGAACAGCTGACTCGCTTGCCTGCTCTAGCCGGTCTCGCGCGGTCGAGTGCAGAGTGCAAGCCGCGCAACCGCGACAGTTTCGCATCCGATCGCCGGCATTTTCAGCTCCCGTTCGCTGCCGTTCTCGCGTCCGCTCTCGTTGCGCACGAGATGGAGATGAGAGGCGCGATCGGAACAAGGCAGAGCGGCGGACGGCTTCCGTCAGTGTGAGCAATGCCGATTAGCGAGGCGACGTAACGCCAAGGCAAGACAGCCGGCGCGCGCGGAGAAAGTAGCGTCGAGGACGCGCACGCGCGACTTTGTCTTTGCCGCTGTCTCGGCGTGCGGCCGTTCTACGAGCAGCAGCAGCCTCCGTCGCGAAGCACAGCGCGCCTCCGCGCTTCTCTGCGACTGGCCGCACCGAGAGGCGTCGCGACAACGATGCTCGAATATCGGACCCCCTGTATCTCGGCAAAGCGTCTGCTCGTTTCGGTCGGGTCGCTCGCCATGCCTTAGCCGATTACTCGTCCGACATTGATCAATCGAAACTATCGTCGAACTTTCTTCTCGGAGAATTCAAGCTCGCGGCAGTCGAGCAACGTCGAGAGCCGAATTTTCCGCGAATTGCCCGAGACTTTCGACTGTTGTCTTTTACGGCTCACCTTTATAATTAACCACCGTGTAGCGTATCCCGCGAGAAACTCGACTCGTTAATGTGACATCCGAACGGAGCTTCGCTGCATCGTAAATAGCGCGCAACGCGATGTGCTTTGGCAGTCGGGCTGGAAAGTTTCGCGAGCTCTCGCTCGCGTTATCGTAAATGGCGACGTATATGGCCGGCGAAGAGAGCTGAAATTGAAAAGTTTCTACGTCTCCGCGCTCGGCAGCCTTCAATTAACGCGCCCGTTATCGGCTGTAACCGCGCGCAGTTGCGTCAGGTGCGTCGGCGCGGCTCGGATAAGCGCGGTGCTTGCGAAAGCTCGCGACTCTTTTTTTTTTCTTTTTTCACGCGCGCCAATTAATTCGGACTTGGTCCGAAGTGAAGCACGGTGCGGTTGCACTACAGCGCGCTCACTCGCGGCTAATTAAACGCACCGTTCACCAGTCGGCGAACAATTATTCCGAGGAGCCCCTTGAATCGCGCTTCACTCTCTCTTTCTCTCTTGCAAAGGGTAGATTTCGCCGATTTTGTATTACTCGTACACCAGCCGCATCTCGACAAGGTGCCCCGAAGATTTCTGATTCTCGATAGATTGCTGTTGTTTTTTTTTCACTTTCCGTGGTGATTGGTCACGCGATTGCGGCGATTGCACGGATAATTGACGCTGACATCGCGTGCTTTCAACTACATTACGGTCTTCGAATTCGCGACAAACATCTCTCAGGCAAATTTATCGGCGCAAGTTGCGCAAACTGACGGGATAGATTGATTTCTACTGCCGCGTTCCTGGCTTATCTTTCCCGTTCGACGAGAGATGCGATACGGAGTTCGTAGATCCAGATCATCGCCCAAAGGTGCGGAGCGCGAGTGACTGCGTAAAATTCTGGAGTGCAGGCGGCAAATCGACGTCGATCTATACCGAAGCGGAACTTGCGCGTTGCGGTAGAAATATGGTTCTCGGCGAGGCGAAACTTAACGGATCGCGGGTATTATCGTATCGGAGACAAATCTGCCGTGAATAAAAAACAAAACAAAAAAAACAAAATGAGAGAGCGCGTATGGTGCGAGATAGCCGGCCGGAGTAAAACGGACTCCCGTATCGGCGCACGCGACCGGTTGCGTCAGCGCAATAGTCACAACTACGACCGCGTGGCAGAGTAGCGCGCGCGTTTTGAAAGCAACCGGCTCATTACGCGCGCGGCGCTGTGCGTGAACGAGAGCGCCGCTTGAAATGCAGGGCGACGCGTCCGGCGCCACGACCGTCACGTACCCGCAAGCTCCCTGCCGTACGGGCGTTCCGCTCGCTTGTAATTAGCAAATTCCAAAGCAGTCGGCATGCGAATCCTCGGCGCTGAGATACGAGAGCGCGGCGCCCATTGGGAATGCGAGGCGTGCGCGCGATCCGCATCTCCGCCGATTCGACGCGTCTCTCCGAGCGAACGGTCGCAGGTGCTTATTAAGCCGATCGGCCCGTATATCCATTTAATTCGGAGCTCTCTCGTTTTCTACGGCTACCGTGCCACGCACTTTGCATATTTTCTCTCTGCTTATATACGAGCCGTTTTTACACTCCGGCAAATCGCCGTGTAATCGTAGCTTAATGGCACTGTGGATCTTTGCCTCGAGGCAGCATCGGTTTGGATCGATCGCTTTTAACGCCCGACTCGAAATCATATCCCGGATACGTGGCCGCGTCAGCCGAAGAGCTTCCGAGAGATCCGCACTTCTGGAGCCCGAGACTACGAGTGTCCTCGCGGACATTATCCGAGTGACGTCTTGCGCGGCTAATTTATGCCGCGACGGTCGCTCCGAACGATCGCGCCGCGGCACGCAGACAGGCGGACGAGTACAACCGAGATCGCGGCAATTGGCATTCCTCGCCGGCCGTCCGCCGAAAAATGCGTCGTGGCGCGCGAGGAGCGACGACCCGCCAGCTGCGCTTTTGTTTTGGCTCCGCCGAAAGGCCAGTCCTTAATCCGTCACTTCATTGAAATTCAGCCGAGCGAGAGTCTGGTTGCCTCGCACCCAGGAACGTCCGCGCCTCGCCGACAGCATCGAGTTTCGTCTCGTTACTCGATTAAAATGGAAATTCGCAGGGCGACAAGCTCCCGTTATTAAAGCTCGTAAATAGAGTTAAGCGGGCCGACAAGAGGCTCGAGGCGACGTAACTCTTCCGTCTTTCGTTTGTTCGGGTGCGCGACTTTCGCAAGCGACGCGCTAACCGCCGACAGGCGAGCTTGAAGGAGGGGGGGGGGGGGTTGTTCTCGCGGACCGAGTTACGCGGCGAGCGTGCCGCGGTTCGGTTGCCGCTGTCGGCGCGAATTTCGCCAGGACTCCGTAATTACGGAAGCGCGCGCCGCCCACCTACGTCCAGCAGCCCGGACGCGCTGCCTTTATCCAAGTTCCATCGCCGGCATGGACAGGCGCCACTTTGGATCCACGCGACAGCCCCGGCTGCGGAGCGACGAAAGCTATATCTCGTCGAGATCGCGTGGCATTTAAATAACTGATTGATTCCATTTGTCGTACGCCCGGAGAGCAGTCATTAATCACGCACTGCTCACCGGCTTTCGGGATTTTACGCGGCGCACCGGCAAACGAGCCACTTGTCACCCAACGAAAGCGTCCTCGCATGTAATTATATCGTCCTTATTAATTCAATTTCGTGCGAGCGATCGCTGCGAGAAAGCCGCGCGCGGCGAACGACGTCGCTCCTCGCTGACAAAATATGGCCGCGCGCTCGAAATAACGAACGCACCTCCGGCAAACTTTATCGGCGACGAGGGTAACCGTTGATCGCGCGTAAAGTGTCATGTATTCCGTGCAAACTTTAATTGATCGCCGCGGTAAAATGAAGCGCTGTGGTTAATATTTCATTTACTTTCACCAAACGCACACGTATGATATACGTTTAAATTACTGCAGTTTACTGGGCAATTCAATTTTTCGCCAGTTGAGTTATCGTCGGCGCGGCACTCGTGCAAATAATCGTACGTCAGGCTCTTTCCGCCGAGACATCATATCGTTTATATTGCAACATTCTGCAACATTGCTCGGTTCGAAAGAACACGGAGAAAGAGAAAAAAAAAAAGAAACAACAGCGTTGTAAATTTTGCGAAATTGCATAATACAATTGCCAGTCGCATGTAAAATAAAAAGGAGATCTCGGTGCATCATACATATTTATGAGCGCGCAGCAGCAGACTCGCAAACGTGAAGAAATAATTTTGCTTTAATTGCCGGGTTACACGCCTGGTCGGATTGTCAAAGGAAACGCTCTTATTTTTACACGCTACTTTAGCGTCTCGTTTCGCGTTGATTAAGCCAACGATTTCCAGAACTGAGGCATACGCAAGTTTCTTGCGCTTCTCGAAGGATAAGGCGTACGAGTCGAAGCCCCCTTGCGAAACGCTGGCGCGCGGATGAAGAGACAATCGAGAGAACGAAGGCGCCGCGCGAGCACGTTTACGACAATGAAACGCGCGAACCAAGTACCGGTGTCCCAAATGCCATTGCTCTAGCAAACGCGCGCGCCACGAGTAACAAAAATGGCTTTGACGATCGCGTTGCAAAAGCATGTAACCCGACTAACGAGACGCGAGTGCAGGTCGAGTACAGGTGAGCGAGCCATCGATCGACCGTGAGGGACGTCGCTCGTTTGACGCCAAGCTCGAGCGACGCCGAAGTCCGCGGAATCGCTGGCGGTACGCGCGTGCGACACAGTGGGCGTGACGATCGCAAGCTTTGGCCGCGAATCGTCGGCAAGCTCTAGCAGCGCGGGGGCGGTTCGCAAGCTCGACCTCGCTGGATTTGGCGCCGAGCTTTCGATCGTCGCGACCGTGCCGGTGGAGAGCGAGGGGAATGCCAATGCGGGCCCACGAGTTCGCAACCGACGCCAGACGTGCGAAACTGGAATCAGGACCGAGCGCTAGTACCAATCCACGGCTCGTCGCGCGGATCTACGCTCGCGGCCGAGCCGCAAGGACGATCAATCGAGCCGACGAGCGAGCAGGGGAGGGGGCAGATCTACGTGGCTGATTTCGTGACAGACGAATTCATATCACATCGGCGGGGCGCATTCCCGCGCGCGGCGACGCCGGGCGCAAGTGGGAGAAAGCTTAGGAACGGACGACCTTGAGAACGACGTTTTTATAGAAACGACGAGAATTGGGACGCGGCGCCCGGCGGTCGCGCTCTGATGCAATGCCCACGCGTCACCGAGCCTAGTCGTATCGCAAGAGGCGACGCGCCACATTTGTATGGGCGTTCGGCCGTCGCGACGCGCGGTCCTCTTCTGCCTCGTCTTCGGGGCAAAGACCTTCGGCGATTGGTGTCGCGCGTCGGGCTATCGGCAGCCCTTGGCACGCTCGCGCACCTCCAGCGCCAGATATATAGATAGGCGATAGCCTAGATCGGAGCGGCCCGCATCGGCCGACGAATCGTCGACCTCGACACCAAAGCGCCCAACGCAGGCAGTGGCCGTTGTTTGTTTACAGGAGATTTCGATAGGCCGTCGGCCTCTGGGAAAAGTTGTCGAGCCACGTCTCGCCGCGCGAGAAGACTGCATAGTCGATGGCATTAGCCATCGAAGTGAAAGCCGTTTTCGCGAGAGACGCACGGAGGTGTTGCAGTCGTGAAACGCCGCGTTTCCATCCAAACGAATTATTCGCGGACGTTCGATCCGAGGATCCGAGGATCCGCGGCATCGTGCCCGCGCGCGGCCACGCTCGATTGTTCGTCGCCTCGAGAACAGTCCTCGCGCCCCCGGCGCGTCGTAAGCCCCGAGGCGAGCGCCGTCGTGGCCAGCGATCCAGCGCTCGCCGCCGACAGGCTCGGGGCCACGAGTAGCCAGATGCGGACGCGCCGCGTGTCTCACCGAAACAATACAAAGTGATGCGCGAAATTGCAGAGAAAGCGAGCGACGAAGACACTCGTCGCGCGGCGGCGCTTTCTAACGAAAAATAATGGACCACTCCCTAAATTGGCAGGCAGCCTCGATTTGCTGTCGGCCATTGTGAGTTTCGCGTTAGAGCCCGCGGCGTCGATTTCCATCGGGCTGTACGGTGAGACGCAGCCGCGTCATTGATCTCGAAACCACGCGACGCGAGGGATCGACCGTGTCGGTGTTAATTCGGATGTTATTCCAATTGTAAGTAGCGGGAATGGGGCCTAATCGCGCGACGCTCTCCTGCCGAGTCACGCTTTGTCGGGATTCGTTAGACCGAGACTTTCTAAGCACGAGCGCGCGTACGTACGCGTACATATTACGATCCTCTGATTAATCGGTCGACGTAAGAATCGCCGCGGGACGCTCGTTATCGCGCGGTCGAGAAAGTACACGGAGCGTGCGTTCGCGCGGTCGCGCGCAAGGGAAGCCTCTGGAACGTGGGCACGTCGAGGGCGCGCGACCGACGGCCGCGCCTCCGGAGATTCTCCGCCGAGGCTTCTGCCTCGCTCTCGCGCGCGAGAAAGCTGCCGTCGTCGCTCGCTTCTGACTCGCGCGCGATCGCGATGTCTCCGCGGCGTTTTTCACTTTTCTCGAGCGAGCGATCGATGTCCACTTCCCGAGTCGCCGCCAGCCTCGACCAAACAAGCGCGCCGTACGCCGGAACGTCTCGACAACCGAGAGCCTCCGTCGGAAATGAAGCCTTCAAAGTCGGACTGCCGAGAGATGGATTGGATTTCACGTGGCTATAATTATTTGCCGAGCGATACAGCGATCACGACTGGGTTGGACCCCTGCAGGCATTCGCCAAATAAGTGATTCGGGGCTACTTGAAAATTCAGCGCTAAATGCTCGAGTGACAATATTTAAGATAAATTCATCAGGAGGCTCACTTTCACTTTCCCCTTCCGTTCTCTTATTCTCGCTCCTCGAAATTGTATGGCAAACACTCGTACATCCGCGTGCCGACCGCTCGACGGCCTTTTCATTACCAGACTCATACGTCTCAGACGTATTCCATGTACGTAACGGTTTTCCCGTGCTTCTGACGAGTCTAACGTTTCCCATCCGAAAGATCTTGCCCTATCGTTCTCATCTACGAGACGGGGCGACACCTCCGATATTATCCAATTCGATTTTCGTAAGATAACTAATGATCACCTAAGCTGGAAATACTCGCGCGCAAGTGTTCGTTATTTACGCGCCGAGACCGCAGCGACGCTCGTTCGTCTCCAGATCAGCGCGCGCGCGACATCGAACAACCGATGGAAATGCTTTCGCCGCGCGCCGGGCTCTACGGATTCGGTACAAGTGTGCCGTTTCGATCTCGCACGAAAGCCAATACCGAATAGAATCGCGCGCGGCGCGCGTTAATTGCCAAGTCATCGGCGCCCATCGCCCATTAATTATTCGCGGGCGCGCGGCCCCCCGAGAAACTCCGCTCCGTACGATGGCGCTCTAACGGAACGGACGCCAGGAGGAACTTTTACCGGTTGCGAAAGCGGAGTTAGAAGCGCGCGCGTCCGCGCAATCGATCGAGAGCCAAGCAAATTAGAATAGGACACACTTCCGCGCGCGCGAAACGGACCCGCCCGTTCGCGGACGGCTGAACTTGACATTTTATGGTAATCCGGCGGAAAACTTTCGCTGGTTCTTCCGAAACGCGGCTCGCCAGTTGGATTGCATAATCAGCGGTGAAGAATTAGACGCAAGGCGACGGCGATCGGCGCCGACGCGGGGACAAAGCTCTTGCTGGGCCGCGCGCGTTGGCCGCTCGTCGGCTTGCCTTTCCGTCGCGCCGCCACCACTCGTATCGATGCAGCGCAGCTCCTTCTTGCGTCTGCTCTGTACTGCTTCCGCTCTGGGCCCCCTCCTCCCGTGACAGCCGCAGACGGGTCGCTCGACCGACCAAAGTCGCTACTCGATCGCTTTTCGACTCGCTGTTTTCCTCGCGTTGCGCGCGTGACACCCGCATATTGGATAACATCGCTCGATCCGAATAGATAACCTTCATCGACACCTGTAACGGTGCTGCGACGCTCGATTGTCCGCGATGTTGCGCGGCGAGTTTACGACCGCGCCATGGTTTGTCCGGACTATTATTAGTTGCGATAAAAATGCGAGCGTTAGCTCCCATATCCGAATAGGCAATTATGTCTACGGAATTGCGATGTGCGTAACGGCCGAGCCACCGTCGAATACATTTCCAATAAGTCGCTCGCTAAGTGGCTCATCGAAAATCATCCCAAACGACTGCGTATTTCACCACTGACTCAATACAACCCGCACTGGAGAAAAACGAAAGCCATTAAATTAAATTTTACTATTTCAACTTGTCGCTACTTTCACTTTCGCTAAAAGCAGCCGTATTTTAGAAACGTCAGGGCTTATCTATGTAATATTCTATACTCATTATGTTTATTCCATATTTCCTCGGCTACACTTCGATTACGTTGTAGCCTTTTTGTCATTGCAAGTTGTAAATGCTCGACAAAAAGGAGCAAACGAATACTCCGGGTCGTCGATTGCCCAATGGAAAAAAACAACCAGCAAAGCGGGCAACAAATGTGCCGAGGAACGAATCGTGCTGAACTCAACGGCAACGTTAATATCGAAAAATCGAGAGCGAGTAAAAGTAAAATGTTTGCGTGACGAAAGCATTTTGACAAGTCGCGATTCAATTTTGCATGTCGGCCGTTACTCGCCGCTGGTCGAGCTCGAGGGCGACCGAAACTGCACGGGAGAAATAAATAAATAAAAAGGTGAAAACGCGAATGTAACAGCGCACCGGGCGCAGCGCGAGAAGATCAAAAGAGGCGTAGGAAGCCTTCGCGAGCTTTCTTTATACGAGAAATACTCGCAGGCGGATTCAGCTCTATTTTCGAGCTTGACCTTCGTCGGACTGGCTGTCGCCTCCTCGAAATCTCTCTCGGTGAGATTTTCACCAGGGATGTCCCAATTCCGGCGAGAGCGTCGCGTCATTTGAATAAACTTACCTTTTGCGTCTAATTTACTCGCGCAACGATTTCTCTGGTATTCCAAAGCTACGAAAAGTAGAGAGAGAAAAAAAAGAATTTAAGATTAGCATGTAGAAGCAAACGCCGGTTGGTGGACATTAACGTCTCCCGTAAATAAATGAAAAGAGCTGGCGAGGGGTTTATTTGACCAGGAATGAAGTTTTTATTAGAAATCAATGAATCACGACTGGCAATTGGTTGGTAAACAAGCGTTCGTATCGACATCCGATGATCGGCGATGATCAATAACCGAGGTTATCGAGTTGTCGCAATTCGTTCGAACATCTCGGACCGAACGTCGGACCGATAGCATCTCGGTCGACGAGCACGGCAGGAACTCGAGCTGCGCGGGCACGGCGGCGCCTCGGCACCTGGGCGCCGATCAATTCGACGAGCAGCGACCGATAAGCGAGCGAGATAGGGGTACGCCGCGCGCACCGGCGGGCCGCACAGGGGCCGCTCGCGGCCGCAGTCGTCGACCGGCCGTCGCGACGATGACAGGTCCACGCGGCGTCGTCGCCTTCGTCGGGCTGTGCTGGCTGCTGCGCGCCGACCCCGGTAAGAGCGACGTCGCGCGCGACCGGCGAGCCGCGCGTGACGGAGCGAGGCCTCGGTGTGCTTGCAGCGCGAGCGCGCCACGGGGTGTGCGCAGGCGACCAGGACTGGGGCTACGTGGCGGTGAGGCCGCGGGCGCACGTGTTCTGGTGGCTGTACTCGAGCACGGGCGAGCGGCCGGTCGGGCAGGGGCCGCGGCCGCTGGTGATCTGGCTGCAGGGCGGCCCCGGCGCCTCGTCCACCGGCTACGGCAACTTCGAGGAGCTCGGACCCTGCGACGTCCGGCTCCGCCACCGCGATCACACCTGGGTTGGTTGGCGCGATCGCAGCGGCGCCGCCAGCCCGTGATGCCGCCACGCGTTGACGTTGCAGGTGAAGGACTACAACGTGCTGTTCGTCGACAACCCGGTGGGCGCGGGCTTCAGCTACGCGGAGGCGGGCGACGCGTTCGCGCGCGACAACGCCCAGATCGCGGAGGACCTGCTGCGGCTGATGCGCGGCTTCTACGAGCGGCTGCCGCGGTTCCGCGAGGTGCCGGTCTACATCACCTCCGAGTCGTACGGCGGCAAGATGGCCGCGGAGTTCGCGCTCGTCTGGCAGCGCGCCCAGCGCTCCGGCGCCATCCGCAGCAACCTGCGCGGCGTCGGCCTCGGCGACGCCTGGATCTCGCCCGTCGACAGCGTGCTCGGCTGGGCGCCCTTCCTGCTGCAGACGGTAACTATGCGGCCCGCGGGCGCTCGCCGACCGCGCTCACTGCCGGCGCTGCGCGCAGGGCATGGTGGACACGGACGGCTTCGAGCGGATCCGGGCGATGGCCAATCGCACCAGGCGAGCCGTGGAGGCGGCCCAGTGGTCGCTGGCCACCAGCCTCTGGGCCCGGACGGAGGCCGTGGTGCTGCAGGCCACCGGCAACGTCGACTTCTACAACGTGCTGCGCAAGGTGCCCGGGGACCCGCGGCGCACGCGCGGCTCCCGTCCGGGGCCGGCTCGGCCCGGGCTCGACGACCGCTTGCTCGACGCCCTGATGAACGGCCTGGTGCGGCGCACCCTCGGGCTCAACGCCACCTGGGGCAGCCAGAGCGACACCGTCTTCGGTCTGCTCCGCGGCGACTTCATGAGGCCCGTCACCCACATCGGTACGACTGTCGGCCGCCCGCCCTCGCCCGGGGTCGCCCAAGCTAATGACGCGCGCCCTCGTTCTTCGTTGCAGTGGAGAGGCTGCTGGACGAGACGGACCTGCGCGTGTTCGTCTACAGCGGCCAGCTGGACCTGATCGTCGACACGCCGGGTGAGCGATCGCCAGCCGCCGTATGCGCGCCATTTTTCATTTCAGCACGAGCTGCGCGGACGCGTCGGGACGATTGGGAAAATTGGGGGGACACACGGGCGCGCGAGAGCAGCTTTCGCGAAACGAAGCTCGCGGGGGGAACGTCGAAATCTAACGAAGCCCGTTGGCGAGTTACCCAGGAACGTGGCTGTGGGTTGAGAACATGAAGTGGTCCTACTCGAAGCAGTGGCGCGCGAGCCCCAGGACGCCGCTGCTGGCCGACGGCATAATCGAGGGATACCGCAAGAGCTACAAGAACTTCGGCTTCTACTGGATCAATCGCGCCGGACACATGGTAAGCTCGAGCGACGCGCGCCGGCTGTACGGTAATGCGAATGTTTCGTGCGCCAGGTGCCGGCCGACAACCCCGTGGCAACCGCTGTCGTGCTCCGAGAGCTGACGAAGAATTAGGAGATGCGCGCGGCGCGGCCGTGCCTGACTGCGTTGCCAAGGCGGCTCCTCGTCGACCAGGCTGGCTTTTATGGCGGTGGGAAGCCGCGAATTTTAAGCAGAGCCGACGACCGCTCCGTCCCGCACCTACACCTGTACAAGTCTAGCCGCGCTGAAATACACGTTTGTCGAGCAAACCCGTCCGTTTCGCTTGCATCCTGTCATCCGTCCTCGCGAATACCCTTGCTCCTTACGTTATCGCAGTGACGCTGTAGCTTTTCCGCGCATTCCACCGAGCTTCCATTCGCGAGGAAAGTTGACGCCGACGAAGACAGCTACGCCGAGCGATCGCGCGCATTTTTAACTCCGTTGGCTCGACAAGAGCGAAGACGAAAAAGCGAAGAGGACGAGGCGTCGCTGTAAAAAGAAGTTGAAGCCAGCTCGGATTCGAGGATCCGCGAGAGTGCAGTATATAAATATTTGAGCGAGCTTTGGCCGCGAGAATACCAATTGGTCCGGCGAATAAAGTTAAAAACAGGCCCGGCATCAATCCTGGAATTTCAATGCCCAACACTGATTCAACTCGGTTTTTTTTTCTTCTTTCTTTTTTATTTTCTTTTTCTTTTTCTTTCGGATTTTTTGCTCTTTTGCGATGCAAACACAAATTTCAACGTTGCGCCAAGAGCGTACGTCAACGTGATGGTTTACCATAACAGCTGGCGCATAACAATCACCTTCCGTGACTACATTTTTATCGTTTCAATATTTCACAACGTTGTACAAAAAAAAAAATAAATAACGTAACACAGAAGAAAAACCCGAAGATATTTTTGTACAAAATCTTTTTCCTGGCATTTTTCCGAGCATCTGTCCCATTATTTTCACTGGCGATCCTGCATATTGGGGATGCGCGTTAAACGGAAAAACAAAAGAAAACATTAGAGACCGGATAAATTCGTTGCTGGCTGCTCCTCGAAGCCGACTATCACGAACGCGTTAATCGGGCGTCGAGAGCGAGAATAGCGCGTAAACAATTCGAGTCGAAAAGCAATGAAAACCATAGGTAAGTTGGACAAGGTGGTGCTCGCGTGTGCAGCAAGCAACAAGCAGCAGCAGTAACGCGAGGTGTGATTATTATTAGGGCGCGGCGCGCAGCACGTGCACAAACAGCGGATGGATAGGAGACACGTCGACGCGGAGCTTGCGACGACCAGTCGACTCGGCTGATCTCCGAGGGCGGAGCTTGCGGTCAGCTGGCGGGCCGCTTCTCGGCGGCTTCGAATTAGTCGTTGCGGGCGAGCCGCGTCGATCTATCGCCCGAAGGATGCACTTCTGAGAGCTTGGTCGGAGCAATGGAGCCGATGTTCGCGAGCGACAGTCCAGTGTCGACGCTGGCGAGCGGCTGCTGCCTACAGAATTACCTGGACGCTTGGCAGCGAGACTCTGCCTCGAAACTGCAGGCGAATCAGCTTGCTTCGCAGATCTACCTGGGCGCCGCGCTGCAGTGCTGGTGAGTTGTCGCACGGCCTGTCACGGTGAGGTCGCAAGCGAGATATCGAGCTTGAGAACTGCGCAGGCAACCGCTGGGCTACGGCTGCGGTGAGCAACAGGCCGAGCGGCTGCGGCTCTCGCGAGTAGCTTGCGCGCGGCAGGAGAAGCCCCCTTACTCCTACATCGCCCTCATCACCATGGCGATCAACTCGTCGCCGAGGGGCCGACTGACTCTGTCGGCCATCTACAAGTACATAATGGACCGATTTCCTTACTACCGGGAGAACCGACAGGGCTGGCAGAACAGCATCCGACACAACCTTAGCCTGAACGAGTGCTTCGTGAAGGTGGCTCGTGACAAGCTCGCGGAAGTGGACCAAGCGGACCAGGGCGGCAAGGGCAGCTTTTGGACTCTCAGCCCGTCGGCCAACGGCATGTTCCAGCACGGCAACTATAGGCGGAGAAAGCCCAGGCGCCAGCCAGCTCCGCAAGCTGTTGGTATACCCGTAGCCTCTCTTTCGCAGCAGGCCGTGCGACGGTTAACATTGTCGACAATTGTTGCAAGGATACCCGAGTCGGGCAGAGCAGCCAAGGCCCGGCTAAGTGCAGCCTCTTCACCATCGAGAGCATCCTTAAGGAATCCACGTCGGGACAGTGATCCCTGGGTGGAGCGACGCGTGCTGCGCCGTTGCAAGCCTGGGCCGCGCTGTTTGTTGCTTCAAAGAGAGAGAGAGAGAGAGAGAGAGAGAGAGCGAGAGAGAGAGAGAGAGAGAGAGAGAGAGAGAGGCGCGCGCTACACGGTGGCATCGGCAGCAGTTTTCTCAGAAGCCCGATAAATCAGCGCGCGTCTACTGCGCAAACAGCCGATGGATCTGTTGCTGTTACTTAATTTTAGACACGCGCAAATGTGTACTTCGGCGGTATTTATTATTTACACGCGCGCGCAGTTAAAATAGCTCGATCGCGGCGATGCGACGAGCGCTCGACTCCGCCGAACGCATTTCCCCGGCAGCTTCGCCCCTCGTTACACTGCGCGCCGCAACTTCTGCGAATCGCCGTGGGAAAAGCTCAAAGTTAAAATGTGCCAGTCGTGCGATTATCAACAATTATTGTCGCGTTTATTCCTTTTTAAGTCGAGACGAGGCCTCGAGGAAATGCTTTCCACAGAGTGGCGCATCTTCGTAATAATGTCTCGATTGCAGGCGCCTGTGCCCGCACACATTCACACACGCACGTTTTCTCAGCTATTCGCTTAAGCAAACACGTATTGTCCGTATGAGTCTCTCTTTTTTTTTTCACAGCACTGTCACTGAGCGTGGTTATTTGCGCGTATTCACTCAAAATCACACTTGTCTTGTAAATAACAATTATAATAAAAAGAAATACTTTATGGCTCCTTCAGTCAATAATTATGCCATTGGATTTTTCTTCATTAATTCCAAATCAGCAGTCATCATGTCCAGTACCAGCTCCTGCAACGACAATGATCACCATACAAAAATATGTAACGCGTCATATTATTGTCAGCTATGCTTATTTGACTCGCTAGTTCCCACCTGGAATGAAATAGTAGGCTTCCAGCCGAGTTTTGCTTTGGCTTTGCTTGCATCTCCCAATAGAAGGTCCTTTTTGTCGTGCCAAACAAAACGTTCACTTGAATTCGCCATTTCATATCGGTATTTTTTTATCAACTTATTTTGCAACTTACGACTTCGGTTGGACGGAAATATCGTGGGTTTACTTTTACAAGTACCCGACCATTTTTTGCATCTTTACCAACTTCATCTACACCTTTTCCTTCCCACACGATACTCGTTCCTATTATTTGGAATGCAGCTTCAATAAACTCTCTAACACTGTGCGTTTCACCTGTAGCTATAACATAATCGTCTGGAATTTCTTGTTGAAGCATAAGCCACATTGCCTGCATAAAAATATATTGTTCTATTTAAAAGATCATCCTAATGATATAATTATATCGGCAAAATATACCAACTTGAACATAATCTTTGGCATGACCCCAGTCTCTTTTAGCATCTAAATTTCCCAACTCCAGTACTTCCTGCAGTCCTAAATGAATTTTAGCTATGGATCTTGTTATTTTTCTTGTAACAAAGTTTTCACCTCGTCTAGGACTTTCATGATTGAAGAGTATACCATTGCAAGCATACATACTATAAGCTTCTCTGTAGTTAACAACTATCCAAAAACTGTACATTTTGGCACAAGCTGCAAAACATATTGTAATGAGAATAGTAGATACGTGTAATGAAATATATTTACCGTAAGGAGATCGAGGATAAAATGGAGTCTTTTCATTTTGAGGTGTTTCTAAAACCTTTCCATAAAGCTCAGAAGTAGAAGCTTGGTAAAATTTTACAGATTTTTCTAATTTACAGGTTTGTATAGCATCCAACATTCTGACTGTGCCAACAGCATCAACTTCTGCAGTATATTCACTCAATTCAAAGCTCACCTGTAAAGTTAATTGAATATTAGTAAAAATACTCCCACAATAATGTACCTAGTTAAAATAAATGTGATTACCTTAACATGACTTTGTGCAGCTAGATTATATATTTCTGTAGGCTGAACTTTATTAATTACTTTAACAAGACTGCTAGAATCTGTCATATCTCCATAATGAAGTTTCATCTTCCCCTGTCTATGACACCTTGGATCTTCGTATAAATGTTGGATTCTTGTCGTATTGAAAGAGCTTGCTCTTCTAATAATTCCATGGACTTCATAACCTTTGTCGATAAGAAACTCTGCCAGATAGGAACCATCCTGATCAAAAAAATAAAACAAAGATATAGTTTCTTTGGAAGCAGCCACAATTAAGTACATTTACATAAAATAATTCAAATCTAATTCAACACATTGATATTACAAATTGATGTATTTATAAAGTCAAACAATATGGAATAAAATATAAAACACATGAAAAATCAAAGTTCAACTATTATATACAATTAATACCTGGCCGGTAATGCCGGTGATAAGAGCAACGCGTCTTTGATCTTCTGTAGATGCCATATTCCTACGTATGCAAGCACGCGTTGGAATTATTCTTCCAATTAATCTGATTAAAAATTGTAGAAAAATTTGTCACTTAAAAATATGTGGGTGTAGCCAGCCATGAATCTGTCAAAGCTGTCAATCTGTCACAGCGTGCCACGCATTCATAGTACTAAGTTCCTCTTGCGCATTGTAGTTTATGTTAACAGCTGATTTTACATTGGTTATGTTCACGTAAAAGTAAGTTTACAATAGATATCAAATTTCATGTACAAAAAATATTGTTTGATTCTTCATAATACTATTATTATAAATATTTTTTATATTGGTAATTCTAAATTAAAAGAAACCGGACAGTTATTTCCTAATTAATTTCGTAACATCAGAGAAATGACATTTATATAGAATGGGTATAAGTGTAAACAATTTCAAAGCTTTGCGAGCAATCGTCGAAGTTTAATATTTTATTGAAAAACAGTCTTATCTGACGATATTCCGATTAATGTTTTTTTTATACTAGAGTTTCATATAGCGCATTACGCGTGTGACTAACCCTATTGGATTTATTGTATAGTACACCGGTCCATACGAAAGTTGTGTATATAGTGTCATGTTGAAATAGTACACGCAAAATTCTATTTCACCAAGATTTTTTGTTTCCTACAAGATCAAATAAGTAGTTCTTTTTACATTCCAAAACACTCGCCACCTAATCTGGTCTATCACAAAAGTTTGTTGATTAGGTAGAAGATTTTCTTTAATTTCACACCAGTTTGGGTTCCATGTCATCGTGAGAAAAATGTCTACTTTTCCGTATTCATCAACATGCTTATGCATAGCAATATTTCTGTAAAATTGAAATATACTTTTGAACAAATTATTAACATTAACCTTTTATTCTTTTGTTAACCACAAAACTGTTAGTAAACACAAAACTATCAGCAACGCTACAGTTATCGTATGATGTTATTAAATGCTTCATAACATTGCAACCAATTTTTTTACAGGGGGAAACTGTAACAAATGAGTTTCAAGCAAATATTACAAGTGAGATTAATAAGCAGACAGTGCTCAATTCGTCAAAGTCATAATTATGCAACAGTATATGAATCAAATGATTCAAAAAATGTTGGCAAACATGCTAAGGTGCAGGTTAGTCTATCTAAATAATCAGTGCTATTTCTTATTAAAATACGCAGATTGTTTGATTCATTCATTAAATTGTCAACTTTTCTATAAAATTATAGGGATGGGTGCAAGCATTCCGAAAGATAAAGGACAAGATTTTTCTTGATGTTAATGATGGCACATCTAGTCAAGCACTTCAAGTTGTTTTAGAAAAAGATGCAAAACCAGAAAATTTGAGTTATGGCTGCAGTGTTGCCGTTGAAGGTGGTATTGCTCTTGCTCCAAATGGCAGACCAGAACTGCAAGCTGAGAAGATTACTGTTATTGGTAAACTTGATCTTGAAGGATATCCTTTCTTACCAAGAAAGCAGTATTCACCAGATTACATTCGTCAGTATTTACACTTCAGACCAAGAACAAGATCTTTTGCAAGCATTATACGCCTTCGTGATCAGGCTTCAAATGCTATAAGAGATCATATGAGAAATCGTAACTTTATCAATATTCATACTCCAATATTGACTTCAAATGACTGTGAAGGAGCAGGAGAAATTTTTAATGTTGAACCAAGCTCAAAAAAACTCATGGAAGAGATGAAGAAAGAGAATATAAATGATTTAGATGCAGCTTATTTCAATACAAAAACATTTTTGACTGTATCAGGACAGTTACAACTTGAAGTTTGTGCAAGGTATTTATGACTGTTTTACATCTTTGATCTTAATTATTTAAAATAAAAGAGAACATTTCCCTTTACATAGAGCACTGGCAAAAGTTTACAACTTCAGTCCAGCATTTCGTGCTGAAAATTCAAAGTCAAGACTGCATCTTTCAGAATTTTATATGATTGAGACAGAAATAGCTTTTATGTCAAGTCTTAAAGAACTTGCTGCTGAAGCAGAACTACTTATCAAAGCAACTACCATGAACCTTTTAGAAAAGGGAGCAAAAGATCTCCAAGCTGTGAATGCTCCAGAACCAACCTGGATAGGAAAAGATTTTGGATACATAACATACAATGAAGCTGTTGACATTCTAGAAAAACATTCAGACAAGTTGAATTTTCCAGTCAAACGTGGCGAGGTTTTAGTAAGAGAACATGAATTCTTCTTAGTAAAACATTATGGTAATATTCCTCTTTTTGTTGCTGAATGGCCTAAACATAACAAACCATTTTATATGAAAGAATGCGAAAATGATTCTTCAAAAGTTAGTATAACTATTTTTTCTATTCTCTGCACTTTGGTTCTTAATCAGCAAATAAATATTATTCATCGTATTTTTATTTAAAATAAGGTCAAAGCTCTAGATCTTTTGGCACCAATGGTTGGTGAATTGGTTGGAGGAAGTGTAAGGGAAGATAACTATGACAAATTAAAGTCAAAACTACCAGAAAATGCTAATCTTGACTGGTATCTTGAATTGAGAAAATATGGAAATGTCCCAACAGCTGGTTTTGGAATGGGATTCGAAAGATATCTGCAGTTTGTTTTAGGAGTACCAAATATCAAAGACGTGATTCCTTTCCCTAGGTGGCCACATAACTGCTGTTTCTAAAGTAAAGATTATTCTAATGTAGATATATACCTATTATATAAAAATCTTCACGATTTTTAAAAATAATGTGATGTTTTTAACATTCAGTAGACAATTTCAATTTATTTAAAAAATTTGTAGATTTGTTTTTTAAATAAAGTTGTTTAATTTTTCTCATAAATTTTAGGAAGTGTGAATAAAATGACAATTTTTGGTATAGTTTATCAATAGTAATTTATTGATTTTTGAAAAAATGTACTTACATATAATTATCATAACGTTTTCTTTTGAAACGTTGCTAAAAATAAAAATGTTTAGAAACCTATTAATTGAAAAATTAAATTCAAAGTAACATGGGAAAAATATAAAGTTGTAATATAAGTTCATACTAAGCTGCGATTGATAAGATTCATAAAAAATAATTTATTGCAATAACTGAATGAATAATAAAGTGGGATAAGGGTTTTAACAAAAACTTTTTTGTAGTAAAAAAATAAAGCTTATACTGATATTTTTTCGTACAATAAAGTGAAATCGCAGTTGTAAACATTGGGTGGTATTTACAAAACATCACAGTACTTGGAAAATATTTACAAGTATTTTTAAATTACTATCGCATATAATATTTTCACGAACACACAAAAAACCACACTTGATCACTAAACAATACAAAAAATTTCATTCTCTTGCATTATAACTTGAATGCGTTCGTGCATGTTTCATCAAAATAAATATGTACACTATTTATTTATTTTATATAATCTACTTTACATAATTAAACATAGTCCTGAAAGTTCTTCGCCTTTTTGTATTGGCGGTAAAACTGATAAATTCCTGTCTTGCAGACCAGGTTTTATCGATGCTGGCTGTAAAGGTTCAGGTTCTGGTTCTAGTTCCTCTTCAGCACTAACTTTTTCTTCCTTAACCTCGGTAGATTCTTTAGGAGAATTTAGAGGCTTTGTTATATTTATAATAATTTTCGACTGGGCCGATGGAATCGACGGTAAACTAGTTTCAAGTTCTACGTTTCCATCAATTGTACTTTTGACTTCCACCTGCGTAGAATCAACGATCGAAGATTCTGCCGGGCATTCTTCTGGTTCTAATATTTATTTTTTTAAATTAACGAGTTTATATTATCATTGATTTAAGATAAAATGTTGATTTTACCTGGTTCTAATTCGACATCTTCGGTTTCTTCGCAAACCGTTAATTCATTGTTTACTTCCACATCTACCTGCATATCTTCAACAAAACCAGATTTTAAATCTGGTTCTTCAGTTTTTATATCATCGTTTTCAAGTATTTCTAAACTGTTTTTAGACTCTTCATTAAATACTTCTGTTTTTGTTTCTTCTTGCTCAACAGGTGTTTCAGGTGCACTTTCTTCTGTAATAAAGTTAATAATTCAAGTCACAAAAGTAACGTAAATTATAAAAGACCAAATATATACCGATTTGAGAAGAATCTACAGCTGGCGACTCCATTAAAACTGCTTCCGACTCATTCAAAGATTCTGAAGTATCTATTTCATGTAACTTTTCTTGTTCACTTTCATGGCTTTCTGATAGAGGCTCTTTATTTTCAACACTTACAGAATCAGTATTATTTTCTTTATTCTCGTCTAGAACTTCGGATACGTCGACCAACTTAGTAGTTGCTTCTGTGAGTCTCTGTAATTTTTTAAATGTCTGTCAACCAAATAATTAAATGAAAATCCTCTAACATAAATACAGCTATTTACTCCATTCACGTGAATACTTAATGCAAAAGTAAAATATGACTAATAAAAGGTATAAAATACAACTAATATAAAAATGCAGTATCATTTCTACACTAATAAATTAACAATATGCACTATCGATTATTTTTTAAAAACGTACCGCATATATTTTTTCCTTTCAATAATAAGAAATGTAATTAGTTAGATTTTTATAATATAATAGTTAAAAATATTCGATAGGAAAAAAAGATTGGAATTACCTTATGATCTTCCAAGCATACAGGATGAAAATTTTTATCGTCAAAACTGATAGTCGGTCTCAAGTGCCATTCTTCTTTTTCATCATTATAAAATTGTTCAAAAGCTTCATGACATACTTGACAGAAAGCATCCTCGTCCGAACCTGTTGGCACGCTTGGCTGCATTGTCTCGGCAAACAGTTCTTCTGCTGCCGCATTTTCCGTTTCTATTGTTTGCTTTTCAGTTTCGAACCAGCTTTGCGCTAAAAAAAGTACACACAATTTCAGTGAATTTCAATAAAAACAATCGATTCAATGTATTTTGAATAACATACCTCTATCTTCAAGATCTTCGATTTCTTCGAATTGAATCCAGTCACTAACATCATAATACCAAAGTCTTGAATGTGCTTTTCTAGATGAGTCTCGCTCTTTGCGATTCTGTCTAAAATGCCAGTCTAAATGATGACTGTATCGAGTAGCCATTTCTGGTGCAAATCTCGCACCGCAAGAACTACATTGTATTCCACTATACAGTGCGGTAACCATCACTGGTTGTTTTCTAAAACGTTTAATTAATTATGATTAATATGAAAATGCCTACAACATTTTATAAAGAAAAGTTAAAAAATTTTACATTTTTAATGTCTCTGGCTTATCAAATGAGGCTGAAGTAACTTCTGGCTCTTTCTTCTCTTCCTCTTCTTTTTCTTTCTTCACCTCTCCTAAATTTGTAACTATGCCCGTTTCCACTAATCTTTGGAATAACTCATTCAAATTTAATGGTAAAGTGAAAGACGCAGAAGCCGCCAGATTCTCGACTGGCTCCGCTTGATACGACAAGCCAGAAGATGGTGCCATTGCAGAAGGTACGACGGAAGAGAGTACATCTAATTGAAGGTCTAGCAAAGACAATTCAAAAATATTAAAAATTTCAATATTAAAAGTAAGTTAAAAGTTATAACAATGGTAAACCTGATTTAACGTTGTAAGATATTTCCATAGCATCTTGAGAAGTAGAATCAGGCTCCACTGATGAAGATATAATTGCAGACGTAGTCGAACTAACTTCCATTTGATCTTTTTTAAGATTGTCTGGTGGTGATTCTTTTGACTTTTCCCCTTTCATATTCGTAATATTCACATATCCAGCACGGAATCCGCGAGGCAGTACCGAAAATCTAATAAAGTGTTTCTTCCCATAAATCATAACTGGCATAGGCAAACCACCAAATTCAACGTCGAACGGTCTTCCATTCAAGAGAACCGTCAATAAGGCATCCATAAATTCAATGGTGCATGGTTTTCCTTCAATATTAAACCTATCAACGAACAAAAATTTAAAAGATTTTTGAATAATTAATCATAAAAATTAAGCAACAATAATTAAGCTTACATTTGTGGTTTGGCATCAAGAAATACAGGTACCATACTTCGGGCGTTGATAATTACATTAATCTTTCCTAGGACCAGGTCAGTCCTTTTCACGTTTCCAACTTTGACTTGCGGAGGAGGCCCTTCCAATTTGACGCTAACTTTTTTGGTCCCAAAATCGACCGTTACTGGTTGTCCGCCAAAGTAACACTGATACCACTTTCCGTCTATAAATAATTCTCGAGTAGGCGCACCAAGTTTTATCCTAAAAAATAAAGTAAAAGTTGAAGTATGATTAAAATAGAAATGTGAATTGATGATGATTAAATAACTCACTTATGAATCTCTCCATCGTAAGTAAACTCTCTGTAATCGTCATTAAAAGAACATACAACGGCTTCTTTACCGTCAATGTAAACCCGTCTGGCGCCGTTTTGAAAACCAATGTCTCGCGGATCATCCCAATGCATGAATATCACTCCTGTATCTTCATAGTACCTGATCTCCCTAGGTATGTTGTCGATATTGATGGATCTCATAGTATCTTTTGATATCTCTTCGAGTAACTTTAGGTCCACCGGTGGTAGGTCGTCGTTAGAACTGGATGAAACTTCAGCGTCCGACTTTCCATCGTTGAATGATGAGTTAGACCAGATTGAATTATCGGGGCTGCCACTATCACCAGAACTAAGCCTCTTAGAGAGAGAAGGTCCTGCATTGGACATCATTATGTTTGGCGACATGTGACCTGGCCCTATCGGACCCTTCAGCGGATTCATTCCACCAGACATGGGATTCATTGGTCCGTTCGGTAACATCATTGGTCCGTTCGGACCAATCGGTGGATGGCCTACACGAGGACTGAAGCAACCAGCGTGGAACTGATGAAAATCAGGTCTGACTGGGCTGCCAAACATCCGCGGGTGGTTTTGCCAGGGTGCAATCGGTCGAAATTCCGGACGAAAGGGTCCTTGGAAAGGCCCGGGCGGATGAGCCCAGGGTTGATGCCACAGTTGCTGCCAGCGTGGACCTAAAGTCATTAAAGTAACGTGAATTGAAAATTTGTTCTTCAACGACATCATTACGTTGTTTAATCCGAAGGCTGACCTGGTATTCGCGGATGCATGCCATGATCTTTGCTCCTCAAACCCTTGTCGCCTCTGTCCCAGATTTTACTTTCTCGTTCCTTTCTCTGGGCAGCACGAAGTTTCTGGTCCTCGCTCATATGAAATACTTCCTGTATCAGCTTATTGTACTGCGATTTAGTGATTGTGCCCTGATTCAATTGTTCGGCAGCCTGTTTCATAATGATTTCGATGTTCCGGTCAGGATTGCGATCGTAATCCCTGTTACCGCTGCGCCTACGATCTTTCTGCTCGCTCGATTCCGATGACTGTTTGTTGTAGAACTTATTGCGACTTGGTCTTACGCGACCGCTGCGCTCGGACGTGGATCTCTCAGAATTTCGAGAATCGGAGCGGGACGAGTCGGATTTCGATGGGGTTTTGAATTTTGCCCAGCCGTCTTTGGTGTCGGATATGACCGGCGGCGGAGGTGTTGGCGGTTGCGTCAAAGATTTTGGTGGTGGATTTAAGATTCGCAAATCAACGTCCTCCTTACCAAAAAGCCTGCAATGGAAATATGCGCTCATTGCTTTCCGACGATCAGATACGCTGATTTGTGTACATATTAACTGCCAACTCACACATCAAAATCGTCGTTTTTGCTCTTCTTGATCGAAGGCGACAATATGCGTTCGGATGAGGCTCTCTTATTAGCTGGTATAGGGAGAACGCGCAGATCTAAATCTTCTTCTAAAAAACATTCATTAAAGGGTTTTCAAACACAGATCAAATTGCTGACACTTATTAACAGAATGAGATATGAGTAATATACAAAATAGTGAAATAAAGTAAAACATTCATGTATAAGTATATATACATGACAGATTTGCCTTAAAGTAACATTTACTTACAGAAATGTTATGGCATGATTTCCAATACATTAAGTTCGTATTTGAGGTAAAAAAAACAAAAAGATCCTTGAAATTGTCAATTAGAAAAATTAAAAGAAATGGTGCAGTCAAGTTGGTGACGCGATATAATAGGAAGAGTCTGACATAGGCTTACAAAATGCAGTCTGGTTCGAAAAACAAAATGATAAGAGAAACTCACTGGGGTCGAGTTTGGTGGCACTGGTGATGCAGCTCGGCGTCGAGGCGGTCAGCGCGGCCCTCAGATCCTCGTCCCGGTTATTGGCACTATCTCGCCGGAGGCTCTTACTGCGATTCTCACTGGCTGGGTTTGGACTGCAGCTCTTACTCTTCTCTTTGCGACTCCTAGTGACCCCTCGAGCCCCGCCGCCGGCACCCCCGAGACTGCTTCTGCGTGACGATTGCTGCTGCTGTTGCTGCTGCTGAGTCGATTGATTAGGTTTAACATTGGCCTGAGGTTGAGGTGGTGAGACGATGAGCGATCCGCCGAGCTGCTCTTCCTCGTCAAGGCCAAGCTTGGGTGGCGTCGTGTGATGACGCTCGCGGTGGCGTGGCGCGTGATGACGGTGGTGGCGACGCCCGCGATGGTGGTGATGAGAGGAATGGTGATGGGGACTCCGGCTACGCTTGCGCGACGACGACTTGGACGATTTTTTGCGGCGGGAGGACGAGGACGAGGATTTACTGCGAGAGGTACGCGATGACGACGACGTTGGTATCGATTCTGACTGTTGCTGTTGCTGTTGCTGCTGCTGGTGCTGGTGCTGCTGCTGGTGCTGCTGCTGCTGCTGCTGATGCTGCTGGTGCTGCTGATGTTGCTGGTGCTGCTGCTGGTGGTGGTGTTGCTGCTGCTGCTGCTGCTGCTGGTGCTGCTGCTGCTGGTGTTGCTGCTGGTGCTGCTGCTGGTGCTGCTGCTGCTTCTTCGACGAAGAGGAGGAAGAGGCGCGAGCCGAAGAACTCTTGCTCGGCGAGCGCTCCGAAGAATTCTTCGACCGCGCCTCATCTGGAGGCTTGTTTGTTTTTTGGCTACTACTACTAGATCTTTGGCTACGCTCATTATCATGGACTTTATTGTCGTTTATAATTAGTGATAATTCCATCTCTAAATCGAGAATTTCGTCGCGACTTTTCACCGAACTAGCATTAACTAACGAGCTCTCGTCGACAAGCTCTGAGCTTTCAAAAGGTTCGGATGTTTTCTGATGTTGTTCCGGCATAACCGGCACTACAGTTGCTGTTGCTACTGTTAATGTCGATGCCGGCTTGTCCGGCACTTCGTCGCCAAACTTGCCTCCATTTTGTATCGCCATCAAATCGCGTTCCAATGTATCGTCCGTCAAAGTCATTTGATTCTCATTTTCGCTAGGAGTTGGCGACGCTTCCTACAGATTTGTATCATCATTATTATCATTATTATTCGATTACTAAAATTAAGCTTTTTCTATTCAAACGCTTTACCGCCTTTTCCGAAGATCCAAAGGCGTCTGAAGGCACAGTAGTCGACTCCAGACTGTCATCGACCATCATCTGAAAAAATTATTACTTATCAATACACTTTTAAGGAGAACATTTAACTGTACTGTCCGAAAAAATGAATTACCAATTCAGGCTTTATTTGAGCTTCTAATTTTTCACTTTTCATTTGCTGCTGCTGTAGCATTGCTAATTTTATCTTTTGCCTCTTCAAATTATTAAGTTCTTCTTGCTTTTTTAAGAGTTCTTCTCTCATTTGCTCTTCAGTCATAGCATTAGCATCAGATTCAGCTGTTTTATTTTGTACAACAGGTTGTAGTGGCTTTTGTTGCTAAAATTAATAATATTTCTTTAATGATACATTTAAAATTACAAAATGCATCAGTAAAAATATGCTTTACCCGTGAGAGAAATTTTGGATTTACATGGATAATAGATTTTGCTGCAGTAGCATTTTGATGCAAGTCTATAACTGGCCAGTTTCGATCAATGTTTTGCACTTTCACATCCAAAGAATGTAATTTACTAGCAGGAAAAATTTCTTTCCATGTTTGTCTTAATTTATACATTTTTTGTCTTGTGTTATCGTCCACCTATATCATTTTTAAAATTCATTATAATTGTAAGAGCAACATTACTCATACATTGATATCTTTAAGACATACCTTTCGAAATACATCACAAAATAGATTCTCAATGTTTTGTGAAAAAAGGTTGACATAAGATTTCTTCACATTCTTCATGATGGAATCAATGAGATAAAGAACAGGAAGCTTCACATCGCTTTGAACCTAGCAAAAATATAATACTCACTCTACCCCCTACTGCTTTTTCTTCTGTCGTTCTTATATTTTTCGACATTGTATTTTTAATTAATCGCGATTTTTAAGAATTATTCTGAATTTTGATAAAATCGATGAACTCCTCAGTCATTTCATGCTAAAAATATTTACTCAAAGTATACTTTAATCTTTTCTTTGTATGTTATGTTAAAAAATGGAACTAAAAACGTGGATCAAGTTGTTGATTGAAATTATTATGGATATTTCCTCAAAACAAACACTTTACCTCTATTTATAATACTTTTGGGGATATCACTTTATTTTTTATTTACAAAAATGTATAAATTTATGTAGCGCATCACGAAAAATCACAATACTGACTTATAAAATCTAAATTTTATTTACTAGTAGACATCACCATTATATCCAGTATTACAGAAGCATATTATGCCTTACTATCTAACAATTTCATTGCTTGTTTTTCAAAATTATTTAACTTAAATACAGAAATATTCTTTATTAAACTTGTCCCATTTTAAATAATTTCTCCCCAATTTACTATTCTTCAAAAAACTATTAAATAAATATCATAAAATCAAAATTTTTAGTTTTTATTCCAAGACAAATATTCTTAAACAAATTTCTTATTTTAATAATATTTTTACTAATTAGGTTATAAAAATGATTGAATAGTTGCAATTATAAAAAATTGACAATTTTAGAAATAAAGATCTAAATAAAAATAAGTTCTCTTTGCATTTAATTCTTGTAAAATTTTTATCAACATTAACTAAAATCAATCTGTGTATAATGGTAACATACTACAGAATATGAATTTTTTATACTTTAATATCTTGCAACGATCACACAATAATCAAAAGGATCTACAGAAAATTGACTGTGAATAACATTTTATATTGATATTCATAATCAATATGTTTCTAAATTGAACGTTAAAATTGCAACATCTGTAGTTGTAGGAGTTAAAAAATAAAGAATAATGTAGCTTAAAATGCTTAACAGTTATGAAAAATATTAACCTTTTTTAAATGGGCTTCTACTGCTTGAACGATGGCAGGTGCATAAATCATGTTATCTTCAGCTAACAATGTTAAAAAGTTTATGTGAGGTTTGCTGTTAGCTTTGAGATCCTCCAGAGATGAAATATATTCCTCCACTATCTCTTGTTGATTTAACAATCCTCTGCTGGTAGGATTCATATCGGATATCATTTTTAACTCCAAGTTGCCATTAACCTATTCCGATATGTATCTGTTGATTGAGTGAATATATAATATATAAGTTTTATTTAAACTTGACAGCAATAATTATAAAATCAACAACGCAGTCTTATTTATCTGAACAATGTATTGAAATATATTAATTTCAATTAATACAAGTTTCAAAAATTTCTTCAGAGCATATATTTCAATATAAATTTCAATAAAACAATGATTTTTGTCTATATATGATAATAGCATTCAATTTTTTTTCTTGATAAAAGAGAAAAACGAGAAAAAAAAATATTTTAAGGTTTTCTAACCTCTAATTTTGAAGAAATGAAAATGGAATGAATTGATTGAACGAAAAAGAAATGATGTGGGATTGACAGAAACATTTACCTGTAATTACACACTAATTGGTCGCTCGCACAACAGCCAGCAAGAACTACGCATTGTTCCCTTACATCAGACTGACATTTAGCTGATTCGGCAAGATAAATGACGCTGATTATTTTCATGCGTTTGCTTCTAAACGAGGAATAAGTAGTTCTTCAATCTGGAGATTTAACTGAAGAATAAAATTACACAAGTAGATAGATAAAAACCGAAAGATTCATCTAAAAACACTCGCATAATACAGTACCTAATCCTAAAAGCTCGCTGGCGATAGACGATCGAGGATGCGAGAGAGACAGAGGAAGAGCGACGAGAGCGACCTTGTTTGCGCTGATCTATAGCTACGATTGTATTCTAAATACTCTTCGCTTTATTAGTAGTTAGTACAAACGCAGTTTCACCTGTATACTTTTGATCATTTTTCCTCGACAGATAAATGTTTAGTTTTTGATTAAGAAAATGGTACAATCAATATAGTTATGGCAATACTCTTCCTAGGAAGTGTTAAAGATCAGCTTTCGCACGCCCCCTTTGTTGACCTAACCCTAACTGTTCTACTGAATCAACTGAATTGTACTAAAATCTGAAATGTGATCAAATCATATTGCACTCAACTCGAAACCTATCCTAAATCGAAAGCTCGAATGTGTTGTCTACTGTTGGCAAAGTCTTGCAAGCATCGAGCACACTAACTACAATAGCACTGATCGATCTGCTATTATAGGAAAATAGTTTTGAATATTGCTGTAATTGATAAATGTTCAGTGTCGCAGCTAATATAACACATTTATATTCATCATACTTGATATTTCAAATTACCTGTACTATTAATTCATTTTTGTCAGCATAATATGTAATATATAATAATATAATTTTATCAACAAGATGTCAGTAAAAATATACGGCTAAATTTTTGCTTCGGGCAGTTATATAATTTAGCAGAGTATTCAAGTTGTTGATTAATTAAGCGTTTATTTCGGATAGCTTTTCAATTTTACCGCCGAATATCGGACTTCTTTCCGGCCACGTCGTTCAAGGCGTGTCTTCATCGAGCGAGGCCAAACTGAACTATAGCATATAACTCGCCTTCAAAACTTTCACGCGGCTAGGTTGGATTAGTCCATTTCTCGTCTACCACTATCGAGTATCGACTCGAGTCGCTCGTGTATGTGTTCAGTTCCCGTTCATTTTAGAACTTGGATGCATATTACAACATTACAAGTGTGCTTTGCTTTCACTTTGTGATTTCGACATGAAAATGGCCTCTCTTGTTTAAGAACGCGGACGCGCTGTAATATTTATTTTTTGTCTTAAAATAGTTTTGCCAAGTAATGCAACTATTTACCTCGGATAAATTCAGCTTTCCAGAGGTTTATCAGCGAGAGAATGCATGAAGAAAATAAACGCCGAAGCCAGGTCAGATGTATTACCGCTTTAACCACTCAAACGCCATTTTCTTTTTCTATTTCATACCCGCGCGACGCTCTGATCTTTTTCATCGTGAAATTAATAAGAATAATCAATTTTTCGTGATTCGTTGATCGGTTACATGGAAAGTCCTTTCACAGAGTATTTTATCTCTTATAGAAGTTCGTGGACAATGCGAAATTGAATACTGACGATGTCGTCGACGCTGGATCTTACTGCTATATTATATTGCATCTGCGTCCGTCTATGGATAGGAGAAAAGCTAATTTACGATCCACTGCTATAAGATATTTATTTATTTATTGAGAAATACTGTCTATGCCTCTAGCAATGATATTGTCCAGCCAAAGGTATCTCTAAAATTGCTACAGAAGGTATAGCCTGTTATGATCAATAAAGCTTAGAAATGCTTGATGAAAAAACTAGTATTGTACAACAGTTTCCTGAGTGATTGTATAATCTGTAATCACCATTCAATATTTTTCAATCATAGTTTTATCGATCCAACCAATCATTACTTAGAAAACTCATCAAGTTATTTTAAAGCAATAAGTTTTTATTATTCTTCTGTTGTTACATTAAACTAAATATAAAAATGTTTTTCAGATGCATGACTAAAGGAGAAATAGGAATTGAGATAAATCTAAGTATTGTTGAAAGCATAAATTCTACAACTGATACAGCACATTAAAGAAGGGGTAATATTATCTTTTTATTCAACAAAATTATATAAATAAATTGTTATACAAACTTTTTAAACTTATATTTTTTAGAATTTTAGGTTCTTTAATGTATGAAAACTTGTGAAATTAAATTGGCTATAGAAGAATATTAAAAATAGCAAATTTTGGCAATGGAAAAAATAAGTGTCTAAGAAAAAAACAAGTGCCTTAAACGTTTTGATTACCAAAGAAATACTCAATTTTGTCAATAGTTTGCCAAATGTTGACTATAGCTTGGCCACTGCACTGCTGATGGCTATGGCTATGATATGCTGTTATGCAATAAAACATTCTTGTCCTTTTCCTTTTTCCTAAACACTTTTCAGGTTACCGGAAAAATTAATTAATGTTGTCTCCAAATAGAGATGACTAGGAATATCAAATGATGCTTTCAGGTTTTCTTCAATGTTGGTTTTCATCGTTGGGTTGAAATTCAATAATTTTTCAGATACTATGATATTGATACATTTTTAATTTAGTTGTTGAGACTGCTAGATTTTTAAATTTAAACTAATGTCAATGAAAATTCCATTAAAAATTAATTCTTATGGTGATGAATAGGGTTCAATAGGATAAACACTATTTTCACGTTATTTTATTTTTATTAATCTTGGTTCAAGAATCAAGTACAACTAGTATTAAGAGACTAACAAAAATTTATTCATATTTTTGTTTTTTTTCATCATCAGTATTTATAAACCAAAACGTATACTTTCTCAACAAAAGTTAGTTGCATACATTATGAACGCGTATACTTTCGAAAATAAACCATTTATTTAGGTATGTAACTAGTTACATAATAACATGGTCACAAAACTGTAACTAGGTAATATTGATCCATGATGAAACAAAAAATTATTCCAATTGGAATCAAATGTAAGTTAAATTGACGTTCTTTCATTTTATACGTTTAGCTCGATAGAGCATTAATGTCCAAATTAATATTTACAAAACTCGTATAGTTCGACGAATAAAAATTTATGTACAAGAGTTTAAAAAAATCAGTGATCTGATGCGTATTCTACGTCGAAAATACAAATCGATTCTCTCATTCTCAGCATTTATACAAAATTCTTGTTCAGTCGCGATTCGGTTCGGAATGATTCTATTTACATTGCATAAATCATAGGAATTATTTACATCACCGAACACAAGCCCGAAAGCTCATGACCTTTCTCGACCGTTGGCAGTATTGCAAGTTTTTTGCCCTGTAACGCGGGTTTGATAGCGGCGGGTATCAATGGCTTTGCAGGCGCATTATCTACTAGGCTTTCAGCTGGTTTCTTTTCTTTTACCTTCGTGTCATTAGGCTCTTTATTGGGATTGTTCAACGGTTTACTGATATTGATTTTGATCTTTGACGGTGCAGTAGGTATCGTCGGAGCTGTAGATTCAAGCTCGACGTTCCCGTCGATGGAGCTCTTCACCTCCACTTGAGTTGTGTCGACTCCTTTTGCTTCTGCTATACTTTCTTCGGGTACTAAAGATTTAATCAATTTAGTTTCTTTAGACTTCAAGACTTTCTAAAGTAAGATAAAAGTTTATTAATTTCTTACCTCGTTCATCGTCATCGACAGGTTCTTCTTTCACTTTAACGTTCTCGAATACTAAGGGTACATCATCTGGAATTTTCTCTTCGGGTTCACGCTTTTTCACAATCAGTTCCTTACTTTCCGCTTCGTCACTTGACGAATCTTCAATTTCTTCGAGTTCTGAAAACGAATTTAAACATTTAAAATATCTTACGAAGTTTTCAAACGAGTGCGTGTTATTGTTGAATGAAATTCGCAAATTTTACCTATTTTTCTTGGAAGTGGTTCAATGATCTCAATAGGTTCTGAATCATCCATATCCATAGGTAATGCCAGCTCAATTTTTTCTTCTTCTATGTCTACTTTTTCTTCTTTGACCGTAATATTTTCTAAGATTTCCATTGATTCTTGTTCAACATTAATATCACTTTTCTCCATTTTTATCACTATTTTTTCCTCATCTATGTCCATATCAGCATCTTGATTTTCTTCCATGTTTTCATCATCTGCAGTTTCGTCATTGCCGTCATTGGTCTGGCCAACCATTTCAGCCATCGTTTCCTCAAGTTCCAGAGCAGATTTTTCCAAAGCTCTCTGAAAACATGACATGATAAAAATCGTGATATCTTCGTAATTTAAATACCCGAAAAAACTAGTCTGATTTAAAAAATATTTAAATTTAACTTTTGTCAAGTGCACTAGATAATTTGCTATATACATTTTTTTTTCCTGAAAATAACGTACCACGAGCAGTTTTTCCTTTGTTGCGAAAAGTAAAACAGACCAATAATCAAAGGTTAATTAAGTTCGACAGATTAATAGTTTATGAATATTTTACCTTATGATCTTCAAGGCAAAGAGGATGGTAATTTTTATTCTCAAAGCAAACTGTCGGCCGTAAATGCCATTCCTCTTTTTCTTCGTTATAAAACTGTTCAAAGGCTTCATGACAAACTTCACAAACCGAGTCATCAGTACCCGTCGGTACACTTGGTTGTTGAGTTTCTGACGGAGACTCGTCGCCAGCTCCACCTTCCATTTCAGCAGTTTGTTTTTCCGTTTCAAACCAACTTTGCGCTACGAAAAAATACAGATTAAATATTCAATAAAAAATTCTATATAAAAAATAAATAAAAATTATAACCATAAAATATAGTAAATAACTCACCTCTATCTTCCAAGTCTTCAATTTCTTCAAATTGAATCCAGTCACTAACATCGTAATACCACGACCTTGAGTGTGCTTTTCGTGCTGAATCTCGTTCTTTTCGATTTTGTCTAAAATGCCAGTCTAAATGATGACTGTAACGAGTTGCCATTTCCGGAGCGAACCTCGCACCACAAGAGCTGCATTGCATTCCGCTGTAGAGTGTTGCTACTATGGCAGGTTGTTTTCTATAATATCAAATCAAATATAATACTGAATACAAAATGATTATTGCAGGTGAGAAATGGATAGTGTCAATAACAAGATACTCACGTTTTCAATGTATCTGGTTTATCGAATGACACGGGAATGATTTCTGGCTCCTTTCTAGTTTCTTCTTCTTGCTGTTTCTTTGATTCTAAATTCGCTAAAGCCGGTACAATACCAGTTTCAACCAGCCTTTGGAATAATTCGTTCAAATTTAGAGGCACGTTTAACGCTGGCACTGGAGCAGGTGCGTTTTCAACAGGCTCAGCTTGATAAGACAGCCCAGAAGAAGGTGCCATTGCCGATGGCACAACCGAGGACAACACGTCTAGTTGCATATCTAGAAATAAATATACACGTTTAGTAACTTTCCTAATAACAAAATGTTCAAGAAAAATGGACTCTGGCATAAAAAGGCGCGTACCTGGCCTTGAACTGGTAGCAACATCCATTCCATCTTGCGATGTAGAATCGAGATCAAGACCTGGTGGGATGCTGAGCGTCGACGTGGTGGTGGTTGAGGTTGATAAAGCTCCAGGTGTACTTAAACTTGTTCCAGGCATGCAAGATTTATCTGTCGGATGTTCTTTTGCTTGTTCACCTCGCATACCCGTGATCTTAACGTAACCGGCACGGAAGCCACGGGGTAATACCGAAAATCTTATAAAATGTTTCTTATTTTGAACGATGATGGGTTTGGGCAATCCACCAAACTCGACTTTGAAAGGCCGGCCGTTTAACAGCACAGTCTGCAGAGCATCGGTAAACTCTAACGTGCATGGTTTACTGTCAATTTCAAACCTGTTAACAACAAATACACATTATTAACGCAAGGTGGTCTCGATCAGTTGAATGCAACAACTAGTTAATAAGAAACTTACATTTGCGGTTTGGCATCCAAAAAGACAGGCACCATATTTCGAGCGTTGATAATGAGATTAATTTTTCCCAAAACAATATCAGTACGCTTAACGGTGCCAATTTTCACTTGAGGCGGAGGTCCATCTAAGCTAATACTAACTTTTTTGTTGCCAAGTTCAACGGTGATGGGTCGGGTACCAAAATAGCATTCAAACCATTTGTCATCTATATACAATTCGCGCGTGGGGGTGCCCAGTTTGATTCTAAAAAATTACAAAAAGGCAATCGGATATAAAAATGAAGATCAGGAGAGCAAGAAAGAACAACGGAGTAGGAATATAAACTACCTGTGAATTTCTCCGTCATAAGTGAACTCCTTGTAGTCGTCATTGAATTTGCAGAGTATCGAATCCTTGCCGTCGATAAATATCCTTCGGACACCATCTTGGAAGCCAATATCCCTGGGGTCATCCCACCTCATAAAAACAACACCTACGTTTCCGTAGTACCTAATTTCTCTCGGCACGCTATCGATATTGATTGACTTCATAGTATCCTTGGAAATTTCCTCCAAGAGCTTTGGATCAGCGGGTGGCAGCTCACCGCTAGTTTGAGCAATATTCACACTATTGGAGACGTCGTCGGCCAGTGAAGCTTCGGGTGTGGAGACCGGGACCGTGGCACTGGTTAAAGCCTGGTTAAGCTGTGGCGGTAGATTCGGCGATGTCCTCTTGGAGGCAGTATCGACCCGCAGGGGTCCGTTGCTCGCACCGATGGCTTGCTGCGGAGATGAACCGCCGGTCGACATAGCGCTCATTGGGAGAGAATTTACAGGCCCATTGGACATCATCATGGGACCATTAACCGGGCCCATAGTCGGCGGCGGGCCTATCCTCGGGTTGAAGAAGGGCAGTGGCGGCGGCGGTGGTGGAAAGTCCGACCTCATCGGGCCACCGAACATCCGTGGATGGTTCTGCCAAGGTCCCATTGGGCGGAACCCATCAGGGAAGCCCGGTGGCCCGCTGGGGAAACCAGGCGGCGGGTGAACCCAGGGCTGGTGCCAGGGTCCCTGCCATCTCGACCCCCGCGGATGCATTCCAGCCGATGGGTAGTCCTTGCGGATATTCTCCTCGTTGCCGTCCATGCCCTTCTCCCAAACCATCATGCCCATCTCCTGCTCCTTACGCTGAGCTGCTCTGAGCTTCTGGTCCTCGCTCATGTGCAGCACTTCCTGGATGAGGTTGTTGTACTGGGCTTTGGTGATGGATCCAGCGTTCAGCTGCTCAGCCGCTTGCTTCATAATGATCTCTATATTGCGATCAGCATTACGCTCCGACTGTTTGTCGAACTCGAAGCTCTGGCCACTCCTCAACCTGCGGTCCTTGGCCTCCTTGGGTGACGCCTTGTATAGCTGGCCACGACCGCGGTTTCGATCGGACAGCGGTTTGCTCGGTTGCTCCCGATCCGTCTTCTGATGAGTCTTTAACTTCGCCCATGAGCCATCTTTGCTACTTTTGTCGCTCGTTTGCGTGCCACTCGGCGGCGTTGATGTTCGACCAGCTTTCGGATTCGTTAAGGTACGCAGATCCACATCTTCGTTGCCAAACAAGCTGCGGAGAAAATTTTATTTTTAGAGTTTTATCCCGTTCTCTTCAGCGCAAATCGGCAATAGGTCAGCTCTATCAATATTGCAATAAATGATTGTCACGACAACTTACGCATCAAATTTGTCAGCCTTGCTCTTCTTTGAACTACCTTCCATCAGATCCGTGGGTCGCTTAGCACCTGGCACCGTGAGTACCCGCAGATCTAAATCTTCTTCTGCAAAAAAGTGTTTATTACGGTAAAAATAAAATAAAATAAATGGACCAATTTGCAATCCCGTTTTGTTTTACACGAGAAACCTAATAAAAATAAATCCGAGTAAACTGAACATGAAACTCATCTTATTTTTAAAATACGTTCGTCAGTAATAAATCTTCGCGCTTACATTATGTGTACCGAATATTTAATTTAGTTAAATTGTTTATCGCACACATGATAGTACAGTTACAAAAATGCGAGGAAGTGGAATAGTTGGTAAACGTTTAAATCTCCTTGTCGATTTAATTCCCCGTAAAGTAAAGCGCAAAATGAAAGGTAAAGCATCCCATACCCATAGATAATTTATGCAAGATATTCTGATGAATCAGTAAGTTCTTTAATCATAAAATTACTAAATACAATAATTCGAACATGAAAGCAGTTGAATCGTGACTAGAGTTGCATCTTAAAGGTATAGAAATATTAACAATCAGGGTTGGGTTTACAATAATACGAATACTTGTAAATATCACAGCAGAAAAGTATAACAATAATATTGTCAAAAATTAAAAATTGATGAGTGATGAGTGATGGATTTATCGTATAAACTAGATGCAAATGAACACACCGCGAACACAAAAATTCTTCGCAAACTGTGACGTAGTCGAGCTGGGAAATAAACAAAAGCACTCGCGTTCTTGTAATCGCGCTGTAAACTCCACTTCCTCTGTGACTGAATAATAAACTCACTGGGCTCTAGAGATGAAGCGAGAACTATCGGTCCTCTTGCCCTCAAGTCTTCGTCTTTACTGGCATCGTTGATTGATGGCGGTGAGCCTTTCCTGACCTCGACCACTTCGGGACTACCCTCTTTGTTCCTCCTCACATAGTTTCTCAGTCTTGCGTTCGATGTGATCTCTTTGAAGCTAACGCTCTGTTGCTGCTGCTCTGTTACGTTGGAGCGATTCTGCCAGAAAGAACTCGGCGAGGCAGGCTTATTCTCGTCGAGGGTCTTGGTCAACGATGCGATCGAGTTCTTGCTCTGATCCTGAGGAACGATACGCCGGGGTATCCGGAAGTTGTTAATACTGTTACCGTTGCTCGTCGCCGCCGTCGCAGGAGTTGGACTGGGGCTGCGGGCTTTGCGCGACTTCGAGGATCTTTTCGAGGACGATCGCTTCTCCGGTGAGTTTGTTGGACTGTCGTCGAGCTTGATAACTTTCGAAGGCGACGCATTGGATGACGATTTTGAGCGAGACTTGCTTCCTGTTTTACGGCTGGAGGATGAGGACGAGGACGAGCTTTTTGAAGAGGAGGAACTACTACTACTACGACTGGAAGAGCTTTTAGAAGAGGATGAACTCTTGGATTGGTCTTTGACGGAGGTGGTGGTGGCACTACTGCTATTACTACTAGTACTACTACGTTGAGAGGTTGTGGCGTTTATGGTATTGGTAGTGGAAAGAGGTTCTTTCTTTTGGCTATCGATTGCTCTTTTATTGTTGTGACTCGACTCGCTCACCCCCTTAATCGTATCGTTTAACAAGGAACTACTTTTAGCCTGCATATGAAACTTCAATTGCTGCATAAGTTGCTGTCGCTTTACTAAATCGTCACTGACATTATTTACTAATGCGGTGCCTTCAGCTGGCGTGCCCGGAAGAGGCTGCTTCAGTCGGGGATCCCTCGATACGGTCGATTTAACTGCTTGCACCGCGATACTGCTTGCTGGAGCTATTTTCACTCCACCCTTGTTCCCATCGGCTTTGAACAGTGCCGAAGTTGCTCCAGGAAACTGTACAACAGTCAATCGAATTTATATCAATTAATTTTATTCATCAAAATCCAGTCAATTAATTTCTTAAAAAATTAAACAGTTAACTCACCGTTTTTTCCATTTGTTTTGGAATGGTAGGAATGCTTGCTGCTACAAGTTGTTCTAAGGCATTCTCTGGTAAAATTGGCTGAACGACATTATAAATCATTAATTATTGTTATACTATAATACTGCAACCAGTAAAATATACAATGAAAAAGTGAAAAAGTGTATTTACCAATTCAGATTTAAGTTGTGGACTATCTAGCTGTCGGCGCTGCTGCTCAAGACTGGCTTTAGCCTGCAGAAGTTCCAACTCAACTTTCTGTTTCTGGAGCTCAATCAATTCTTTTTGCTTTTTCAACAAAAGATCACGCATTTCGGCTTCAGAACTGGACTTGGGTTTGCTCGCAGATGAAAGTTTTGTGCTTGTTGTCGTTGTCGCCACCACTGGTGTTACTGCTACCGTTGGAGCCGGTTGTGTTCGTTCCGTCTGACCCGTTGGCTATATCAATGCATCAATATTTAGTATTAACATTATCAGAAATAAAGTATTAAAATTTTTTTGGACGTACTAAAAATATATGTTATATGAGTATGTATTAAATTACTGAGTTCAGATATTTATAACACCGTATAGTAGTGTTTTTAAAAATAAAATATTGTACTAGCAAAAGCATTAATATCCAAGTAAGTAAAAATGATTAGATGACAAATTAAGCGAATTACTGCTATTTCTTACCACAGTTATATTTTTGGAATTCACAAGTGTTGGTTTTCCAGAAATATTTTTCGGAAGCGGTATTACCGGCCAGGCAGGATCAATGTTATGAACTCGCAAGTCAAGTGCGTACAATTTTTTCAGCGGGAATACTTCAGCCCAAGTCTGTCTCATCTTCCACATGCTCGATCTTGTGGTCTCGTCCACCTAAATTTAATCAAAAGATTAATTAAAAATCACTTACAAATTGTATTCCATTGTTCAAAGAAACTATCCGACATTACAATCTACGCTTATTTTATAAAAAAAGTAGTTTTTATTTATATATAATTTGTTAAAAAAAATATTTCTAATGAAAAACCAAAAATTTTCTTATACAATATACATTTTGTACAGGTATATTACCTTTTCAAATACGCAGCAGAACATATTGACTATGTTTTTCGTGAAGAGGGCAAGATATGGTTTGTTAACATTCTTGACAATCGAGTCGATGAGATACAGTACTGGTAGTTTACTTTCAGAGCTCACCTAATAAAAACACAATACTTACACTATTCTCCTGTTTCTTATATTTTAAATTTATTTGACATATTTCAAATCAAGTAAATTTTATCACTTTTGTGCATAAGCGTATTTATGTTCAAATATCACAACATTTAAGAACAAACATTAATTATATCAGATATTATAATTAAATTAAAGAAGTGGCTTAAGTATTACTAGGACAGATTTTAAAATTCAATACTCAATGACAGTAACAATTATTAAGTAATCAAGTCACTTCTTTAATAAACTTAAATACATAATTTAACAAAATAAAAGATAAGTTGAGAAACAAATGACAGCAGTGTGGATGTTTTGAGTTAACAAAATAACACTTTATTTCCACATTAAATTTCTTCAATATTATTTATAAATATAGGTATATCATAAATGTATATAAAACGAAAATTCATATCACAGATAAACGAAGTTTCAATGATGTGAGTATTTGACTGGAGTCCCTTGAGTTAAAAAAATCTTTTTTTGTAAAATACGCATGTTGATAAATAAATAGAAATACACAATAGTTTTTGATCGAAACGTGAATTACAAACGTCATTCATGATAGAATTACATTATGTATTTTTTAGAAAGAATATGTTAAAGCAACTTTATATTAGAAAATGTGGTTATGAATCAACATTTTATAATATTATTTATATGAAAATATCATTTCATATTGAAATTTAAGAATAACATATTTTATCAACATAAGAACTTGCCATAGCATCCATAGTGACATACTCGCATGTGCACTCAAACTTTATAGTACCCAAGTATGATCTACATGAAATGCTAATTCTGATGATTTTGTCACTGAAACTATTATTACTTATCATTAAATGTAGTTTTCAATGTAATTTCAATAAAACAACATAAAAGTTTAACAAAGAAAGCTTATTGATTATTGTTTTAAACATTCAAGAATGAAATACTAATTTAATGTAGTTTTTAAGTTTTTAAATTAAGTATGTTATCTTCATAAAAAAATATTTTAAACAATTCAATCTAAAGACTTATATAGTATGAAATTAAATAATTTAATAAACTTGATTAAACAGTAATTATATATATGTATATATATATATGTATATTATGTACACATACATACATATACACATAATTTAGAATCAGCAAAAAACCATCAGCATTATATTACTATAGTAATTGACACTCTTCAGTGTTTTAATCACAAAAGATATTAACCTTTTGCAAATGGTCTTCGATTACTTCAACAATGTAACAAGCATGTGCAGCATTTTCTTCAGCTAAAGTAGTGAGCATACAAATCAATGGTTTACTGTTGATGGTCAGATCTCGTAAAGATGAGTAATACTCTTCCTTCACTTCCTCCGGATTTACAGCAATATCTTCCGACATCTTGCACTGGTAGATCTTTTGGACTATCAACTAATTGAATTATTTAAACCTGTAACACGAGTAATTTGTATTTTAATTATTTTACTTATTGAGAATTCAATTAATAGACTACTTTATGATGTATCTACATTAGCTGTTGCAGAACTTAATTCTGATTAATTTAACCAAGATGCAATGATTACAACAGGTATATTTTTGAACATAATCACAAATCAATATACTTTACATCTATTTAACAATTGATATATTGCATAAGGAACCATATGATAAATCAAAGTAAATATTATATATGTATATATGTATATATGTGATATATATATAATATTTAAATAATATATAGTACTTATATATTATCAATAAAAGTAATATCTATATTTATTTATTAATGTATTTTATAGTGATACAAGCTAAATGCTAAGTTATATAAAATATAACATTAATATTACGTATAACATGATAAATGTATGCATAATGATACACACGTCTTCTTATTGCTGATTTGAATAGATTTATAATTAATAATAGTATTCTGTGATAATTTATTCTATGCTGTAATGATTCTATTTCAAGAAGAAAAGAAATCGTGATTGACAGTAGATATTTGCTCCATAACGGATTGATACTGTCTTAAGTAACAGCTTTTTGGTCTAATTTTCAAGCTTATTCTTTATTGTAGTATATTTAATTAAATCATTATTTATCTTATGATGGTAACCATCATGCCTAGACTATTGGTTGGTAATTTGAATTACGAAGATATATGCTTATAATTATGAGAGAATTTATCAAAATAGATTTTATATTTAAATGAAAGAAATTTAAAAAAAATGATTACTAATTTCAATTTTGGACATAATACTTTTGTAAAATGTTCATGATACATAAAAATTATTTTATGATAAAGAAAAGTAGGAAGAACTAAAATTTTATATAATATAATTAGAGTATCTATATTTATAAACAAATATGTATTTGTTTTTCAGAATTCAAGAGTTCTTACAATACATGTAGTAACTTTTTCAATATGTAAATTGGATTCTAAACGCACATTTGACGAGATGCCCAGGTCTTTAATTATATTGACTTTACCTAAGGGGAACATATTGCAGCAAAATATTTATTTGGAGATAAGAAACAAAACAAAAATATGTTCAGTTATTATGTTTATCAAGTCCTTTCACATCATTCAGAGCCAACTTTATCCAACTCAGATTACTAACATCATACTAATAGTTAAATTGGATTAATACATTGAAAAACAATGATAATGGAGTAAAGATAGAACCAAGAAAATATTATTTTTGAGACATTTTCAAATAACTTATGCCAGCCTGAACAGTGACTAATTTTCATCCTTTACTGTTTCAAGTATGAAAAACATGTAAATTCTGAAAGAAATTAATATTTAAAAGAAATGTCCTATACATTGATTAATATAATTTAAATACAATACAAAAAAGTAGCAGTTTCATTCAATGGGCCTGAAGGAAAAAACATGACCTAATTACAAACTATACTAGAGGCTGTTTCAAATATCAATTAGCTGATTACAGTTTCATAAATACCCTCATAGAATAGCTATCCCAGTTGACTGATAAGAAAATCAATAGAGCCATCCAAGCAACAATGTGTCATCAAGTGTCAGACGCATTTCGAGCGAATTACATCTTACATACAGCAATATAACAAATTATTTATGGAGAAGCCAATAACAATGAGCAACAAATCGAAGGCAAACACTTGAGCAGAGATATGAATCCCCATTGCGTCACGTGCGTGTGCAAATGAAAGAAATTTGAAAAGAGAAGATGAAATCCAAGGGACGGGCGGAGGATAAAAGAAACGCAAGGAAATAAAGATAGAGAGCGAATTACACATGTATCTTCTTGAACTGTCAAGAAAAGCGTGTTCCGGTGCTTCGTTAGCTATCACCAATTACGTAAGCAAAAAGGTAGCTAGGCAACTCGGGAAACATGAAAAGCGCCTAGCAGCTGGTTGCCATACAGAGCATGCATTCTATTTTCTTGAGATGGGAAGACAGGGAAACCCAAAACAAAAGTAGCAGAAAAGCAATCAAGAACTTACCGCTTTTTCATGGAGTCGCGTCTCTCTGTATCAGCTTGCATGCATCAACAAAACAGTTGTGCGCCTCATACGTGCGAAAGAAACTAATTTTTTCTCGTTTGCTACGTGTATGTGGACACAGGCAGCTGGTCGACCGAGCAGGCACTCGACGATTGACACTTGGCACTGCCGTGGTCGAACGAGGACGTGCCTGTACTCGCAGGCTCTTCTGTCAATTTTCCGTTGAGGCTGCCGTTGGCTGGTCGACGGAAAATTCGAGCGCAGCACTCTATGCAACCACGCCACTACGCTACGCGTACATACAGCTTGCGTATTTAGCGATGTACTCGTTCAAAATGGCGTCTCACTCTCTCCCGCTGATGCTCGATCTGAGCGCTCCTCTTTCGTCCTCTGCCCAGATCTTACATGCACTGACTCTAAAATCTAGACTATAACTGTGAGTTTGTGACTCGCGTCAGTCTCGTCTTGTCTCTCTACCGTATCTCGACCACCAGGTGGCGACATCGGTGACGGTGCATAGAATCCTGCGCATGCGCTGCCTAGAATTCTATAATCATTAATCTTCGCTCCGTCTCTAATCTAACTAAGCACGATGCACAACTTTCATAGCTCTATACATATTTACACATTTTGAACATGTAAATATTAGTATAATAATAATAATAATACTCATATGCTAAAGATGCAATGTCGTCACCTGTAGGGGCCAAAACACCGGTCTGCCGCCTGCGGCTACCGGACGTCCGATGTCCGAACACTGGATCTGAATACAGGAACAGTGGCTCCGCTCTTGTAATCCTATATGTATATGTATCTCTATCGAAAGCGCTTGTTTCGAAGTATTATATCTTTTCTCACTTCCTGTTCTCAATACAATTCTTATCACAAGAGGGCCGCAAATCGATGACGTGCTTACTTTAGCATTTATGTAGGAAAAAACAAATTACTTTTTTCCATCGAACAAATATTAATTCTTTGTAATAATATTTCTTAAATTATTGGTCGATAAAAATATCAATAATTTTAATAAATTACATATTTATTCTATTATAATGCTATTATTATATGCTATTATCTTATAATGCTATCGAAATCTTATGTTATGGTGAAATTTGTATTTTATTATTATCAAAAAGTGGCGCAATTCATTTCTACAAAAAATTTGCAAGTAGACATAAAACATTAATTCAACATCGGTGTAGTTCTAAAACGAATCATTTTTGTAAATTATGAAAATGTTAACTACTGACATAGAGTCCATAGGTATTTGTTTCTGCCGTTGTAACAATAACGCGAGTCAATATATTGCGCTGCATTGTAAAAATGTTGTAAAAATGTTGCATGAATGATGGTGTCTAATAAAAAATGCCTTGTCTAACGTTGAAAAAATACTGTAGCAAGATTGGTTTAATGTTTGATGAAATTATCGAAATGTACAAAGAATGCCTCAAAAAGCGAGAAATTACAACTAGCATTCTAAAAACGTTTTTTTCTTTGTAACATTATTTTGTAAACAAAGCCGGACATTATGTACTGCAAGATTTTCTTCGGTTAAGGGAAAGATTTGGCAATGTTATGAAAAAGCGTGGTTGAAGCAACATTTTGAAAACAACTCTTGCTGCTTGGTACTTTGACCGTTATAACTTAAAAATTGTACAATTTATTACAACCTATATGCATATATATATATATACATACATAAAATTTTATTGTTCTGAAGAGCTAAAACGTTTTCTTCTAACTTCCGAAAACGATTTCAGTATTACGAATTCTCTCCCAATCAACAAATGAAATTACATTAATCTAATATTCCTCATTCCCGGACTCAGGCGCTATAATAATCAAGTTTTTTTCCAATTTTATCACAAAATATTGTTTGATTTTTTAATTTTTCATCATATGCCCGTTTAAATGAGATGAGCATAAGATCATTAATATATAGATCACCCTATATAAATTGCTATTTATAAATCTACTGTTATGCTACGCCTGCTTTATCGTTACACATGTACTATAATCTGATCTCAAATAAAAATACAAATAAATTTATTAAGTCATTTTAGACTTGTAATAACATTTTTAATTTTGTATATTTAAAATCGATGAGTTGTTTAATGGAATTTGTTTTACACCTCATTGATTTTGGTTGGTTTTAAAGATATTATTATATTGATCGGGTCGAGCCTTTAAAATGACTAGTCTTGATAAAACTTTGCAAATTGGTTATTCATGTAAAGGCCAATATCTCTACCAAATTTCAAGTCAATAGAATAATTCTTTTGACGGTTATTAATATTTAAAAAAATGAGGTTTTTTCATTCGCATGACTCAGCAAATATCGATGGTAACTTTATGAAAATTGAGTAATATGTACTTTGAGAATATAATCAGTGCATATGAAAATAATTATTAATAAATATTTTATCGACTTTATTTAAACAATTGCTTGTAATCTCCAAAAATCCATCTTCTTTTTCAAAGTCTTATTTCTGTGTTTCTAGATCTTTTCCTTTCAAAAATGATAATAAAAAATGTTGATCTACTGCAGAAGACACATCTTTATCTGCAAGAAAAATAGAAAACAGTGTACAGGAAAAATAAATGTCAAATAACTGTTCCATAATTATGTCTTCATAAGGTTTATAAAGAATTACACATGAATTTTTCAAAATCAATAAAAACTATTTTATTATTATTTTTTTGAGTGAAAATGCTCTAGTTTTATTATATATGATAGCATTTGAAATATATGACGATACTTTTTTTATAATAACAGATGACAAATAGACAGAATAGATGTGATTGATGTGCATATTGATAATTTCAGCAGTTATGAATAATTTATTTTCAATACATATATTAACTTTAACTAGCTTCTTGACTTTGTCGTTTTTGAACCATTTCTCTGATATTATTTTCACTTTCTCTTAAGTTACGTTGCAAATATGTCTTATTATTTTCAAGAGTTTTTATTTTTTCATCTGCTGTTTTTGTGCGTACATCCAAATCTTTCTTGATTGTATTTCTATCTTGAAGAATAAACATTCGACCAACTGCTTCAAAGGTCTTTGTTTTATCAGGTAACGTTCTAAGCTCAACTTGTGTTAACTCAGCTCGTTGTTTATTACGACGAAGTGTATCAATTTGTATATCTGCTAGCTTGAGTTTTTGCCTAGTATCAATAACTTTTTCATGCAATTCTGCAAATGCTTTCTTCAATTCTTCATCAGCAATACGAGCCATGTTCAGCTTACTATTTTCAATTAAATACCTACAACAGATGATTCTAAAATAATTTGTGAGCACAATAATATATTTTTTAATTTATGTAAGTTTGGTATCTTTTATTCATATCCATGTTGATTTTTATTAAAAATGACTTTTAATTATTGTTTAAGTTTCTAATATGTTATTGGCAAGTATTTAAAGTAATTAACATTTTACTACTACTTAAAACAAATAATTACCTAATAAATTGTCGTGTAAATATGTTACAACTCTATAAAAGGCAATTTCGTGATTGTATGATACTGTGGTTAAACAGAATAGTAAGGTTAGGGTACGTTGCCATATATATATATATAGCGGTGGTTCGCTTGCTCAAAAATCAACTGCGTCCAATGGGAATTCATTATGTCGGAACGGTAAATTTTGAAGTAGCTAAAAAGTGAAAAAGTACAACTAGGTAATCGATTAAGATATGTGGTAACATTACCTAATTTGTGTAGTGCGAAAAGCACATGGAACGGTAATTTAATTTCGTAACAACGAGAAAATACTGTACGATACAAGTTCGGAAAAGAGTTTTTCGATACTCCATGCGCAAAGTGCGTCTTTCCCGTACGTAATGTACTATTTCGATACGACGTGTGGAAAGTGCGATTTTCAACGCACATTTTTCGTCGAGCGTGCAGGAAAGACACACTTTGCGCACGAAGTATAGAAAAAGCTATTATTTATGAAAATATAAGAATGTCGAGTATCATTTAGGTGGCAATGTAGAATAAACGATATTACGAGTTTTAAATTACTTGAACTCAAAATTGAATGGAATTCAAAACTAACAAGTGTAGATTGAAAATAACGAAAGCTATGTAAAGTTATATATTCGTTAAGGAGGAAAAAGTTCAGTAACTGCATCTTATCTACTTTTTCTAGGCAAGATTTTTTAAAAATACCTCGAGAAGTTGTATTAGTACTTTCATTGCTAGAATTCTATCTAATTAATATAAACTTTCGTGGCTAATATATATTCTATTGTTTTGATATATAGGAGTTGTAAATATTAAATAAATAAATTGAGTTGACAAGGGATCGATGAGCTTGTCTAACACTGAAATAAACAAACAAATATTTGTTTGCAATATTTTAATGACTAATTTTTTTAAGTTTCTGAGTATAATTAAACGTGGTTCTTTTATTGAAAATTCATGCCTTTGTTGGCAGATCTATTCGTGCAGTCAGTATGTAACTTTCACGAACAAACTTCATTTTTAACTTCAAAATCGTATAACTATTGTAAAGTTTGTATCAAAAGATTAGGCATTCTGAAAATAATTTTTATGCGTGTATTATTGAGCTAATATTATTTATTTGCAGTAATTAAATAAAGAATTCAAACCATAAAAATAAACATCATTATGTTTTTTATCTGAAACAAAATCATATCTATTTTCTTTATACTGTATTTTTGAATATCGTAATCAATACTACTTATTTACATTTTCTCGTCGTTCTTTTTCATCTCTCCTTTTATTATAATTTAAAGATTTATGTGGAAAATGACGCTCAAATTTTAGTTGTATGAGAAAATATGCTTCGTCGCTCCCATTTTATGCATTGATAAAGGCAGACTTTTCCTACGTTTACTAATGGAACTAATGCTAGTTAAAAACTATGTAGATTATTCTTTCGATTAGAAATATGAACATTCTCAATTTCCGTAGAGGGTGAGATTCTATATAGGTATTTAATTAATTATTTTTTTGTGTCGCTGCTCTAAACATTATTCAAAGTAAATTTTCTATCCCATTATACGAAAATGTGTGTATATTTTATAAATATTTGATGTACGTGTAAAAAATAAGCTTGATATTTGCAACATTTTATATATATTTTTTTAAAATAAAAAACCCATCATTATGTAACTTTTTTAATCTTGTTCACGAAATAACTGCCAAATGATGTTGACCTACAAAGGCAACAGGTTCTTCACTATTGATATTTTTTATTATATTATATATTTTTTTTTCTAAAGCATATTTGCTGTAGTTGATGTAAGTTCAGTTAACTGAAGGAGCTTCTTCTAAGTTTTCAAACATGGAAAAATAAACTCGCTTTAATTAATATCTGAGAAATATTGAAAATTCACACATGAAACAGGAATAGCATAAAAAAACAAGTATTATAACGAAGTCATTTCTTGTAATTAGAAATATATTGAAAAGTGTATTTATTAATTGATATGAAATTGCACTGGCCAAATAGATTGATTATTATTAGATTGATATTAGATGATTTATCAACTTTTCAATTGTATCGAAATTCAAAAGTTTTGTTAAAATATATTTGATATAATGGTGGGGAATAAATAGTTATTATTAGAGAATATTGAGAGATAATTTTGTTATGCCAAGTAAAGATGATATGTATATATTATGACACGATTGTGATTTCAACAATGTGATGGTACGTACAACGGATTGTAATGACAGCGAATGCAATGCATCATGTACGCAGCACATAACGGTGAAGATGTACAGACAATGCGAGTATCACGGGTACCATTGTGAATGCAATATGATTTTGAAAACCCCTTTCTCGTGAGACCACTATCAACAAAACCATAAATATCGATTTCAAAGTCTACACAGAATCAATAAAAATGTCCAGAGATACAACCATTTGTAACATTTTGCATAAAACATCATTGCACGTTTTATTGAGATTATTTATAGATGTTATAACAGCTGTTGGCCAAATTAGTGGGTCTACGCGGTATACCTGTACGCATAATGTTTGATAATTAATTGTCAAGCTGACAACAGAAGACAATGGCAAAAGATGTACAAATATAATTTTGTCATTATACCCTACTTGGTTGACGCAATCAGAGAAAAAATCAAGTCAGAAATAGACGCAGTAGTCACTGATGCGAATTATCGATATCGTAGGAAAAATAACTAAATGAAAAGGAAATGTAAAATAGCTCCGTAGATGATCAATCATTATTATGGAAGCGATTGTTTGGTCAAAAAATAAATGATACTTTTGTATTTTTAGAAACTTGATTAAAAATTAGAACTCGGCACGTAGTAGATAATTCAGATGCGACGACGCAATATAATTTACGAAAGGTCGAGTTAATTATGATTGACAAGCAGCTGCCGACAAACGTCAGAACGTCACAAGAAGAAGAAAATCCGTGATATGAATTCAGATGAAACAATCAGCAGTGATGACATCACAAACTTATAGCCTATTAGACGCAAAAAGGCTGGTGTTTCATGCGCGACATAATTGTGTGAGCAACCCCTTACAGAATAGCTTCTTCCGGCTCTTGGATTGTACGCGCTGCAAATTGGCGCAGCCTCCTATTGCAGTAGTATAGCAAGACACGTTGCCGCGGACTCGCATTGCTATAACGATTCTTGTATACTGTCAAGTCGTTGAGAGATCGTTGAGTTGAATTCCTTGGATTAGAAATTCGTTGATGAAAAAAATGACAACATTGGGATTGAAATTTTGATAATCAAGTCTGGAAGTGAATGTGACATTATAAATTGAGCAAATCGTAATAACAACAGTGCAAAAGTTACTCAAAGCGAAAGTTTATGGTTTATTGATTTCGCAAGGTGTAGGAAGTAATAGTGTGACTTCGTCTTGCATATTCAAAATGATAAAAGCTATTGCTGATAAAATTAACGGGATGATACATCATTAGCAGTCTCGTTTCCACTTCAAATGAGTTGGATTCCTGATTAATATCCCCTCCTCGCGATCGTAATTGCTATTGATTTTTTGCCTTACATTTTTGTTACGCAAGTGACAACACTTCGATTACAAGTATCGTTTGGTTTGGTTTGAATATTTCCGTCTGTCATCAAATGGTATGTGCACACTCGTTGAATTCATTTAATACACTTTGAAGTTATTATCAAACAAAATTATTAATGTCTTTGACGCTGTGGCCAAAATCGACCGATCTATTTTTAATTGAACGTTTACAAACATTAAATTTATAAAGTAATTAGGACAACGGAATAGGAGGACGCGTATTAGTACAGAGAAAAATGTTACTCTACAAAATGAGTCCAAGGTAAGGCGATTCGTATTCTTTGTGTAATGACATTATATTATCGCAATTGCACATACTACCTGCTTGCAGAAACGCAGTAAGCCAGTCTTCAACAACGGTTCATCTTCTTTTAACGATATTATCCTTGAGTTCATTTACAGATGTTATAATAGCTGTAAACCGAATTAGTAGGTATATAGCATATACGTATGATGTTTAACAATTCTAAATCTGTAACTTTTGTAGTTGGCGATGAAAGGCAATGCCAAAAATTGTGCACAACAAGCAGCTGCCTATTTCAAAGTATTGCTATAAGAAATCAAGATATTTTCTAAAATTTCATTTCTCAATTATCAATAATGTTAATTAACATTTTTCAGCTTTGGAATTTTGGAAAATAATGAACAGAGAGGCTGACCCGTGCACAAATTTTTACGAATTCGCGTGTGGTCGTTTCATAAGAGATACGTCCATCATTGATGAAGAAAGTGTAGTAAGTACGTTTAGTCTGGCGCAGACTCAGATATCAACTGAACTACTTCACGAATTAAACAAGTCGGTGAAAGAAAATGATTTAGATGCGATCAAAAAAACGAAAACTTATTATCAAAATTGCATGAATGAAGGTATGTCTACGGCACACGCTGCAGGTCACGTACTTTAACTCTCATATGAGCAAAATTGATTAAACTTTAAAGTTTTATATCTTTGGTGAAAATCAATTTACAGGGACGATCGGGGTAGCGTCTGGAAGCTCTTCTTAAGACTAAAAATTTTAAGATGGTCCGCACCACGAATTCAATTAAATATTTTTTTAATAATTTCAAACAAAAATTCAAAATTTAAAAATCTACAAATTTTTAACTACCTTTAATCTCTTGTAGATTCTCAACAAAAAATTTTAAGTACGTAACTTTAAAGTTCCTTTCAAGCCCTTTCTAAATCACTCATCAAAACATTAGTTTCATCAATTTTGACGAGCATACGAGCATTTTTTTCGGAAATAAAATTTTTTTCCTAACTTTTCATATTTTCGAAAATTCAAATAATACATAAAAATAAGCATTTTAACGAATTAGATTTCTTCGAAAAAAAACATGTTCAATTTTCTTTCTCTACAACTGGTGCGCTAAAAAAGATTTTTTTTTAATTATCTGACAATTAAAATATTTTCTTTTACTCCTCGAATACATGCAAAATAGAAATTATAATTTTTGGAACAATTTTTTTTCTTTTGTTTTTTGTGTTACAAAAATTAATTTGTAAATAAAAATAATAATATTGTCAGAATTTAAATGCGAACACATGGTTTATCGGTAAGCTTGTTTACTTCGCATGAAAAAATAACTAGGCCTTATAAATTCAAATAAGATATTTTATTTAAAAATTCCCATTACCAACATTCTTTTTATCACACTTTACATTTGATTAACACATTAATTGGGATAAATTAATTTTCGTAATACAGAAAGAATAGAGAAAAGAATTTTTTCAATTTGTATTGCATTGTAATTTTTATTTCGTATCATTATTTTACAAGTAAAAAAGAACATTTCTAAAAAGGAACATCTTGTGTCACAGACATGCATTTTTTAATTTATTTAACGCATCAGTTATAGGGGAAAAAGTTAATTTTTTTTCAAACAAAATTTGAAAAAATTCCACTGTATTCTACGTAGAAAAATGAACATTTTCTCCAATACAATTTTTTATATTTAAATTTACGTAGATATGAAAAGTTGGAAGAAAGTGTTAATTTCCGGAAAAAATGCTTGCATACCATTCAAATTTAATGATACTAATTTTTGATGAGTGATGCAGAGAGGACTTGAAAAAAAGCTTAAAAATTATGCACTTAAAATGTTTTTTGAGAACCTACGAGAAATCAAAGATGGTCAAGAATTTTTAGATTTTTCAATTTTGAATTTTTGTTTCAAACAATTAAAAAACATTTGACTGCTTCCATAATTCATATCCTTTAAAAATTTTTACAAAAAGCTTTTAAACGCACACTTGCCCGTCTTGGTACATTGATTTTCATCAAAGATATAACATTTTTAAATTTATCTAATTTGGCTTGTAGGGGGGGGGGGGGTCAAGTACGTAACTGGCAGTGTACGTATAATTAAGAATGAATATAGATGTAGTATTTTTATATTGTAAAACTTTTAGATAGAATTGAAGTGGCAGGGAATAAGCCTCTCATTGATATCTTGAAAAATGTTGGAGGATGGCCAGTGTTACTTGGTGACAAATGGGACAACAGTCAGTTTGACTGGGTGGAAAGCATTTACAAAATTAGGGAACATAATTTGCCGATGTTTTTTCCAATAATCATAAGCGTTTATTTTGATAATACAAACTCAACCATGCGCAGTATCAAAGTAAAGAAATACTCTTCTAATCAATATTATAATAATTGAAATACTAATGAAATTATCTAAGTGTACTTTTTGTGGCTTTTAGGTGCGTAATGCTTTTTCAATGATTAATCGAGCATTTTTGATAAATGGAGTTCACAATCCACAAATGACAGCTTATTTCAATTATATGATGAACGTCATAACTATATTAGGTGCAAAAAGAAACAGTGCTACAATAAATGAAATGAAAGAGTTATTAAAATTTGAAATTCAACTTTACAACGTAAGTATAGATATTATGTATTATAAAAATATAGTACGAAAAATAATCTAAATACTTTTCAATCGAGTCGATATGCATGGATGATTCTAGAAGTTTAAAATTGTCTGCGCAGGAGGGTCAGCTAATTTTACTGGTGGTATTTTCTATGATAGAGTATGTCAAAAGAAGCCGTTTAGCTATCTCAGATATGTATATGTGTTCATGTGTATTTTTTCACAGCCCGAAAAATGTCTTTTATAGTTATTTTTGAAAAATTATTGCTCAGCGAATTTTTAATATTTTTTTAAATAAAAAAAATTTTTTTTTCGACGTCTCATTATACAACAATAGCTTTTATCGTTTTGAATATGCAATCTGACAATTTTTATAATTTTAAGAAAACTTTAATTATCCATATGCAAAAAGTAGCTTAAGACAACTGAGCACTATTAGGGTCAAATCGTCGGCCATACGTATTCCGAGTATCGTAACTTGATCAATTTTCAATATTTTTGAACACGCTAGGTGTAATTATTTTAGTTTTATTTTTTTTTGTCTTTTTAAGACCTTTTATCCAGAACTTCGTGCGCCTTAATCAATGCATTAGAATGGTTTTTTCGCAAAATCAAAAATTCTAATATCTAAAGCCGTTTATCTACAAACAAAAAATATGCATATCATAAAAATTTCAGAATATATTCTACTCGGTTTGAACTAACTAAAACCGTATTAAAATAGAACAAAAGTAATGCGTTTTTTTCACTTTCAAAATTTTTATTTTTGTAAAAATTGCAAACTTTAATCCACTCTATTTATGGCCCTATTACATCGTTAGAAACATGTGTCACACCAAATCAAAGATCTTGAAAAGACATAAAAATGACGCCCGGCTGGTTAAAAAATATCAATAATAGATTAAGTTACGATATTTGGAATATGACCGGTAACTTAACCCAAATAGTGCTCAGTTATCTTAAGGGTATTCGTTACATGGTATTTTTTGCATAAACATAATTAATTTTTCTGAACATTAGAAGAATTGATAAATCGAATGAGAAGTAAAAAAATATCGAAAATTTGCTAAGGTACAATTATTTAAACATAGCCAAAAAAGTCAAATTATATACACACACATACACTTTTGGGAAAATCTAAGATAGCCAAACAGATCCTTTTGATGTACTCTATTATAGAATAAATTGCCAGCGAGATTGACTGATCTTTCTACACAGCCAATTTTAAAAAACTGTATATATATTTAATAGATTACAACATCTGAGGAAAAATTAATTGATATACCAGAAGCAGAAGCTCCAATTAGTATTAGAGAGCTATCTTTCAAGTTTCCAAGTATCCCGTGGCTAGAATTATTAAATAAAATTCTTAATCCGAGTGGTATATTCATCAACGACACGGAAGAAGTTTACCTTGAAGATCCAAATTTCATTGTACAGATTGTAAAATTGATAGATATAACTCCGAAACGAGTGCTAGCTAACTTTTTATCATGGAGGATTACTCAAATTACTCTCATGTACATGCCTAAAAAGTTGAAAAAGGTTGCTACTGACTTTAGGAGCATCATAGATGGAACAAAAAAAACTATGAGCAGAATGTACTGGTGTCTAAATGAAATAATGGAGGCGTTTCCGGTTAGTTTGAGTGCCATGTTTGTCAGGAAAAATTTCAATCAACGTATTAAATATACTATCAATGAAATAGTTGAAAATATCAGAAACGAAACAAGAAAAAATTTTCTGATGGTAACGTGCACGATAAAGCTAACGAGTGAGCGATGAAAGTAAGCGAATAAAATTTTTTTTTATAGGTGGATTGGATGGACGAAAAAACCCGAAAAGCTGCTATAGAAAAATTAGATGCAATGACCGTTTCAATTGGTTACGCTGAAGAATTAATGGATGATCAAAAAGTAAACGATTACTACAATGAGTTACAAATCAACCCAGGGTTATACATCACCAGTGCATTCAACGTAACTTCATTCTTGGAAAAACAAAACTATAGAGCACTAAGGAGATCGTCAAACGAATATCTGTGGACGCAGAATCAAAATGTTGCGCTTGTTAATGCTTATTACACTTCATCGACAAATAATATTGGTAATTGATAAATCAATGAATACTGGTATAAATTATAAATACTCATAGTAAATTGTGATTTAACGACAAAACAAATGTTACTTTCAGAAATACCTACTGGATTTTTAAAAACATTCTTTCAATCAGACAGACCTCAATACATAAATTACGGCACAATAGGTACCATGATTGGACATGAAATCATTCATGGCTTCGATAACCAGGGTCGAAAATACGATAAATATGGGAATCGAAAGAACTGGTGGGAATCGAATACTGAAAAGAACTTTATAAAAAAGGCGAAATGCATTGTAGAGCAATACAATAATTACACTGTACCTGAAGTCGGCCTAAATGTATGCAAATTATATTTTCGTATTAGCAATATGTATTAGCTAATGTCATATTAGTAAGATATGAATTAAAACTTAACGTGTTTGGATCATTTAAGGTAAATGGACAGTTGACGCAAGGTGAAAATATTGCTGACAACGGAGGTTTCAAATTAGCTTATTATGCATACAATGAATGGACGAAACGTCACAATATTGTCGAAGGTTGCCTTCCGTATCTTCCATACACTCCTCAACAGATGTTCTGGATTAGTGCAGCTAGTAATTGGTGTAGTAAACAGCGACCAGAATTTCTAAGAGATATTATTGCTACAGATCCGCATAGTCCTTATGACTCAAGAGTAATATTGTCGTTTTCCAACATTAAAGAATTTGCTAAAGATTTTAATTGTAAACTTGGCTCTAAAATGAATCCTGAAAAGAAATGTCTGATTTGGTAGGTCTTATATGTTTTCTTCCAAGCTTGTTACGTAATGTACTATGATACATTTTTCAAATCGCAATTTATGTTTTTAAATTGATCAACATTGTTCGATGCAATTTTAAAACTGTTCAAAAGTTTGTTCTGTAATAATGTCATCCTCATCAATAGCATCATTCTTGTAAAAAACTCTTTCAATAAAATATTTTTAAGATGTACTAAAAACTATTAGTCAAAATAAATTGTTAGTTTACTTCGAATAAAATCAAACATATAAAATGTAATCAATAATTCAAAAATTCAAAAAAAGACGATTCAATACCGTTTGTAATATTTGTTAAAATCGAAGTTAATTCTATAAAATTTATCTTTAAAATATTTCAAATTATAAATTAATTTTAATGGTCGTTATAATATAGAAATAACATTTTTTTATAATTTCATAATCTTATGTATTATCAGTGTCCCTTTACATTCTATTGTATTGTTGTTAATAAATTTTTTTAATAAAGTAATACAAATAAAACACTAATTATCATTTTTATTATTCAGGCCCATCATGCTTCTTGATCATTACAATATTTTTGATTTTCTTATTCAAAATAATCGTGATGAGGTTAATTCTAATAATTTTATTTTTTTAACATGTAAGATTGCATATAGAATTAGTTAAATTTTTATATAAGCAGCTCAATGTAAAACTAATTAATCAATATAAACAATCTACATCTTGAAAAAGTTTTTAAAATATTTAAAAGAGATAAATTATGTTGAATATAAAATAAAAAAATACCAAGCTTGAAGAAATTATCATTCGATCGTTATTTAACAGACTACATAGGTTGTGGCATTGAACTCGTCATAGAAAATGCTCATGTAATATTTTTCATTGTGTATAAAGTTACTATGTTGCATATTTGATGTCTCCGGGTCAAATAACGTGATTCCGATATAGCTGTGTTGTACTTGAACATGTTTATTTATTTGAAAAACGTTTCGCCGATCACATTCTAGCTTTGGGTCGTTAGTATAATTTGCTGAGACGATTGATGATAGACATATCAAGATAGTTATTCCTAGTTTCTTTACTACCTTTTGTATCTTCTATTTGTTCAAACTCGTATAATATAATAATTGAAATATATTTCTTTACGTCTCAAATATCTCTGACAAAAAGAAACAAGTTATCTTTTTTCAGCTGTTCAAATCAATGTCATGTTACAAGTATAATTCAGAGTAAAACTAGTTTCTTTAAATTTTAATCAATTATATAATTATCAATTATTTTATTTCCAGAAGCACACCTAAAATATTGTTGAGAATTTCTTAAAGTATATTATCGCTTAGCTCCTTACGTCAATTGGGATGCGATGTTGTAGGTCTTGCTCCAGTAATACCATTACGTAAGTCTTGAACACCTGCAATGTTATTATTATTTCATAATAGCGTATGGTTTGATATTTAATTTACATGATTACCGATGGCGACCTACGATGCCTTAATCAGTATGGGCATACATGCCACACCAAAGCTTGTGCAAATGAAGGTATGAGAGATCAAGTGTTTTCTGATATCTTGAATGACATATTTCTCAGCAATATGATCGCAATAAATTACAGCTTTACGCCTAATAAAACTTATGGATGAAGAAACTGATCCATGTACAAATTTTTATAAATTCGCACGTGGCAATTTCATAAAAAGTGCTTCATTAGACGAGGGAGACAATACCATTACGGATAATGCAAATAGTGAATTATCAGATTACACTAATGCTGAAATAACTGCTGATGTGGAATATACTGATTTAGAAGCATTCAAGAAAACCAAAATTTATTATCAAAACTGTATTAATGAGGGTGAGTTTGAAAAGATCGTTTCTGAAGGAAAATATAAATTCGGTCTTTTTAGCTCGAACAGAACAAGTTGGTAGCAGACATCTTTTAAAAATTTTAAATAACATTGGGGGATGGCCGGTGCTGCTTGGTAACAGATGGAATGGACGCCGATATAACTGGATGGAAACTGTTTATAAAATTGCGGATGAATAATTTGTGGAATATTACTTTCCAGCAAGTATAGCTGTTCAATCCGACAATGAAGATACTTCAAAAAACGCCATAAAAGTAAATGGAAATTCAGAGCAAATATATTTTCATTGACGAGAAATTATTATAATAATTTGTTAATCTTATAGATAAGTGGCGTGTCTTTGAATATTGGTCCAAATTATTTTGTAGATGGACAAAGTAGCAATGAAATATTGAAATTGAAATTTTTTTTCACTTTCCTTCAGATATGAATTCGTCCATTTTGTAGAATTGCCAACTGGATTTTTGAAATATTTGTTCATAGTACCCGAAGATAATATGAACGTAAGTGTACAGGAAATTTTTAAATTGAATGAAATATTGAAACGCCGTAACTGCGAGTATCGTATTTTTATAGGTAAATGGAGAACTGTCGCAGGGTGAAAATATTGCTGACAACGGGGGTTTCAGAGCTGCTTATCTTGCGTATAACGAATATACGAGATATCACCATATCGTGGAAGGCTGCCTTCCGTCCCTCAATTATACACCTGAACAAATGTTTTAGATTAGTTTGGCAAGTGTATGGTGTGCACAAGAACGTCCAGAGTTCATCAAATCAACAATGCTCACAGATACACACAGTCCAAATGTAGCTAAAGTGAATGTTGTTCTATCTAATATTAAAGAGTTTGCGGATGATTTCAAGTGCAAGCTTGGATCCAAAATGAATCCTCGTGAAAAATGCATGGTATGGTAAACTAGAATTGCCGAAGACATTTTTGTGTAAATGTACTAGCAATTGATGTCTGATCAGCACTTAAAAAAATTATCGTCTTTCGATTCTTTCAAAAAATACTTAATTATATAGCACAAAACTATATAAGTCGATGTAAATTCTATAACTGTAATTATAAATGAAATTTTTAATGAAAAATCATTTTAGCGCAATTATATTGTAATCTGATTAGTATACATATCAGAAAAAAATAGAAATACACTACAGTTCTTTAAGTAGAAATAAAACTATGTAATGGCGTGATAAATTTGTATTGTTATAATATAAATAATAAAGATTCTTCCTACTGAGCAATATTATTTTGGTAATTTTAATATCAATCAAATCTTTGATGAATTGTAAGAACTATACCCAGTTTGAAGATTTACAAATAAACTTATAAACTTCTTTTCAATAAAGAGCACTTTTATGATATATACTTGATATTTATTCAAATAAAAAGTTAACTGCATATTTGTTCTCATTTGACTTCATTTATTAAAGCAATAATAATCACTTTAATGTTTATATAGATTTATAGATTAATATTCTTTATAGGCCAGTCAGACTGTCAGCAGAAAAAAATAACAAACTGTAACTTTCATTAGGTGTATATTTGCAAAATAAAAATACTCAATGAAAGAATTCAGAAAGTTATTCTTTACATAATTACAGTAACGTATAGGTGAAGAAGAAAGTAGATCAGACATTCAATTTTCTGGTACAATAACGAATAAAATATTACATCCTATTGTAAACAGTGCTGACTATATTAATCAAAGAAACCAATGCAATGCTTAATGACATTCAAAACCGAGAACTAATAATAAATGACATTCTTATTTTAATAAACAAAAACTTCTTACTTACGTCATTCTTACAGATCATTACTTGTGCAATTAGATGCAACGATTATTTTCAAGTTTTAGACACTTCTTTTTAATGTAACTAAACCATTATTTAGTTATGTTTATCTTCGTTAATTAGTGAGTTGTTTTAAATATTACTAAAATCTATTTAAATTAAAGACAGTGAAAAATGACACTCTCATAACAATAAGCTCACAGAACAATTTAACACGAATTCATTTTTGGAAACATAATTATTAAATAATTAAAATCTTTGATAAACAAAATAATATTTCCAATCCCTCCTCCTAAAAATAATCAGTTTTAAATGTGATGAATATATAAATGGAATTCACCAACCATAGGCACATTCGATTTCCTCTATCAAGCGCATAAATGCGATAATAACACAGGCCGACAGAATTTGACAAAAATATTTTACCAAGAACCCGAGTATAGTTTTCCGAAGGTTTTTTGCGCGCTGAATCCGAATCCGAGGTCAGAATTACTCTGGTGGCTCCGGTTTTCGAGATATCCTAACCTTAAAGTGCAAAAAACGCGATTTTTGCCTATATTTGAGGTTATGTAGCAAAGAAAAGAAATTTTTTTTCAAAAAACTGTATACATCAAATTAAAGTATGAGTTTTCTTCTTTCAAATGCCGTTGAGTATGCTCGGATATCTTTTTTTTTCACGAAGTTACACAAATTTGAAAATTTCAAATTTTATGAATTTAAAAAGCACCACATCATTCAACCCAAGCTATCTAACAAGTAACCATATTAAAGAGCCACTCACCAATTTAAGCCAAACTTGGAAATATGACAAAACACTAAAAAATATTGTGAGCATCGTGCTTCTATTTACAAAATGCTCTCTTACGGGTAGAAACCACCCCTGCCAACCTCTAAACAGGCTCACCCACATAACCCTGGGTAGAGCAAGTTTAATTAACTGCTTTTTGATAAAAAAACTCATTTTCTAATCACAGGTATGTGTACTAATATGATCTAGATAGGCCTCATCCCCAAATACCTCCTCAACCCTTTAAAACCAGCCCTCCCAACCCCTAAGCAGGCACACCCACATGACGCTGGGTAGAGCAAGTTAGCCAAGTGCTTTTTATTTCAAATTTGTGTAACTTCGTGAAAAAAAAAGATATCCGAGCATACTCAACGGCATTTGAAAGAAGAAAACTCATACTTTAATTTGATGTATACAGTTATTTGAAAAAAACTTTCTTTTCTTTGCTACATAACCTCAAATATAGGCAAAAATCGCGTTTTTTGCACTTTAAGGTTAGGATATCTCGAAAACCGGAGCCACCAGAGTAATTCTGACCTCGGATTCGGATTCAGCGCTCAAAAAACCTTCGGAAAACTATACTCGGGTTCTTGGTAAAATTTTTTGTCGGCCTGTGTAATTCTTGAAAATGAAATTCTATTTGCTTGCTTTGCTTATCGTGGCATTGGTATTTACCCAATGTAATTAGTGTATACGATTATATACATTTTGCAAATTAGTTTTTTTCCCCTGTTATGTCAATGTAAAGTCTGCAGCTTTCCTTTTCTACGAATTTTTTTGGTACGTAATGTTATTTTGTAAGCGAAGATCAAATGCAAATATTAACATTTTTTTAATTTAAAGAAGAATTTTTAGTTTTGGTAAAAATAAACACATTATTACATTATAATTTTGTGTGTGTGTGTGTGTGTGTGTGTGTGTGTGTGTGTGTGTGTGTGTGTGTGTGTGTGTGTGTGTGTGTGTGTGTGTGTGTAATTATACAGTTGTCCAATATTTAGCAATATATTTTAAATATTTATTGAATTTCGTTTAATTGGTACTAAGATTGACTAAACCTATTACGAGATATGAAAACTTAATTGATAACGATTACCATTTAACCGATAAGCTTTCATGAACATGATTATGCTTTTGTATTTTATGCCTGATAAATCATTTATTGCATAATCTTCCATATTTGACTTCATTTATTTCTGCAATAATAATTGCATCAATGCTCTTTGTAGGCCAGGCAAATTGTGATCTGGTAGAATGCAAAAAAATATGCAAACGTCAAGGAGGCGTTCAAAGTTGCCAACCTACTGGTCTTTATGCATGAACTGGGCTAGACGTTAATAAGAACGACACACATAGAATAAGAAACTGATATCTATTTCTTAGAAATTATTATAATTCTAATAAAAGAACGTTAAAATTATTTTCTTCTCACGGCATCATTTTTGCCAATTCTAATTTCTTTGAAATCCTGGTTCCTTAGAATATCACGGTCGCATATCGTTCAATTTTCGAATAAGTGGCATGGCGAATAATTTCTTGCATTTAGCCTTTTTTAGTTCGGCATCAGAAAAATCGATCAGTCGGAAGCAGTTTGGAAATCTTTGGAAAAAGTAAAATAGTTGTGTTTATTTAGTTAACATTACAATGGTTATCGAAGAAATCATAAATATTTTTTGTTCTGTAATGTCTGTTAAATTCTTATAATAAACATGAACAATCACAATTTACATTACAAGTTGATCTACTGATGAAAATCCGTCTTCGTAGTCAATAACATTGTAAACACCAAGATCTTCGTAATCGTTTGAACAATTTTTCTCTACATGTCAAGATCATTCCGGCTGACAGCCAGTAGTTTGTAAGTTACATTCCAATTGACATATCACGAGTAACGATAATCGAAGATATATTATTGTAATTGCCCATCTGTGGAAGCAAGCATAAACGAAATGCTAATAAAAAAATGGAATTTAAGGTAGAATTGAAAAATTATTGAATTTCACAATATTTTTAAGTATTTTAAAATGTATAAATTGATACATGAACTCAATCACCAATATTTTCGAAACACTTAAAATCTTCCTTATAAGCTTGAACTTTTTTTTTCACTCCGACGTTGCGGACAGGTGGGTATAATTTATTATTCAATATTCTTGGAAATTTTTTCAAATCTACCGGTATACGAAAAATCTATTACAGCCTTGCGTTTCGCCAAATATATGAACGACCGAATGGACCCCTGTGCAAATTTTTACTATTTCAAATGTGAATTTTACATAAACAATTCATCAATGAACGATACAGATAATATTGTTGCAATAACAAAATGACATTAATCATATGGCAATGCTTGACCTGAGTGAACGAGTGAAAGCATTCAGAAAGACTAAAATTTATTATTAAAACTGCATGATGGAAGGAATTTTTCATAGTTTGAGAGGTTCAGTCTTTGTTAAAGATTATAACGATTTTACACATTCATTGGTACTGGACCTCTAATAGAAATTTGGGATTTGATCGGCGGATGGCTCATAATTAATGGTAGCCGATGGGATATGAACGTAATCTAATGTATTGGAAAGCATTCACAAGATACGAAAAAGTAAATTCATAGAATTCTTTCCTGTAACGGTGATAATTGATTTTGATAACCTAGACTCTGCAAAGTACACTATCAAAGTAATTGAGGAACCATATGAAAGCGATAAGAAAGATGTAGCTAATATTTGATTGTGTGACTATTTCTAGGTTTAAAATGCTAAGCTAAACGTTGATCGAGCATTTTTCACAGATAATGATCACAACAAGATGTTGAAACCATTTTTTAATTTGATCATTAGTATATCAACAATTTTAGGTGCAAATAATGATGACAATACATGGAGAGTGATGCCACAGGTTGTTGATTTCGAATTTAAGCTATATAATGTAAGTACCGACAGAGTATGTGTTTGTGTTAGGGAATGTATGATTTAACTAAAAACTGATTTACCGGAGTACGAATGAAAATGTGAATAGGTGTTCGGTTTTCGTAATTATATAAAGCAGGTTACACGTTGATAAAAATTGCACTACTATTGACAAATAAAATAATTTAAACAAAACAGTGCAAATTATAATTTTCATTAATTGTGAACTTCATTATTTTCTCGAGATCCTAATTGCACAAAATATTATGCACTCGAATTTATATAGTATAACCAAATCAATTTAATTGATTATTGTATTTTCGTACTGCAATATTTTCGGTCATCATTACACACGAGAAAATACTGTAATTATTGCTCCCATAAAAAAATACCAGGCTGAATTATACGCTTTACTATTGTATGATAATACTATATTTTTAAAATACTTACAAAACTATAATATGATTAATACCGTAATTTTTCATAAGGTACAAAACTCATATCACATATCGCTAATAAACCTTAAAATTATCCTAATTTTTTTTTTTTTTTATTGAATTCGAATAGCTTATGTACTTCGGAAAGATTTATTTAGAAACTTGAATATGATTTAAAATAAGAATTAAATGTAAAATGAATAAATTAAAGATGTTAGAAGTGCTTCTACAAAAGTTATTGACATGAACCTTTCAATTTTTATAATTTGAGAGATGATGTTTCTAAAGGGCTATCGGAATCATTAAACAAAAAAATAAAAATTTTTATCTTTGAATAATTTGTTTTGTTAAAAATCTGCTGAAGTATAAGTAATAAGCATTTTTATTGTGTTAATTAGGTGCATTATTTATTACGTTGATATAAAAAACACATATTAGATTAGATTACATTAATTGCTCCGTATTATGTACAATGTAGTGTGTATCTTTCACATTCAGTTCTGCCTTTTAAAGTCAATAAATAATAAATTAAATTATAAGTAATGCCTGATAAATACATAGTACATAAATGGGTAAATGAATAAATTAATAATAGATGCCATAAGTAATGACAGTTCTAATTATTCATCTTTCATAAAATATTAAGTAATTAGATATCTTTTTCTAATTTAAAAACTGTCTTCAGTATTTCTTGATTTCTATTAGATCCTTGCATTTTCCTCTGCCTATTCCTTGTTTGTTTCTGTCTTGTTACTTGATACCTCAAATTATCTTCACATTGCTCCGCATATACTTCGGTTAAAATCTTCGTTAAGAGACTTCGTTATCATTTTGATCATACTTTAAAAGGTAAGTATTGTCTCAAATGTCTAATAACTTATTCTTTGATGAAAAAATTTAATCATAAAGAATCAATAAACACAGCCCAAAACAGGCGTTATTCAAATTCTGCGCATCAGACTCAGTTGGTAATCATGGCATTTCGAGCGACAATATATATATATATATATATATATATATATATATATATATATATATATATATATATATAGTATCTCATGTACTCAAATAAACACATACACCAACAAAGCTTTCGATCATCTGATACGAAATGCGTATTGGCTAAATCAATCCAGACACAGAGTTCGCTTCATATAATATATATATAGATAACGAATACATGGATTTATAACTTCGGTCGAGCTGACGATGCTATAGTCGGCGTTGACCCCATTCTTTTACGGTCGATCCGTCGAATTGTAATAAACGTGGTGCTGGCGCGGTCGTCATCATATCATCGTCAGTTGTTCCACTAATGGAAAGGAAAAAAAGGAGAGTCGTCCGTGAGTTAAAGAGACACGAAGACAGGTGCGCGTGAAAAAGTAAAAACGAAAGCAGTCAGCGCCGGGCACTTAACGCGCGTAATCGCTTGTCGACGCTCTCTCGCGATAAACAAGCGCGAACGCGCGTTCATACTTTTTTTTCTCCTTATCAAAAAATTGTGTTGGACGAGTTTTTTCGCATTTGCTGCTCTGGAACTTCGAGTTACTGAGCAAAGTGTTGTTGAGAAAAGAAAAACAGATACTAAGGATGGACGAGAAAATTATCGAATTACGTGAGACTTTCTTCAAAAAATTGGAGGATTCACCTAATACATGTAAGTAATTGGATTGCTCGATGTGGTATCGTTATCGCAAGGTCCACTTGATTAGCAACATACCGCTTAATTTTTATTAAAGGTGCTTCGACATTGACTTGTTTGTCTTTCTAAAATTTGATATTTTAATTATATATTTGAATTACTAAATTGTAAAAACGATTCATTTAGTGATCATTAATGATTTTGAATGGTATTACTTGATTAATGAGTTTTCCAAACATCTAGTAAATATTTCAAAAACATGACTCAAAATGTTGTTCGCTATTTTTTTTTATTTGGGGTTATTGTTTAATTATAATTAAGGTCTATAAAAGATTTGTCAATTTTTAAGATACATATTTCAAAATGAGTTACTCATATCAAATCATCAGTAAAAAAGATTAGAAGCAGTGTACTAATAGCTTAATATTATCATATCATTAAGTTTTTTAGCTATTGGTTTATATAATCGTGTTATAAAATCAATTATATTAATCTGCTCAAATCTATAAGATCATTCCTTACACGTTCATTTTAAAGTTTATAAAACTGAATACGATTTTTCACTTGACCAACTCCCATCTACAAGATTTCAGTTTAAGATATTTTGAAATAATCACATCAGATGACTTTTAAAAAGTGAATGCTAATGCTTAGTAGTTTTGTCAGTTTCAAGGATAACAAGAAATTTTTTTAAGTACTATGACAAGATGACAGAGGTCAATGTAGAATCATATAAATATTTATTAGACACTATGGCTATTTATGAGTGGTTGAAAATACTGCATGAGAAGCAAGTTTGAATTGTTATTTTTTTTCAGCATTGTATATCTTGAAATAATTTTTTGTTTTCAATGATAATATTATATTTTCATAGATTTCCATCCAGCAGACATAAACAGAATAAACTCTGGAAATGATTGGCTTAGACGGTTTTTGGAGCATACAGAATCTAATCTTCAAGATGCCCTTAAAATGTTATGGGAAACTTGTAAATGGAGAAGAGACTTTGGTACTAATGGTATGTATAAAATAAGGTTTAAAAAAACTTAGCACATAATACTAAACTATATTATTTTTAGATATTAATGAAAATTTAGTCAAAAGAGAATATTTAGAGGATGGAGTTTGTTTTGCGTACGGCCATGATAAAGATGGAAAAAAGTTATTTATTATCAAATCAAAATTACATACAAAAGGTTCAAGAGATTTTTCAGAATTGCAAAGATGTATTGTATACTGGTTTGAGAGGCTCGAAAGGTAAACTAAATAACTATTCACACAAATTAATTAACAAAGTAAGCAATGAAACAAAATTATTTTTGTCTTAGGGAAGGAAATGGAAATCAAATATCATTATTTTTTGACATGATCGATTCAGGTCTTTCAAACCTAGATATGGAATTAACAAAGTATTTGATAGGCTTGTTCAAAAATTATTACCCAAATTTTCTGAACAACATACTTATACTTGAGATGCCATGGGTTTTAAATGCTGCCTTCAATATGATCAAGTCATGGTTGCCAGCAAAAGCATTACCAAAAATTAAATTTCTCAAAAAATCCACTCTGCAGGAGTTTGTTGATCCTGATGTAGGCTTAAAATGCTGGGGAGGAAATAGTGATTACATATTTACATTTGTTTCTGAATCACAGACTGGAAAACTAATTAATGGAGAATTAGATAATAAAAAAGTACATTTTGCTGGAAATTCACCAATAACTGAACAAGCTAGTTCTGGCTTTAGTGACCAAGAATCAAGTAAAAATCCTATTTTTTTTTAAATTCTGAAAATATAATTTTAATAAATCAGTACTATTATTTTAGCGTTGATTGTGGAACCCGAAATTTTAAATTTCAGTATTTCTGGAAATGAAATTGTTGGAACTGTGATGTTGAAAAATATAATGTCAGATCAAAATTTAACTTACAAGGTTAGTATTTTACACTACATAAACATTGCATAAATATAATGATTAAATTGTTTTGCAGATAAAAACAACATCGCCAGAAAAATTTAAAGTTCGCCCCAATACTGGAATTATACAAGCATCGCAAAAGATTTCAATAACAATCACATTACAGGGAGGTTATACTTTGCTAAGTCTTTTACCACATGATAGATTTCTTATTATGTGTCTTCCAATAAATGAAACAATGGCACCTCAAGAATTAACAGAATTTTGGAAGGTGATTCTATATTTTTTAAAGATAATGATTAGTAATGTTTCAAAAATTTCATTTTCTTATTATATTTTAGCTTAATATTGGATCTGCAAAACAACATAGATTGATGTGTCGTGTTATAAATGAAAATGCTGATAATTTAAAATCTAGTATAGCCTATTCAAATAGTTCTTCTGGAAATCACTCAATGAGCTCATTATTTTCAAAGGTTCATATAATTTAATTATTTATAAATTGTATTTATTTTCCTTTGTAAAGTCATTGAAATATATATTTGTTACAGATTTCCCGTATCGAAGAAACGAGTATAAATCTTCAAAAAGAGATTTCTTTGATAAAGCATTTGCTGTTACTCTCTGCAATATTAATAGTTGTTCTTTTATTATGGATTATTTATATATCAAATAAGAACTTTCAAAATACTGTTGTAAAAGAAAGTTGTACAATTGTAGAGTCAATCATGCCAAAACATGACGAAGTCTAGTCTCACAAAGTAACTTTAAGCATTTCTGTAGCAATTGCAATTATTTAAAATTGATAAGAAATGGAGGGCATATAGTCTTAATTAAGGTTTAATTATTTAGAGTGTTGGGTTTTACTATTGAATAATAAATTAAAATCTATTTTTGGGTACTTTATACGATCATGAAACGATTATGTCAAATTGAAAAACAGACGGTAATTCACGTCCTATTTAAATTTATTAAATGTATTATAATTAACGGAATAATCTTATTTTTGTTTTTTTTTTTTTTTTGAAAATTCTATTATTTAATTTTCAAGAAAATTTATATTGAGCTTCAAATAAAATTTTTCTTATTATAAGATACCTGTAAAAGTTGAAAAATATTTCTGGTATCATTTTTGTACTGTTATACAATGCGTGTTTGCAAGATGTTTATAATGGATGTGTGAATTCTTTATATTAAGAAGAGAAAAATATGTGATGCAAGATTGAATATAGTAGAAGTATTTTTATAACTCTTGTTTGAATTGCATTTTTGCAACCAAATCTATCAATCTACTGATTTCTGGTAAAGCAATTGTTTATATTTAATTACATTCCATTCATGTGAAAAACTGATTTCTATTATAAATAAGAATGCACAGCTTCTAGATTAATACGATTATAATAGGAATCAATGGTACAAAACATCAAAATTAGGAATGTTTTTGAGTAACCAATTTTGTAGTTTGTTGGTGCATTTGTTATGTATTCTATGGACTAAAAATATAGATAACTGCTTCAAATTTATAAAGTTTCTACGTCAATTTGTAATAAAAAGAATATTTACAATCGCACAGTTGTTATTATTTAACAGACTACAGCTATAAGTGTATAAAACACAACGCAAAGGTGTAGGATTACAAGGAACAAAATTCAGTAAAACATGGATTTCATACTTGAAAAACTGTATAATATATTAAATATTAACAATATAGGTGAATTAATTAATATAAAAACGTTATGACTTTATCTGTAGTAATACAAAATTCCAATCGAACGTTTCTACATATATTTTACAGTACAATTTTTCATTTGCATTATAATTTTTACAAACTTAAAAGTGCAGTGTAGTTAGCATAGTTTTAATAAGATTAAAACTATATATCTTTAAGGAGTAATCCGTTTAGGATCACGTGGGAACATAGAAGTTTTTCTAATGTTATCCAATCCAAGATACAACATAACAACTCTTTCCATTCCAATTCCACCTCCAGCATGGGGTGGACAACCATATCTGAATGCATCAATGTAAGATTTGATCTTCTCAATGTCAATTCCATGATGTTTTGCTCTCTCAGTCAAGAAATTAGGGTCATGAATTCTCTGTGCACCGGAAATGATTTCTTCTCCACGAATAAACATGTCATATGAGTTGGAAACTCTGGGATTCTTGGGATCTGGCATTGTGTAAAATGGTCTCAGAGCCAAAGGAAATTTGTCCAAAATATAAAAATCAGTGTCATACTTGGCTTTGACAATTTTGCCTAGAAGCTTTTCATTTGGTGTTGATAAGTCATCTTCATCCCCCATCTCAACTCCAACTTCTCTTAAAAGTTTAACTGCCTGTGGAAATTCAAGCTTCAATGGAGGGACTAAGAATTTGAATGGCTCAACTTTATACTGCTGATTAATAATCTCTATTTCCGTTTTGTAAGAATTTTCTAGAGCTATGAATATCTCTGTGAACATCTCTCCGATGGTGTTCATCACTTCATGATAATGATATTTAAAAGCCATTTCTAAATCAAGACCAACAAACTCAGTCAGATGTCTATGGGTGTTTGAATCTTCTGCTCTAAAAACAGCTCCAACAGTGTACACTTTCTCAAAATCAGCTGCAATAGCCATTTGTTTATAAAGTTGTGGAGACTGTGCCAAATATGCAGACCCTTTGAAGTAGGATACTGTAAAAACATTAGCTCCACCTTCACTGGCAGCAGAAATAATTTTAGGAGTATGTATTTCAACAAATCCTTTGCCATCCAAAATGTCTCTGAATAATTTGCAAACACCAGCTTCAAGCCTGAAAATAGCTTGATTTGCTGGTGTTCTCAAATCTAAAATCCTGTTATCTAGCCTTGTGTCTTGATTCACTTTAATATTTAAAGTTGAATCATTTTCATTGATTGGTCTAGCAGCATCTTCAATTTGTAGTGGTAGTTGTGCTTCAGAAGCACTCACAACAAAGAATTGTTCAATATGAATCTCAAAATGTTTTTGAGTACAAGATTCTATTGACTTGGATACGAACTTTACTCTGGCTTGTACATCTATAATAGATTCCTTAGTTACTGACGATATGAATTTGACCATCTGCTTACTTATTTGATCACTGACAGCAGCCAGCCCTTGAATCGAATGGGTCTGCTCTCGAATTACAATGAAGCATTGCTTCCCTTTTGCTCTGCTTGTATGCAGTCTACCTCTGATCCATATTGTCTTCTCCATATCATCATTGTTTATATCCCGAATATGGATAAATTGTCTCTCTTCTTGAAACTGCTCACTTTGAATCATCTTGACTTGACCGTACTTTCCTATTGACACATCTTCCTGATCGTTCACAGCTTCAGTCTCAACAGAATTCTTCTTTGATTGTTTTTCCTCCTTTTTCTGCTGTTTTTTTAATGCCTTTTTTGAAATAGTTTCTCCTTCTGAGACGATAATTTCTGTTTCTTCTTTTCCTGACATTTTCTGAAATACAAAGAGAAAAATCCATGTATAGTAAAAAAATATATTTTCTTACTCAACTTTGACTACACATTACACTAAAACCATTATGTTGAAATAAATAAATATTGCTCACAGAAATTAATAAACGTGGACGATGGTTTTATCTGTCGTGCTTCTTATGTTGTTTTCTTGTATTTTTTCAGCTGCTTTCGATTAGGGTTAGGCTATCACCCGCGACACTTCTCGTCTCACTCGCTAGAATTAATTAATTGTCCACTGCCGTTTCGAACCACTGCATCCCGATAAAACAGCTCTTTTTGTTATCTTACGTGCCGGCAGCCGGCTTATGTAAAACGTTTTTTCATAAACCCATTCAATTGATGTAGTATAGTGCAAACTGAAATATTATTTAATGACAATCGTTGCAGTTGACGCAATGACAATAAGTTTAGCTTATTCAATATAATTACACTGAAAGCAAGCTTATTTGAAAAATAATATCAACTATGTAAATTATGATACAAAATTGGTGAAAAGTTGAAATTTTATTATACATTAAAAAATTTAACAATTTTCAATGCAGATATATATTGTTATTTTGTCTATAAAAAGTTTTAATGATTTTTAAATAATTATTGTCCATTTTAAATACATTTTAGACAGTTAACTAATGATTTACTGAATTTTTAGAAATGTACATTTCGTAAATATATTGCGTTATTTTAAAAGAGTATTATAAAAATACGACGCAAATATATCTAGAAATTATAGTAATTAAAATAAATATTGTATAATTAAACAGTTGGTTTTATTTTAAAACAAAAATCCGGTAAAAAAAATAGTTTTCTATACGTTCGATGCTTGATTGAATGGCCTATAATTGAGTTATGAATTAATGAACTTACTTTTGAACAAGTAGTGTACAGTTCTTTTTACAATTTGTAAATTATTCGTTTCAGACTACTTTAATAATAAAGTCATACAAACTCATAGTTCCGCGCCAAAGATAATCAACCACGTTACTCAAAATACAATTGGTAAAATTTGCAACCTATGTCTAAGAATCTCGATGCATTACTATCTGTTAGGTAAAATATTTAATTGATTATAAGTCGTCAATAATAAATAAATTCGCTATATGAAATCGTCATGTTCCTAAAAATACAAGTCAAACAATTGTAGCCGGAAAAAGGATCCATTCGCCATTTTGCATGCACAGAATGAGTGCGCGTCATTCAAACATTCTAGACATAATATATATTATACTTCCGGCCGGTTACAACATGCGCAAACGATACAAACGGTGGAGGGGCATATAGGTATACAGCCAGGGCAGCGTATGACAGTCAATCATTGTTGATGACGGTCATGCAACATAAAACCGTTCTTATTATACAATATACTTTATCGTATCTTTTGCAGACATCACCCTCAACAGAAAAAAATATTGCTGACGAATCTCTCCGTAAATCAACGGTGTACTTTTTGGGAAGGTGACTTGATCGAGAAATATCATTAGAGCAGCTGCATAAAACGAAAAAGTTGAGAGAGAGAAAAAGGGGGGGAACGGTTTCGGTAGACCGGGCAGCGGTGTAACGTGAATGGCCGCTGCTGCGCCACACGTATAACACACATACAACGTACATTATCCGTTGTGCGGAGGTGAAGGCGAGAGTGGCAGCATTACACAACGTAACTAGTACTGATCGTTGGCTAGTGCGAGAGAATTGTTCGGGTGTGCGGTGACCTGTTAGGTGAGTACGCGTCAACTGTGTTATGTGTGGATGGTGATGATTGTCGTCGTGCTAAGCGCGACAGTCGCTTCAGTGTGGTGCGCTGGCATCGGGGACAACAGCGGCGCCGCGGAGCTGCAGCACCAGCTAACTCTCTCTCTCTCTTCATATTGATGGCAGCGCCGACGGTGATAATTTTCTGAAATTTTTGCTGCGCTGCCTCACGCGCCTCGGTCGCGTAGCTGCCTGCCTGTTCTGAAATATCCCGTCGCGCGTCCTAACGCTCAGAGTGATTCGATCGTCCCGACAGAATGCGCCTCCTGGGGGAATCCATCCTCCATCAGGCTAAACGGCGCGTAACCCGCTTGCTTTCCGAGAGTCATGGCGTCCGCACGGCACACGCGGTAACCGACGCAGATCTGCCACTGTTTAACTCTATGTCGTCGTTTATTTTCTTGAAAGTAGCCCCCGTAGCTGGATTTTCATCCCCCTTTCAGCAAATTTATGTTTGCCTGAATAATGCCGATTTTTGAGACTCAACAGATACTTTTGTGATTACGGATTGTGCATGCTTTGATACGTCGATTACCGTTATCGTTTGTCTCCTTATAATGGCTTGTCTATATACAGTAGTAATAAATTTCCAATTCACTTCTCTCGTCAATTGATTACAATTGCAATAGCATTCTAATTCGATTATTTTATGTTATTTATCATACTATGTAATTAAAAACTGATAAGAAATAATTATTATGATTCACTTTAAATCTGCCAGCAAAACTTAAATTTTTAATGAGGAATTACAAAGAAATCTAGTTAACTTAAAATAATCTGAAAAGATATATCAAACTGAGATGAACAAAAGTCCAGTATTGTTTGTATACAGTAATGTATATAAAAAAAGTCTATAATACTTTTGAAGGTCACTTTTTGGTTTCATAAAAATTGAGTATATATGTAAATAATGAATACATCATAGGTCATCCATTTGTTCCATATAGGAAGTATCAGTTAGTCAAGTCACTCATGAATTGATGCTGTTACCATGTCGAACGTTACAACAATAAAGTTAGAAGGGAACCCTGAGTCTGTAACAGAGATTCAAACATATCTTGAATCTTTCAATAAAGAAATAGAAGGCCAGGTAGATGGGATACAACACACAGTTCAATGTAATTATTAGCATGTGATTTTTTTTCATACTGAACTGATTTTTGATCAATTAATTAAATTATTATGTTATCGTGTATATTCCACAGTGCAACAAGTTGAGGGCCTTACAGGAGAGGATGGTGGAACATACTTTGTTGATCAAACAGGTCAATATTATTATCAGGCCAGTGGAGAGGACACACCAGTTCTCACTCAAGTGCAGATACAAGAGGTGAGCGAAGGAGGAGAAGATGGTTCTCAAGAAGATCAGTACACAGAAATTGAACAGCTGCAAAGTGGGGATACAGATCATGTTGTTGTAAGTTTGATATTTTGAATTTAAATTATAATACACACTCTTGTATTAACTGTGTTTAAATTATTATAAATTTTAGGATCAAAAAACAGATGAACAGATGGTCCTGAACTCGGGTGAAGCATATCAAACAGTGACAATTGTGCCATCAGACTCCAATCCTGGAGAAGTTAGTTATGTATTAATAGTTCAACAACCTGAAGGAGAAGGAAAGACCGATGGTAAAACAGAGAATGAAAATGGTGAGGGAGAAGATGGAGAACAAGATCTCACTGTGTATGATTTCGAAGACAATGAAGATAATGAAGCAGCCGTCGAGTCTGAGAATGAAGATGACAAAAATAAAATCATTAAGTTCATTCCTAAGAAATCACAAACTGTTACTCAAGCTCACATGTGCAACTACTGTAACTACACAAGTCCAAAGCGTTATCTTCTGTCTCGTCACATGAAATCTCATTCAGAAGAAAGACCTCATAAGTGTAGTGTCTGTGAAAGAGGCTTCAAAACTCTGGCTTCCCTTCAAAATCACGTTAATACGCACACTGGGACCAAGCCGCATAATTGTAAATTCTGCGATAGCGCTTTCACTACGTCAGGTAACTTATTTGAAAATAAATCAATGTATGATCCAGAAAAGTAAGATCCAAAATTTATTTTATTTTACTTTATATTCAGGTGAGCTTGTAAGGCATGTTAGGTATAGACACACTCATGAAAAACCACACAAATGTCACGAATGTGATTATGCATCTGTTGAGCTGTCAAAACTTAAACGACACATTCGGTGTCATACTGGAGAACGGCCATATCAAGTAAGTTCGTTGGAAAAAATAATTTCAAATACAACGTAAAAATTTGGTAAGATATAAATTCTATTTGATGATTTGCTCAGTGTCCACATTGTACATATGCAAGTCCTGATACATTTAAGTTGAAACGACATTTGCGTATACATACGGGGGAGAAGCCATACGAATGTGATATTTGTAATGCAAGATTCACTCAATCCAACAGTTTAAAGGCCCACAAACTTGTTCATAATGGTTTGTGCTTCCTGAATAAACAATTTTAAAAAGCAGTCATTTCATAAAATTTAAAAGTATAATTTTTAATTTCTAGTTGGAGATAAACCAGTATTTCAGTGTGAGCTCTGCCCAACAACTTGCGGTAGAAAAACAGATCTTAGGATTCACGTTCAAAAGTTACATACTTCTGACAAACCTTTGAAATGTAAGCGTTGTGGCAAAACATTCCCAGATAGGTATGATAACATAAAGAACAAGAATTGAATACATTCGATCAGAAATTAATCATTTAATAATTTGAATTTTAGGTACAGTTACAAGTTGCACAGCAAAACGCATGAAGGTGAAAAATGCTACAAATGCGATCTTTGCCCTTACGCTTCAATATCTGCACGTCATTTGGAGAGTCATATGCTCATCCATACGGATCAGAAACCTTACCAGTGTGATCATTGCTATCAGTCCTTCAGACAGAAACAACTTTTGAAGAGACATTGCAATCTTTACCACAATCCTACTTATGTCCCACCACCTCCGCAAGAGAAAACTCACCAGTGTCCAGAATGTGAAAAGCCATTCAGGTAAATTCAACGAAATTTTCCGATTTTTAAAAGAAATATCGGCTGTTACTGAAGCTTTATTTTCATTCAATAGGCATAAAGGAAATCTTATTCGCCATATGGCCGTTCATGATCCCGAATCGTCGCTGCAAGAAAAGCAACAAGCGCTAAAAATGGGCAGGCAAAAGAAGATACAAATTATTGATGGCCAAAGAGTTGAAGTTATAGCAGGTATTTACAATAGTTTCAACGTGATAAGTAAAAAAATTATTTATAATATAAATGTATTATTTATAATAATAAAAAGTGTAGATATAACAATTCACTACAGAACGCTTACGATATGGTCCATTGTTATTATAACTTGGTCATTGACTAATGTGTTATGTATCAAATAAACAGGTCCTATAGCTTCTAAACTTAAAGGTTACGACGATGAAGAGGACGAGGAAGAAGAAGAGGAAGAAGAAGACGAGGAGGAAGAGGAAGATGATGTCATGGCAGTTGAAGGAAGTGACGGACAGCAGTATGTTGTACTCGAAGTCATCCAATTACCAGATAATCAATCTTCTGATCAGGTAAGATTTATAATGAAATACTTCTGATGCGAATCCTGAGCAACGTGTTTGTTGAATTTAATTTTTTTTTATATCAAGTCTATCTAGTGCATAACGGTTATGAATCGAACGTATTTAGCTTTTATACATTTCAATTTTTCTATTCAAATAAAATAATTACAAAGGTTTTCGAATTTTATTAGGTGGCTGTTGTGGCAAATGAAGATGGCGAGTTAGTAATGCAAGATCCACTTAGTCAAGAAAGTGGAATTGTCACAGAAGCAGGAGATGATATGATGGAGCACGATTCTGACCAGATTGTGGGAACTTTAAAACTTGAAGATGTTTCTAATTCCAAGACTAGTAATTCAAAATTGCAAAAAGACATGGAAACATGTTTTGGCTTTGATGAAGTGAGTTCTGATAGAAATCTAATGCAATTTTCCATTTTTATTTATTAAAGTCATAAAATAAAAAATTATTATTATTATTATTATTATTATTATTATTATTATTATTATTATTATTATTATTATTATTATTATTATTATTATTATTATTATTATTATTATTATTATTATTATTATTATTATTATTATTATTATTATTATTATTATTATTATAGGATGAAGAAGAGGAGGAAAGTGGAGATATTCCGATACTGCAGGGTATTTCGTAATAACAACAATTTTTCAAAAATGCTGTATGCATTATAGTAAAATTTTGTTCTTTGCACATACATATTCGAGGAGAAATATCCCAAGTTATACAATTTTAAAAAGTTGTAAAATTTTTCTTTTGTCTATATATGTATGTAATTTACATGAATATGTAAACTGCTGTGAGTTTTATTTACGTGTTATTGCTATTATGAAGACAATTATAAATAATTTATGAATCGAAAATTAATTATTACAATTAATTTCTTAATAAAAGTACTACAAATGTAGTTGGAAATGAAAAATTGCATTAACTGTAAATAATTCTCTGCTTTCTAATGACTGGCATTTCTCTTCACTCTAAACTAAGAGCATTGTAAACATTTTATTGTATATTTATTGCTAATACGCAATGAAAAATATTTCTCGATATCTCGAGAGAGAACAACTTTAATTATGTAAAATATAAGTTTTTCAATTTTAAAATAATGCGTCTTCAAATAAAAAATAATGCGTTTGAAAAGTTATAAATAATTAACTGGATAAGTGTGTAACATTAGTTTTGACATTCTAGATAAAAAATATTTACTAACAACACTAGCAAACGTAATATTTGCAGTGAATAATATACAGATTACTGAAATTACTGAAACATTACATCCGAGTGTAAGAAGAGAGTGTTGAATTAAATTTGAAGATAGTTAAATATTTAATAGATCACTAAATGCGAAATCCAGTTAATATCACAGTCTTTGTCATTGTAATATAGTGAAATTTCAAATGCTGAATGTATTCACAATCATGCATAGCAATTATAATGTCCTCTCCATCATTGCATATGCAAATAGCATTGTATATAAGCTTTTTATTATTTACTTGCTTATTATTTTGATTTAAACTATTTAAAAATGTAAAAGTGTCATACAACTGAATGAATGATTTCTAGGCAATGGAGATTTTACGATTGATTTATATATAAATCAATTTTCTGTATTCTCATGAATAAAAAGATTCCCAGAGTATTGAACTGTTTACTATTTGAATTTTGTACACTAATGAAGTTATACTGTAATAAGTAAACAAAAAAGAAATCATGAAGTAAATGTGTGCACATAATAATTTTTTTTTCTTCAAAATAAAAATATTTTATTGAAAATGACATACAACTTTTATTAAGTCGACGCGTGGACTTCTAATATCAATCAATTATATTTTGTAAATTGAAATCAAACTTATCTTATTAATTTAACAAAAAATGATTTATTTTTTATTTTTGAAGTCAGTTTGGAACTATTTGTGTGAATGATACACAAATAAATATTATTTTTTATTTATAGCAAAAATATTTTATATTTATGTTTTTTACATAAATAAATGTGAAATTGATTAAATATTATATACTTATCAAGAACATATAACTACTTAATTATTTAAATGGACATTAGCTGTTTTCTGTTGGTGAATTTTTGCGACAGGAAGCGTTTGCTGTATCTTGTAAAAAGTGTACAAGTGTTTTTACACATAGAATATACTGATTGAAAACGCTGTATAATTGTAATTTAGTCGATAAATTCGCTATCGGATATTATTCTGATGTTGTATACTTTTCGCGCTGTTCCAAAGATAAAAACAGTGTAGCATTTTCTTCATAATAAACGCTAATCAGTGAAACTGTGTTGAATTATTTTTTTGAACGTCAATTTGTTCATTCATTAAAAAAAATTATCTAGAACTATAACAAAAGTCAGTTACTGAAAATGATAATATAGTTTTTTCTAAAGAAATACAAAATATTTGATTAAATGAAATTTAATCATTGTATTTTATTAAATTATTAACATTAAAAACATTAATAGACTTACATATATATATACATTAGTTTGGGTTTCGTAAAATATGTCAAATACCCAGTAGCAGTCTTCGAACATGGATTGTCACAGATCAAGGAAGTTTTGGGGTGAAATGATAAGGAATCGCTCGGGAAATGTTAAAGAAAAACTGCAAGTGATTAACAACGATGGGAAAGTCCATTAACAAATCCACGCAATTAGGTTTTGGTTAAAAAAAACAATTCCTAATGTCAAATACTTCAAATTCGGTACTCTCCAAAAAAAAATTTTTTTGTGCTTTCTTTTTCCATCAGATCCTCCAATCATTATCAAATATCAGTTCTCACTTATCTAATCACTTATTTTCTTTTTACGTTATTTCGACTGGCATAGTTGTGGAGTAGAAGTCTAGTGACACATGCGTGAATTCGCTCGCTTATTTTACTATGCCAGCCAAAAAAATGCAAAAAGAAAATAATTATTTAATAATAATTGGAGGATCTGACCGAAAAACCGAAAGGACAGAAAAATTGCACGGATTATTTGCTAACGAATGGGAAAATTCTTTTTAGCATCCATCTATTACAGTGTTCATATAGCTTGGAGAACACCTAATTTGAAGTATTTCACATTAGGAATTGTTTTTTTAATGAAAACCTAATTGCGTGGATTTATTATATTAATAGATTTTCCTATCGTTGCTAATCACTATTTTTTTATCACAGCAGTTTTTCTATAATATTTCCGAAGCGATTCCTTGCAATTTCTCCCTAACTTTCTTTATCTAATTGTCACGAAAAATTTCTCACAGGGTGCCTATAGACATTATTACATAACTTTTAGTGGAATAATTTCTAGGGATCCTACGAAAAAGTTTTCCAACGGCAATTTAGTTTCAATCACTTCTACCTCCAAGAGTTGGATCTTGCAGTAATCTTTTCGTATATGAGGACACTTCTAGTCCATCAAACGAACGTATATCGTTATTCAAAAAGACATTGATGCTTCTTATTATCACACCATCGAAGATAGTATTTTTCAGCTTCTTTTCTAGTTTAGTGAGACCACAGGGAATGGATGAACGGAGTATGTAGGATTGGTTCAAGCATTGAAACTCGCATTCTTCAGGAGTTTTTAAAAAGTTAATCGTTGAATTATTTCAATTATTACAATTAAAAGAATATTTTTATCGATGTTTGGTTTTCACTCACGACACATCGATTTTCAAATAATACTTTTCTGTTGGTTTGAAATGATTTCCTGTCACGTCTGTACCTTCGAATACATTATTATTATTTTTCTCTTTCAGAAAAGATTCTGTAACGTAAGTGAGACAATCCTCATAGGAATTGATCAATTTCGTTTCAGTCATAACTCTGCAATAAATTTTTCGATTCTTCGAATGAGAACATGTATACCACGCTAACTGCGAAAATTCGTTTGACTAAAAGCACGTAGAGATTATACACTGTTTAATATTTGTTCAATATTTTTTAAAACTTGCGTTTAATAAATTTAGGAATGTTCCACAATTTACCTTAATGTTAGAACAGAAAAGATGAAGTTTGTAACTTGAGAATCTTTCGTTTCCTACTTCATTGAATTGTTGATTAAGTAGAAGTACTAAAATATTAATTTTTATTTAAATGTAGCAATATTCAAAATTTTAATATTTCATAGTCATATGTATGCACAAATGAGTAAGTAGGTAAACCGTATGTGAGAGAATCTCTTTAATAAGCTTCATTAGTTTATGAAAGTGGATGCAAAATATCCATTCTTCTAATTATTTAAAAAATATACTTGGCAAAATTTACGAAATTAAATTATTCAGATTTACGAAGCAAAATATGATTGTACATTCGTTGTAAAAATATAAGATTTGTACAATATTATACAAATGATTTGAAATACACTATAACTATAACCTATACATATATATATATATATATATATATATATATATATATATATATATATATATATATATATATATATATGTATATAGGCTATAGCTTTAGCGACAATACTACAAACTTAATTACGAATATATGTATGTTGAATGTTCGCTGGTTTTCGAATATTCACGTAATAAATATTTATCACATTGTTATTAATTATTATCAAAGTTGTTATCATATGAATAATATTCGCGATGTTAAATTGAAACGAAAATTTGGTTTTATCAAATTATCGAAAATGTTCTCATGAAGACAATATTCTCAAAATTCTTATTTTCACGTAATCGGTATTAGTTTTAGTTTAGAGCATTGTTATTGTCATAATTTTTGAAATAAAACTTTCAGTATACGCTTGGTTATATAAGGATGGGCTAAACATTTTTTTAATTTATATACTACTTTTATTTTGAAATAATTACAAAATAATAAACATAATATTAACTACTATTCAGTTTAGGAATCGTACCATAGAAAATAGGATTTAGCAGACGTTTATAACCTAATGATTCAAAAAGTTTCTCAGAGGGGACGTTTTTATTTACTACAAATGCGAAGGAATCTAAATTTTCTTCTTCGGCTAATTCCTTGATCATAGCCTTCACCACAAGCTTACCGTAACCCTTACGTTTATGTTCTTCGATGGTTTCGAGCATTCCCAAGCCACCCCAATCAAAATGTATGATCCAAGACACTAAAACACCGCCTTTTTTCAAAAACAGTCCAATACCTCTGTTCAGTCTTACCATCGATGCCAAGAATTCGGTCGATTTTTCAGGCTCGTCTTCGCTTCGATGAGGCCACAGCGAATGAATCAATGGGATATGCGATTCGTTCAGGTGTCGAAGCTCGCATTCTTCAGGAACCCTTTGAATATCAGTAAGTTAAGTTTGTAATTAAATTGCTGTAGACCAGATTGTTATTCTTGTACTTGTGCTTACGATACTTCAATTTTTAAACACTCTTCTTTCGACTTAAAATAGTATCCCGTTGGACTTTTAAATTGCAGTGCAATATTTCTATTTTCCGCCTCTTCGCTTAAAAACTTTTCGAAAACATCGCTAAAATGTGGGTGCACGGCGGAAAATAAGGTAAATTCATTCCAACCAATCACTTTTGTTTCGTTTAGAGCTCGGCGCAGTAAATCTTTCGACTCTTTGAACGTGAATAAGTAGACAACACACCATGCTTGCTGGAAAATTTTTTTTACACAAAAGTACGTCAAGACCGAATAAGATTAAAATATTTTAATAACTTACGGTCGATATACCAATGAAGGTTCCTGCATTGACATCACTGTTTGGGCAATAGATTTGTAGTTTAAATTGAGGATCTTTCGTTTTCCACTTAATTGAATTGTTGATTAAATAGTAATACTAAAATAATGCAAACAGCACTCGTATAAGGTATGAACATTCAATATCATTCAAAACGTACGTATGAATAAGTAGGCCAATCACGCTTGAGTGAATCTCGTAAGATTTTCCACTCGTTCAATGGCAGTGGTTGTAAGATATCCATTCGTCTAATAAATAAAATATAAACCAAACGATACTGCAGTAATAATCTCGACTATTATATGGCAAGTATTTAATGTAGTTAACTCGATCAACCGTTAAACAAAATTTAATGTCATTTACTCAAAAACGAAAGCGCGCCTGCAAAGACATTTATTAAGCCTCTGCCGGGAATCGAACCTCAGGCTCTTGCATCGGAGACCGATGTTCTATCTATATACGTACTGAGCCATCGTAGATCTTAAATCAACCGATATAGCCATATGATTATGATTATTAAAATGGCTGTGGGTCCTATCCTGAGACACTGCTTTGCCAATCAAATGATACTTTTCGCGTCTGCGCTCTCAAAGAACAAATTGGCGGAAATTTTGAATAGCGAAAGTGAAGAAAAGCTAGAATCTGAAGAGCGATATTGAAAGATCCAAAAGAGCAATTAAAGTTTGATAGAGTTTAAAGTAAAACGAAATGATAGGTTAATTATACATTTTGTGCATTTTTAAGAAATTCTATATAAATTTATTTCTGTATAAAATTTCTATATAAATATATTACTATATCAAATCGGCCTTGGCCGATACAGAAAGGAATCACGAAATTGCGTAGGGAATTAGAAGAATGGGATTTAATCTTATTATGTCTGAATAATAATGATTTACACATTAAATTGCTCGCAGAACCAAAGTATACATGATTGATATCTTCAAAATCGATGCTGCATGTGGACATAGCGGTGACCGGTGTGAGATTGTAATAAACTGTAAGCTGTATTGATGGCTTCTCATACGCATCACGGTCACAACTTGAGGTGTACGGAAATGCTCTGGATCGCTTGACTGAATATAAATACCGAGGACTACTTTGAACGGTAAGATATGCGGTATAAAAATTAGCTTATACGAAAATGATCAATTACGAGCGTATACATGTGAGGATTTGTGCTAAATAGAAACATGTAAGATATACAAAATATTATGTCGTCAAGTGAAAACTATACGAAATAGCATAACATTAAATAAAGTAGATCAACCGTTACATAATGAAAAAAATAAAATATACGTAGTATTTACTTATTTGTATATTTATTCGTTGACCAACAATTTCCATTCGTTAATGTAAAGTGTTACATAAATGTTAAACAAATTTATGTAGGAAAAATTTGTTTGAGCAATCTCATCTTTCATTTCGAGAACATTTTTAATGTTCACAGTTTTGAAATAAATATTTGATATTAACCACTATTATTTTTAGGAGCTATAGTGTAGAAAGTAACATTCTGCAAGCGTTTGTATCCTAATGATTCAAAAAGTCTCTCAGAGGGTACGTTTTCATTTACCACGAACGCGAAAGAATCTAGGTTTTCTTCTTCGGCGATTTCTTTCGTGATAGCTTTTACTGCAATCTTGCCGTAACCCCTTCGCTTGTATTCTTCTATCGTTTGGAGTGCTCCCAAACCACCCCAGGCAAAATGCAGAATCCATGACACTAAATTACCGTCTTCTTTCAAAAATAGACCAATGCCTCTGTTCAATTTAACTATTGATGCTATAAACTCGCACGATTTTTCAGGCTCATTTTCACTTCGATGAGGCCATACCGAGTGAATGAATGGGATATGAGATTCGTCCAGGTGTCCAAGTTCGCATTCTTCGGGAACCCTTTTGCATGACAGTAACCGAGTGTTTCATTTTTTTCAAATGAATTATAATGTTTCGTATGAAGATTTCACTTACGACACTTCGATTTTCAAACACTCTTTTTTCGGTTTAAAATAGTTTCCGGACATGTGTTTATCCTTCACGGTAATATTTTTATTGTTTGCCTCTGTGTTAATAAAATTTTCGAGAACGTCGCTGAAATGCGGATGAACAGCGGGAAATAAAATAAGCTCATTCCAATTCACCAGCTTCGTTTCCTTCAGGACCTTTAGCAACATATCCTTCGATTCTTTAAACGTGAATACAGATACAATATAGCACGTTTGCTGCAAAATTAATTCGCCTGGAAATTTAATTTAACTATAACATCCGTATTATAACTTACAGCTGATATGCAAAGAAAGGTGCCAGCATTCACATCACCATTTGGACAGAAAATTTGTAATTTAAATTCAGCATCTTTCTTTTTCCATTCGATTGCATTGTGAATCAAGTAGTAATACTGAAATCATAAATATCACTCAAATATTATAAGGTAAGCAAATTCAATATATGCCATATTAACAGTTTTCGAAATAAAATCATATTTAAAATATTTAGTAAGCTATGTACATGTACATACGTAAGAATAAGTAGGCCAATCGCGCGTAAGAGAATCTCGCAATAAATTCCATTCGTTCAATGGCACTGGCTGCAAAATATCCATCCGTTCAATGATTTACACAATATCTCAAAAAATCACACCAAACTATATAATTTCACAAATGAATTTGTTGAGATATAGTGTCAGCATAGAATATACGACAAATGCATTCTGACTACGTTGACAATGACGTATACATTCGCTATATTTAAACCGAGAACTACTTACTACCGAGATTGTCAGTATCGACAGTAGTACCAACTTGCATGTTATTAGTCGTAGTCATCGGAGATAAATATTTTTAAGCTTTTGAATACATATGTAAGAAATACATATTACGTCATTATCTATATTAATGGTAAGCATTATACTGTTGGTATTATAGCTATTAGCGAGTGTTTGAATTATATCGAGTAATTCATTATTCTAAGAGATATTATAGGAATTATAAGATTAAAAATATAAAAGATATAAGTTATAATCGCAATTTTTGCATGCGAAAAATTGACAATAAATAGGAATATTATTATAGATTTTCGTTCTTGATTTTTAGAAATAGTAATGAAGTACACTTAATCGATTTTAAATTGTCAAGAGAAACATAATTTTATATGAAATCACAACTATTGAATTTCAACATTTAGGAAAATGTAAAGAAAAAATATACTGCTTAATTGTCCGAGGTGACATATATTTTGCATGGTCTTTTCATATTCTTTTGACTAATAGTTTTTTTTCAACATTTATAGGATCCATAAACCTGCCCATTGATTTCGTAATAGACATGCACAGTTTATTAAAAATGAGGATAGTTAATGCAGCAATAAATTGATTACGCTACTCATCGTCAGTTTCTTATTTGAAATAATCTCCGAAACGCTTGAAGTACTGCATATTTAATAAAATCATCATTTGAATTACAAATTTTAATCAGCTGAAATATATTCGCTTCCAACAGACAAAAAAGAGTTTCTAATCATAACCGCGTAAGCTAGATGCATTGCAAAAGGGGTTAACGACCACTAGCAACCTCACGCCCGCAGGGATGAGCGTTGCACCTGCGTCATGTTGGTCGGGAACATGGGTGCGCCCGCCGCCGCCACCGCCGCCGCCGCCATCGCCGCGCGATATCTGCTAGTTTGTTATATATGCTTGCCGGGCGGCGTGGCACGGCGCACGCATATAAGTTACACATCACGCACCGCTAGACCAATCCATTAATGATCCTCCGAGCGGCGTGATACAGTCTATAAAACACACTGGCGCCGCGAGGAAACGCGCTTGGCTTATTAATTAATTGTTCCCGAGGTGCGCTCTAAGATTATTTTTCTGTTAGGCGGGACATTCCTCGAGCAATGTTTGCCTGCTGTTCCGCCTTTTTGGTCGTTCGCAAATAATACACGCCGCCTCGCTCCGCGACATCAAAACTCACTTTAAACCGAGCATCTACAATGAAACATCATCTCGCTGAATGCCAAGCCTCCGACGTCTCACTCGCAGAAGAAGAAGGTTGAAAAATACAGACGCGTACGCACACGAACGCCCACGCTGCTGCGTGGCGAGCAACGAACTTTGCAAACGTAACGCGTTACGACCTCGTCAACCGCAAACCAAAGTGACAATGAGTCTCCGCGTGGGATGCTTAATAATAAATTCGCGGCTCATCTTTTTTTCTTAACAATTGCCATGGCGAATATTGTGCGTACACACGGCCTTTAGTTAACTCTATAGATACGTGAAATCTAGCGGTACGCTCGTAACATCACTTTTTTCACCCTACCGATTTAATAACGTCATAATAATATAACGGGCTCTGCTTCGATTTTCTTTTCTATTACCTCGTACATGTAATCGACGAGAACAATGAGATTGCGATTACGTTAAGCAGCCGTATTCCTCTTCTTTTCTAGCTGGCTGTGTCGCGGATAATTGGTATCGACGTCAAATTGCTAAAAAATAAGCACAACTGACGCTGAACTCGGAAAGAATACAAATACAATGAGAATTTAAACTACAATTGATGTAAGAAAAGAAAGTTAAGGCCGCAAGTTCGAAGCGGAAGCATCGTTTTTCCTAACGAACACTATTAAATAATTGAACAATCAATCAGCGAAACGGGCAAGAAGAATACACGTTCGCGTTCGCCCGTGACACTGAAATGCAAAGTGTTGAGAAGAAATTGCCTGCGAGAGAAATGGGACAAGCGATGATTCACACGTGCACCGCAACGAAAACGACTTGACTTTTCTTCTGCTTTTTTTGCCTCCCCTGCACACATACACGCCCCCCTTTCATCGGTTCGTAATGACAAAGTTGCCTAATTACGCCTGCTTTGTAAGCCAGATCTAACAGTTTGACTGACAGATGGGCGAAAAAATGTTTTTTTTTTCCTTTCCATTTGTCGTCTTTCACATGCGCGTTGGATGCCTATTTTTCCGTTTGACGGCTTCCCACCCAATTAAAAGCGCGCAAAGCGTGCGCGCAGATTATTTGTGGGAGAAGTATAATTGTGACGATTTTCCAAGACGATGAGAGTTCGTGTTGTGTTGTGTACATGACAGACCATGAGCGTTGAGCAATGGAAAACCACAGTTAATTATACCGGTTGCATTTATTTGGATTCCTTTTGAAATTAAATTGTTTTGCGTTGATAGAAATTTCGCGAGTGTGAAATTGAAGGTTTATATATATATATATATATATATATATATCGATTTCGGTAACTTTTTAGAAAGTGATCCTTTTCTGTCGGAACATATTAACTGCAAAAACGTTTAAACGTGTTAACCGTTGCGTTAAAAATACACACGGGTCTCAGATTTCTTCAGAATTGTACGTACAAGACTTCCTTTCGAAACAAAACTAGATGAAAATAGCAAAGATTATTAGCAGTTTTTGAAAAATCACTAAGTGCCTAATCATCATTGAATATTGCTTCGAGAAAATTAGAAAGTGGCAAAGTACCAAAAGGTCCGCACGCGAACGGACATCTGCTACATATATACGCGGTGCAATAATAAAATGAAAGCAAAAACGCTTTAAAGCTACGCAGGTTTTGCCTCGCTGAACGCAGTACGGGATTAGAAGAGGATCTGATTTCGCGATCAACAATCCGATCCGATCACTCGAAATCCCGTGAATTATCCACATTTTTAATAAACCCATTTGACATGACGGCGTTGCGTAAAATACTTTCGTTATTGAAAAAAAATATGGCGTCTATGCAAAACAAGTGTTAGAATTGATTATCGCTGTAACAAACTGCAATTCGAGAATGAGATAATAGTTTTCGCTTGAAAAATCATGATCGCACGTATACTCGTACGACGAAAGTCATTAGGTATTTTGCTTAAACTTGCAAATAACCGATAATTTCGTGTAAATGGAAGCGAATTTTTTATGACGTTATAGGCTTTCCTTTGTCTGGTGCTTATAGTTCGTAGGTGGATTTATGCATTATACAAGTGCATCCCACGTCAACGCCAAAGTGTTAGTAATTAAGCCATTTCATTACTTCTGCACGTCGCGTGATTTCCGTCCACTGAAAATGAACTCTTTTTTAGAGTGCAAAACAGAAAGAGGGAGAGAGAGAGAGAGAGAGAGAGGGAGCAGACAGAGAACATTTGAACACGTATGGATTTGTTTGCAAGTGATTATTGGAAATTAACGGTATTCCTGCAAAAATCAATAGGCTTTTGGGTATTTCGCAAGGAACAATGGAAAAATTATATCGCTTGGATTTACGTTTACGGGTTCACGATGTCATTTTCCATATCGATGGTACGTTTTTTATTATTACCCAAGATGTTTGAAAAAAGGGGAAAATATAAATAATCGTAAGTCGACATTTTTAAGGGAATAAGATGGGTGAACGAACTTGGAGTTAATTTAGATATCGTAGTTGAAAATGCAGTCGGGGAAATGTATCTGTTGTTAATTTTTACTAAATTAACTGCCAGCATTTTATATAGGAGTAAGGTGAATAAATAAAAGTGCACTGAGTGAGCGATCGTGTAAAGAAACCTAATTTTTTCTTTTAATTTCTTTTTGCACAGTTAAAAAGTCTATATATTCAAATAGCAAACGATTGGAAAATTTTGATAGACACAGAAGAGTTGAAAATAATGCACAAGTACACTGCGGTAGGCAGTAAAATGGTCAAGCTATACTCAAGTACATTGAACAAATGCATATCTTATAATCCATTGCGAATTCGTGGCATCCCAAAAGCTCTACAAATCTTTACAGGTTACATGCTAACAGGAGTAACATTATTTTTGTCAATACCAGTTTTTTCTCCGCTTCTTGATTACGTTTTTCCTCTGCCAAATGCTACTCGTCCAAAGTCGCTCCCCTATTACGCTGAATATGGCATCGATATCGAAAAATATTACTATCCGATGATTACTCAAGCTATATTTGGTGGAGTCGGAACTATTACAGTATTTGTGACCTTCGATCTTGGATTTATAATGATTGTTCAGCACGTCGTAGCTCTCTTCAATCTTGTCAAGTAAGTTCTACATTTCTCTAATGTACGCTGTTCTTTTGATCAGTTCATTGTTATGATTTATTGCTTTTAATCTCGTCAGTTTTCGTTTATCTAAAGCTGCTAAAATAGCTATTACTATGGAAGTTGACAATCAAAATAATACAGCAAAAGATTATGCTGCTCGTCGTCATATTGTTAATGCTATTGAGTTACATCAAACAGCAATTGAGTAAGTGCAGCCGATCATTAAGTGTTTTGGATATCTTAAAAATGCAAGTAATTTTTGTAATTGTCAAAGGTACGTTCAAATAGTGGAAGATTGTTTCAATGTAAATTGGCTTATTATACTTTTCTTGAACATGGTAATGGTTGGAGGTGGAATGTTTGTAGTGAGTACGACAAACATTTTTTAAAATTAATTTTATCAACTGTCTTACTTTTTGTAAAGGATAAAAGTCATGACAGTGATGTTGTTGATATTATTTTTCGACTCCTAATTATGACAAAATATTATATAATTGTAATGAAGTACAAAGTAAATAATCTGTATTTTTTAATGGTTTATTCATTTTTTGTAGCAAATATTTTCAAAAATAGCTAATATGATATGTTCAATTAGGAATTAGATAAATATTTACACTTTGTCACAGTTACTTTTTAAGTTCAATCGACCAGAAGAATCAGTCCGATATGCTGTAGTAGTTGGTGCAACATTCATACATTTTTATTACATTTTTCTACCAGGGCAAAAGATTATCAGTTCCAGTGAGAGTGTGCTTGATTATTGGTAAGAGTTTCGTCAGAATCTATGAAATTTAAATACTGTTGACGTCAAAATGAACGATAGATTTTTCAGTTACGCATGTAATTGGCACAACTTGTCGGAAAGGACGAAAATTTTGATACAAATAATGATGATGAGAAGCTTAAGACGTTGCGAATTGACTGGTGGTAAAATGTTTGTATTGTGCATGGACACTTATTGCAATGTAATTACTGAAAAAATCCTATAACGTTTAACTATGTCAACAAGCGACGATTTAGATAATGACACCCGTTTTTTCCGTAGATGATGAAAACAGGATTTTCCGTATTTACAGTTCTTCAATCGTAAATAGAAGCATATTAAAATAGTTATCGTCAAATAAAATGCCAATGTACAACACAAATAAAAGAAAGATTAATAGCTACGTAGCTGCAGATGTTGGAATTTCAAAGAGTGTCTCCATGCCATTAACCGCCACACCCGCGCTTGAACGCTTGCATTTTATAATAATTGTCGCGCGAAGAGCGTGAAGATAGAAGGCAACGATTAACCTAGATAAAGAGAGGAGATGGCGGGTGCGAGATCGCCAAGAGAAGGCGAGGATCGCGATAACGTCTATTGTCATTGTTCGATTTTTACATCTGGCTACGTCTTCAATGCCCCGTAGAATCCTCATTGTTGCGTTCCACGGCAATGAGTTTTCGTGTTTTTGACCGAGCACACATTTGCTTCGGATGATATATATTTTCCTCTGTGACGCGATTGAATTTTGAGCTTATCGATTGGAATGCGACGATATGCGCACAGTGTCTATTTTTCTTTCGTTTGCTTTTTCTTGCAACGAGGTTGTCTTTTGATTGTTTCTTGGTGTATGCGTGTTGATGTGTTTGGAAACTTAGAAGCTCGTGGTAAGTCAACTAATTTTTCTAATTCGAAAAATAATGATTCGGGACTGATTAGTCGATTCTTTATAGCAATGCGATTGCTATTCTGATATTTGGTTGAAATGACATTGTTTATTGCGTATAAATATAAAAATAACGGACTCCACTTCCTATTTACAAACTTGGCATTCTAAGCTACTTAGCGATACAATTGACTATGAAGTTTTACTGTAAAGTTTCAATTCCGGAGTTTCTTGAAGTCTTTTAATATCTTCAATCGTCATGACACCTTGTTCCTGAGGATTGAAAAATAAATCACTATCACTTACGCAAGTTTAAATGACAGTGTGCTTGCTATACTCACGTTGAATTCTTTCCATCTGTCATAGTTTTCTCTCATGTTCCCAATCATTTCCGGTAAATCAATAAAGGCTGAAAAGTATTATTTTAAAAAAAATCAAGAAAATTTCTATTAAAATCAATCTAAATTGAATCAGCAGCTATATTATATATGCATTCGGAAAAGTTCGCTCGACAATAGGCTTTTCTTCGCGCGGTCAGGTTTCGCTTTCGTTGAAAATAAAAGAATAGTTTGCTCACCGTCCCACGCCTCCATCATGTCGTTGATGATAAAATCAACGAATCCAATTTGCGATTTCGGTATCGAGCAGCTGCTTCTATCGAACATCGGCATTACGACTGGCATATTTTTTCGCTTTTCCTCGTCGGTCTATAAATAGGCAAATAAAATTTAACTGAGAATTGTATCCATGGTTTTTTTAGGCGCGCGTGATTCGTCGCATAGGTAGCGTTCAAAATTTATCTGGCAACCTCTTTAACGAAACAATGTACTGGACCATGAACGTTATACATCACTTACGAAGAATGAAACATTGACTTAACGTGATCTCTATAGTGCTGTAGACAGACTGACTCACTCAGAAAAGACAACATTGAAAAGTAAAAGTACAAGCGTGCATAAGCGATGGAACGAAGAGAGAAGAAAATGAAGAATTGGATTTTACCTGATGGAAGTATTCCTCGGCGATGCGTTTCGTCCACTCTAGATACAGTCTGAACGGCCGCGTAGGATTGGATACATCGGCACACTTGATCATCATTCTCTTGGTCATTGTTACGTTCTCAGGCAGTAAGAACACCGAGGTATCCGCTACGTCCATGTCGAATACCTAGAACATTGAAAGATCGTCGTGTGCATATTTCTAGTACAAAACACCAATATACCGTTGTATACTCTGAAAAATACTGCAATATTATAAAGATTGTCTCTTTTTCGAATTTGTTTAAACTGTGTCGAAGCATCTATCGACATTTTTATACGTACATTAACTTTCTTAACGGAGTGTTTCGTCAAACGGAAAAAAACACGGCGATTGCAAAACGCCATTTAAATATAAATTATAATCCATATAGATAGAGACGTCCTAAATGTAGGTCGGCGGCGAACTCGTCACGTTAATGTCACGGCCTTGCGCCACGTTACAAGAAGCCCTTTACTTTATATACATATTGTAATTGCCGCGCAGCGCTGCGATCGATATATTTGCGCAACGCGCGAAGATTATCCTGCGGTGCATGGGAGCTTGCGACACAATGAAAGCGAATAGGTGTGTAAAAGAGAGGAAGCAGGCGTATAGTCAGGTGGGGCCTCCTTCTTTTTTCAACGGCTTATGTTGTGTGTGCGATTTATTGGACTATGACTGATTGTAGCGTGTACATACGTCGGAATCGGTGTCGCTCATCCTCTTACTGCACACGTTCACGAACTTGGTGAGGTGCTCGAAATGCTTTGTCATCTCTGTCGCTAGGATCATGTCTATTATGTTTTGCCTCATTAAGCGGTACAATTCTCGATCTAGATTCTGTTGGACAAAAATATCGCTTTGCTCAGAGTATATACGTTGTTATTAAGATAGAGCAATTAACGCTGTCACGGTCAATTATGTAATGGCGAGTTTCACAAGTTTACGATTGGATTTTCTTTTTAAATGACGTACTAAAAGTCTCAGCTGTATATTTCTCTGGTTGGATTTTCATTTATATAATATATAAATACCGTGTAGTTTTTTTCAAAGAAATGCTATTGTAGATTATATAGAGTGAAAAACTTACCTTAAAAATGTTAACATTGTCATCGGAAAGTGTTAGTTTAAAAGTAAGCGCTGCGTGATGTGACTCGAGAACTGTTAAGTCATTGTAAAGAATGGCTAATTTATTGCTTGAGTTGCATAGAAATTGACTGTAATATTAAAAGAAAGTATAAGAATTTTGTATCACTATATTTGAAAAGAATAAAAGCAAAAAAAACTGCTTCATCCTATAGCATTTTGGGGAATTCCATTTAAAAAGAATATTTTTTGTCTAAAGTAATTCGCTTAAAATAAATTATTCCAATTGTGATTTACAAGAACGACAATTATAAAGATAAGCTGAATGTAAATAAAAGTACGTGTTAACCTGGATTTTCCGGGATGTCCGATGTCATGAGCAGCAGCAGCTATAAGCGCTGCGACTTCGTCAAGAGGATCGAGAATACCTTGAAGCCTCTGCGAGCGTAAAAATCTTGCTACCCCCTGGAGAACATCAGTCGCGTGGGTGGAGTTGTGATAACTCACATGAACGTTGTAATTCGCTTCGATGATGGTCAACCAGTTTTGTAACGTTCGTTCATCACAGTCGAGTCGCTCGGCTACATGATAGTGACTCATAAGTGTCATGCCGAGAAAGTAAAGTGGCCTAATTAATATTAAATAGCTCTTTTATTACGTAGAATTTTCAATATTTTTTGTTATATATTTTTTATATTTTTGTGCAAGTGACCTTCGATTGGTAAGAGTTTCTAGTTTGAAAATATCGAAATTCCAGTCGAAACAAGTCTCGAGAAGCTCGTCAAGTTCTGGTATACCCTCGACAACTTTCGTTATTTTCGCGTCGATTCGATTCTGGTCAAGACTGAGCATTTTTAAAATTGCAGACGATCTCTCCAAAGATATACTCGAGGATTTACGTGGATCCGTGGATGGAATCTAAAATTACATACGGGAATGAAGTTATTCGAATATTTGCATTAACAATGATGCATTTACGTTTATTAATGCTTCCAACAAGTCCGCAGCAATTGGATTTGACACGCTCAGCAGGTTGTCTTTGAGTTGCGGCGAATACAGTTTGGTGGATTTCAATAAGTCGATCGCCTAAAAAAATACGGTTACCATTAGGGGCATTTATTATCACCGTACGCTCCATTTCATCAATATCTTTACCTGACCTATCTGCGCTCCAACTTCTGTAGAATCAGAGTCATGAACTGCACTCGCTAATAGCGTAATGATTCTCGTTATCGGCGCTTCCAATGGTAAATTGTGTAGCTTGGCAATTGTCGATCGTCGTGGTTCTAGAAATAAGGTTTGATCAGTCATTTCGAGGCTCTTCAGAATTTTCTGCAGTTAGAAATCTAATGATTTACTGCTCGACGATTGCCTATCCGGAGAGTGTAGTCGACTGAGCGAGCTGACGCTTTCACGTGCAGAGTAGTAGTGAGTACTTGAATTCAACGAGGCTGATTCATCGATAGACGAGCTGTCGTACAAGTACAAGTAATACGGTTCCTTGCTTCAAGCAGAACGAAATTACTTGATGTGGTTGTTGCTATCGATTGGCCAAAAGAAAAGATGGATAAAAGATACGCTTACCTTGTTGGCAAACTGATGGGTACGATCCTACAACTAATGCTCAGCAATCCTTTCTTTTTCCTTCTCCAGCTGAGATTACCCTCAAACTCTCGACCTTTCTGTAACTGCTGATCCATCAGGGCGAATATTCCGTTCGTCGTGAAATCGTTGATCCTCCGACCGACCAACTCCTCGAGCTTGTAACCTAGCAATCTTTCGCTGGCTTTGTTGGCGAACTGTGGACACATAAAAAAAAAATTGGCTTTATTATTTATGACCTGTCACGAGTGCAATTTCGAAGGCGTATGTTGGTTGCACGACATGTAACCTGCACGATGTGCTGATCGTTAGTCACGTGGATAATATCTCGGCACCTATCGACGGCCAAGTACAAAAGCTGAGCGGCAGCCAGTTGACTTTTCGGTTGAGACTCGCTGGCGTGGATGCCGATCAGCTCGTTCATCAAAATCTGCTCGTGCGAGCACTCCATTAAAGCCTTTAATCAGCAATTTTTGCATTAGTTTAACGAGGAACGTTTTTCAATAATTAACAATTAAGAGTAATTTTTTTCATTCCTACTCGACTGTAGCCGACGTTGAGCAAATCGAGAATGACTGTTTCTTCGTTGTGTGGTGCTGTGAAAAATCTGTGGAAAATTCGAATGACTTTTGATTGGCCGTCGAAACCTTTCTAACCACGGCCTCGGAGTTCTCGAAACTTACGATCTTTTGACTAGAGCAATAATACTGCAAGATTTTTTACTAGTCGTGCTGTTTAGAGTCCTAGAAAGGTATTTTATAAATTATTTTCATATCTTATTGCATAGGCAGATAATTCCTATTTAATTAATGTCTGAAAAACAAAAATGTGAAAACGACCGTAAAACTACAGAAATTGTGTTCGCCACCGCAATTATTTGACAACTTCAAAATAATTTTCCGCGAGCGACTACTTTTACTAATCACTCATTGGAACAGACAAATTAATCTTAAATTTATGATCTTTTTATTGCTATATATTCTTTTTGATTTAAGTAAAGAATTTTAAAAAAATGCAATAAGACTTGAACACCCAATGAATAAAATCCGATAAGATTAGGGGTAAAGTCATTAAAAAAATAATCAAGGGAGTCACGCTTGACGACCTGCAAATTTCGTCGGCATCTTGGCTCCGAAGTGAACCTCTGCGGTCGACGATCGCCAGATCTGGACACTGCGAGCGAACCATCTCTGCGGCTTCTTCCGCATTCCTCGCCTCGGTCACTCGCCAGCCCAATTTGCGCGCGACACCCGCGATTATTTCCGACTGCTGGTCGCCATCCCGCGGGAACACCAGTAAAACCTGCGTAAAGCATAAAACAGCCGTGATATGATGGTTGTTGTCGACATAGCAGGTCCATCTTTTTTATTGTAGGCCTGTAATGCCCATTCATTTTTTCTTATTGAGTATGCTAATCGATTATTATTTTTCGTCTCAGATATTTATCATCTTGAGAAATTATTGAAATGAATAATAATGAGACTTATTGATGACGTTATGTAATGTAGGCATTCGAAAAGCAAATCAAAATTAAAGATAAAATTATAACAAAGGTAGTTTTTTTAGAGATCCAAAAGTTGTCTTATATTACACAAAAAATTGAATAGTGTCGTAAATATTATTGAAGGATTACCTTGAATATGTCCGATAACGTATTGGAAGCTAGCCAATGAAAATTGAGATCAGATAATGAATGCTTCTGAAATGAACAAAAAGAAAATTAACGTAAATAATCTTCTACAGAAGAAGTTTCGGTGTTTTTATAACCTAACTCACTAATTTTGACAAGTGTAAATCTTCGAAAACTACATGTTTATACTTTTCTTTTTTCGGACTTTTAACATTCGACTTGATATCATCATTCTCAACCTCATCCTCCATCTGGATAGAAATAGATGGAGAGAAAAAATGAACTATTTCTTTGCGAGTACAAAAATGCACTTGTCAGCAGTGTTTTGTAGCAGGAAAGATTATTTTTGCCGAGAACAGCTGAAGTTCGTTATCTTTGTGCGTGTTTCGAGTCTCTCGCGTTTAACGCCTCCTGCCGATTTTTTTCAATGCCGCTCAAAGTTATAAATCCTCATTAATTTCATATCAAAAAAGAAGAGCAATATCTTTCCGAGGATGACAGTGTCTAGAATTATAAATTAATGTTAATTAATTTTTTCAAAAAGTAAAAGTTAATGCTATAATAACTATTGAATTTGACAATACTATACAATGAAAACGCGCACGTCGTTAAGCTTATCATTTGACTTCGTTGATTAGATAATTATTTATATTAGACTATACTAGTGCTCTTAGATTAGTGTAATCTGACAGTAATAATTAAAAATTGTATTCTTTAAAAATTATAATAATTTCAAATGTTCGAAAAATAATTTATTTCTTACATTAAACCAAAATAAACATTCGTTTATCACGTTTATTGTGTTGGTTCACTTTCTATTTCAAACTCATCACTTTAACTTTTGAAAGTACCAGCCTTGAAAATTAAAAATTGTTTTGTGATTGATACTAGAAAATAAAAAAGATTTTATCTCAACAAGGGAAGGGATGTATTGAAACGAAATAAACGCTTGAACCGTGGGAATCGTTGTGAAATCTAATATTCATCATTTAATTTCTCCTTGCATTTGGAATTTGGATATGGTAAATCAAAAATTATATATCTATTACTTGATAAATAAATTGCACGCAAAGTAATTAATTTTAAGTAAGCTCATAAGTGAGTTAAATTAGCCGCATGCATTTGCCGTGATAATGGTAAAAGAAGAAGAGAAAAAAGAAAACGAAACTGTCAATTACCTTAACGATCATCGTCTCGCTGACAGGGGTAGTAGAGCCGTCGTTAGTCCGCCACTCCTTGCGTCGTCGGCGGCATCGAAGTCGACTAAGGATCTGGCATAACCAGCCGCACAAAGACGACGACGACGAAGACGCGTTAGAGCTGTCCTCGATGCGACCGCAGATGTGTAGTCTCGGGTTCGTCAGATGCCTCGTGTCGCTCATGTCGTCTATTCTTTCTTTTTTTTCGCTTTTTCTTCGTTGAGGGGCTGACTTCTTTTTTGCTTTTCTTCTGTTTCTCTCTTTCTCTCACATGATACTAGGTGGAGGATCGGTTTACTGTGAGAAAGGGCGAAACCGGCTAATTTTAATATTTTTTTCTTCCGAAAAATGAGATCGTTGAAATGATTTGAACATAACCGAGGTTGGTTTTTCAAATCTCGCGAAAGAGTATTGTCACTTTTTAATCGCGAATAGTCATCAAAGTGTTATCAAACACAGTACTCGTTATATCCGATTTCCAACCAAAATTATCAACTCATTGAAGGACCAAGAAACCCCGTAAATAAAACAGAAACTAAATTTGAAAGGAACAAACAATCACACACTACCGTACGATCAAACAAGGCAGGCAGCTGCAGCAGAAAAGTTCGCCGACAAACAGAGCTCCAATCTTACGCAATAAGCAATTGAGAGCACGCATACAAGATAAAACACATACACACAAACTACGATGTGATATTATATTCCGAAAATAAAAATTTCGCCCACGCGCGTGTATCGCATTCACCTCACCTTCTTTATTCGAGAAACGCACGGAAGGTAGAAAAACAGCGAGGGAATGGTCGGAGAATTTGAACTCCGACGTCCGAATTATTAACACATGCGTCGATGCCAGCCACTGAGATACTGATCGTCGGCACTGTATGTATCCCTGATCATACCGACTGATAAGCAAAAGTAAAAAAATCTCGCAATCTCGCAATCTCGCTCTGATAAGCTTTTACTCGCTTAGGTATGCTTTGTGACGTATAGTAGCGTAGGAAGCACTCGTCCGTTTGTCGGTGCAAGTATAAAACTTTTTTTGTCCTTTTTCTTACTTGACTGTGATATGATTGGAAATTGATACGGCAATCGTTGCTTCTTGTGCCGTTGAACATTTTTTGTGCGTCCTGTAATCCGATTGTACGGCTTGTAGAAGAACTCACGTGGCCGAGTACGCAGCCCTGTTATCATTTTGTTTTCTTCTAATTTCACGCGATAAATGACCGATATTTTTTCAGATCAATCAATCCCCTGTGGTTTGGACTTCTGATAACTTTGGTGACTACCGTTGTGACGTACCACATTATTGCGCCTTTATCGATAACATAGATAACGACTTTTTTAAATAACAGTTTAATTAAATGCGGGCGGCATATTTGGATACAGAAAACAAATCCGATTTCAGATATTTTCAACGATTGTTCGTAGGTATGTCTCTGCAGCGATAAAGTATGCATTAAAAAAAAGAGGAATTATTCAAAGCCAATTGATATACGTGAGAAAACGAAATCAGCGCGCATTCAAATCTCATTGTCGACGGCAGCAGTCGCAGAGCAGACGAGTTGACTGACTGGCAAGATTTAAGACGTCGTCTCGGAGCGAGACGCAAATTATAAGCAAATTATGCCGGACAGAAAAATCCAGCGGAAGATTTCCACACAAGAGCCGCGGCAACCTGCTCTCTCGCGCATAAGTGCATATAAAGTAGAGGATACGCATTCGGATTGATATACAAATTTCACGCGCGAGTGCGATTGTCTCGGCGCGATTGCCATGAATCTCGAGAGAGAGAGAGAGAGAGAGAGAATGAATAATGCACGTGTGCAGTGCCAGAACTGCGATCGCTCGTGCCCTTATGACGTACTAGCTGACCTTGCATTTGTTTTACATACCCCAGGCGCTCGAGGATACTTCATTTTTGGCGCTGCTCGAATAGTTTTGTGGAAAATGTGTATTTTCGCCAATGTTCGCCGAAGGGCGAGAAAACCACGTTTTCGCACGTGTTGACTCGAAGATTAATGGAGCTTGAACTTTCGACAATTAATTACAGGGTTATCTGATGATTGTCGCTGAAATCTGTTCTAAAATTTTTTCGTATATTGTTGCTTAAGCACGCGCATTATCGCTAATAGTTCTCTTGATGAATTTCATGATGTCGACGCTGTTCCTATGAATAATTTTTCATTCTGAATCACCTTACAGCCCGAAAGGTGCATTTTATGGCGAATTTGTAATTGGGACCTGACAAAACAAAATCACCAACAGCTGTAACAAATTGCGAAGGAAAAACTCCATTATTGTTCCACATCGAAATCCGGAATTGAACAATATATAACGTGCGCCAATGTTTCAACTATTTCACTGGGCAACGGAATATTCTCCATCTAGTTGCGAATCGGTAAAGCTTCGGCATTGTATCGATTCATCTCTCTACCAGTACGACTAAACGCGATTGCCGTTCTACTGTCGCAACATCATGCTCAGCTAATGCGACTATTGGAAAGTGAACAATGCATCCGACGTCTCAAGTTTTATTAAGAAAGACGAACACTAGTCATGCACGAGGAAAAAAAAACAAGTCTCTGGCTAAAATCAATCGCGGGCGCTCTTCCACGAAGCCCAGATAATATACATATATAGCGATAGACACTCGTTAGACAATCCTTTCTTCTTCGTGGCGCGTGAAAAGACACGTCCTACGGATATCTTTTTGTTGTTCTCAAGGGTGCTTCGGCACGCACAATGCCCCTGACGGGAGTGTCTAGGTAAACTTGGAGTGGCGCGTTCGGTTTCCCGGAACGCGGCCGCGCACCCACCGCCGTATGTTCTATACATGTTCTACGTGCTGCGCCTCTACGGATAGTTAATTTCGGCTGGAGATGCGCGCAATTACGATGTCGCACGGTTCATTGCCGGCGACTCTACGGGACGGCTTTTCTTTTATCGATGAAACTTTGGAAATGCCGGTACAGTGTGATTTTGGTGTGCGCGCTGTGTTTCACGCTACAGCTCAACTATACGTCTGGCGTGTTTAACTAATTCGCTTGCGCTCTGAAAGTATACCGGAAGACGATGATTAAAGAATAAAGTGAGTGAGCGAGAGAACGAGCATTTATCGTCGTGGGGGTTCAATTCGTTGTTGACACGAAAAACCACGGCTAATTCATTAGTGTTTTTCGTCGTGTCGCGTGTATTCATTCCGTAAGCTGTTGCGCTCGATGCGTGGATAAATGTGCGCACGACGGCCCGAGCTTGATAAACGATAAGTGATATTAATGACGCGAATTTACAAACGAATATTTTTCGATTCTCGCAATTCTCATTTGCAAAGCTGCGCTGAGCCGTCGAAAAATGAGTTTGTCGTTTACCCTGAAATATCTCTGTCGAGCGCGCGTGAGCGCTCTTTCGAGTATTCCAGTTTCACCGTTTAAGGAAAGACAATGATGATTTATCAATATGGAAATTGCTGAATTCGAAAGCTCGAAATTCATTTAACAATCACAACGAATAAACAAGCGATCGCTCGTGTAGTTCGATCAACAGTTTCACCCAACAATCCTGGCGCAACGGCGCAGCAACGGAAAAAATATAAAGCGCGAAGCATTTAATAGCGAGTTAGCCTTTCGCAAACACGCGGCGCATTTGCAGAGCCATTAAGGCTTGGCGCGCGCGAAAAGGCGGAGAGACGATGATTGCCAGCCGCCGTTTGTTCGTTGGTTGAATATAAAAGCAGACGAACCGGAGACGCGCGCGAGCACCGCGTTGCACGCTGGACAGGAAGAGCCAGTTGCGATTTTGTTACCTCTCGTTCTCCCTTTCCAGTGATCCACTTGCCGATCTATCGCCGATTGTTCGTGGGTGGCATTTTTGATCGCTTCAGTTCGGAATCGGTCTGCGAGAGTGAATTTTCAGATGAAATTTCGAGATATGGAGGAGGTTTGTTCGGGAAACCGAACGTTTCATTGAAGTTTTCTTTTAGAAATCTCCACGATGTTCTGGCAATGAATGGGATTAATTTCGCGATGAAAGCAAGAAACTACAACGATAATGTTGGTATAAAAATCTGGAATCCGCGAAGCACTAGAAAGTTTTCTTCGTAGCATTGTACACCGTCAAAAAATCTCCATTTCATTTTCCTTCTTCACAGAACCTGTCAGTATTACCCAGCTAGGTGTAAAATCTGAAATTCAAAATGTTTCCGATGCAATGCGCGCGCATTTGCCCGTATAGCCGCCCTCATCACATAAAAAAGAAAAGGGAAAAACAGAATTCAGCTGTGTGTGTGCGCGCGCGAACAGCTAAAGTCCGTCCCTCTCGGTGCGAGAGTGAAACAAAGCCGAAGTGAAAAAGGCAAAAATAGAGAGACAAGCCCTTTACACACATACACGTATAGCCGACGACTTGTAAAAAGAAGGAAGAGAGAAGAAGGCTGCTGCTGCAGGAGCTTGTGGCGCGCTCGCTCATAGCTCAGCTCTCTCTCCACCAACAGGTCGCGCTGGCGCTAGACTCGCCGAGTCGCCAAGGCATTGTGTCAGTTATTTCCCGGCGCGCGAGCCGAGCACGCGTGCGCGATCGGCTTTTTTGTTTCCTCGTCACTTTTTTCCTCGACATGTGCGCTCCTCTTTCTTCTTTCGAAATTCATGAGTTATAAGAGTGCTTGGATTTTTTCGCTGGAAGACATGTGAACGAAATTGCTGTGTGTGTGTTAATTTTTGACGTGCTCGGTGACAAGTATTTAGAAATTTGGAGCAAATTTATGCTGTTATTGCCTGTGAATGCGTTCTGATTTGCATGTAAATTTTGGTGATTGCGAGCTTCGACTGAGATATACTTGAATGTTTAGATGTCTCCTGTGATTTATTTTTATTTACCAGACAACTATTTTTAATGATTGTGCATCAGCATAAGCTAATTGTCATCTACTTCAAAAAAGGGTTGTCGTTTGAACATACGAATCCCTGAAATTTGCAACCAAGTTTAACGAAAACTGTTAATTCCAAGTCAAAGTTGAAATTCCAAAAGTAAACAGAAATCTTCATGCACAGTTCGCAAGTGTCAAGTGTGAAAAAACAGGCATTTATACGGAAACGTGTCTCGTTCGAATTTCCATCGAAACACCGGATTTGTTTACTCTTGACTACGCGCATGCGCTCCACTTTGAATGTGCGTTACAAGCTCAGTCGTTTTTTTGTGTCTCGACGTGACTGAAACTGAAGCTTGACTCTTTTCGGGAAATAGTACAGAGACGTCAAGGACAATCGACTGGCCAAATTGGTTGCGTTTACTGGTGAGTTGCTTTACTTATTTTAATTAAAATTTCTGGTATACGCCATCCTTTTTTTCGCCAAATTTCAATCGAATTGTTTATTTATAGATTTATCGGAATACGAATTCGCGTTCTGAACAGATTCAATTGAAAGTTTTTACGCGAATACAGTAACTAATTATAGAGCGTTGAACTTGTGAATACATATATTAACATAACAGTATGTCTGAATATTATATTATACGACGTGAATTTTCATTGCGCGCATTGTACTTAACCTTGAGAGAATGGCATATATCATAATGTTTATACAATCTTCAATAATATTTGAAATAGTCGAAAGTGTTTTTCAAAAAATTTCCATTGCCATGAACTTGAAAAATCTTTATGTACATCCACGCATAATGGAAATTTTGTACTTGTGCGAGCGCGTTATGACAGTAGCCTTGAGCATCTCGCTGGAGCAGTCAAGTTATGCGAGTAGAATCTCTGTTAGCCGGAAACGTTTGTACATCAAGACAATGCCGCGATGAGTTTCTTTGCCGGGATTTATGTTCAGCTATTTCCATTGCTTCCTACATACACAAACTTTCACACAGACGTTTAGATTTAATTAATTATCGATAAGAAAAGAACTGGAATATCGATCATCGCACGTACTTTTACGTAATGCGAAGAAAAATATTTAACGACTATTTGACAATGTACTAATGGACACGTAACGCGGGCTATATTGACCATCGATAATGAAAATGACGTAACGTGAAAAGCAGCTTCCGTTAAAACGGCGCACGCTCGTAAAACTCTCAAAGTAGCGGCCATCGAAAAATCGCGCTTGGCACAAGACAATGTGTAATAATCGGCTTGTGCGTGCGCAAAAGCTTATTGTCCTGTCAGCTCTCCCAAGCGTTTGCAAACTCTATTAAGACTTTTGGCGCGGGCGAAAAAATAGAAATTGCGCAATATATTTTTGCGAGTGCGTCCACCGCGGAAAAATGCGCAGCCAGCAGAGTGCGCAATTACGGCGTTAATTGTTTATGCACACATGGTAGTAGCGAATGGGGGCGGCGGCGTAAGATCGTAAACAAAAAATCACGACTATCGACGCATTGTCAATGCAATCTAATTGAAAGGTACATTATGACGTTGTGTAGCGAGATTGCGAGGGCTGTCGATGGGAGACACGTTCCATTGACATGCAAATGAAGAATTCACGAAAAAAAGAAAAAAACGACAGCTCGCAAGAAAGAGAAGTCTTTTGTGTGTTCTCTCACGTTTGGAAAGTTTTCTTTTCCTCTCTCCAGATTACCGCGACGAGATACATAAAATGCGGAAGATGCCGGCGACGACGACGAACTATGCACGTGAGAAAATCGAGCGAATCGACTCTGACCATTTATATGAACTCGGTCTGCTGATGTTGCTTTGCGATTTGGCGATCGATCGCACTGCGCGATGAAAAATGTTTGATATGTTAATGGAAAACCGGTATACCTGCAATGGATTTAGCAATGGCTGCTGAATTGTCAGGTGGGAAAAAAATGAAACGCTTTCCTATGCCATTCACGTTTTACCAACATCAAGCATCTTTTGAAGAAAAATTGAGTCGTTAAATTATTTTTAAACGTTTCTCAACGTTATTACCTGTCAATGCAACGCTGCACAATAAAAGAGAACTTTAACGGAGATTTTACGGTTGGCTTTCGAACTCCTTATCTTTCGTAGATCTGAAAAAGATATGTTCTCACGTAGCTGTCAAATAACATTTGAATGCCGCATTAGTCTCAAAAGAAATAACAACAAAGAAGAAAAACTTCGGCAATTAAAAAACCAATGAAGATACAGCCTTGACCGCCAAAGTCTAATCACCGTGAATAATTTTTTAATTGTTTCAGCAGGCAACGCCGACGAGAAGCAATGAGCGAGGACGAACACGATCGACCCGTAGGCTTCTGCTGCTGCAGGTGGCTTTGAAAAAAGATAAAGAAAAGGAGACATCAAGGTGTGTACGCGTAACGACAGCCTCGACTTCCGGGCTTGTGCAGTGTATGATATGCTGCTGCATAAGCGAGAAGTTGAATAGCCCGAAGAAGAGTCGGAGAGTTTATAGAAGAGTGCCGTAGCCATGGCCTACGTCCTCTGGCGAGTCTTGATGAAGAAGTACTCCAAGGTGCGCCTCGGAATACGAAACTTTCCGGTGAGTGATACACTTTGTCGCGTTGCTCGCTCACTCTGCTCGGCTTTCACTGTTTTGCCACCGTACGTGTGTATATATATCTCCCCTGAAAGTTGTGCAATGCTCTGTACGGTGCATCGAGAGGAAAGTCGTCACGGTGTGACGTGTATATATATATATATATATATATATATATATATATATATATATATATATATATTCGTTTTTTTAGGGTGCGAGATGTTTAGCTCCCGTTAGTAAATAGAGCTGTCGAGGACATTTACATGGCGTGACGAGTTATTTCGTCGGAGCTCGCGATCCTTTGTGTTCGTACTTTCTTAAATTGAAAAAGAAATAGGTCGTTTTATTAATTTCGCGATAGCTGGAATTTTTCCACGTTTTGTCCCATTTTCCCGAATGCCCTACCGAAAGACGTCGTTACCGACGCTCGTGACAAACAACGTCGTTTAAAATTACATTACCGCTTTTACCCTTCGCGCAATTTTTCACAATACCAGAAACAGTCCCATTAAAACGTTGTTAGAAAACACTCAGTAGTCACCTATCTAAAAAGTGTAACGCTCGGGTACTCAATATCCAACAATTCACATAATTATAACCAAACTGATTCATTTGAAAGCATTATCTGACAAATTCCGAAGTTTGATTATCATCGAAGCCACGAGTCCGTGAAACTTTTGCGAACGATTGCTCCATTTCACGTAACACCGTGTCCCGCTAGTAATAATCTAGAATACACACTGTTAGTCTGATTAGTGCACAGATGATGGGTATACCCCAGCTGTTAATCTTATGCGCAGCGAGTACATCGAAAGCTAAGAGGCTCATAAAAGGTGCAACCGTCGCTTCCTTGACAATCTCTCTCTTCAAAATTACAGCTCGTCGACTTGGCGCCCTAACAGTAAATAATAAGGAAGCAGCGTGTTCTCTCATTAGGTATCCGGAATAAAGTCTGTCGACCGATAGACCGCTCAAAGATTTACGCCGCTTGCGTTGCAAGTTACAGACCGCACGCGAAATAGTTTCGGCGGAGGCAGGTGATGGATTACCTATAGAGTTCTGAGTAGTTTCTTCTTAGCGGAATACGCTCGAGGATGTTGAGAAAAGCTTCCTCTTCGGATTATTAAATTATACGCGTTTCCAGATGGTGCTGTGGCTTGTTAAGGTTTCTAGGTGAGAGCCGAGTGGCTGCTTTTCTTGTAAATTGATTAGTTTTGAGCGAGACGCGATATTTGACAACGATTCTTACGATTCTTTCAACGAATATTCAATATTGCCGTTAGAGATCGCTTTTATTTACCGTCGGCGAACAATCAATTAGCTAATTATTAAGGTCCGTTCAATGATATCTTCATCTTCAAAAGAGAAACCAACTATCGTTCAAATATTTGAAAAGTATCCAACCGGTCTAACATGATATTTAACAGATATTTGAAAACACGCTACAAAGCGACAATGACCGAAGACATCGCTCGTCGTTTTGTTTTCCGCGTTGCTTAGCATAGTACATCTGAAATCGTATGCAGATTGCAGCACGCGCGGTAATCGTCTTCGTGAGCCGAGGCGCGCGTAAAACGCGTAGCCTCAAGATGGATTACGATTGATCGGCGCGAGTGCTTTCAAAGAATATAAGTTGTTTCCATCATCAACACTTCCGTGCATATATTTTTCTCGATTCGCCTTCGTCGCCGCTCCGCGAGTGACTTGTAATCGTACGCGCGCGTTTTACCGTATTTAGGCTAACGATCGCACTTTGCCTTTGCTTCGCTCGTGAGAACTTTAACGAGATACATACACCAGCGTTGCCTCTGAGAATGATTGGCCGATGAGAATTTTTTTCTCTTTACTTCAAAGGATTGTCGATTATTTTTGTTATTTAGTGAGTGAATCGCACAATTTCTCTTACAAATGATTTCGTAAAAATTATTACACACGCCACAGAGTATTCCCGTTTAGCAACGCAACAAACACGTAGATTTATAAAAGCGATGAAATAATCTCAGCCACGCTGCTGCATTGTCCGATAAGGCAGAGAAGTGAAAAGCTGCATCGCCAATTCGAGAAAATTTGAAAGTAGATTCTTATCTTGGCGCAGCTTTTCCTCGAGTGCTCTCGGTAAGCTTCTCTGCGCGCAGTGCCTCAAATGCAGATCTTTTAATTGTCCTGGGAAACTGACATCTATAATGCACCTCACCTAGATCACAATAATTGGATTCGCTCTTGTAAAAGATATCTCTCGAGCGCGCACAACACCGACGGCAATTGTCTCGCAATGTTCCAAGCTCTCGCGTACTTCTGAAATTGCTTGATTTCTGTTATCATCGCTTGCGCGATGAAAATGCTGTAAAAACGAACACACGGGCGAAATCAGCTGCGATCGGCTTGTACATTCGATTAAAGAAAAAAAAACAGTCAGATCTACCGGGGCATACAGCGCATTACCGAGCTCGCAGTTGTGATCAGAGGCGCGGGTGTACGTGTAACGGGATGTGTCGAAGGATGCGGGCAAATTGAAAATTCCACGCTCCTCGCGCGCGCGGAAAATCGGTCAAATCCTTTGCGCAAAGACGCCCTCGAGATATATACTCAGCATCGATTGATTGTTACGGAGCGGCCTCGATTTTTCGGCCTATTATTACCGCGGCCTTTTTTTTTTTTTTTTTTTTTTATCTAGCCAACCAGATCTTGGCCAAGTTAGAGGAAACAAGAGAGTCTCGCGGATATTAGGAAGTTATCTTTTGTTCTCGAATGCAACGCATCTCCCATGTTTTCCGCCGATTCAATCTACCGCGTTTTATTGGACAATAATTGCTCTGCTCTGATCAACCGCCGGCGCTATACGAAATTCTCTCGCGAGTTTGTTTTCATTTTCAACTTATAACGCTGTGTTATTTAGATAGCGATCTTATGTGCGCAGTTACCATGTCTACACTTTCTACTTCGTTTATACCTCATTTGTATTTTATTAATTGCCTCGTGCCCGTTTTCAGATTGATCTGCACCTCTAACCATTATTTATAATTAATAAACGTAGAAAACTAAACATGGACATAGTGCAGGCTGTTTAGAAGCGACTCGATGCAGTCGGTTCAGCAACCCTCCAAAATAAAAGGAATCATCCGACCAATGTTAATATTCGAGCGACCACCCAGACGTAAGAAGCGATAACGACGTCGCGCACAACGTCTCCGAAAAATCTCTCATAATTATCGGGCTTCTCGTAAAACGCAAAAGACTGCGCTAATTGGATAATTGCGCATCCCAACGAAAAGCGCGCACAGCAGACCATGACGATTGCGCAGGCGCGGGCGCCGACTCGCTCGCGCGCAGCCAGCATTTGCACGCGCGCGGCGTTCACTTATTAAATCAACCGTATAACAATTCATTTGTCGATGGACTTGCTGCTGCTGCTGCTGCTGCTGCGGGTAGCGTGTACGCGCTGCCGCGAACGCGGCCATGAACCGCCTTGCTGACCTGTAAGTTGGACCCTCTTCGTAAATCCTATACCTGTGCGTGTTGCCGGAGCAAGGGGAACCTTTCTTTTTTTTTATTTCGCTCTCCTTTGCTTGGGAAAAAAAAAGAACTTTTCTGCCGTGCGGGTGGGTTCATAAAGGAGTACCATATGCCTTTGCGTGAAAGAGAAGCGGCGTCGTACGTTGGGATATATAGGATGCTGATTCAGCGCTTTGGTATATCCATCCACTACTTCCATCGTTTTTCCTGTACTTTTTTCGATCGACAGTGACTAATTATTGACAATTTGTGGCTATGGTTTTTCGTTTTTGGAGGGGAATGGGTTATTAAAATGCGCTGTTGGAGATGATTGGCTTGCGAAGGAAAAAACGTCAGAGAATGCGATTTTTTTATTTATCTTTATTTTGAGTCGCTAAACGATCAGTGTTTTACATGTAGATAACCAAATATGAATATCAAATTATGAATGAAATGAGAAAATTAAATTACGAATAATATTTCTTTAATCCAAATGGCAAGGTACCACTGGGTTTGTCTAAAGTCATTATTCCGTTGGCGTTTTCATTCATGAAACTACAATGATTTATCTATTGGCGTCGACTCTTCTATACAGGCAATGAAGAGCGGTTTCTGCGCCTCTGCATTCAACATTTCCAATTAATATTCATTCGAAGAACTCGGTCATTATTAAATGAAGTTGAAAGAAACGACTGCTAGTCGCGCATTCTCGCACTTGATCATCTCGATATTGTGTAAACGCTTTCGCGGCAGCAGCTAATGAGGTATCTATTTTCGCGCAGACCACGATTTTGCATCTAAAAAAAGAATGCGAAATATCGGCCTTGAATTGCAATTGAAGCCAATCGATGCGCGCATGTGTACACAGACAGTCATGAGGTCACTCTAAACTGCAACTTACGTGCCTCGTAAAAGATTCTTGTTCGCATCGCTACACTGGTACAATTGAAACAGAGTTATTTCCAAAATATGCGGTTATTTCGTGTAGGCATGCCGATATCGAGCTCGACAAATTGTCCAGCGGTCCGCCGCCAAGAAAGCGTTCGTTCCGCGCAGATTGGATCAGTCATTTGTTAGGATACACGCGCATGTGTCGCTAGTAATGTTTTGATATACGTCATAAATCAGCGAGCGGCGCGGCGCGCATCGTCGCCGTCAGTCACAAGGATAATAAATCTATGTCGCGCAGATGATATGCACGTCAGCGCGAATCCTCCTGTTTGAGCAGTTAAAAGGAATGATTTCAGATAGACGCGCGCACGTGTGTGCATATTCTTCGTACGATGCCATTGCGTAACGGGGCGCGGACGAGCGAGAGACATCACTCGTACGTACGTGTATAACCTGCGCGCCGTAAATATAGATAGATCCCACAGCTACGCGCATGCTTTGCGTTTATAAATAAGCCCCGATTTTGCCCGAGCGACACGTTGACTTTTACAGGCCTTTTTCAGCTTGCGGCAAGCTCGCCTGTTGCTCTTTCGTGGCGAATTCTGCGCCTTCTTGGA